CTCAAGGTACCCAGGCGACATATTTTTTCCAAGAGGGATTTTAAAAGCTACTTTCCATGGATGTAAACAACAACAAAGCCCTCCACCACAGACCAATTGCATTTCGCCTTAAAAACCACATCACTTGCTGAAATGTTCGTGTGCCAGGCGTGCTTTTTCGGGGTGGGGATGGGGATTGTGTCCCTGAAATGCAGAAAGCACGTCCCTGGGCCAATGCTGGAATTAAGGCACAAGTGCAATGAAGTTGATTAAAACAGTGTGGCATTTGGGCGTGTTGTGTTTTTCAGTTTTTGGATTCCAGAAAAGGTGGAGTATTCATTGCCTTGGGCCAATACCAACTCAATCTGATTTTAGATTGCAGATGGTGGAGAATTCAAAAGAAATTGTAGGTTAAATTGATATAATTTCGTTTTGCTTTGTGAGTAAAATGTGTTTAAGGTTGCATCTTGTTGTTTAGTTGTTTAGTCGTGTCCGACTCTTTGTGACCCCCTGGACCAGAGCACGCCAGGCACTCCTGTCTTCCACTGCCTCCCGCAGTTTGGTCAGACTCATGTTTGTAGCTTCGAAAACACTGTCCCACCATCTCGTCCTCTGTCATCCCCTTCTCCTTGTGCCCTCCATCTTTCCCAACATCAGGGTCTTTTCCAGGGAGTCTTCTCTTCTCATGAGGTGGCCAAAGTATTGGAGCCTCAGCTTCAGGATCTGTCCTTGCACTGAGCACTCAGGGCTGATTTCCTTCAGAATGGAGAGGTTGGATCTTCTTGCAGTCCATGGGACTCTCAAGAGTCTCCTCCAGCACCATAATTCAAAAGAATCAATTCTTCAGCGGTCAGCCTTCTTTATAGTCCAGCTCTCACTTCCATACATCACTACTGGGAAAACCATAGCTTTAACTATACGGACCTTTGTCGGCAAGGTGATGTCTCTGCTTTTTAAGATGCTGTCTCAGGTTGTCATCGCTTTTCTCCCAAGAAACAGGCGTCTTTTAATTTCGTGACTGCTGTCACCATCTGCAGTGAGTAAAGTTGCATAGAAACCATTAAAAATGATTGCCAAGTACTTGCAGATATGATGATGAAGAAGAAGAAGAAGAAGCTTAAGCATTACCTGACCTTTTCAGAGGGTAAAATTAAAAAAATTTGGTTTCCAAAAGCAGTTTATGTATCTGGATAACTCAGTTGATTAGACTAGAGGATTATCAAGGCCTTTTCCAACCCCACAATTCTTTGATTCTATTATTCATCAAACGTAGTCTTACCAAGCTAAATGTTGCACGGTCACATAGTAGCAAATTCGAATCTCTCACACCTCAAAATGTATTTTTAAGACTGAAGAAATGTGCAAAAATTAAGTTCCACACCTGTAGTGATAGCTGTGTTAGCAACATGGGTTTTAAACAGGAGAGAGAGAGAGAGAGAGAGAGAGAGAGAGAGAGAGAGAGAGAGAGAGAGAGAGAGAGAAAGAAAGAAAGAAAGAAAGAAAGAAAGTAAGTAAGTGTTGGGTGGCTGGTTTCTCAGATGCAACAACCTTTCAGGTGTGTTCTGATAAAACAGTATGGCTTTGTTAAGTTGCTGGTCCTCATTGCAAATTTGCCTTTCCACGGTGATACATACGTTAGCAACCTGTGGGTTTTAAAAGGAGAAGAGAGAGCGAGTTTGGCATTTGGGCTGAGTTTTCTCTTGGGTGCAGTGACCTTTTCAGACATGCTTTGATTCCACAAAGCGGTGACCTTTCCTTACACAACTCCCAGCCAAGGATGCCTTTTTTTTTAATGTAGCCAATGTAACTGATTTAGAAAGATAAGTGGGGAATGTGAGCGGGTATATTTGGACGGTCCACTCCATATGGTGCCAACGCAACAAAGATTTGGACGGTCCCCAGCGGGATAAATATACCCGGGCCTGGATTAAGCAAAGTTTGACCAAACAAAGGGAGTGGGGCCCAGACCTCACAGGGCTGTCGCTCTTTGAGGATCCATGGCAACCTTGCGCCCGGCCAGAGGAGGTATCCGGTCTCTCCTCTTTTTCCTGTGATAACCGCAGTAGCAGGACTGGTCCATGCGATGTCGAGACATTTTGGTTCAGGTGGGTGATGGTGATGCTCAGAGAAGGATGAAAAGGTGAGAGCGGAGCTCTTGGAAGGCGTTTTTTCAGTGTCAGCTTGCGATAAATAATGATATTTTTAAATAAACGAGTTGATATAATGAAATGAAGAGGCGACTGGATGGTTGGCGCCAAGCTTATGTCGGAAGGTTGTACCTGAGGACTTGAAACCTAGGGCCAAATTCAACCAATGGGTCCTGCTGGAGGAAGTCTATGTGAGGACATCGGCGCAGTGGGGCTTTCCCCTCTCTCACATCCCCCTGCACCGCCCCCATTCCCCCAAATTGGCTCGGGGTGCCAGGAGAATCCCGACAATGGCGCCGTGGGGTGGAGAGCGGAGATGGTTCTCTCAGGCCAGCAGAAACTTGCCTGAACTTTTTAAAAACATAAAAATAAAGCTGGGAGATTCTGCTTCCTTGAAGGTTTTGAAACAGAGCTCAGTTGGTCATCTGTCAAGAGTTCTTTAGGGCTGATTTTTGCATTTCAGGGGTTTGGACTTCAAATTACAGTGGAACCTTGGTTCTCAAACGCCTTGGTACTCAAACAACTTGGAACCCAAACATTGCAAACCCGGAAGTAAGTGTTCCGGTTTGCGAACTTTTTCGGAAGCCAAATGCGCTCCTATTTGAGTGGTACACTATTTGAGTGTTACGCTGAGGTCTGTCTATTTTTTCTATTTATTTTGCGTTTTTGTGGCTCTTTTTTGTTTTGTTTTCGTGGCTGTGTAGAACCCAGTCCAGCTACTGATTGACTGTGGGACTGCAGTACATTGTTCATTGCTTTCCTTTTCTGGATCAATGATCTCGTTAAATAGTAAAATTCATGTTAAATTGCTGTTTTAGGGATTGTTTTTAAAAGTCTGGAATGGATTAATCCATTTTGCATTACAGTGGTACCTCTGGATGCGTACGGGATCCGTTCCAGCGCCCCGTTCGCATCCAGAAGCGAATGCAACCTGCGTCTGCATGTCAGCGCATGTGTGGGTCGCGATTCGCCGCTTCTGTGCATGTGCGAATCATTTTGACCGTCTGCGCATGCGCGAGCAGTGAAACCCGGAAGTAATGTGCTCCATTACTTCCGGGTCGCCACAGCGCGCAACCCGAAAATGCTTATCCCGAAGCTACTTCAACCCGAGGTATGACTGTATTTTCTATGGGAAAGCGCGCCTTGGTTTTGGAATGCTTTGGTTTTGGGACGGACTTCCGGAACGGATTAAGTTTGAGAACTAAAGTACCACTGTATACCATTCTGTGGTTCTCTGTGTTACAAGAAAAAAACTGCTCCTATATCCCTTATTGGTTTTCCAAGAGCCCGTACAGAGTCTTTACATAGGTTCCCTATTGGTAGGAGAAAATAACAGAGGCCAACCAGAGAATATTGAGAAGCAAAGCGGCTAGTAAGCATGATATTTATTAAACTGTTGTAACAGAGTCCCCTACTCCGCCTACACAGGGAGGGAAGAGAGGAACCCAGAACACTGGTGTGCAAGCTCTTATTCAGTGGTACCTCGGGTTACATATGCTTCAGGTTACATACGCTTCAGGTTACTGACTCCGCTAACCCAGAATTAGTACCTCGGGTTAAGAACTTTGCTTTAGGATGAGAACAGAAATCGTGCTCTGGCGGTGCGGCGGCAGCAGGAGGCCCCATTAGCTAAAGTGGTGCTTCAGGTTAAGAACAGTTTCAGGTTAAGAACAGCCCTCCAGAACGAATTAAGTTCTTAACCCGAGGTACCACTGTATACAGTCAAGGCTTTTGAAATTGCCTCCCCTGTAGCTCAAGACCACCCCCCAAAATATAATACATACATACATCACAGAAAGAGGTAGTCCCTCGCAGAAATCCATCACAGGGGGCGGTCTACAGCAGAAAACCTGTCTGTCAGGATACCTGATAATGGTCACTGATTACTTTACCTGGGCAGCCAGGCCATTCCTTTTGAGATGCTCAATACTTAGCTCCTGAATCCAGGTATACACAAATACGCCCTAAAGATGGGAGTTGGGAGCAAAGAGACAATGGGGAGAATATTTGAGGTTGCTGGAAGAGTCAAAATGGCTTCAGGGTTGCTCTATTTCAGACACGTGGTTTATATACTTACGTATGTGTTTGCCTTGTAAATTTATGAACGTTTATTATATATGAGCTTAGAATTCCTTTAACAATTCCCTGGTTCCGTATTCTGCTTTCTCTTTTGCAAGTCTTGTGCACGGGATAATTAAGCTCAGAACATGAGTTGTGTATTTTTTCATTGCCTAGGAAAGGGTCGTCCCCAAACGGATCTGAGCTCTTGGTTCCTCTTTCTTTCGTTTTGCAAAAAATCCAGCCTTTGAGGCACAGAGGCGAAACACGGTTGGCACGATGGAGCCCGGTTGATCGGAATCTGTTGCACATTTTTATGAGCCAATTTCCTCTTCTGGTTCTTCACACACACACACACACACCCAACAAAAAATGCACTGAGTGACTGATTTATGAGTCACCCAAAACAAGAGTCTGGGTCAGCTTTTCCCCCCTCTTCCTTTCAGAAAGGTCAACGAGGGGTTACGAGTTCAGGCATCGTTCAGGGGGCTTTTACGAGCGAGGCGAGCCCACCCACCCCAAAATTCCCCCTCCAGCCTCCTTTTACAGGCCCACTTCTATAAGTCAACATTTAAAAGTGGCAGAGACACGCAAAAGAGGTTCCAAGCTTCCGTTGTTGACTTTTGAACGCTGACATTTTCCTTTAAATATATATATTGTTCCTTTAGGGAGCTGGAAAGGTCTTGAAGCTGGGGGGTCTCTCCCCACCCCAGGGGAAGAGGGGCTTTGCGGCAGAGAGAACAGGCTGCTACGCAGATGGTGAGGTTGCGAAAGGGGTTTGGTCTTCCCTAAACCGACGGCACAAATCAGAAGGCGATGGGGTCAGCAAGCCATGGCCAGATTGGCAGGTAAGTAAGGGGGCAGCCCTCATTTTGGGGGGGGGGGTTCTTGGGTGGCAGGGTGTCTGGATGGGCCGTAGGTAGGGAAAGACTCCTCCTCTGAACCCTTGAGAGCTGCTGCCAGCCAGTGCAGGCCGTACAGAGCTTCCTAAGTCAGCCCTGCATTTGGAACCATGAGGACTGGAATCTTGGCATTATTTTAAAGCCACTGGTGGAGCGCCTTCTTTGCATGCAAAAGATCCCAGGTTTGATCAATGGCAGATCCCGGTAAGGCTGGGAAGGACTCTTGGCCTGAAACCCCGAAGAACCGCTGCCGACGGAGAAAAAGGGATGCCATGGTCTGATTCTCTAGAAGGCGGCTTCCTGGGTTCCATATGCGCATAGTCTTCTGTGGCACGTGAGATCTCCGCCCCATGGCGCTTACAGTGCAGGAAAGGAGGCCAGGGAGAGAACTGAGCAAAAAGGCTAACGCATTGTAGTCATTAGAGTGTTTGACTTAGAGCCTGCGAGCCCAGGGTTCGAGTCTCACACGCTCAGCTACATTTTAAAAATTTATTTTAGCCTTTTTTCTAAATAAACAAATGCTGGGTTTTTAGCTCGCTCCTTGTCTGTTCTCATTATTTTGGAAGGTTTTAAGTTGTTGTTCTGAATTGGTTGTTGTTGTTTTTCTGGTTCTGTTCTTTTTTTTTTAGTAAACCGCTTTGAGGTGCTTTTTTAACAATCATAAAACAAATTTTATGAAATAGATAAATAAATATGTTCTATCCTGCATTCCCCAAAAGAGATAAGGGCATCAAACACAAGCATGTTAAAACAATACAGTTTAAAAGCAAGCAAGAATGTGTTTAAAAATCCTTAAAACTATATAAAAGCAATTTACCAACCACGTAAAAACATTTGAGAGCACCTAAAATCCTTTTAAGGGACGTGGGTGGCGCTGTGGGTTAAACCACAGAGCCTAGGACTTGCCGATCAGAAGGTCGGCGGTTCGAATCCCTGTGACGGGGTGAGCTCCCGTTGCTCAGTCTCTGCTCCTGCCAACCTAGCAGTTCGAAAGCAAGTCAAAGTGCAAGTAGATAAATAGGTACCACTCCAGCGGGAAGGTAAACGCCGTTTCCATGTCCTGCTCTGGTTCGCCAGAAGCGGCTTTGTCATGCTGGCCACTTGACCCGGAAGCTGTACGCCGGCTCCCTCGGTAAAGCGAAATGAGCGCCGCAACCCCAGGGGTCCCTTTACCTTTTTAAAAAACCTTTAAAAAGGCATTGCAGACCCTCACAGTTGTCCATTATCAAGTAGCTTTCATGAGGCCTTCCTGGAACCACGGTCTCTCAACCTTGAGCCTACCTCACAGGGTTGTTGTTCTGAAAAAGGAAAGGAAGGGGATCTGCTCCTCTAGCTCCTTGGAGGAAAAGGATGGCTATAAATGTCACGATAAATAAAAATGAACAGAGGAAAGTTGGAAAGGGAGGCTAAGGCTTCAGCCAGGGGGTGGGTGACTGTGGCAGTTATACAGACTTAGCACTGAGAATTAGGGCTAAGCAACTGGGGTCTGTGCCGGAGATTTAACAGGCGAAGGGGAATCTGAAATAACAAAGTCCCTACATATGCACTTATTTAAACAATTTGCAAGAGTGTGTTTAATCCCACATATGCATTTATTTAAATAAGAATGCTCTTATTTCCACATACGAGTTTATTTAAATCGTCCTGCTTTCCAAAGGGTTTTCCAAACGTACAATAAACAGAGTTTTATGGCGAGTTCAGCCAGAGGGCTGGACCCAGTCTCCCTGCGGAACCCCTGCAACGCTTTGCCTATTAATTTGCCCATTTCAGCTCAGCAATATCCAGAGTTTTTTGCAATTCCTTTTCCTTTGATTGGTACGACTTGTATTGTTTATTTATTGAATTTATATACCACCCTATAGGGACGCGGGTGGCGCTGTGGGTTAAACCACAGAGCCTAGGACTTGCCGACCAGAAGGTCAGCGGTTCAAATCCCTGCAACGGGGTGAGCTCCCGTTGCTCAGTCCCAGCTCCTGCCAACCTAGCAGTTCAAAAGCACATCAAAGTGCAAGTAGATAAATAGGTACCGCTCCGGCGGGAAGGTAAACAGCATTTCCGTGCGCTGCTCTGGTTCGCCAGAAGCAGCTTAGTCATGCTTGCCACATGACCCGGAAGCTGTACGCCAGCTCCCTCGGCCTATAGTGCGAGATGAGCGCGCAACCCCAGAGTCGGTCACGACTGGACCTAATGGTCAGGGGTCCCTTTACCCTTTACCTTACCGCCCTATACCCGCAGCTCTCAGGGCGGTTTACAGAATAAAGTCAAAATATAAAACCACAAAATCCATAATCAGAATAAAATAAAAAAATTTTAAAAAGGGCTGTCAGGATGTCAATCAATGGCCAGTAATCAATGGCCAGCAAAGCCATTATTTTAGCATGTTCTGTTTTGGGAAGCCTGGATTTTGAAAAAAGTGACCCTTACCTCTCTGGGCTTTTGTTTCTGCTTTTTGTTTTTGTTTCATGAGAACTAGAAACTTGCCCTGCCTCCCCACATATTCCTGGTTTGTGGCATTTTTGTACTGAGGCAGTTTGAGGTCTTTCAGTGTGTGTGCTTGTGTTTTAAAGGCTTCTGGGCTTAGATTTTGGCAGGGTCAGAAAGGAATCCATCTCTCGCCCCCAGAAGCAGAAGCCAGCCAGGTGTGCCCTGGTATTTATTGATTTCCTCTCTGTCTGGAGTGTTTCAGGTAACAACCTTCCCTGCAGGGCACAGATAGCAGACGCGGTCCAGGTGTTGCACTGATCTGCTTCGACAACTCCCCCCCCCCTCGTGCCCCCCTACGGCCCTAATTGCAAGGCAACGAACAAATTCATTTTTCCTCCTGAAAACAAAATGGAGGCGGCAATGTTTATTGTTGTTGTTGTTTAGTCGTTTAGTCGTGTCCGACTTTGTGACCCCCTGGACCTGAGCACGCCAGGCACTCCTGTCTTCCACTGCCTCCCGCAGTTTGGTCAAACTCATGCTGGTAGCTTCGAGAACACTGTCCCACCATCTGGTCCTCTGTCGTCCCCTTCTCCCTGTGCCCACCATCTTTCCCAACATCAGGGTTTTTTCCAGGGAGTCTTCTCTTCTCATGAGGTGGCCAAAGTCTTGGAGCCTCAGCTTCAGGATCTGTCCTTCCAGTGAGCACTCAGGGCTGATTTCCTTCAGAATGGAGAGGTTGGATCTTCTTGCAGTCCATGGGACTCTCCAGAGTCTCCTCCAGCACCAGAATTCAAAAGCATCCATTCTTCGGTGATCAGCCTTCTTGATGGTCCAGCTCTCACTTCCATACATCACTACTGGGAAAACCATAGCTTTTACTATACAGACCTTTGTTGGCAAGGTGATGTCTCTACTTTTCAATAATGTTCATTATTGATCCCTTTATTTAGCAGAATACCACTGTGACTGCAGCAAAACCTCTCAGCCATTTGCAAGAAGTATTGAAATCACCCACCCGGGAAAAGTTCAAAACTTTTAAAGATATTTAAAGTTAACAGTAAAAAACAACAAACCAAAAACCAAAACAGATTTAAATTCCCCTCAAATTCTACGTGTCTGGGGGCAGGCTTGCATAAATGACCGCGTTTTAAGCAGGCGTCGAAATAAAGAATATAGAAAAGGCATCAAGAGGCAATTTTAGGTCAATTTCTTGCAAATGCAAAACGGATAATATGTGGCGCTGGCTCCGCAGGTCGACGCAGTTGAGGGAGCACCTATCGAAAGGTGAGATCCGAGGGCCAGACAGAGACTGCTTGAGGGCCGCATTTGGGAGTTTGAGGGCCGCATTTGGTCTAGGACGATGACAGGAGCTGGAAGTTGGGGGGGGGGCACAGGTTCCACAGCCCCTAGCGTGACCTCTTGGGGACACGCAAAGGAAAAGGGTGTGTGTCTTTTTTTCCATCAAGATTTACGGGATTCCTTTTCACGCATTTCAGGCAGAGAATTCCCACTGAAAGCTCACGGGGCGCAACCAGAAGACCCCCCCCCCCAAGCTGGGGTTCCAGTCCACCAAATGCCTCTCTCTTGGTGAGGTCCGTCTGCGTGATGTGGGGGGAGCCAGGAAATGGTTAGCGTTTCCTACCCCAAACTATGCATTCCAGATGGCGTAGCAACAGCTTTTCTTTTCTTCTTCTAAAAGAAGGATATAAATCAAAGAGGGGGGTTTTCTTAGGGGGTGGGGTAGCATCTTCTGCCACCTTCCTCTGAAATCGGAGGGCTTTCATCCTTTAATAATTGGCGAGTGGCAGAGAATTTCAGAAGATAATTTGGCCCACTTCCCTGCTTATTTTTTTATAGGGGAATCTGGGGCCGGCCCTACTGTTAGGTGGGTGTTGTAAAACGGCAGCCAACTGCTGTTTAATTTGGGCGAGAACATTATACTGACTTAAGTCAGACCTCGGGGGTCTGCCTAGCTAAGTATTGTCAACTCAGACCGGCAGCGGCTCTTTCCAGGGGACATTCACAGCCCTACTTGGAGAGGCTGGTGGGTTTTGAACCCGGGACCTTATGCATGCAAAGCAGATACTCTCCCGCTGAGCTAGGGGGCCTTCCCCTTAAAATGAAGCTAAGGTTCCAGTCCTCATTGTTTGGAATAGAGGGCTGATTTAAATAGGAACACAGCAAAGGGCTTTCTATGGAGCCTTTTCAGATTGAAAACCAGGACACATGTCTCCCTGATCAAGTCAAATGACCTGCGGGCCAGTGTTTCCCAATTGTTGGTGTTTATACTATATTTTTTTTTTAGATATGCCTTGAGACAGTCTTTAAACCTCTTTTGTTGACCACCAGCATTGCACTTTCCATTTTTAAGTTCGGAATAGACTAGTTGCTTTGGAAGGTGATCATCAGGCATCCGCACGACATGACCAGTCCAATGAAGAACATGGTTGATTGGGAACACGCTACTAACCCCAAATGGGATGTCTGAACTATTTCAATGAACTAGTTCCTTCCCCGCCCCCCCGCCCCCCAGTAAATATGCTGAGGGTATATATCCTTTGTGTATTTGCAGGATCTCCAGTGAAAAGTTTCTGGGAGCGAAAATCCCGGTGAACTCTTGAAATGGGTTGGGTGGTTCAAAATGGCCAACAACAAACTTGTCTTGCAGGGAGGGGAATCGAACCCTGAATTTGGGTTTTGTTTGGCGGGCATCTTGGAAGCTTCCAGAACAGCTTGCGTGTGGCCCATCAGCTCTCGTTGGGCGGCCTTGACCAAGATTGCCAGGTCCCTCCTGGGAGAACGTTTCCTGCCACCCTTTTCAACAGTTGGCCCTCGTGGCTGCCCGCCATGTCCCACCCTGTCTGGAGAGCATAGTTTCCTGCCCTCGCGAGCCTTTGGCCTTGGAGCGATCAAACGCAGAGAGGCTGAACTCTCCCCCTTCTCAAGAGACTTCTGGTTTGTGGAAATAACTTATCTCTCTTCCAAGCTGCGTGGGACCTCTGCAATCGTAATAATCAAAGGGAGAGTTGACCTGTCATAAAGAAGGAATTATTTTAGGAGCAGAGAGACAGAACGCTGAATTTTGAGACAGATCGCAATCTCAGTTCCAAGAAGGCCTGACGGGGAATGAAAGCATTTTCCCGCCCCGTGCGACAGAGGCCTGGGACCGTGTCCCGTACTCTCCCACCCAACGCAACAACAAAGCCAAACATGTACAAAAGAGCCGAACGTCTGCGCACCCGTTATATTTTCACATGTGCTTGTTCTCTGCTCCCCAGGGTGTTTGCTAGCCGAGGGCGACGTTTACGATGTTTGGTGACAGTTTTGCCGCGTGGTCAGCGAAGCCTGTTGAGAAAGCTGCTTTGAAAATTGTGCCACCCAGGTCGACGTTTCTGGGGAAAGGGCCTTTCCCCTCCCCAAAACCACAGGTTGTGCATGAGCGATGATGGCTGTGTCCCACCTCCTGTGCTGGAGGCAGTAAATGCCACTGGATGAGAATAGTTGCTGGGGATCGCCAGGGAAACGAGAATTGCAGTTGCACTCAGATCATGCTTGCGAGTTTCCCTAGCTGACCCCTAGGATGGGGGTTAGCAAGGTTTATCTTGCCTGGGCTGGATCGGTTCTATGGAGATCCCTCCGTGGACCGGATCGTGCCCGTGCCCACGATTTTTGACGTCTGCGTGTGTGCAGGCGCAATTTTCACGCCTGCGCAGATGCGATTTCTGGTGCCACGGAAGCGAGTCGCTGCGCTGGTAGCTCGGTTTGGGAGCAGCTCGTGGGCCAGTCAAACAACCTCCACAGGCCGCTTTTGGCCCATGGGCCTTAGGTTGCTGACCCCTGCCCTAGGAGGACAGGATTGCTGGACTAGGTGGCCTAGCTCCAGGGCTCTTCTGATGGAACCTCCAGGCCCAGAGCCAGTCTACCTAGATCCCTAGGTTCTTGGGGGCATTTGGCTGCTGTGAGAACAGGGCTCCTTTTGCCCTGATCCAGTACCTCCCCCTATTCTTATGTTCCTGGAATCTCATGTAGCAGAAATGGGCTAAAGAACTTTCCTCCGAGATTTAGATTCTCCAGTTTGGCCTTGATCGCCTTGATTCAAGGTATACTGCCTTGAAACAGGGAGGCTCCATATATCCATTAAAAAATCAGAATACAAGAAGGGCCATTCAGCGGCTGGATCTGGCCAACGTGGGGCACTTGTATTATGGCAACCTCTTCTCCCTGCGGCCAGCCAGGTGCCCAAATTGGATAGTCCTAGAGCAGGAGCTGGGCATAACAGTGGTGCTCTGTGATTCCCTCAAATTCTGCCCCTGACAGGAGAGGTACAACGTATGTTCTAGGCAATTGTCCTTACTGAACCCCAGCTAAAGCCACCATTCATCACACCTTGTGACCATGTTATTGTTGTTGTCGTTTAGTCGTGTCCGCCTCTTCGTGACCCCCTGGACCAGAGCACGCCAGGCACTCCTGTCTTCCACTGCCTCCCGCAGTTTGGTCAAACTCATGCTGGTAGCTTCGAGAACACTGTCCCACCATCTGGTCCTCTGTCGTCCCCTTCTCCTTGTGCCTTCCATCTTTCCCAACATCAGGGTCTTTTCCAGGGTGTCTTCTCTTCTCATGAGGTGGCCAAAGTCTTGGAGCCTCAGCTTCAGGATCTGTCCTTCCAGTCAGCACTCGGGGCTGATTTCCTTCAGAATGGATAGGTTTGATCTTCTTGCAGTCCATGGGACTCTCAAGAGTCTCCTCCAGCACCAGAATTCAAAAGCATCCATTCTTCAGCGATCAGCCTTCTTTATGGTCCAGCTCTCACTTCCATACATCACTACTGGGAAAACCACAGCTTTAACTATACGGACCTTTGTTGGCAAGGTGATGTCTCTGCTTTTTAAGATGCTGTTGTGACCATGGATTCTCTAAATTAAGTTTCCACTTCACAAATAAAGAGGTTGCCACAGACGCCGTTCTCCACCTCGACATTTAATCCCCACAGCAACCCTGTGAGGTAGGTCAGGCTGAGAGAGGCAGTGACTGGCAGCCCCCAAGGGTCACCCCCCCGTGAGCTCCCAGTGAGCCGAGTGGGAGGATTTGAATCCATGTCTCTTGGGTCCAACACTCATTGGTGTCCAAACTTTTTTCAAAGAGGGCCAGAGTTGATGAAGTAAAGGGCCGTGGGGGCCGATCAAAGCTGTTGAGCTTCTTTTAGGACTGAAGGTGTTGAGGGTTTTTTTTTTTAGGATTTTAGCCCAGGAAATAAACTTCCACAGGGGCAGGATTAAACCGACTGGTGGGCCAGATTAGGCCCCCCAAAACGGACTTTGGACATAACCACTACGCTACCACCATCTCTCTCTTGTGGAAGAGAACTACTTTTGAGCGGCACATTAAACAACTGAAAGTCTGGAAGAATAAGAAATCAAGATAGCAAACTTTTTGTAGCAGAATGGAGATGCTTTACTGAATATTTACAGATAAACTGTAAACAGATAAAAACATTGGCAGGATTATTGTAATAACCTGCAGTTTCGTAAAGAAGATAAATAAATGAGCAAATTAAGTTAATTAGGAGATGCAGAAGATACTAAAAATAAATTTGAGGAACCGCAGAAAGAGGGGGAAGCAAGTCACCTTTTGAAATGTCAAAATGATTGTAAAATCAGTGAAATGTATAAACCTGAGAAACATAAATAAAAAATTCAAACAAAAACAACAACTGAAAGTCCGAACAGCATTGAAAGCTGCTGAACAGGAAAATATTTTTAGTGTCAGCCGCTCTCTGCAAGGTGCATGTTGACGGATTAATGTGCTGCGCACTAAGTACAGAACCATGTGTGCGCGCATTAGAGAAGAGAGCGTTCTTTTATTGCTCTGTTGGAAGAAACTCCGAGGGCTGTCTCATCGTCACGGGCTCCGTCCTGAGCCAGGACAACCTCTGCAAACATCCCCACCAAATTCCTGTCCAACTTTTTTCTCCCTTGCAAAAATAATAATTAAAAAGCGCCCCCGGGGAAGGAGATTCCACAGCCGCCTCCCTGCGTGAGTCAGCTTCGCTTGCTTTTGTAGCACCTGATTCCTGCTTGCGTAGGTTGATCTCTGGGCGTGCGAGGGGGGGCGCTTTTACTTGTGGGGGTTGTTTTGCCCCAATCTGGTTGGTGACAATGCTGGCTACCCATGTGAGCCAGCCTCTGACTCATCCTTGGCCTGCCGCGAGAATCTCTTGGCGGTCACACAGGGTAATAAAACTGTTGCATGCTCGTTCCCCTTGCTTCCTTTTGTGCAAGATGGGCGATTTTTCAGGAGAGATGGGGAAGGTGAGAACCGCCGGCCCCCCCTTAGTGAGTGACTCACTTCAGCAATAGGACAGGGCAGCCTGTTGACCTCTGGATAGGAAAGGATTGGAGCCAGAAAGTTTGTGATGGGAGGGCAAGTGTCCCGAGGGTGAAACTGGGGTAGCTCTCGTGAAAATTTCTTTGGGGAAGAGATTTTGATTTAAATCTGCATTTAAAAGCAAACCTGCCTAATCTGCAATTTCTGCAAAACGGGTATGTGACCCGAAGCACAGCCCTCCCTGGAAATCTGCATTTCTCTGAATTTTGCAGGGTAGTATCGAAAAATGCATATAACTAAGGTGGAATGTGGAAATAATGCAGGAAGAACGTGTTGAATTGGGCGTCGTCGCTTTGCAAAAGCGTGTCCGTTCGGCGAAATCACGTTCTGACGTGGGTTGTAGTGGAAATGTGAAACGAAAATGCATTGTATAAGGGGAAATGGCTTTGCAAAAAAATGTGTCTGTCGGGCAAAATTGCATCAGAAATGTGCGCGTTATGAGAAACTCACACTAAAGTGGTCAATTTGTAGAGTCGGAAGGGACCAAAGGAGTCATTCTAGCCCAGCCCCGTACAATGCTGATGAGTTTTTGTGAGGAGTTTAAAACAAAATCACAAACTGGTGTGGAGAACTGAACTTGAAATGAAAGACTGAAAGAAATTTGCAGGTGTCCTTCATCCCTAGCACACATTAACCTTTTCAGTCTGCCAGGAGGGTTTTCTTAAGATCGACCGATCTACAATACCTTGAGCCATGGAAGCTGTCCAAATTAATGTCATGTATGTTGGTTTGTTTTAGTGTGCTGGTTGTCCCCAGCATTGAGTTCGACAAATATTTTCTTTCTTTCTTTTTAAATATATTTTAAAATTTTATTAGTATTTTCCACACAACAACACAAAAAATATCGAAAAATAACAATACACAAAACACAAAAACCAACGTACAAAAAAACCCAAATCCATATCTTACAAATTAATAATATAAACGCTAAAAAGAAAAACACACTGACTTCCACCAATCCTACAACACCTCCTTTACCTCTCATTGTGTCTTCCTGTTTTCCTTATCATCTCTATCCTAGCATCTAGATATAAATCTAGATATAAATCTTTTCACCAGTAGGCGGGGAATTCCAAAGTTCCACACTAAGAGATCAATTCCGTACAAATGCAGAATGGAGGGAGGGAGCTGGCCTAGTAGGGGGAAGGTGATGGAAATAATAATAATAATAATAATAATAATAATAATAATAATAATTTATTATTTATACCCCGCCCATCTGGCTGGGCTTCCATCAAAGAGCCCCGGTGCTCTCTGAGCAAGGAAGCGCCCATAGTTTTGCCCGCCAGATGTCCCCCTCCACCCTCTGGCTCTGATGTGCTGGCGCCGTGGCAGCCAGAGACTGATTCGATCTCGGTGCCTGGTGACCTAACCGTTGTACGGTTGATGAGGATCCCCTGGGAAGGGGATGCGAGCGAGAGACTCGGAGGCCAGCAAAGCTCTTGCTGCTTGGACTCTGCCTTGACGCAGCGGGGGGAAGCGCTGAAGTCAGTGGTCCCTGCGTGAGATTGTCCTCACAGCCAGCTTTCAAAAGGGAGTTTTCTTATGCACGATTAAATCATAGGGACAGAAGATGCTGAGCTGGTTTTAAGGCGCATTCCTTTCTCCACCTATCCCAGAAGTCCATATGGTCTCGCAATAGCCAACGCAGCACCCTCAGAGAGCCTTGTACTCCAGCGCTGGGCAGGCAGCGGCGCTCAGTGGTTAGGGACGATACGAGTTGCCGCCAAGCCAGACCTGTGGGGCCACTTCCGATTTATTGAAAATATTTTACCCCGCTTTTTAACCTTGTTTTGGAGAAAACAATCCCAGGATTACCAAAGATCAGTGGTAAGAACATCCCGAAACCTGGATGTCCTGATATACCTCATCTGGGTGCAAATAGGCATTTTTGGATCTGAATGGGTGGGTATTTGCCTCTAATGCTAGTTCTTCACAGAGAAAAACTATGGATGTTTATTACATGACTACCAATGACTGCCAACCACAATGGCTATGTTTTCCCTTGAAGGTCTGATTTTTAAAAATATTATTATTACAGTGGTACCTTGGTTTACGAACTTAATCCGTTCCGGAAGTCCGTTCTTAAACCAAAGCGTTCTTAAACCAAGGCGTGCTTTCCCATAGCAGCGGGGGACTCAATTTACAACACACTCAACAGGAAGTGAAATGTGTTCTTAAACCAAGGCAAAGTTCACAAATCGAAACACCTACTTCTGGGTTTGCAGCTTTTTTCTTAATCCAAGTTGTTCATAAACTAAGTTGTTCTTAAACCAAGGTACCACTGTATTATTAATTAGATTCAGCAGTGAGTGCAAGACCTCCACAGCTTGCAGTGAACCTTCCTGTGTTCAGTGAAAGGATCCTCCTTGACTATAAAGCAATGGGGCATTAAAAGCAGGGATATTCCCATCATGCTTTGCTCAGGAACTTTCCTGGAGAGGCTGCCTGACTCAGCCGCCATCTTTCTGCCTCGCCCACAAACAGCAGCTCCCTGACCATCACTGCCTTGTTTTCCTTTCCAGGTTTCCCTTGGCTTCCATCTCCTTGACTCTCTCCGCGATGATGTTGACGGCCAGCCTCTGCCAAGCCGCTGAGAAGGTGAGTCAGTCTGCAACAATGGGCTTACTCACGAGCAAAGATCTTTTTTGCAAACATTAGCTACCTTCGCTTGGAGAAATCAATTCCCCAAGTGAAGGCGGTTAACCTTTGCAAAAGTTCTGGACGGAGAATAATAATAGGAGCTGGAGACTGACAGCATGAGAACTCAGAAAAGTGAGGACTAGCGGCTTGGAGTTTGGTAAGAATCTGCCTGCAATCTGATTGCATTAAGGATATCAGAGGAGCTCAGCTGGATCAGGCCAAGGGAACAAGTCCAGTATCCTGTTCCCAGAGTGGCCAACCAGAAGCGCACTAGCAGGACTAGCAACACTCTCCCCTCCTTGACTATGTCCAGTTCTCTTTTAAAGCCATCCAAGTTGGTGTCCTGCAGCAGTGAGTTCCATAGTTTAACTATGTGCTGGATGAAAAAGGTCTTTTTCATTTATCTGCCCTGAATCTTCCAGCGTTCATCTTCTTTGGATGTCCACAAGTTCTTTTTGCTCTTTTCAACACGAGGACTGCCTGAGTCACTCAGCCTCTGGATACAGGTTAAATGGCCTCCCAGCCCTCAGTTTTCCCCATCTATAAAATGGGCATAAGAAACAGCAGCGGGCGGATTCGGCTTGTTGAAATAGCGTTCTCTTTCCCTCCCTGCAAGAACAGGGGGCACACAAACACACACACAGTTTTATTATCTGCAAAACAAAATTTGTTATAGAGTTGTGTGCAGGCTTTTGCCGCATTAATAGAACTGTTATTTTTAACTTTCTTTGTTTTTCCTGCCTCTGTTGAAGCCAGAGCAAGGCAGCCAGGAAACTTAATGGTGGGCAGGAGCTAAAATAAACGGGCTCAAGGCCCCCTCACTCCACACTTTAGGGAAATCCTTTTTCAGTTATGGGAAAATCAAGACGCCGGCTATTTCTGGAAGGTTAAAAGGGAGATCTGTTGCGTCCGGAGGCCTAAACATTGGCCTCAATTGTAATCAAGGCTCTTATTTGTTCCACAATAATAAGAATAAAAGCTTGTTGTTGTTTAGTCGTTTAGTTGTGTCCGACTCTTCGTGACCCCATGGACCAGAGCACGCCAGGCACTCCTGTCTTCCACTGCCTCCCGCAGTTTGGTCAAACTCATGCTGGCAGCTTCGAGAACACCGCCCAACCATCTTGTCCTCTGTCGTCCCCTTCTCCTTCTCCATCTTTCCCCACATCAGGGTCTTTTCCAGGGAGTCTTCTCTTCTCAGGAGGTGGCCAAAGTATTGGAGCCTCAGCTTCAGGATCTGTCCTTCCAGTGAGCACTTAGGGCTGATTTCCTTCAGAATGGAGAGGTTTGTTCTTCTTTCAGTCCATGGGACTCTCAAGAGTCTCCTCCAGCACCAGAATTCAAAAGCATCAATTCTTCGGCGATCAGCCTTCTTTGTGGTCCAGCTCTCACTTCCATACATCACTACTGGAAAAACCATAGCTTTAACTATACAGACCTTTGTTGGCAAGGTGATGTCTCTACTTTTTAAGATGCTGTCTAGGTTTGTCATTGCTTTTCTCCCAAGAAGCAGGCGTCCTTTACTAATTTCGTGGCTGCTGTCACCATCTGCAGTGATCATGGAGCCCAAGAAAGTAAAATATCTCACTGCCTCCATTTCTTCCCCTTCTATTTGTCAGGAGGTGATGGGACCAGTGGCCATGATCTTCGTTTTTTTGATGTTGTGCTTCAAATCATAAAAGCTTACAAGCAAGCAAATCCTGAGCATTATCAGCCTTTAGCTTCATCCCCATAACCTGTGAAATGGACATATTCCAGACCTATCTGGACAACTCAGTTGTGGAGATCATGGCTGACGTAAGGAGCCCTGCACTTTTAACAGTGTGGGGAAAACATTCATGAATAAGAAATACTGAACTGAGCAATGCGTATCAGCGGTGGCTCCACCCCCTCGATCATTTTGCTAGCTCTTTTCTGAACCTACAATATCCTTTTTCAAGCGAGGCGACCAGTACAGTCCTCAAAATGCAGTCCTACCATCCATTTGTATAATAGCATTATGATAGTGGCAGTTTTGATTTCGATTCGTTTCCTAATGAACTCTAGCATGGAATCTGCCTTGTTCAGGTGTGGTTAAGAAAGTCAAGGGGCATCTTAGGAGCTTAATAATAATATTTATTATTTATACCCTGCCCATCTGGCTGGGCTTCCCCAGTGTGGGAAGCAGAGAGTAGGGAGTTAATGTGGGGCCGGTGTGGGGTTGGCCGGTGGAGCGAGCAGCCCCTAATATATACATACTTTCCGTAATATAAATATGGCAATCTTGATTAATGACCATCTAAAAACAGAATCCAAAGAGAATCTCGAGATTTGTTCCATCCTTTCATTTCCAATTTAACCTTTTAAATACATGTGCGTAATAAATCAACTCGTCCTTTTGAAAATTATTATTGTGGCCCACGCTTTCTGCCAGGCAGCTGATAAACGTTGGCGTGACTTTGGGATCCATCAGCAAGCTCCCAACCAAGTCTTTATCCTTCGGATTAACTGTATCTTTAAAAAGTCCAAGGAATATAGCATCTGGTTCGAAGGATATTCTATATATCCTATAATTCTGTCCCCCACCCCACTCCCAAAATTGGTTTTTTTTCCCTTTTCTACAACAGGAATGAGGGACATCTGTGACCCTCCAGGTGGGAGCTGGAATCCAGCAAAATCTGGAGATGGCCAGGCTGAAGGGGGGAGATGTATATGCAAGCCATGGGTGCGGATTATGAGCCCTCCAGATGTTTCTGGATTCCAGCCCTTAGCAAGCCAGTGGGGGCCGGCCGGGGTCAAGGGTGATGGGAACTGTAGCGCAGCAACATCTGGAGGGTGCTAGCACTTAAATAACACAGGGGCCGTCCAGAGAGAGAATAAATCCCGATAACACTTTGGAGAGGGAAACTGAACAAAAACAGCGTATGATTCGAATCGAACGAAACAGAGAGGTTTTGTCCCCCTGCTCTGTGGCGCTTTTCCTCCTCCTCTGCACGTGCAGAAGTGCAGAACGGGCAAAGCTTTCCCCAAACTGACTCTCCAGGGACGTTTGCCGGCGGCCGGATTTGTTGCTCGCGAAATAAGGCCGCCTTTTTCAGAAGGGGGACAAAGCGAGAGGTTGTTCAAATGAAAGACCCTTCTCTCCGGTCGGCGTGAAAAGAAGCATCTCAGTTTATTTCTCTCTGGGTCGTATGCGCTTCGTCAGCTTGGACCCGTGTGCGTTGAGCATCTGGGCTCAATTTTCTAGATGTTGATTTTGTAACTTTAGACGGAGACCCTGGAAGGCGGTGGTTTGGGGTGTTGCATCACGGACGAAATGGAAAGCAGGGAAAAGTAGCCCCCAAAGGCCTTTCTGATGAGTATCGCTGGTGGAATCAGAAGGGGGAATTATTCTAGCCAGAGGTGGAAACTCCTTCCTCCTTGTGCTTGGGGTCAATCATCACCTCTTAATTTTTTATTTTATTTTTTTACATAGGAAATTACTATCTGTACAACAAACCTGTAAGGTAGACTGTTGATATTCTGGTTTTTACAGACACAGGCTCACAGCTGAGAGATAACCCTACTTGGGGACTTCCCTGGCTTTTTTCTGGCCCATGTAGGACCAGTCTGGATAGTTAGCCTTGGTGAAGACTTGACGTTTTCATCCCCAAAAAAGTTTTTGCGTTTCTGCTGAAATGAGGCTGCATTTTAATGCTGTATTTTAATCTTGTTTTTAAGTTGTATTTCAATCAATCTGTTTTATATTTGGTTAGCCTGGTCTTGGCTGGGGAGGGCGGGGTATAAATAAAATGTATTATTATTAATATTATTATTATTATTAAACAGCCTGCCGTCTTTGTAGGTCTGAGGCAGAGCGCCTGTTTGGCATGCAGAATGTATCGGGAAGTTTTTAATGCACGATGTTTTATTATGTTTTTATATTTTGCTGTAAGCCGCCCAGAGTGGCTGGGGAAACCCAGCCAGATGGGTGGGGTATAGATAATGAAATTATTATTTTTATTAGTAACGTTCCTGGTAGTCATCCCTGTAAACTCCAGTTAGAATTATCTCAGGTAGCCAATGATTCCCTGTTTATTTCATTAAACTGTGGAACTGACTCCTGCAGGACAGTGACGGATGCCAATGTGGTTGGCTTTAAAAAAAGAGGGTACGAATTCATAGAGGAGGAGAAGCCTATTAATGGCTGCTAGCCATTGATAGCCTTCTTGACTCCCTCTCTAAAAACCAGCTTCTGGTTCAGCGTGCAGCCTCAGTTTCCCATTTCTTACAACCAGTTTGGGTGGAGCTGGCCCTGCCTCTCAGCTTCCTCCTCAATCTCAGTGTCGCCCCTTGCAGAACTCAGCAGAGAGCAGGATGGGAACAAAGACTTAGAATCACAGAACCACAGTCGGGTGGGACCCCGTGGGATCATCTAGTCCAACCCCAGGCAACGCTGTAAAGAACCCTCGAAAAACGGCCACCCAACCTCTGATTAAATGCCTCCAAGTGAAGGAAAGTCCATCACCTTCCAAGGAAGTCCGTTCCCCTGTCTGTCTTTTCTTCGCCTGGCTAAACATACTCAACTCCCTCAAAAATCAAAATTACTTGACTCTGACTGTCATTAGTTGTGGTGCCCCCTAACTGTTGGGCTCATCAACTTTTGCCCTCTCCCCAGTCCTGACGGGCAGCAGCCACCCCTGCAAGAGCCTGATTGGTCCATCTGAACCTCCACATTCAGAGAAAGTCTACCTCTGAAAACCAATTGTGGCGGCAATAATAATAGTAATAATAATAATAATAAAAAAATTCATTTATACCCTGCCAGAGCCGGGCTTAGGGCGGCTAACACCAGTAAAATGACAATAGAAACATAATGGGGGGGACCCAATTTAAAATACAGGTTAAAATGCAATTTAAAATGCAGCCTCATTTTAAAAGTAGCCCATAGATCAAAACCGTAAGGGGAGGGAAAAACGTAAGGGTTAGACTGAGTCCAAACCAAAGGCCAGGCGGAACAGCTCTGTCTTGCAGGCCCTGCGGAAAGATGTCAAGTCCCTCAGGGCCCTGGTCTCTTGTGACAGAGCATTCCACCAAGTCGGGGCCAGTACTGAAAAGGCCCTGGCTCTAGTTGAGACCAATCTAACCTCCTTGCGATTTGGGACCTCCAAAGTGTTGTCATTTGTGGACCTTAAGGTCCTCCGCGGGGCATACCAGGAGAGGAGGTCCCGTGGGTCCTAGGGCTTTAAAAGTCAAAACCAGCACCTTAAACCTGACCCTGTGCTCCACCGGCAAATAACCCACAATCCTTTTGAGTGCCTTTTAGAGCAAAAGCACCCCAGGTTCCCTTTCGCCCGACGGACTGGTGCCTCTGTTATCTTCCGCCCCAGCGCTATCTCTCCCTGTGACCTGGTCCCCTGCCCCACACTGCCAAGGATTTGGGTTATAGAGCACACCAGCCTTTGCACATTATTAATAATTTCCTTTTTTGGCTGAAAAATGTGCCCTGTCCAGACCTCTCCAGCTCTGTGCATCCGCGACGCCCTCGCCCAGCGAGGGAGGAAACCAGCTGCCCGGTCAGACGGTCAGCAGCTGGGAAGGATCTCCTGGCACCCAGGACAGTTCTTTCTGTGTCTGTTTGGAAAAAGGAGGAAATAATTCTGGCAAGCGGGTAGCCAATTTGGATCGGGAAAAGGCAGAGACCCTTTCCCCTCCTCCCCAGCAAGGCGAAAGTTATAGGAACATGATTAGGGTTTTTTTTTACAGAGTGGTGTTGTGCAATGGTTAGAGCACTGGATTTGGACCTGAGGGAGATCACTTGGCTAGAACAACAACAACAACAACAACAACAACAACAACTTACTTCTACCCTGCCCATCTGGCCGGGCCTCCCCAGCCACTCTGGGCGGCTTCCAACAAAATATTAAAATACAGTAATGCATTAAACGCTTCCCTAAACAGGGCTGCCTTCAGATGTCTTCTGAAAGTCTGGTAGTTGATTTTTAAAGGTGCAGTGGTACCTCGGGTTACATACGCTTCAGATTACATACGCTTCAGGTTACAGACTCCGCTAACCCAGAAATAGTGCTTCAGGTTAAGAACTTTGCTTCAGGATGAGAACAGAAATCGTGCTCCAGCGGCGCGGCAGCAGCAGGAGGCCCCATTAGCTAAAGTGGTGCTTCAGGTTAAGAACAGTTTCAGGTTAAGAACGGACCTCTGGAACGAATTAAGTACTTAACCTGAGTTACCACTGTAAAAGTAAGCGTGATTTTAAAAAAAGGTTAAAAATTATGATATATGTAAACTGCTAAAGATGAGGTAAAATGAAAATCAGATAGGGGGGACTTGGGGAAGCTCACCTAACAATGTTTAGAAAAATAAGGATAAGACAAGAATTTGTTTGCATTTTTTTTCTGTTTGTGTTGTTTAGTTGTGTTATAAAATCAATAAAAAAATTTTTTGGGAGGAACAACAACTTATGGTAAACTGCCATTCTTCTCTGGCAGGGCCTTTTTTTCCATCTCGGGCTCTTCTTCCATACGTGGAGAAGGAACGATGGGTGGCAAAGGGTGGCGGGTTCCGGTCCCGGCAAGGACCACCCCACTGACGATGTCTCCCTGCTTCTTCCACCCTCAGGTCCCCCGCAGGAGACCTCGCCAGGCCACTGAGGACGACGGCCCCGGGAGCCGGGTGCCCGGCCTGTGGAGTGCCTGGGCATCGTGGTCAGCCTGCTCGCAGCCCTGCGGCCTGGGGGTGATGGAAAGGACTCGTGCGTGCCAGTCCCCGTACCAGCGAGTCCCCTGGGCCGGCCGGCCGGAGCTGGCCCCGCAGCCGCTGTACCCTCCGCAGGCCCACGAGAACAGGCCCGCTAGCCCTTACCCGGGCCGGCCATCCTACCCTCTCCACACCGAGGGCAGTGCCAGGCCGGGTCTGCCCTTCCGCGGCTCAGCCGTGACCCTCCACGGCCAGGCCCAGCCGCCTCGCACCCCACGCCTCGGACCCCAGAACCGCCACACGCGCCACCAGGCGCTCCCGGCCGAGGAACTGCCCTCACGAGACGCCGTCGCGCCCCAGCATGGCCGCCGGAGGGACCCTGCTCCCGCGCAGGAGGCTGGGGTCCACCCGCCGAGGCCTCGGGGGAACCAGGAATCTCGCCGGAACCCCAACCAGCCCTTCAGGCACAGCGCAGCTGCCCGGACAACCGTTCGGGACGCCATCCCCTTGTTCAAACCCCTGAGGAGGGACAGCCCTGAGGCGGGCTTGAGCCCTGACCGGCCACGCCACGGTGGTCAAGGGGACGGTGACCGCCGCAGCTGGGCTGCTTCTCCTACGCCGGAGTCGCCGGCAGCCCGGAGGTGAGTTTAGGGTCTGGTTTAGGGTGGGTCTGGACCCTGATTAAAACAAAATACAGTGGTGCCTCGCAAGACGAAAAGAATCCGTTCCGCGAGTCTCTTCGTCTTGCGGTTTTTTCGTCTTGCGAAGCAAGCCCATTAGCGGTTTAGCGGATTAGCGCTATTAGCGGGCTTAGCGGATCAGCTGATAAGCGGCTTAGTGGCTTAACGGATCAGCTGATAAGCGGCTTAGCGGCTTGGGAAAAAGGGGGGGGGGGAGGAAAAAACCCCCGCAGGAACTCGCAAGACATTTTCGTCTTGCGAAGCAAGCCCATAGGAAATTCGTTTTGCGAAGCACCTCCAAAACGGAAAACCCTTTCGTCTAGCGGGTTTTCCGTCTTGCGAGGCATTCGTCTTGCGGGGCACCACTGTACAAGGCTTGGCCAGCAAGACTTTGGGAGGAAGTGCGGATCATAATCTGTCACACCCTGGCCCAGGTCCCTTTTATTACCGTCTTTTTCGCCCTATAGGACGCACTTTTTCCCCTCCAAAAATGAAGGGGAAATGTGTGTGCGTCGTATAGGGCGAATGCAGGCTTTCGCTGAAGCCTGGAGAGCGAGAGGCGTCGGTGCGCACCGATCCCTCTTGCTCTCCAGGCTTCACGAAGCTATCCGCAAGCCTCGCGCGCCTGGCGGGAGGTCCTGCCGGGTGCACGAGGCTTGGGGCGGCAGCCTGCAGCCCGAAGCACGGGGCGAGCTGCGGAGCCCACCCCCTGCTTCGGGCAGATGTCGGCAAGCCTCTAGCGCCCTGCAGGAGGTCCCGCCGGGCGCGCAAGGCTTGGGACGGCAGCCTGTTCTGGGGGCTGGGGTCGGGGGAAGCTCAGGCTTCCCCTGCGCCAGCCCCCGCTCCTGGGGGGGAAATAATTTTTTTCCCCTTTATTTCCCCCCAAAAAACAAAACTAGGTGCGTCCTATGGGGCGGTGCGTCCTATGGGGTGAAAAATACGGTAACAAAAGAACTTTTAACACAGCGTTTGTAGGAACCAATCAGATTTCCTCTGAGCATTTCAAAAAATCCACCACGTGGGGACCAGTTACCGTATTTTTCGCTCCATAAGACTCACCTGACCATAAGACGCACCTAGTTTTTGGAGGGGAAATGCAAGGAAAAAAAATATTCTTTAAAGGGAGCGCAGAGCAAGGCCTGTATGCATCAGCAAATATGATGTCCAACACTGAACAGTGATTCCGGGTATTTGGAATGAATGTATATAAATGAAAATATCAAATGCTGTGGAACAGTGCTCATGTAATAATGTAGTCACATAAGATGGGTTTATGAAGCAATTCTGTATCCTCCCACCACTCTGACAAAGAATTCTACGAAACAGTAGTCAATATCCGAAATCACTGTTCAGTGTTGGACATTAGCTGAATACACAAAGCTTCACAGCTTGTCTTTCATCGTACAAAGTCTGGTACCTCGCTTCATTTAAAGATTTTCAGAGACTTTGAGACTAAAGATTTCATGTTGTACTTACTATGGTCTGAATGAATTCTCTAAAGATTGCCTATTGCGTATGTACACGGCCATCATGTTGCCTAGACATTGCTGACGTTCTCTTTGGAACACAGGGCTTTGTTTGGTTTCAAATTCACATTGTGGCACTTTGCCCCCTCAGGTCCCGGGTTCGAGAGGCGATCAAGCCAGGCAAGTACGGCTACGGGAAGCTGCCGTTCGCCTTGCCCCTCCACACAGACGTGGCCGAGGGAGCCCAGCCCCGATTCAAGAGGCACCACGGAAGCAGAGGCGGGGAGCCCCCGTCCCCGCCTCCCCCTCCTCCTCCCCCACCTGCGAAAAAACAGAGGCGCAAAGCTGTCCGCTCTTCCTCCCGCGAGGAAGAGGAGCAGGAGGAAACTGGCCGGGAGAAGAGGCCCCTGAGCTCCAGGGCCGAACCCAGGACCCCCCTGAAGCCAAAACAGCCTCTGCTGGCGGACGCTGCTGCCCAGCCCCACACACAGGCTGGTGAGGGGGTGAAGAGCCATTTGGGGCACAGCCACTCAGAGGTTCATGGGCATATGGCAAACGGAGGGGGCACGGCGGACACAGAGCAGCCCACCGAACCGGGTACGGCCACGCCGCAGAAGAGCGAATCTTCGGGGGAAGCAGAGCATCGTGGGAACGCAGCAGCAACCTCTCCAGGGTCGCACGGCAAGGCTCACCAGCCAGGGGGTGCCATAGCACCTTCAGGGAACCAGCATCTCCCAGAATCCTCTGCAGGGCCCCACGAGAAGCATCTCCCAGAATCCTCTGCAGGGCCCCACGAGAAGCATCTCCCAGAATCCTCTGCAAGGCCCCACGAGGAGCGTCTCCCAGAATCCTCTGCAAGGCCCCACGAGAAGCATCTCCCAGAATCCTCTGCAAGGCCCCACGAGAAGCATCTCCCAGAATTCTCTGCAAGGCCCCACGAGGCGCGTCACTCAGAATCCTCTGCAAGGCCCCATGAGAAGCAGCTCCCAGAATCCTCTGCAAGGTCTCACAAGGAGCGTCTCCCAGAATCCCCTGCAAGGTCTCACGAGGAGCGTCTCCCAGAATCCTCTGCAAGGTCTCACGAGGAGCGTCTCCCAGAATCCCCTGCAAGGTCCCACGAGACGCCTGAAGTGGCAGAGAGTTCCACGGGCGGCTCGATCCCCACGTCGGACGGCGGTGGAGAGGGAGGCGGCCACCCCACAGCGGCCATGACGCATTCCTCCTCTCAGAGGCCCTCCGTGGCTGGCAGCCCCCTTCCCCATGCGCAGGGGGAGCTGCGGCTGACCCACCACGTCCTCAGAAACAACGGCTCCGCTGCCAAGAGGAAGGGGCCTGGGGTGGGCAAGAGCCACCGGGCCACGCCGGAGCCGCCCCGCCGCCCGGAGAGCAGCTCCGTGGCGCAGCCTGATGGGGCGGGACACGCGAACCGCCCGCCCCATGGGCAATCCCGGTCGCGGAACCAGAGGCAGAATGAGCACCAGGCGGGCGGCCAGGGCAGACGGCCTTCGCACAGCCTCTTTGTGGACCAGCCCGTGGCTCCTCGTCCTGCGGAGCCGGACATTTGGCTGCTGCACCGGGGCAACCCTGTTCAGTTCCACGCCGGGGGGCAGCCGGGAGGGGTGCGCCCGGGTGGCGAAGTGCCGCAGTGGAACCTCTACTATCCTGGCACCGAGACCTTCCACTGCGAAGGAGAGAGCAAGCAGTTCAAGGCTTGCAGGCAAGAGGTAAGAGATCGGGGTGGGGTTTTTCCGCCCTATAGCAGGGGCTCCCTAATTGTGGTCCACCGGTGGCCTGTGTGCTTCATTTTAATGTATTTTTAATCTTTGTTGGAGACGCGGGTGGCGCTGTGGGTTAAACCACAGAGCCTAGGGCTTTCCGATCAGAAGGTCGGTGGTTCAAATTCCCGCAACGGGGTGAGCTCCCGTTGCTCGGTCCCAGCTCCTGCCAACCTAGCAGTTCGAAAGCACGTCAAAGTGCAAGTAGATAAATAGGTACCGCTCTGGCGGGAAGGTAAACAGCATTTCTGTGTGCTGCTCTGGTTCGCCAGAAGCGGCTTAGTCATGCTGGCCACATGACCCGGAAGCTGTACACCAGCTCCCTCGGCCAATAAAGCGAGATGAGCGCCGCAGCCCCAGAGTCGGCCACGACTGGACCTAATGGTCAGGGGTCCCTACCTTTAATCTTTGTTGGAAGCCGCCCAGAGTGGCTGGAGAAACCCAGCCAGATGGGCGGGGTACAAATAAATTATTATTATTATTATTATTATTATTATTATTATTATTATTATTTGGGTGGCCTTTGACATGCCTGAAGAACAGGGCAGCAGTAGCTGTGAGCAGGGGCTGCTCCATTCTTCTCAAATTGTTTTGTCCACCCAGAAAGTGAGCAGCAATGGAGCAGAAGCAACAGATGTAGGAGCTGTTTGAAAGGAGTGGAGAGGATCAGCAGTGTAGACGGGAGGCGAGAATGAAAGGAGTTTAATTTTAATTCACCGATGCATATTTCTTGCATTGCGCTTTGCCATATTGCAGTTTGAATTCCTCAGACTTCAAATTGCGGTACAGTGGTACCTCGGATTTCCGAACGTAATCCGCTTCGGAAGACCGTTCGAGTTCCGAAACGTTCGAAAACCAAAAACTCAACACGGAAGCTGTGTGGCATGTTCAACTTCTGAGGCGTGTTCGAAAACCGAAGCGTTAATAATAATAATAATAATAATAATATTTATACCCCACCCATCTGGCTGGGCTTCCCCAGCCACTCTGGGCGGCTTCCAACAAAATATTAAAATACAGTAATGCATCAAACATTAAAAGCTTCCCTAAACAAGGCTGCCTTCAGATGTCTTCTAAAAGTCTGGTAGTTGTTGTTCTCTTTGACATTTGGTGGGAGGACGTTCCACAGGGCGGGCGCTACCACCGAGAAGGCCCTCTGCCTGGTTCCCTGCAACCTCACTTCTCGCAGTGAGGGAACCGCAGAAGGCCCTCGGAGCTGGACCTCAGCGTCTGGGCAGAATGGTGGGGGTGGTTTACTTCTGGGTTTATGGCATTAGAAAACCAAAATGCTCATTGATGTTCGGAAACCGAGGTACCACTGTAAACAAAAGTACGATATCCAGGAAGCAATAAAAATGCAACCCCAAATTGCACAGCGTCTAGCGCAGCGCATTGCGATCGGTACAAGAGGCAGGGGGGAAAAATCATTAAGTGGTCTGCCAAGACTCGTTTTATCATTCTTACAGTCTGGTGGCGTACCCAAAAATTTAGCAGAATGGGCCGGAAGTAGCAGGGGTGAAGAGACACTTGAAAGGCGTGGAGGGGGGTTAGCAGCAAAATTAACGGGAGGCTAGAAGTAAGGAGTTTAATTTTAATGTATAGATATTCCTCCTATTGCATTTTACTCTGTTAGTTGTGTTTTACTGCAAAACAGCCCTGATTCAACTAATTGGGCTCCTTACATCCCGAGTTCAGAAGCTTGTGCTCAAACTGTTGTTTATTTGCTGATGATGAGGGCCTACCCAGCACACATTTAAAGCACGCTTTCCATCCCCAAAGAACCCTGGGAACTGTAGTTCGCAAAGGGTGCTGGGGATTGCGGCTCTGGGGGGAACTACAGTTCCCAGTATTCTTTAGGGAGGGTGTTTGAAATGTATGGGGTGTACGTACACAGCCTAAGACTTTCAGAAGCGTACGGTTCAGTCTCCTGTTTTTTACTTGTCTTGTAAACAAAGAGTTTTCGAACAGTGATGGGAAACAGACTTCTTTGTTCAGAGAGATGGCTCTGGCGAATTCTTAGGGACTAGAGCCATGGGCGTTTTGCGTGGCTGCTTCCAAGCTTTCCTGTTTGGCCCGTTGGGACCAGACAAACAGCTGCCTTCAAGTTGGGGGGGATTATTTGTGGAAGAGGAAGGCTGCCCGTGAACAAGTACAACTTGGAATTAAACAGACTTGGGCCCTTTCCTCTTTAACTCTGCTGGATCCTACTCCTAACTTTGAGCAATTCTGGAAGGCCTAGTGGTTAGAGCAAGGAGTGTGTGTGTGATGATCTTTCAGAGATGACCTGTGGCTGGAGGCAAACGATTATTTTTTTAAGAGATCCAGAGGGGCATCATTTGCTAGATTTTTCTCATTTTCTTTTCAGCTGCTCTTGACTCCGGTCAAACAGATCCAGCAGGTTTTGGAATCTACACAAAAGCCTACACAACCTGTTTATCCACACACAGCAAACCCCTCTTTTAAACCACTTTTAATGCACTGGGAGGAGGCGGAAAGGGAATGTTTCTCCCCAATCCTATATGACCTCTCTGGGCGTCCAGCTTCTCTGTAGATAATGCTTCTATTGTTACCGGCCCTTTGAAGTGAGCAGGAGATAAACTCGTGATTGAATTTCCTGCTTAATTTCCCAAACCTCCTTTATCGTTAGTACGAGGGCAGCGTTTTTGTGTTTTTTACGATGGGTGGGAAACCAAACACCAAAAACGTCCACATTTTCAAAGACTGTTTGGACAACAGCCATTAATGAATTTGCTCTTAGAAAAGGTTATTAGGATGCATTGACCTGATAAAACCGGTTTCAAGGGTCTTAATTTCCTTTCTCCCCTCCCGACAATAATCAGAGCGGGCTTGCGGCTTGGAGGATGCGAGTTCGAATCCCTGCTTTGATCGCGAAACTTATGGGATGCCCTGGGGCCTGCTTTTCTCTCTGTCTGTTTCTTTCTCTCTTTGACCTACCCTGCAAGGTTGTTACACGGATGAAAGACGGTCTCATTTTGTGTGTGTCCCTCAGAGGCTAAAATCCAACACATTTCTACTCAGAGAAGACCCACTGGAATCAATGGGCCTGCGTTAGCCATGTCCATCAATTTTAATGGGTCTACGCTGAGTAACGTGGGATATAACACAATGTAAGGGCTGCACAAAAATGTGTCAAATTACATCCTTTCTCCGACCTGGGAAGTAAGAATTTCTGCTATATTGAAAGTTCACATTTTTAAAATCCCGGAATAATCTGACTCTCTCTCTCTCTCTCTGCCCACCTGGCCTTCCCCCTTTTCCTTCCGCAGCCGTGCCCGCCCGATCGACCTGATCCTCGGGCCGTCCAGTGTGCGGCATACAACAACCAGGAGTTCATGGGACGCCTGTACCAGTGGGAGCCCTTCACGGACGGTAAGAGTCCCACCTCTCCAAATTTTAAGGTTGCCCCAAACCTATTTTCAAATTAGGAGTGACTGCCCCAGCTGTTGGTCTGCTGCCTTTGACAGCTGGCCATACATCTTGTGTCAGTGAGTTCCGCAGTTGACCCGCAGTGCATGAAGACATGCTTCCAGCTGCTCAATGCTATGTTGCTATGGTTTGCATGGTCCAGAGAAGGCAGGGCAGGAGCAGGAGCAGAAAGCTGGCGTGTTGTGTTGTGTTGTTGTGTTGTGTTGGTGCTGACCTTTAAAGCCCTAAACGGCCTCGGTCCAGTATACCTGAAGGAGCGTCTCCACCCCCATCGTTCTGCCCGGACACTGAGATCCAGCGCTGAGGGCCTTCTGGCGGTTCCCTCATTGCAAGAAGTGAAGTCACAGGGAACCAGGCAGAGGGCCTTCTCGGTGGTGGTGCCCGCCCTGTGAAACGCCCTCCCATCAGATCTCAAGGAAATAAGCAGCTATCTTATTTTTAAAAGACATCTGAAGGCAGCCCTGTTTAGGGAAGTTTTTAATATTTAATGCTGTATTGTTTTTAACACTCGATTGGGAGCTGACCAGAGTGGCTGGGGAAACTCAGCCAGGTGGGTGGGGTATTAATAATAATAATAATAAAAATTATTATTATTATTATTCTGTGATCTCAATATGAATGATGAAAAGAAAAAAGCAGATTGGCCTCGTCTTGTCTTCTACATCACTTCTGATTCTTACCAGTCAGGGGAAAGGATCAGGAGATGGGCAGAGCCCTTGCCTCGACTTTCCCCACCGAAATGAGCTGTGTAACAGTCTTGTGTTATAACTGGGGGAAGATTATTTGTGGTGCAGGAGAGAGAAAACCCCAGAAACAATTTCAATGATTTTTTTGGTCATCTTGTAAGTCTCGCTTCTGAGATATTCTGTGTCCAGGGCAGCTGTTTACCAGCTCCATCTGGTACGCAGGATGAGACCCTCCCTGCCCGCAGACTGTCTCGCCAGAGTGGTGCATGCTCTGGTTATCTCCCGCTTGGATTACTGCAATGCACTCTACGTGGGGCTACCTTTGAAGGTGACCTGGAAACTGCAATTAATCCAGAATGTGGCAGCTAGACTGGTGACTGGGAGCGGCTGCTGAGACCACATAACACTGGTCTTGAAAGACCTACATTGGCTCCCAGTACGTTTCCGAGCACAATTCAAAGTGTTGGTGCTGACCTTTAAATCCCTAAATGGCCTTGGTCCAGTAGACCTGAAGGAGCGTCTCCACCCCCATCGTTCTGCCCGGACGCTGAGGTCCAGCGCCGAGGGCCTTTTGGTGGTTCCCTCCCTGCGAGAAGCATAGCTACAGGGAACCAGGCAAAGGGCCTTCTCGGTAGTGGCGCCCTCCCTGTGGAACGCCCTCCCACCAGATGTCAAAGAGAACAACAACTACCAAACTTTTAGAAGACATCTGAAGGTAGCCCTGTTTAGGGAAGCTTTGAATGTTTAATAGGTTATTGTATTTTAGTGTTGTTGGAAGCCAGCCAGAGTGGCTGGGGAAACCCAGCCAGATGGGTGGGGTATAAATAATAAATTATTATTATTATTGTATTGGCCTGGCTTAGATCCAGCATCCGATGTCCCCGGATCAGACACACCGTACCCTTTCGCATGTGCCTTTGCGGCCTTGAGGACTAGCGGCTTGCTCTCAAAGCAGAAACAGCTTCTTTGAGAAGCTGAGTTGCTGTGTTGTTGCACAGATGGGTACCCCACACCTTTTAGCATATGACGGGGGCCTTTTCTCTCTGGGGTTTTGGCTTCGTCCAAGCCGCCCTCTCCTTAGCGGACAGCTGGCCTCTGCCTTCTCCAGCTCGCTACGGCAAGCAGATCTTGGCTCTGCCAGTCGGGTGGGATGCCAGACATCCCTGGCAATCTCGAAGCGCAATCTCGAAGGTTTGTACGCTGCCCGCCTGTGACTTTTCTCCCCGTCTGCCCTCTGCAAACAGCAGCTGAGCTCTCCAGCAATCTCAGGGAGGGAGCTGGGGGGGGGTAGGGAGTGTTTCTTCCCCTCTTTCTCAGCCCCCCCCCCTATTATTGCAATGAACAATTTATACCAGCATGGGGCCAGTGGGTATTTGTCACTTACATAAGCAGATTTGGAGGGGTCACCGCAAGGACAGCGCGGCTTAGGGAAAAGAGCTGGAGCTCAGGCGATGCCAGGCTTGGGAGCGGCCAAGCTTGCAACTCCTTGAAACTGGGGACTGAGGATTATTATTATTATTATTATTATTATTATTATTATTATTTTAAAAAGGCCACACTCTTTCCATTCTGCCCAGAAGGGTCTCTCGGGTTTCCAGACCCGCTTTCTGCAAAACCCTCCCGCTTAAGCTGTGTTCCTTGTGGGCCTGCGGAACTCCTTGCCACAGGACGCTGCAAGGGCGGTGAAAGGCCGGGTGCTGCTGTTTTCCTGCATTGCTGCAGAGGACGCTGCACCGGTGGGATTTCTGCCTTTCGGGGAAGGTGTGCGGGAACCGGTTTGGAAAGTGAGGCGGGCGGGGAGGGGGAAGGGGACGGCAAACGGCCACCCCCTCATTTCCCACGTGTGTCATTTTTTGAGCTGATCTCATTGGTGGCCCGGGGCCAAAATCTGTATTTATGCTGGGAGATTTAAGGCCTCTCTTCTGGCTTGGAACGGAGTGGGGTTTTGTGTGTGTGTATGAGAGCGAAATTTAATTATTGCCAAGGATTATATATGATATCTTATCTCTTCCACCCATCGCACCCATGAAACTGCTTTATCCCTGGGGTCTTCGCCCTCCAACCGTGCCCCAAATATTTGTGGGCGATTTGTGGCATGGACAGAATGCCAGCACCCTCTGCTGGCCAGCTGTGGAGAAGACTGCAGTTGTGTCCGTTTCCCTTTTTCCAAAAATACACAACTTGTCAGATCAAAGTACATATTGTGGTTTTGTTTTGGTTTTTTGCCGCAAACAGTTCTCTCCCAGCTCGAGGGAACACAGTGCTCTGCCCCTTCCCTCACGTCCTCCTCCTCCTGGGAGGACAGCGTCAGAAAAGGAGCACTCTTGACATGCTCAGAGTCACACTTCTGAGAAGGCTGATCCTGGAATGGGCATCTGTCTGTCTCCAAAGACCCCTCTGCTTTTAATGTCTTCAGGAAGAGTCTTAATCTTAGCCATGGCATCTGCTTTCTCAGCCTTGGAATTCCTCATGACGATAATACGAAACAAGATAACTCTGGAGCATGTGCAGAGTGCGTTTCCCTCTCCCTGGTTAGCTACACTATGGGACGCAGTGATGCTCTGAGTCCAGCTTGAGGTTATGGCCTCCAGTCCAACGTGTGACCCCCAAGACCGCTATCATCAGTATTAGCCTTTTGGTTCTGGGATTCATAGAATTGCAGCCTTTGAAGGGACCTAAAGGGTCATCCAGCCTGACCCCCCCGGCATAATCTCTGAGACTCTGGCATAATCCGAGCCCTTTATCTTTCTGACTATGCTTTGGGCGGGGGCTCCTTCAGTCTCGGTTAGAAAGAGATGGTACAAAGCTGCGCAGCTCGTTTTCCAGGCAAGGCAAATGGCATCTGAGCATGTACAGAGTGCATTTGATTGCAATCTCCTCTCACATGCTGTCAGTAGGTCTTTCTGGGCCTCCAAACCTCTCTCTCTCTGTCTTTCGAAAGAGAGCCATTGCCTCTTTTGCCTGCAGCCTGAAACTTAAATCCCATGCAAGCTTCCAATGAGCTTAAATATTCTTAAATAAACAAGGGGGGAGTCTCCAGACAGAGCCGTCTCGACCTCCTTCCTCCCCTCTGCCGGCCTTCTTTGTTGATTTCCAGAGCCAATATTTATGTTTTTAAGCACTTCGGGACGGGGCAGGGCTGGCGGCGGCGATGGGGGAGACTTTGCACAAAAAGGCGCTTTGTTCTTTGCTTCCTTCGTTCAGCACAGCCCTGGCCGGCCGGGACAGAGGTCTCCCTGCTATAGCAAGGGAAGCCAGGAGGGGGCGCAATCGAGCCCTCACTTACCACCCAGGCCTTCGCTTGCCATTGCAGCCCTCACTTGCCAGCCTGGCCCGGCAACTTCTTTTTAAAAACAAAACCTGGACAATGTGAAAAACTTCTTCTTGTTGTTGTTTAGTCGTTTAGTCGTGTCCGACTCTTCGTGACCCCCTGGACCAGAGCACGCCAGGCACTCCTGTCTTCCACTGCCTCCCGCAGTTTGGTCAGACTCATGTTGGCACCTTCGAGAACACTGTCCCACCATCTCGTCCTCTGTCGTCCCCTTCTCCTTGGGCCCTCCATCTTTCCCAACATCAGGGTCTTTTCCAGGGAGTCTTCTCTTCTCAGGAGGTGGCCAAAGTCTTGGAGTCTCAGCTTCAGGATCTCTCCTTCCAGTGAGCACTCAGGGCTGATTTCCTTCAGAATGGAGAGGTTTGATCTTCTTGCAGTCCATGGGACTCTCCAGAGTCTCCTCCAGCACCTGAATTCAAAAGCATCAATTCTTTGGCGATCAGCCTTCTTTATGGTCTGGCTCTCACTTCCACACATCACTACTGGGAAAACCATGGCTTTAACTATACGGACATTTGTTGGCAAGGTGATGTCTCTGCTTTTTAAAATGCTGTCTAGGTTTGTCATTGCTTTTCTCCCAAGAAGCAGGCGTCTTTTAATTTCGTGGCTGCTGTCACCTTCTGCAGTGATCATGGAGCCCAAGAAAGTAAAACCTCTCACTGCAAAAAACTTACTGGCGGCCAAAAAAAAAGTGGGAAGGTTGAGGAGGCAGCCTTGGGACTGCATCTGGAAATGGGCTTTATGACAGAGGGAGGTTTTGCACCAAGTTCAAGGCGCTAGTCCTCATTTTTCATAGGAGGCACCTGCTAAAAGCTGTGTTGTTCCAGCAAAGCCTAAACAGGCACAGAGAACGATGAAATGTATTTCTTCCTTTTTTAAAAATAATCTTTATTAATTTAAATTACACACATATACAAAGAATTTACAATCTCGTACTACAAAAAGAAAATTATGGAAAAAGCAATTAAGAAAAAGAAAGAGAAGAAAATATAGAAAAAAGAAAGAAAGAAAAAAGCAGAAAAAGCAGATTTATGTGCATAAAAAAAATCTTCCTAAATAATACTTAAATAAACACTTAAATAAAAAAGACTTCTGACAAAAAGAGTCTTCCAATCATTCTCATTGTACTATTCATATTGTCGTTTTTTTCACACAGTTTTATATTCTTTAACAGTAGACGGGAAATGTATTTCAGTCAGGTTTTTAGCATATCACTGATTTCAACTATATTTTGAAGGTTTAAAATGGTTGTTTTTAACTGTCTTGTGATTTTGTTGTATACCTTTTGTAAACCACTTGGAGGGTCCCCGTCCCCCCCATATCTGAGCGGTATATAAATTTTATGAAACAAACAAAATAAATATGTTATGTCGCTCTCCTTAGGACGCGTCTACACCGAGGGCTTTTGCAACAGATTTGATAGGGGTTCTCCCGTTACTATTTGGAAAACTTGCAATTCTGCAAGCGGAGATTTTTAGAGATCTTGAACAGAGTATCTTTCACAGTTCCCACCAACCAATTGCTCAGCTATACAGTTGCAAATAAAACGTTTTAAATGTGTTTTAAGCGCAATATACAATGTGACACTAGGTGGCGATGGCGAGCCTTATGGAAAATTCAATGTATTTTTAAAAAGCATTTTCAGAATTTTTTTTGTGTGTGTGTGTGTAGATTCCTCCTAATTCTTATCAAGATTCGCAAGGCAGGATTGGTATTTAAAAAACCGGCCAGAGTTTGCAGAGCAGCTCTGACTCCTCGTTAATGTTTTGCCTCGGTCTCAAGATTCTAGTCCTCAGTGTGGGAGCTTCTAAACACCACCATCTCCCAACCCCTTTTGAACAATCCTTTCTTGCCCACAGTGTAGGTGATAGTCATGACAACCAAATCAGTTTATTCCTTTGTAGATGGGGCAAAAGCCTTTGTACCCTGTCTCTCTGTCAAGGCTTTGCCTCGGGTTCAAGATCCTAGAGACACAGCCTTGCAGAGGGTCCCCCAAACCCCTAACCCTAAAACTTTACACATGAGGTCCGTTTGTTAATTTGCGCTTGCTTCCGGTATTTTCTGCTTTCTACTTGCAAATTCTTCCCTGGTTACCTGGAAAGGAGCCCACGATCGCCCCAGGCGACTAAGCAGACTAATCCAGAATGTGGCAGCTAGACTGGGGACTGGGAGCAGCCGCCGAGACCATATAACACCGGTCCTGAAAGACCTACATTGGCTCCCAGTACATTTCTGAGCACGATTCAAAGTGTTGGTGCTGACCTTGAAAGCCCTAAATGGCCTTGGCCCAGTATTCCTGAAGGACCGTCTCCACCCCCATCATTCTGCCCGGACACTGAGGTCCAGCTCTGAGGGCCTTCTGGTGGTTCCCTTCCTGTAAGAAGCCAAGTTACAGGGAACCAGGCAGAGGGCCTTTTCGGTGGTGGCACCCACCCTATGGAACGCCCTTCCACCAGATGCCAATGAAATAAACAACTATCTGACTTTTAGAAAACATCTGAAGGCAGCCCTGTTTAGGGAAGTAATGACTGATGTTTTAATGTATTTTTAATCTTTTGTTGGAAGCCGCCCAGAGTGGCTGGGGAAGCCCAGCCAGATGGGCGGGGTATAAATAATAAATTATTATTATTATTATTAGCATGAACGTGGTCCCCCCCCGATCCTACTGACCCCTCTCCTTCCCTCTCCTCCCATCATGCAGTTCGGGGGTCCCAGCGCTGTGAGCTGAACTGCCGCCCCATCGGCTACCGCTTCTACGTGAGACACACGGAGAAAGTGCAGGATGGGACCCCGTGCGAATCCTCCTCCCAGGACATCTGCGTGGCCGGCCAGTGCCTTGTGAGTTGCTCGTGCACTCGTTGTTGACTTGTTAACTTGGAAGGGATCTGTTTTGTTTGTTTTTTAAAATATTAAATTTTATTTAACATAATTATTACAAAATACAAGCAAAATACATACAAATACATACATACACGTTTTTTCAGATAAATACACATATGTAAAAAAGAACAAAAAAGAGATAAGGAAGAAAAGGAAAAAGGAAAAATAAGAAGAAACATTGCAAAAAGAAGAAAAACTGGAAGAATTTCCTCCAAATTCACTCCACAAATATCTCAACATTTAAACCTTCATTGTTTGACTTCCATCACATTACGCTGCACTTCCTGTATACATTTTAAGGAAATTTGCATCTGTTATTCCGTATTTTCCCCATACAAATATTCTAATCAATAAGTTTTCTAAATCTTTCATAAATCTATTTTAAACACAACCAACACCTTACACTTAATCCTTCCCTACATAAATCATCATTTAAACATTTCCATTGTTTCTGGATTATATTTTTGGGGTTTTGTCTTATCAAATCAGTCAGCTTTGCTAATTCCAAGGGAAGGGAATCTGTTTTTTTTAAGGAGTGTTTGGAGGAGGAGGTGCCAACACTTGAGAGAGAAGAGAAAATATATTTCTGGGCTGCAGGGGGATGAAGGAGGCATCAGAGAACATCAGGAGAACCAGATGTTGCCCTCTGTATGAAAGGGGACGCCCCTTCTCCTTGCTCAAACACTTCGGCTCATCTCTTGACCTCGTTTCTCCTCTTTTCCCGTGGCCTCGCCAGACCCCTGGTTGCGATGGGGTCCTGGGTTCGAATCGCACGCTGGACAGCTGCGGGGTTTGCGGCGGGGACCACACCACCTGCAAGCTGGTCGTGGGGAATTTCAGCGACACAGACGTCCCCATTGGGTACCACCGCATCCTGGAGATCCCGGCGGGCGCCACCCGAATCCAGGTTAAGGAAATGACCCGCAGCCCTAACTACCTGGGTATGTGTATATGCCATTTAGTCGGAGGGTTGTAAAGGTAAAGGTAAAGAGACCCCTGACCATTAGGTCCAGTCGTGGCCGACTCTGGTGTTGCGGCGCTCATCTTGCTTTATTGGCCGAGGAAGCCGGCGTACAGCTTCCGGGTCATATGGCCAGCATGACTAAGCCGCTTCTGGCGAACCAGAGCAGCGCACGGAAACGCTGTTTACCTTCCCGCTGGAGTGGTACCTATTTATCTACTTGCACTTTGAGGTGCTTTCGAACTGCTAGGTTGGCAGGAGCAGGGACTGAGCAACGGGAGCTCACCCCATTGCGGGGATTCGAACCGCCGACCTTCCGACTGGCAAGTCCTAGGCTCTGTGGTTTAACCCACAGCGCCACCCGCGTCCCTTGGGGGGTTGTAGTTTGTTTAATTCAGTGGGTTTATAAATCATGCTTCTTGAAGATGCTCTCCATGCACGCACATAGAAATTCAACATTTGGACAAGCGGAGCGTCTTACCAGCACAGACGATTGGGCCATTTAGCTCAGTATAGACTACACGGACTGGCAGAGGCTCTGCAGGGTATCATAAAGGGGGACTTTCCCATCTGGAGAGGCTGAGGACTGAGCCCAGGGACCTTTTGCCCGCAAAGTGTGTGCCCTGCCATTGAGCTGCGAATCTTCCTGTAAAAATAAAGTAAGATTCTAGTCCTCCTTGTTCTTAATAAAGGGCTGATTTCACTGGGAACAGCTCAAGCTACCATGTTACAAAGCTGGATGTTGGAACCACCCAGTCAGATGGGCAGGGGAGAGTAATAAATTATTATTATTATTATTATTATTATTATTATTATTATTATCGTCGTCATCATCCAAGATAGAAGCCCTCTACCGCTTAATGTGTTGGTTTAGGGCCCTTGTATTTACGGGACCGCCTCTCCTTAAGGTCCATGACTAATCATAGTTTAGAGGTCCTGGGCCCTAAGGAAGTCAGACTATCCTCCACCAGGGCCAGGGCCTTTTCAGTGATGGCTCCGACCTGGTGGAATGCTCTGTCCCAGGAGACTAGGGCCCTTCAGGATTTAACCTCCTTCCATTGGGCCTGTAAGACAGAGCTATCCTGCCTGGCTTTTAATTTGAATTCAGCCTGATCTTTTATTTAGCTTCTCTCCCCTTCCCCTTTTATGAAGAACACCCGCTCTGAGACCCCACAGCTAATTCTCCCCTGGCCTCCTCGCTGGCCCAAGTAGGACCAATTCAGCCAGCTAGCCTTGGGGATTATCTAATTGATTTTTGAATTTTATTGTCATTCATGTTTTTATACTGTATTTTATGCTGCTTTTATAATTAAGTGTTTTAAAGTGTTTTAAATTTGTCGTTAGCTGCCCTGAGCCTGGTTTTTGAACCAAGAAGGGCGGGGTATAAATAAAAATTTATTATTGTTGTTATTAATGCCAGATCTATGGGCAGGGAGAAGGCAGGCGGGCTGTGTTTCTCTGTGGCAACCCAAGTGCACTCTGTACGGGCTCAGAGGCATTCTGCCATTCCTTCAGAGGTGGCTCCAGGGTGGGGGCCTTGGTTCCCTGAGTTACCCTGCCCTCCTCCCATCTCAATGACTCTGTTACAGGTGCCACCAAATACTCATCCTGCGTTTGTAAGAATCTGATTTTTTTAGCGTGGCAGCGCCCGCACTTCGGAACTCCCTGCCGATTGACGCCAGGCAGGTGCCTTCCCCGTCCTCTTTCCGGCACCTGCTAAATTTTTTTTTTTTGTTATAGGCAACGTGTAGAATGTTGACAAGCATTTTAGCCTTGTCGTTGAGTTTGATTTGAGCGTTCCTTTGACCTGTTTTGACTGATAATCTTGTAAACTGAGCGGTTGCATTTTTGAAAAGCAAGCTGCACCTGGAATGAGGGAATAAAAATAAAAATTGCAAAATTGTACGGGAAATTTAAAAAAAAATTGGAAGGAGGTAATATAATGTACAGTGGTACCTCAGGTTACATACGCTTCAGGTTACAGACTCCGCTAACCCAGAAATAGTGCTTCAGGTTAAGAACTTTGCTTCAGGTTGAGAACAGAAATCGTGTGGCAGCGGCATGGCAGCAGCAGGAGGCCCCATTAGCTAAAGTGGTGCTTCAGGTTAAGAACAGTTTCAGGTTAAGTACGGACCTCTGGAACGAATTAAGTACTTAACCTGAGGTACCACTGTATGTAAAAATCCCAAAATTTAAAAAAAAGATGGGGGAAAATAAAAATAATAAAAATTAAAATTGCAGTGGCGGCGGGCGGGGGCCACAGAGCGAGGGAAGGAAGGGCTTTGAAATGGTAGTTTCATGTTGCTGTTGACTCTCTCTCTCTCTTCCCCCCCCCCATCCCTGTGCCCCCAAATCTCCCAGCCCTTCGGAGCCACAGTGGCAAATCCATCATCAACGGGAACTGGGCGGTGAACCCGCCAGGGCGCTACGAGGCAGCTGGCACCGTCTTTGTGTACAGCCGCCCAGGAAGCGACCGGAGGGAGGGCGAGTCCCTGACCGCAGAGGGTCCCACGACAGAACCTATAGATGTGTATGTGAGTACGCAGTGGGGTGGGGTGGGGTCTCAGGGAGAGGAGAGGTTGAATCCCGTGCTGCTTGGACGTCTGTGGCTCACCCCGAATGCAGATCTCTGCCTCTTTTCTCAAGGGGGAGGCGGGTCTCCGCTTTCGTTGATTCGCTTTAAAAACCCAAGTTCCTAGTCCTCAGGACTTTCAGATTTCTCTCGGTTTTGTTTTATGCTAGTTTTAACAGGCGTGTGAATTTATTTATTGTCGCAAGTGGCTTTGAGTTGTTGTTGTTGTTTAGTCATGTCCGCCTCTTCGTGACCCCACGGACCAGAGCACGCCAGGCACTCCTGTCTTCCACTGCCTCCCGCAGTTTGGTCAAACTCATGCTGGTAGCTTCGAGAACACTGTCCCACCATCTCGTCCTCTGCCGTCCCCTTCTCCTTGTGCCCTCCATCTTTCCCAACATCAGGGTCTTTTCCAGGGAGTTTTCTCTTCTCAGGAGGTGGCCAAAGTCTTGGAGCCTCAGCTTCAGGACCTGTCCTTCCAGTGAGCACTCAGGGCTGATTTCCTTCAGAATAGATCGGTTTGATCTTCTTGCAGTCCATGGGACTCTCAAGAGTCTCCTCCAGCACCAGAATACAAAAGCAAGGCTTTGAGTTACTTTTGTTATTAAAAAAAAAAAGCAGCAACTGATAAGTTTAATAAATAATCATTGATCCTTAAGGCTTCTCTTATGTACAGTCATACTTCGGGTTACAGCGGTTGCAGGTTGTGTTTTTTTGGGTTACGGACCGCCAAAACCTGGAAGTACCGGAATGGGTTACTTCCGGGTTTCGGCGGTCACGCATGCGCAGATGCGCCAAATCGCAACCCGTGCATGTGCAGATGCGTCACTGCAGGTTGTGAACTCTGCAGGTTGCGAACGTGCATCCCGCACAGATCATGTTCACAACCCGAGCGTCCACTGTACTAAGCTTGGATCCTAGAACAATAGGCAAGTAGGATCTTAGAATGCAACAACTGATTGGCTTGCAAGAAAAGACCAATCAAGCTCCAGGAGGACGTTAATCAGCCTATTAGGCTGGTAGGATCATGGAATGCAACAACTGATTGGCCTGCAGGAAAAGACCAATCAGGCTCCAGGAGGGAAGCAGAATCAGCCAATCAGACGGGACTCATTGTGTAAATAACGTATATAAAATCCTGAGGTTTGGGGGGCAATTCAATCACTGTTTTACAAGCTGCAATAAAGAGCATGAAATCACAACAGGACTCTGACTATATTTCAGCTTCTATTTCCAGGTTGGAAAAGTGTGGTTTGCAAAGTCATAAGGTAGTCCAAGGATTAAAAGTATGAGCACAGATAGGAGCAGAGCCTTCTGTTCAATGCAGCTGGGCTCTCCAAAATGGCCTAGTCTATAGAGATGCAAATACTGTATAGGCAAATGAACTGTGCGTACTTTGAAGAAATTCCTTTTCTTCGGGTTATTTGGGTGCAGAGTATCTGGGGAAGGGAATCAGAAATTAGCCGTGGGAGGGATGGGCTTGAACTGCAGGAGACGGTGGACGACAATGGGCTGAGACGTCTTTAAAGCGGGGAGGGAGTTCAAGGCAGACTGATGATGGGGGGTGGGGGCTGCAGGAGCTAAGTAGAGCCCCCATGTCCAGACAGAGTCTACCTTCATAATCAGATTCTGAGGACAGACAACAGGGGCTTCGTGGAGGTGTTTTCATCTGACCCAACAAGACTTTTCTCTGATGTTCACACTGGGAAAGGGATCCCAAGGCTCTGTTTCTGCCACACACACCCCAAAAAAGAGGGAGGGATCTGTTAACTCCCAACGGAGAAGGGGACTTGAGGTTCTCATTTTACGTTGCTCCCCTTCCTTCCATGCCCGGCTTTAATTCCTTTTCTGCTGCCTCCCACAGATGATCTTCCAGCAAGACAATCCTGGTGTCTCTTATCAGTTCTTCCTGGCCTCTGTACAGCCAGAGACCCCCACTCCTGACCTACGTAGCCCCGTGCAGGACTTTGGTGAGCAAACCACCCCCTCCCCTCATGTGGCAGGCAAAAAAAACCCCCAAACACCTGTGTTTGCTTATTTCCTCCTCCATCCCAGTCCCTTTTCCTTCGCTGCTATGCCTGTTTTAGGTGGTAGGCCTGTGTTTTCCTCCTCCGTCCCAGAGTGTATTCCTTTTCTGCCATGTCTTTTTTAGCCGACGCCCTTTCGTGGAGCAAAAAAAATCACCTTTCTCTTTCTTCCCACTCCGTACCCGCCAGGTGCCTTGACTGTGGTTTCCTCTGGCAACCAGATGGAGCCCCCGCCCAGCCACCAGCGCCCTGTGCCCGCAGATGCCCGGAACCTCAGCCCGGCCCGCCTCCCAGCTTCGTCCGGCCAATCGGGGAGGAGCCGTGCCGCGGCTCCGCCCCCTCCCGTCTCGTCTGGCCAATCGGGGAGGAGCCCCGGGACCCTGCAAAGGAATGTCCGCGTCCCGCCGCTCCCGCCCCCTCCACCTCCTGTCCAGCACGGCTCGGACCCCCTGCAGGATTTCTACTGGAGGCGAATTGGCAACACTGACTGCTCTGCCACCTGCGGGAAAGGTAAGTCCTATTTCCCTTGGCAGCTGGTATTCAAAGGTAGACTGCTCCTGCGCGTGGAGGTTTGGGTCGACTTAGGGTGGTGCTGTGGGTTAAACCACAGAGCCTAAGACCTGCCGATCAGAAGGTCGGCAGTTCGAATCCCTGCGACGGGGTGAGCTCCCGTTGCTCGGTCCCAGCTCCCGCCCACCTAGCAGTTCGAAAGCACGTCAAAGTGCAAGTAGATAAATAGGTACCACTCCGGCGGGAAGGTAAACGGCGTTTCCGTGCGCTGGCCACATGACCCGGAAGCTGTACGCCGGCTCCCTCGGCCAATAAAGCGAGATGAGCGCTGCAACCCCAGAGTCGGTCACAACTGGACCTAATGGTCAGGGGTCCCTTTACCTTTAAAGCATATTTACAGGCATTTTATTCAGCATCAGGACAAAAGGAAAAACATGTCTTCTCCCCTTCGTGTCCAAGCAAGCGGCATAAGCAAAAGCTATACACACAACGGAAGTTCCCAGCAAGCTGTGCTGGAATGTAAACAGGCATGTGATACACAACAACTCCACACATCTGTTAAGGTGGAACGGAATATTGTAATGTCCTTACCAGCCTCTTATAGCCCATTGGGACGGATAGGGCAGAAGGCAGGGAGCCCAACAGTAGGGGGCGCCAGAGAACGCTCTAGTTTTGTCCCACCTCCTTACTAAGATGCGCCTGTTGCATGCATATCCCATCCACGCCGCTCAAAGAGGTGTGTGAGGTTCTCCTTATTTAAATCCCGCCAAGAACCTTGCGAGGTAGGTTAGGCGAAGAGGTGGCGGCTGTCCCCCAAGGTCACACCCAGAGAACGGCCAAGTGGGGATTTCTGAACCCCGGTCTCTCCCAAGTCGCCCTAACCACTACGCCACACTGCCTCTCGATTCTGCAAGGGCGGAACTGAGACTTAAGGTGGAAGAAGGTGACCGGCAGTGTCGCCCACTGGACTTAGAGGTAAGCAAGAGGTCAGACAGAGTACAGTAAGTGGTTGTCCATGCCCCCAATGGCCCAGTCCTCTCTCGGCTATTAGCAGTTTTAATCCCCCTCTATGGCTTTATAGAGCGCCATGGAGTAGGAAGATTAGCTGCAAATTGGGGAAGTCCCTGGTTTGAATCTCAGAACTGCCACAAACTCACTCGCTACCCATAGCTGAACCACACGCTCTCGGCCTCAGTTTGTCTCATCTGCAAAATGGGGGGAATTTTAAAATGTATTTGCTTTTATTGAAACGACGCACCTGCCACTCAGCTACGGCGGTCTCTTAAGCGCTTCACAACACTCACAAGGCCGTTGTGGTGAGGATTAGGCCTGCGGAACGCTCTGAGAAAGCGCCAAACAAGCGTTGCGAGTTTTTTTTTATCCTCTAAGCTCGTTAGGCGCCCCCACAGCAATGGCGAGAACGAAGCCACCGCACAAAGGAAAGAGAGAGGTGTTCAGACCATGTGAAGGGGCCACATTTGCCAGTATATGCTGAGTTCTGTGATTTTCGGCCCCTCGATTGCCTTGAGGACTAGAAACTTGATTTTTAAAAGGCAAAAGTGGCTAGTATGCTCCTCGCTGTCTTTCTCTACAGGTTTCTGGCAGTCTGTCTACCAGTGCATCTCTCGCGTTACACAAGAGGAGGTGGGAGAGGAGAAATGCCACCTGATCCCCAAGCCCATCGTGTCGGAGGAAGCCTGCAACACGGAGCCTTGCCCAGCCTAGTGAGTGTCCAGTCCACCCTTGCCTCTTATGGGTCTCCTTTTGAGGCAGCTGCTGCCCTCTGAAGGCCTGGAGGCCTCGTGACAACCCACCTGGACTCTGGCATCGGGCAACTTCCTCTGTCCCTATTAAAATTTGCTTGTGTGAACTTTGGGGAAATGACAGTCTACTTTTGAGTAGGTCACCACCGTCTTGAGCAAGACACCACGCGGGCCCAAGCCGCCTCTGCTTGTCGCAGAGTTAGAGACCCCTTTTTGCAGAAACCCTGGTGCCCCGTGATTTCGCTGTCCCTTGCTCAACGGAGGGTTTCAGCAGCAGCAACAGCCTCTGTTGCAAGAATACAGAGCATAATTTGTCCCCAGCGGATATTATAGGTTTGCATAACCCTGGCAGGTTACCTGTTAATGCTCACTTGATTGGATACCCTGGGGAGCCTGCTGTAGTGACAAATACTTACTTCCTGAGCCAGGTCACAGGCTCACCCTATTCCTACACAGATATACCCTTAAGACAGGTTTTGTGAATGAAAAGACAATGGGGAGAGGCTTTTCTATTTTCCTTTGACCTTGCAGAGAAAACATTTTGTCAGTTTGGGAGTCAATATGGTTCCAGGGCTGTTTTCCTGTGCTGCTTCAGACAAGTGGTTTATATATTTATGTACATGTTTGCTTGGTACATGGATGAACATTTATTATATATATAAGACTGTTGAATAGGATCCAAAAGGCAGCAGTCTGATTGGTCCACAGGAGCCACCCAATCCAACTCCAGGTGGAAGTGAATCCGCAACCTGATTGGCCTACAGGTGAATCCCGGAGTTAGCCAATCACGTGAGGCCCGTTGTGTAAATAATGTATATAAAGCAGACGTTCTGGGGGAACTTCCATTCCTCCTCACCACTATGAGCTGAATAAAGAGCATGAAATCCACTCTCGACTCCGAGTATATTTCAAAGACCTTAAATTTTTTTATTTCCCTTGCGAGGGAATATTCCTTTTTTCTCTGCTCATTCCTCCCCATCCTGTCCATCTCTTTTCCAGCTGGGAGGCGGGCGAGTGGTCAGCCTGCAGCAAATCCTGCGGCCTGGGCACTCAGCACCGCCAAGTCCTGTGCCGGCAGATCTACGCCAACCGCAGCACCATGGTGCACCCCCAGAGGTGCGCACAGCTGGAGAAGCCTAACGCCACCCAGGCCTGCCAAGTCCAGGTTTGCAGCCGCTGGGAAGTCCGCACTAACTGGAGTTCGGTAAGGGATTTGGTGGTAGCTGGGGGGGGGAGGAGAGGATGGGGCGTTGGAGGGGTCATTTCAGCATGGGAAGCAGCAGCAAACTCTAAAGCAGGGTATCTGGAATGCCTGCAAAATGGGCATCGATGTAAGACAATGAGAAATGTGCATTCAGCAGGGTGGATTTGATTTAAATCAAATTGAATTAAATCATGATTTAATTCACTTGTCAGTAAGACTTGATTTAAATCGTGTGTTTTTTTACAGAAAGACTCATTCTTGCCGGTATAATATTAATATTTACAACCAGATGAAGGTTTCATTTTTGGAATAATGAATTTTCAGTGTAGTTTTTGCAGTCATATCAAAAATTACTGATTTGGGTATACCATTAGAAATACATAGACAGATAAATTATGAAATTATTGTGAGGTTTAATAAGTTAACTACTTATATTTGGACAACTTTTCTGCTGTACTTTATTGGAAGGAGACAAATAAGTCATTTCCTTAACAACTGAAACAATTTATTTAACTAAAACAATAATATTATAGCATATGTATCCATGTTTGTTAACGGATGTGGTTAAACTTTTTTTTAAAAAAAACAACACTGAGTTTTAGTACACATGAAAAACTAAAAACAAATCTTTATTTCCTCATGAATAGCCTTTGGACTATAATGTAACCTAAATAGAAAACTACTGTATCTTTAGAAAGATTTTTCCTCCAAAAGCATTTTATTTTAAAAACCTGATTTAAATTTTTAAAAAATCCGATTTTAAAAAAATAAATAAATCCAATTTTATTGATTATTTTTTTTATAAAAAATTATTGATTTTTATCCACCCTGGCTTAATTTCTGCCATGTGCTTTGTGTGGGGCTGCCCTTGCGCCTGGCCTGAATGCTGCAACAACTTGTGCAGGATAAGACCCTCAGTAGATCCTTGCAGCTGAGCCAAAGAGGTCCCTCTTGCCCAGCATCCTGTTCTCACGGTGGTCGATTAATAATAATAATAATAATAATAATAATAATAATAATATTTTATTTATATCCCTCCGCAGCCAAAGCTTGGCTCAGAGCCGCTAACAACATTAAAAGTAACACAGCATTCTAAAATCAATTCATTCTAAAATCAATTCAGAATCAAATTAATGGCAACCATTGGGCAAGAGTTCTATGAGGATTACCGAAGGAGAGAGGGGGTCAGACTGTGCCTTGGCCAAAGGCCTGGTGGAACAGCTCTGTCTTGCAAGCCCTGCGGAAAGATGTCAAGTCCTGCTGGGCCCTAGTCTCTTGGGACAGAGCATTCCACCAGATCGGAGCCACAGCCGAAAAAGCCCTGGCTCTGGTTGAGGCCAGCCTAACCTCCCTGTGGCCCGGGATCTCCAAGATGTTTTTGTTTGAAGACCGTAAGGTCCTCTGTGGGACATACCAGGAGAGACGGTCCCATAGGTACGAGGGTCCTGGGCCGTATAGGGCTTTAAAGGTTAAAACCAGCACCTTAAGCCTGACCCTGTACTCCACCGGGAGCCAGTGCAGCTGGTAGAGCACCGGGTGAATGTGATCCTGCAGCGAGGACCCCATAAGGAGTCTCACCGCAGCATTCTGCACCTGCTGGAGTTTCTGGGTCAGTCTCAAGGGCAGCCCCACGTAGAATACCCACAAAGAACCTAGAAACCTGGATAGACTGCCACTGGATTTGGAGGTTCCACAAGGGCATAAGAACAGCCCTGCTAGAGCAGCCCAGTGGCCTATCTAGTCCAGCATCCTGTTCTCACAGGGGCCAACCAGATACCCCAATGGGAAGCCCAGAAGCAGGACTCGGGCGCAAGAGCCCTCTCCCTCTCCCTCTCTCTCCTGTGGTTTCCAGAACACAGCAGCATTTCTGCTTCCAACCACGGAGACTCAGCTAGTAGCCATTGATGGCCTTGTTATCCTCCACGAATTGGCCCCGCCCTCTTTTAAAGCCGTCCAAGTTGGCGACCATCGCTGCTTCCTGTGGCAGGGAGTTCCGCAGTTTGACTGGGCACTGTATTATCGGTCCCCTTTCTTTCGTTTGTCCTAAACCTTCCGGCATTCGGCATCCTTGGATGTCGAAACAGAATGCACGATAGCTCGTCTCCTCCTTGTGGGAATGTTCAGGCATGCAGGAGAGGATTTATTGTTTGGTTATAGCCTTCCCAACTTGTGTTAACGAGTTCACAATTTAGCAGAGTAACATCCCCCTTTTTAAACTCAAAGCGGATAGAATCATAGAATCATAGAGTTGGAAGAGCCTCTACAATAACTGTTCTGACGTTTCCCATATTCCCTGCATAGCAGGATAAGACCATGAAGCAGTCTTCTATAAAGTATAAAAGAGTTACTCAATTCTGTTCACATTCAGATCTCCAGAAGGGAGACTCTACGCACTTAGGAAGCAACATACCACAGTCGAACAGCTCGTACTGTCAGGAAGTTCTTCCTATGTTTAGGTGGAATGCATCCTTCTTGTAGCTAGGAGCCATTGCTGCGCGTCCGCTATCGGGAGCAGCAGAAGACAACCTTGCTGCCTCAGCTATGTGACATCCTGCTCGCTGTCTTGAACATGGCTATCATATCACCGCGCAACCTCCTCTTCAGCCGGGCAGACGGCTCGCTAGCAGTCCTCATAAGGCATCGCTTCAGGCCTTGACCATTTGGCAGCCTCTCCTGGACACGGTCCAGTGGCAGTGTCCGTCTTGGACTATGGTGCCCAGAACTGGACACAGCACCACAGGTGAGTCTGACGCAGATCCGTATACAGTGGGACTATTGCTGCCCTGATCTAGATGCTATATCTATTGATGCAGCGCAGAAGTGCACTGATATTTGGCTGCATCAGTCACCTGTTGGCTCATGTCAAGTCTGTGGTCAACCAAGACTCCTAGAGCCTTTCACATGGACTGCTCTCGTCAGGTGTCGCCCATCTTGTGTTTGGCTTCTCCTGCTCTAGCCTCAGGCTCGCATTAAGCCTCCATAAGACACTTCTGGTATTTCCCCTTACTTCTATAGAGATGAGACACAACAGAGTCTTCTATAAGAGTATAAAAGAGTTTACTGACATTCTGTTCACAATCAGATCCCAGGAGGCAGTCCTAGCTTAGTCACTCTCATATGACCTGGAAGCTTTCATAGAGGGACATCTTTGAGCTAAGCAGATGTTGCTTCTTCGATGCATGTAGTCAAAGAGAGAGAGATGGCTGCCCTGCCCTGTGCTTTTGGCGTTACCTGCACAGGTGAGGCCACGCCAACCTCTAGTCACATGCAGAGGAAGTCTGTCCCAGCCCAGAAGGAAACAGGAAGTTTACCTGCTGGCTGGACAAACATTCCTCCCCATGTGTAAACATCTTCATTCTAGGAATGTTGTACTTGACTGCTCTTGTGTTTCACATCCCATACTCCTTCCCCCTTCTAGTGCTCGGTCCTCTGCGGCACCGGACATCGGACGCGCCACGTCCGCTGCGTCAGTAACCACGGCGACTTGCTCCGCGACAGCGACTGCCCGGTGAACCATCGCCCGAAAACCAGTGAAGTTTGCGACATGGGGCCTTGCGTGCGCACCTGGTTCTACAGCGACTGGAGCAACACGGTACCTCCTCTCCCCTTTCTTTTTTAACCCGTGGGTCTTCCTCGTCTCTCTTCCCCAGCCCAAAATTCCCCATCTCTCCCAGAGCTAGATTAAAACCGTGCAAAGGCGTTTCCTCCTACGCTGCTACCCTCCTGCCTCGCTTCCATTTCTGGCCGCGCAAACCGCTCTCTGATACTTCAAATAAATAGCTGCACAATCTTGCTCTCCTCTCTATTTAAATCTCCCTTTGTGTAGAGATTTTCAAAAGGGAAACGTGACAAATCTGAAGGATCTTGAATTGTGCAGGCTGTTTATGTTAGCCAGATTTAATATGATAGTAAGAGGAAGATATTTAGCTCTCCCAGAATCAGAGCGTCTCTGCAAATGTAGTAAACAGGAACCTGATACTTTGGAGCATATTTTCTTTTCTTGTGATTTTGGCATTTATGCCAGAAGACCATTATTAGAGGCCTTACAACACAATAGGCTCAATTCTATGCTACCAAAAGTTCAGGACCTGCTCTCGGACAGGAATGATCAAATTACTTTAATAGTGGCTGACTTTTTGAGTGCTGTCCATGTAGAAAGACTGGGCCATTATAAAGAGATTTAGTGGTTCTGAATTGATTGGTGATGTGGTAATGTTGTATTGTATTATTTATGCAAATTGATTTTCTCTGGAGTTAAAGATCGGACTGGGACAAACCTTGTTATGTTGAGCTCATATTTTGCTCAAATTGTATACGGTGTCTGTTTGATAATGTGTGGTTTGCTATGCCTAATAAAGGATATATTTGAAAAAAATAGCTGCACAATGCACTTCGGCTCACTCGTGTGACGTTCAGTTAACTCCAAGGCACCTTTTGAACAAAACCCCAGGGATTGCTGCAAGTGAGATATGAATGGTTTGTGGGAGATAGGCTAGAAATGGCTGCCTCTCTTCCCAGGTGTCAAAAAAGGTTATTTATGTGTGCTGCTACTACTGCAGCCTGTGTTTAGCTCGCCCAAAAATGGAAAACGAGTGAGGTAACAACCAAAGAAGAGCAGAAACTTAAGTTGACAGAATATGTGCAGTTTGCAGACTTAACATATAGAATAAGGGAACAAGAAGAACATACGTTTAGAGAATATTGGAAAACGTTTATTGAATATATGGGAAATAACTGTGTATGGCTGAAAACGCTGGCAGCATTGAGATAAATTCAACAGTGTAAATAAAGTTATGATGGATGTAATAACAGAATACTGAATGGTATATTTTCTGTAAGATATGCAGGGATTTATGATATGTAAAATCAGTGCTTTTTTCTGAAGGTACACAGGGGTACGCATACCCCTAAACATTTTGCAAATGTTTGTACTTTTGTCTATTTACTGCATTTATTTTCCCCGATTTGAACTATAAAATGGTGGTTTTCTTGAGTCAAAATGACAGTACCTCTAAACATTTTTTTTTAGAAAAAAAGCACTGTGTAAAATGAACCCTGAAAAGAGAAGAAGGGAAGTCGTTGATACTTTAAGGATGTAAAAATGAGTATTTTAAATTGGAATGGCAGGAAAATTGATAAAAAATATATACAAAGAAATAGCTGCCTCTCGGGCTGCTGGAGTATTGAGGAGGGGAATGATGATGATGATGATGATATTTTATTTATAGCCCGCCCTTCCCGGTTCAAAAACTGGGCTCCGGGCAGCTAACAACAAATTTAAAACACTTAATTGTAAAAGCAGCATAAAATACAGTATAAAAACATGAATAACAATAAAATTCAAAATTCAGAAATCAATTTAGGGGAAATATGCATTAGATAATCCCCAGGGCTAGCTGGCTGAATCCGTCCTACTTGGGCCAGCGAGGAGGCCAGGGGAGAGTTAGCTGTGGGGTCTCAGAGCGGGTGATCTTCATAAAAGGGGAGGGAAAAGAAGGGAAATAAAAGATCAGGCTGAATTCAAATTAAAGGCCAGGCAGAATAGCTCTGTCTTACAGGCCCGACGGAAGGAGGTTAAATCTTGAAGGGCCCTAGTCTCATGGGACAGAGCATTCCACCATGTCGGAGCCATCACTGAAAAGGCCCTGGCCCTGGTGGAGGATAGTCTGACTTCCTTAGGGCCCGGGACCTCTAAGCTATGGTTATAAGAAGAGCCAGTGGTATGATAAAGCTTATGAAAGTCTCTCGCATTCCCTCTCTCCCTCTTTCTCCTCTCCAGTGCTCAGCCGAGTGCGGGACGGGGATCCAGCGGCGCTCGGTGGTCTGCCTTTCGAGCGCCGCCAACGGGCAGGTGGAGGAGAACTGCGCCGGCACCAAACCAGCCGACATGAGGGCATGCAACGGCGGTCCGTGCCAGAGGGTCAACCGGTGGTACACTGGGCCATGGAGTCCGGTGAGCAGCGCCCCTCGTCCCGTCCCGGTCTCGTCGCCAGCATCGTTTGAACCCGGTTTGCAAAAGCTTAAGGCGTGCATCCCCAGACTCGGCCCTCCAGATGTTTTGGGACTACAACTCCCATCATCCCTAGCTAACAGGACCAGTGGTCAGGGATGATGGGACTTGTAGTCCCAAAACAGCTGGCGGGCCAAGTTTGGGGGTGGCTGGCTTAAGGCATCCTGGGAATGGTAGTTTTTGCGAACAAGCGACTGGCGACTAACAGGAGGAGTCCTGGCTCCCTCACAAAACTACAGATCCCAGGATTCCTTGCAGCTTGCAGGGAGCCTCAACAGCTAGACAGATTTCGGACCTCGAATCATAGAGTTGGAAGGGACCCATAAGAGCCATCTAGTTCAACCCGCTGCAATGCAGGAATCAGTCAACATGTTTGCTAAGGGTGTTGCGAGTTGTTAAGAGGAGACTCCCTATTGCCCTTCCTCACAGAGCCAGATTTCCCGGGGTTGAGTGTTAAACCACTCTGAGGACTGTGAGGGGATTTTTTTTGGGGGGGGGGGGGTGTTACTCCTTACAAGTTTCAGCACCCTTAGTTTTATTTCTTTTTATTTATTTCAAAAAAATTATACACTGCTTGATTGTAAAAAAAATACACAGCAACACCTCAAAGTGGTTTACACAAAAAGAACATAACAATAGATTTACCAGTGAAAAAATAGTTAAAAACAACTATTTAAAATGAGAAAAAAAATATTGATAGACTAAAAACAGATTAGAACATGCGTCAACATTCTACAAATGTGGGTGGACAGGAATAAAACCAAGTCTGAAAGTAGAGCTAACTAAAAGACCTAGACCTTAATTGAGCATAGCTGTCAACCGTCCCTTATTTGGCAGGAAACTCCCTTATCCCAGCGCCATGTCCTGCTGCTGTCCCTTACTGATGATATCCCTTAAATTTCCCGGGTTTCATGCTTGCCCGGCTCGGGGCCCTCCGCCGTGAGAGAGAGTGCACGCTGGCGCCGTTGTCCTGGCACAAGGAGTTCCATCGGTCCTTCCCCGCCCGAGAGACTTTTGCCCACGCCGCCCGCGAGCTTGGAGGCGGCAGCGGGGGTGGCAGCTGAGGAGGCAGTCTGAGGGAGGAGGAAGAGGAGGCGATGGGGAGGAATGTAGAAGGGCAGCGCTTCAGCGGCCACCGCAGCGCCTCAACCACCTCATTCCGGATTGACAGCATCTGTCAATCCTACCAATGTAGGCAACTCTTTACAATAGCAAAATTCCTTATTTTGGCTGCTGATCCCTTATTTTCAAGGCTGCTGGTCCCTTATTTTCAAATCTGTAAGTTGACAGCTATGTATTCCAGGCATCCCCAACCTTTGGCCCTGCAGATGTTTTGGCCTACAACTCCCGTCATCCCTAGCTAACAGGACCAGTGGTCAGGGATGATGGGAACTGTAGTGCAAAACATCTGGAGGGCCAAAGGTTGGGGTTGCCTGCACCACATTTAAGACACTATCGTAGCACTTTGCACAACCATGGCTTCCCCGAAAGAATTCTGGGAACTGTAGCTTGTCCCTTGCAGAGCCCAGCACCCTTGGCTTCTCACAGCGAGGGAACCGCCAGAAGGCCCTCGGCGCTGGACCTCAGTGTCCAGGCAGAACGATGGGGATGGAGACGCTCCTATATTCAACACAGAAAAAATTGTTGTTGACTAAGGACAGCTGGACATATAAAGGGCCCCATTACCTTCAGTAGGGGACGCGGGTGGCGCTGTGGGTTAAACCACAGAGCCTAGGACTTGCCAATCAGAAGGTCGGCGGTTCGAATCCCCGCGATGGGGTGAGCTCCCGTTGCTTGGTCCCTGCTCCTGCCAACCTAGCAGTTCGAAAGCACGTCAAAGTGCAAGTAGATAAATAGGTACCACTCCGGCGGGAAGGTTAACGGCGTTTCCGTGCGCTGCTCTGGTTTGCCAGAAGCGGCTTAGTCATGCTGGTCGCATGACCCGGAAGCTGTACACCGGCTCCCTCGGCCAATGAAGCGAGATGAGCGCCGCAACCCCAGAGTCGGTCATGACTGGACCTAACAGTCAGGGGTCCCTTTACCCTTTACCTTTTACCTTCAGTACCTTAGGGCCTCATCAAACCTAAATCCGGCCCTGATCCGCCTCCCCCTCTGCCTCTTCGTCCCCCCAGTGCTCATCGGACTGCAGTACGGGCACCCAGCGGCGCGACCTCATCTGCGTCAGCAAGCTGGGCGCTGAGTTCAACGTGACGGACGCCTCGGACTGTGCCCACCTGGAGAAGCCGCCCTCCTTGCAGCCCTGCGTGGGCACGTCTTGTGAGGCCCGCTGGTTCTCCACCGCCTGGAGCTCTGTGAGTGAGGGCGAGGGTCTGACACGGGTGGGGCGGGAACCCCCTTCCACACGTAAGATTCGGAGAACGGACAAAACGGGGAAGGGGTTTGCGGCAGGGAATACCCCAGGGTGGGTTTGATTTAGGTCGAATCAATTTAAATCACTAGTCAGTAAGTCTTGATTTAATAATAATAATAATAAATAATAATAATTTTTATGTATACCCCGCCCTCCCCGGCCAAATCCGGGCTCAGAGCAGCTAACATCAAATGTTTAATCATTTTTTTTACAGAAAGGCTCATTCTTGCTTAATATTTAATATTTACAGCCAGATGAAGGTTTCGCTTTTGGAATAATGAATTTTCAGAGTAGTTTTTGCAGTCCTATCAAAAATCACTGATTTGGTTAGAAATACATAGACAGATACAGTGGTACCTTGGGTTACATACGCTTCAGGTTACATACGCTTCAGGTTACAGACTCCGCTAACCCAGAAATATTACCTTGGGTTAAGAACTTTGCTTCAGGATGAGAACAGAAATTGTGCTCCAGCGGCGCGGCAGCAGCAGGAGGCCCCATTAGTTAAAGTGGTGCTTCAGGTTAAGAACAGTTTCAGGTTAAGAACGGACCTCCAGAACGAATTAAGTACGTAACCAGAGGTACCACTGTATATTATGAAATTATTGTGAGGTTTAATAAGTTGACTGTTTATATTTGGACACCTTTTCTGCTGTACCTTCTAAATCCAGCCCGCGGACGGTCTGGAATCAGCGTGTTTTTACATGAGCAGAACGTGTCTTTTTATTTAAAATGCATCTCTGGGTTATTTGTGGGGCCTGCCTGGTGTTTTTACATGAGTAGAATGTGTCCTTTTATTTAAAATGCATCTTTGGGTTATTTGTGGAGCATAGGAATTCATTCATTTTTTCCCCTTCAAAATATAGTCTGGCCCCCCGCAAGGTCTGAGGGACAGTGGACCGGCCCCCTGCTGAAAAAGTTTGCTGACCCCTGATTCAGATTTACGCCTTTTTGCCAGTTTACTCGGTATTAGATACCACCGATATATAATTTTAATATAATTTTCTCTTAAACTGTAACATGCTGTATATTTTAGGTCCATATTCCACAACCGTTCCGTTTTCCCTTTGTCCTTTCAGTGCTCCAGGTCCTGCGTTGGGGGCGTCCAAGTGAGAGAGGTCCAGTGTCTGACCCAAAACAAGACCCTGAGCAACCTTTGTCCGCCAGATCTCAAGCCCATCAAGAAACGGCCCTGCAACGTTCAGCCCTGCCTATTGGACCTCGGTAAACCACCCGGCCCCCTCCTCCTCCCTACGGCCAAAAATGGGGGGAGGACGGGCAGGCAGGCTGAAAAACTCCACACGCCCGAGGGGTGCATTTCTGCAAAGTCGTTTATTTGCAGAGATACAATTCCTACAATATGACGTGGTGGTATACGGTGTAGTCATTCAAAGCAGGGCCTTCCATGTGGCTGCCCCTCTTCCGTGGAATGGCATCCCCGTCGAGATACGGCAGGCCCTCACTATCTGCCCTTTTCGGTAACAACTGAAGATGGTTGTTTTTGTTCCAGCAGGCTTTCCCAGCTGGATAAAAGGATTCTTACAAGTGTCAGCTTGTTAGGGTTTTAGTCTTGATACAGAATGGTAGAATTGGAAGAGACCCTGTGGATTGTCTATTCCAGTGGTTCTCAACCTGTGGGTCCCCAGATGTTGTTGGACTACAACTCCCATCATCCCTGAGCTCTGGCCTTGCTAGCTAGGGGTGATGGGAGTTGTAGTTCAACAACATCTGGGGACCCACAGGTTGAGAAAGGCTGGACTCTATACCAACCCCCCTGCAACGCAGGAATTTGCAGCGGTCCCTTATGGCAGTATTGGGACGCGGGAGGCGCTGTGGGTTAAACCACAGAGCCTAGGACTTGCTGATCAGAAGGTCGGCGGTTCGAATCCCCATGACGGGGTGAGCTCCCGTTGCTCGGTCCCTGCTCCTGCCAACCTAGCAGTTCGAAAGCATGTCAAAATGCAAGTAGATAAATAGGTACCGCTCCGGCGTGAAGGTAAACGGCGTTTCCGTGCGCTGCTCTGGTTCGCCAGAAGCGGCTTAGTTATGCTGGCCACATGACCCGGAAGCTGTATGCCGGCTCCCTCAGCCAACAAAGCGAGATGAGTGCCCCTGACCATTCGGTCCAGTCGCAGACGACTCTGGGGTTGCAGCACTCATCTCGCTTTATTGGCTGAGGGAGCCGGCATACAGCTTCCGGGTCATATGGCCAGCATGACTAAGCCGCTTCTGGCGAACCAGAGCAGCGCACGGAAACACCATTTGCCTTCCCGCCAGAGCGGTACCTATTTATCTACTTGCACTTTGACATGCTTTCTAACTGCTAGGTTGGCAGGAGCAGGGACCGAGCAACGGGAGCTCACCCCGTCGCGGGGATTTGAACCGCTGACCTTCTGGTCGGCAAGTCCTAGGCTCTGTGGTTGAATCCACAGCGCCACCCTTGTCCCTGTAAAAATGTCAGATAGTTGTTTTAAATTATTCCGGGAGCTGTGGTTATGAGGTCACTGAAGACGTGAGCCGAGAACTTATCCCAGTGAAGAGAGTCATATTTCCCCATCTGTTGAGAGAGTTAACGGGGCAGGGGACATTCCCAGTCTCCTTGTCAGGTTCGTCAAGTTGGAGACCCCACAACTCTTTGGGGTTTTTTCATGTTGCTTTTCCTCTTTGGTCGGCAGATGAGAACTGCAGGGACAAATACCACAACTGCCCGGTGATCGTGCAGGCCCGCCTCTGCGTCTACTCCTACTACAAAGCCGTCTGTTGTGCCTCATGTACTCACGCCTTGGAGAGGCGCCACGCCGGACCGAGCCGATAGCGCTGGCGAGCGGCAGGATCCTGGACTCCTCGCACCTTTACTTGAACTGGGGACAAGCGGATATATTTCGCGGACTACGGGAGCCCCTGTCATCCGCAAAAAAATAAAACCTCATCCGCTGGAGAGGGATCGCAGCAAAGGCATTGAAGGACCAAATGGGATTCGAACTCGAGGTCCGAGAAATTCCCATCAGTGTCCTCTCCTCTGCTCTCTCCAGAAGGAGTATTTCATACTGTACCCCAGTATTTCCAGAGAAACCTACCCCAAGCTACAGACTCATCGTACTTCCTGCATTTCCTTTTAAGCTGTCCCCTTTCACGGAGGCTAGGAAGAGGGGAGACAAATTGCGACGGCACGCACGGCATTCTGGCAGACCCACAGATGATTTTGGTGGCCTTGGCTTTTAAGGAACTCCCAAGGGGTACTTTTGCACCCCGCTCGGCCTCCTCCCTACCTCCTTGAAGACACACCGCCAAAATTTTGGTTCCCTCCCGTGAAGCCATCCCCAATCCCATTCACACACACATACACACCCCGAAACGCTCATTTTACAACCAGCTAAAAGGAGGCCAGAATTGCCTGCACAGTTCCAACTTCAGCTTGTTTTGGGACACGGCGCTACGGATCGTGCACGGACGACCTGACATTGCCGTCGCTGGGTTCGATTCCTCGCGGAAGCCCTTTGGAAACGCACGGGACATGATGTGGAGTTCTGTGGTGGGTGGTTTCGGTCCCCGAGGCCTGTGAACTCGCCTGAGACAAAGCCCAGATGGGGAGGGAGCTCTCGAGCCAATCTATACCACCCCAGCCAGTAAAACCCCGTCAGCTGCGGCTAAAAAAAGGCTGGTGGATGGACTGGAACTCGGAGCCCTTGCAGTTCCACGCGCTCCCTTCCAGAGGGCAGCACTGAGTCTGACGCCTCCCAGCCATATTGGCTTTGCTCTAGTATTTCCTTAGGGAAGCGAAAAATATGCATATTTTTTTTCCTCCTGAAAATATACAGTATTGGTGCTACTTTGGATTGTGGAGAAGGCTGATTAGCAGCCGAGCAAGACGGTTCCTACAATCTTGCCACTGTTTCGTGATTTACAGTAGGAAGCGGGGACCTGCGGACCCCCAAAGGTCATTGGACTCCAGCTCCCCGCAGCCAGCATGCCCAGTGGTGATGGAAGTGGTCAAGCGACCAGCCCCAAACTCCCTCGGTCCAGAATGGACCTGGATTCCCTCAGTTTTGAGGAAATGACACAGAAGCGCAAACGTTTCTGCAGAAAGACTGATCAGTCTGCGCCTTGCCAAGCCAGCTTCCCAACTCGCAAGCTGCAGCCGGGTTTTCCATGCAGTTCTTGAGGTTGCCAACTTTTTCCGCCTGCCCGTGCTCCTCTGTCATCGACATCAATTCTGCTCCTCCTCCATCCCCAGAGAGAAGCACCGTGGGTTTTTGTTTTTACACGTCAAGGCGTCCCTTAAAGGCATGTGAGCTTTGGTTTTTGCTGAAGTTGGCAACCTTAGCACTCAGAGATGTTTCCTTCCTCCTTCCTAGCCTGCGCGGTGTTGCCAAGTGACCAGAAAACCCAGCCTGGCCTGCTGCCATGTTTCCAAGAGGAGCTTTGCCTGCAGAAACGTGGAAGCGAAGCTTCTCTTACAGCCTAGAGATATATTTTTTTAAAGCGGCTTGACGAGGTCTGTAGATGACACGGCTGCTAAACGCACAGGAGCAGGTCTCAGTGAAACAGTTGGCAACCCTCACCTCTAGAAACAGGAATATATTGCCTCCCTGTAGCTCAAATCAACACACTTTTGTTTTTCTCTCTGCCCTCCCCCCTTCTGAGAGTAGCTTCTGTGAAGGGTTGCCAACTTATTTCTGGGCAGATTTCCTGCGTCACTAACACTAAATCCTGTAGGAACAGCCGTTGCCATGTCCATGTCTAGAAGGGGCCTGATCTGTTGGATTTCTGCCTGTCACTGAGCCACTGAATGCACAAAAAACCTGGCAGGATGGAAGAAAAGTTTGGAGGGCACACAACCGTAGCATTTATTCTGAAGCTGTGAACCCTTAAGGCTTTGTGATGGAGTTTGTGGGGTGAAGCTTAAGAAATCAACAAGGCCCTGCAGTTAATATTTGGACCCTGGAGGCAGGGGCAGACCAAGGTGAGGGCAGTGGGGGCCCCGGGTGTCATCTCCAAGGGGGGGCGGGAGCTGTGGCGCGCTAACCCTAACCTTCTCCCCCCAAAAAATGCTCTACAACAAGTGGCAATGACAATGGATAGATCACAGCCAGTCTTTTTATACTGTGAGTCGATCGCAGTCTCTTGGGATTCCAACTAGATTTCAGTGGGGGGCAATAAATTTTCTGCCCCGGGTACCACCTGACCTTGCTATGCCACTGCAGGAAGGGCAGGTAGGGGGAGACACATTTCGGGGGGGGGGTTGGACTAGATGACCCCTGCAATTCCAACGCTGCAATTCTGTGATTCTAGATTGACAGAATATCCTAAATCCCATAGTTGACACCTGGTTATGGATTTGCTGCTCACAACAGCTTTTCCTCATGGGCCCAGGCCAGGGGCCTTTTTTAAATGACAGAAATTCAACAGGTGAAGAGGCATCTACTCCTTGCCGTTCCTCCCTGTAGCAACAGCTGAGTCATGATGGGGGAAGTACCGTATCTTTCCGTGTATAACACGCCCCCTGTGTATAAGACGCCCCCTATTTTGGGGGCCTCAAAATTACGAAAATGGGGGGAGGTTGCCCCCATGTATAAGACTAACCCCCCCCCTTTTAGCATTATTTTTTAGTAAAAAACAAACAAACTAGTCTTATACAGTGGTGCCTCGCAAGACGAAATTAATTCGTTCCGCAAGTCTCTTCGTCTTGCGAGTTTTTCGTCTTGCGATGCACGGTTTCCCATAGGAATGCATTGAAAATCAATTAATGCGTTCCTAGGGAAACCGCCTTCAGACCAGGTCCGGGGACAGTCTGTCCCCGGACCTCTTCTGAAGGCTGGGGGGCAAGGGCTTTTCTTCCACCCCCAGCATTTTAAATCACCCCGGGACAGCGGAGGACTTCTCCGCTGTCCGGGCGATCTTAAAATGCTGGCGGGCGGCATTTTAAAATCACCCCGGGACCGCGGGGGACTTCTCCGCTGTCCGGGGCAATTTAAAGCCCCTGGGAAGGCAGGCAGGGGACAAAGACTTTGCCCCCGCCAGCCTTCAGAAGAGGTCCTGGACCTCTTCTGAAGGCGGGCGGGGGCAAAGTCTTGCTCCCCGCCTTCAAAAGCCCTCCGGGACAGGCAGGCAGGGGAGCAAAGACTTCGCCCCCGCCCGCCTTCAGAAGGTCTTCCCTCCCCCGCCCGGCTCGGAGCACCGTTCCGGAGCCGGGCGGCGGCGGAGGTCTTCCCTCCCCCGCCCGGCTCGGAGCACCGTTCCGGAGCCGGGCAGAGGCGGGAGGTCTTCCCTCCCCCCGCCCGGCTCGGAGCACCGTTCCGAGCCGGGCGGCGGCGGCAGGTGTTCCCTCCCCCGCCCGGCCCGGAGCACCGTTCCGAGCCGGGCGGCGGCGGCAGGTGTTCCCTCCCCCGCCCGGCTTCGGAGGAGCCTTCCGAGCCCGGCGGCGGCGGGAGGAGGTGTCCCCGCCCCGCCGCCAGGCTTCGGAGGAGGTCCGAGGACAGTGGGGAAGACGCGCTGCGCTTCCCCGCTGTCCCTGAGATTTCCTATGGGCTGTCGTCTTGCGAAGCAAGCCCATAGGAAATTCGTTTCATGAGCGCCTCCAAAACGGAAAACCCTTTCGTCTAGCGGGTTTTCCGTCTTGCGAGGCGTTCGTCTTGCGGGGTACCACTGTACACGAGAAAGTATGGTACATCTCTCGGATTCCAGCTTCCCATGCAACCATTTTAAACATACATACATGCGCACAGTGCCGGATTTACGTATAAGCTAAACAAGCTATAGCTTAGGGCCCCGCTCTCTTGGGGCCCCCCAAAACATGTAAAGGAAAAAAAACACTGGATGTACATTTCCAAAATATTAATATACTACTACTTCTTAATTGTACTTCAGTTCAACAATTACTTGGATAAAATACATATTTTGTCATGTGCAGATGGCTTTAGATACTTATTAGGTCCATAAATAAATAAATATAGCATATATTCAACACAAAAAAACAGCGACAATTTGTTGCTGACAAAGGACAGCTGGACATATAAAGGGCCCCATCACCTTCAGGAGCTGAGGGCCTCATCAAACCTCAATCTGGCCCTGCATGGGCACATACATAATTTTATTTGTATGTCGCGTTTCAAACTTCCGACTCTACAATTCTATGATTCTATGAAACTTATGCTCAAGGCAGCTTACAACATGGGGAAAAAATGCATAACTGCAACATAGCAAAAGTATAGTCGTACCTTGGTTTTCAAACAGCCTAGTTCTCGGACGTTTTGGCTTCCAAACGATCGAAACCCGGAAGTGACTGTTCTGGTTTTCGAACGTTCTTTTGGAAGCCGAACATCTGACGGAGCTTCAATTGGCTGCAGGAGCTTCCTGCAACCAATCGGAAGCCGCGCTTTGGTTGTCAAACGTTTTGGAAGTCGAACGGATTCCGTTCGACTTCCGAGGTACGACTGTAGTCCTATACGATAAATAGAACATTGCAAAAACACACAGTCAAACTGAACAGTTTCCACATAAATTACAACAAGCCCTAAAACGAAGATACAAAAAAATACCGACAAATGACACAGGAGCCTTTCTGGAAGAAAAAGTTGGCAACGTCCTGTCTTTCTGGTAGGCCAGATGGTAGAATGAGCCACAAGGGAGGATATTGGGCAGTACCAATGTGCAATGGGCTCTTGTGCATCAGGAAGAGAGAGAAAACAAACCACCCTAAGTGGTTTCCCTGAAGCACTGAGGAGAGGAAAGAAACAGCAGCTGTTGAATTTCTTCCTACAACACCACTCTTAAAAGGTACAGGAGCCCTCTTGGAACCAGGGCTTGGCTTCCCACTGAATTGCAAATAGCTGCATCAGATTATCAGAAACGGACAAAAAAAGAGGAAAAGCATTTATAGGAAAGACTTTTTATAGAAACGGCTCAGAGTGCTCAGATTATATAAATATATATAAAATATATATATTATATATAAATCTCTATGATAAAGCTGAATGTATCTAGGTTTGGTTTGGTTCCCCCTCCCCCAAACACACCCACCCCTTTTTTTTTTCTTGGTCCAAATCTAATTTATTTTTTATTAAAGATTTATTTGAGGTTTTATGCCTGGAGTTTTCTCTTTATTTCTTTAGATGCACTTTTCTAAACCACTTCACTGTTGTTGTTTTTCCTCTAATCCGCCGGCATCACAACAGAAAATCAAGGGAACGGTATTCTTAAAAATGGGAGATTCCAACCCAAGGGAAACAGTACTATGGATACAGGAATCTTGTAATCTGGAGAGCCAGTGTGAAAAAGAAATTAGTGCTGAACTAGGACCCGCCCCCCCCGCTCCAAGTAAACCACAAGTAACCCCCCCCACCCCAATGATCTAAGTAATCTTACAGGCGTACACAGGGGTAGCTGATCGGCAGCCAGTGCTGCTGCCTCAGTCGACACAGCTGTAGAATGGGTGCATCCAGGCAATGTGGCCACAGAATCCTGCACCTGATGCAGCTTCCAGACCAGTCTCAAGGGAAGCCCCGAATCCAGTATATTACAGTAGTCTATCTGTGGGGTCACCAATGCATGGAGGGGCCAAAGTGCCAATTCCCACTCCCCACCCCACTTTTGCTTGTAAATAAAGGAAGGCACATGACCCATTTGACTACATCAAAACGGCGTTTTACTGATTTATTTGGGTGAGGCATGTACCAGACGGCTTTGCAGCGGAGTGCAAATTCATTCCAGGTATGGGAAGATTCCCCCTTAAATTGCACAAAAAATTGGAGTCCAAGAGGACTAGTAACTTGCGTGGACCAATCTGCAAAGTGCAGTTGGGGTTTTCCGTCTGGGCTGCTGAGATCAGTTTGGCGTTGCTTCATGGAAAAAAACCCAAAACCTGCTACTAAGAGAAATCCCAGAGGATCTGCTGTGTTTTCTCTGCTGCAAGAGGGCTCCCAATTTGCTTATATTCTAATATTATTCACCCTCCAGCAGGGGGCAGCGATGCCCTAGTTCAGCATTCCCTAAGGTCACAATTAGGATAATTCCTCAAACAGCATTAAAAAAACACAAAACACCACCCAGAATTAAATGAAAAAGGCTTTGAAGGGCTGGTGTTTTGTTTTGGGATTTTATTTTCCTTAAGGCTTTCTGCGTATGGAAAGCTGGTAGGAGATTTATTTATGTGTTTATTGTTTCCATCAAAATTAATTCCAAAAATCTTGTACGTTGCCACCATAACTGATAATGCACCGAGCTTCTCACAGTCCCTCCAGCCATTAGGTGATGCAGAAGAGGACATTTTTGACATTTGCAATACAGTAGTACCTCGGGTCAAGAACTTAATTCGTTCTGGAGGTCCATTCTTAACCTGAAACTGTTCTTAACCTGAAGCACCACTTTGGCTAATGGGGCCTCCCACTGTCGCCACGCCGCGATTTCGGTTCTCATCCTGAAGTGAAGTTCTTAACCCGAGGTACTATTTCTGGGTTAGTGGATGTCTGTAACCTGAAGCATCTGTAACCCGAGGTACCACTGTACCATTTTTGGCTGCAATACCATCTGCATAGTGATTGCAACCTGGTGGGTGTGGCTGGGTGTAATCCTGCGCTTTTTCTCAGCACCTGACTCAGCTGCAAGACAGCAACTGCCTGGGGCAAAGGCGTTGGCAGAGGGACGCTGAGGTTTCCTTCTTCCTAACTCTCTCTTCTCTGCCAGGACATCCTACCTGCCTATAATTGCCCCAACTCTGCCAGCTGCCCTCCTCCTCCTCCATAAACTGCACCCAGAACCAAAACAGCCGCATGGGAAGGGGACAAGCAAAGTTCAGTTCTGCAGCTGGCCAGCACTGCAAGGAATACCGTATTTTTCGCTCTATAAGACGCACCAGACCATAAGACGTACCTAGTTTTTGGAGGAGGAAAACAAGAAAAAAAAATATTCTGAATCCCAGAAGCCAGAACAGCAAGAGGGATCGCTACGCAGCGAAAGCAGCAATCCCTCTTGCTGTTCTGGCTTCTGGGATAGCTGTGCAGCGTGCATTGACTCCATAAGACACACACATATTTCCCCTTACTTTTTAGGAGGGAAAAAGTGAGTCTTATAGAGCAAAAAATACGGTAATCATAGAATGGTAGGGTTGGAAATGAACCTCAAGGATCATCTAGTCCAACCCCCAGAAATGCAGGAATCGCAGCGTAAAGAATCCCTGACAAATGGCCATCCAACTTCTGTTTAAAAGAGAGTCCATCACCTTCCGAGGGAGCCCATTCCATTACTGCACAGCTCTTAATCTGAAGCTCCTTGTCATCTGAATCCACTGACTCGGGTCCTGCCGTCTGGAGCAGCAGAAAACAAGCTCGTTCCATCTTCCACCGGACGTCCCTTCAGATATTTGAAGAGGATTTTAATAAGGAATGGGGAGGGGGGATTATAATTTATCTTAAAAATCATTGCAAACAGTTAAAATCGTTAGTAGGATTGGAATAGCACTTGTAGTGAATTTTGCAATGGTGAATTTTGGATATACAGTAGTGGCGATGTAAAAAAGAGTTGGATTATTATAAAAGATGCAGGAGGAAATGATTAACAGGACCTGAAGAAGGGAAGCCCAGGAGATTCTTTGGAATCTTGCTTTTATGTTGTATGTTGGATATCTGATTGCAAAACATTAATTTGAAAAACCAAACGAATAAATTTATTTAAAAAGAACAAGAAGAGGATGTCACCTCTCTCAGTCTCTTCCGCACTAAACAGCTGACCCCAAAACTGTATGCTTTGCATTAAGTCTCAGGCTGCATCCCCACTGACTGGCGTCTCCAGGTACTCCTCTGAAATTCTGAAGAGCCCCTGCCAAATAATGCTGACCTGTAGAGAGCCGTGGTCTGCCTCCATGCAAGGCAGCTTAAGGTCAATGGGTCTCCTCTGAACAGCTGCAAACAGATTCGATTTTGGAGATTGGGAAATGTGGGCTATAAATATTATTATTTATTAAATTTGCATACCGCCCTCTACCCACAGATCTCAGGGCAGTTAAAACCCAAAATCCCAATATAAAAACATTCAATGCATAATACAATATTAAAAACAACCCAATAACACCCCCAGTTAATAATAATAATTCTTTATTTATACCCCGCCCTTCCCGGTTCAGAAAACAGGGCTCAGAGCGGCTAACAACAAATTTAAAACACTTAACTGATGCAACAAAAAACAGCGTAAAATGCAGTATAAAACGTGAATAACAATAAATTCAGAATTCATACTAATACATAATGCTATTTAAAAATAATGAATTGTATAAAACCAATTGCAAGCCACTTAATACTATTTTTAAAGGAAAGAGGTAGAAGGGCAGCTTTACTCGGGAATGGCCCGCAATGACGATCGGGCTTGCAAGGGCGGCCCCAATCCCCGACCCCTCCACGCAGCCACTGACTGCACCGCACGCCACTCACAGCCGGGAAACCCGCTGCGCATGCGTGCGTCCCCGGAGCGCCGGCCCCGCCTTCTTTTTCCTCCTCCTCCTCCTTCCCAATCAGGCGCTGGCATAGCCACCTACGGCCCTTCTCTCCATTGCCGCCAACGGGCCCTGACTTGGGGTCCTTCGCCTTCTCCGGGAAGAGGGGGGGGGGTCGGTTAAATGAATAAAAAATAAAACGAACCCCTCCCCATTCGCGTGTGAGGAGAAAGTTAATCTGAGGCGGGGGCGGGAGTTTTTTAAAAATGTATTTATTTACCTCACGGCGGAGCGGATAGGGAGAAGAAAGAGGCCCCCTCAGGCGGCGGCGAGGGCAGCCCCGGAGCTGGGCCCGGCGACGGCGGCGGCTGGAAGAGGCTGAGGCGGCCGGAGGGAGAGAGACTGAAAGACTGAGAGAGAGAGAGAGGCCGCGGAGGGGCGCCGGCTCCTGCCTCCCTCCCTCTCTCCCGCCGCCGCCTCTCTCCCATGGACACGGCGTGAGGTGAGTGCGGGGAAGGCAGGCAGGCACCTCCGAGGGCACCCCTGGGGGGTCCTCCGTCCCCTCCCCCCTCAACGCCCCCTCCCTCCAGGGCCCCTGCCCCCCTCTCCTGCCCCAGGGGCCCATGGGAGATTTCGTCCCCCTCCCCTTCAAGGCCCCCCCCGCACAAGGCCAGGAACTGCCCCCCCGTCTTTTGCCCCAGGGGGGCTCAAGGGCCCTTCTCCCCCCCCTTCCAACCCCTGCCCCACTGACTCCTTGGGTCTCCCCTCTCCTGCCCCAGGGGCCCATGGGAGATTTCACGCCCCCTCCCTTTCAAGCCCCCCCCCCGCACAAGGCCAGGAACTGCCCCCTGTCATTTGCCCCAGGGGGGCTCAAGGGCCCTTCTCCCCCCCTTCCAACCCCTGCCCCACTGACTCCTTGGGTCTGTCCACCCCACCCCCCACCCCACTGCCAGGCCGCCTCTGGATCCGGCCCTCCTTGCCCCCGCCCCAGTTCCTCCTCCTCTTCCCCCGTTTCTTCTGACACGTAAGAGCTCCCACCGTTCAGGTCTCCCTGTTCTCCCCCAAAACTGCCCCCTTGGCTCCTGGGGTTTCTCTCCTCAGCCCCCTTTCGCCCCCTTCTCAGTGTCCTCAAGCGGATCCCACCAGCCTTGATTTCCTCTCCCCCTGCCCCACTCCCACCTACCCTCTTGCCCCATTGGCTTCTGGGAGCCTTTGGCCTCCCAACACCCCCCTCCAAAATATTATTTCCCTTATGCCCCCTTGTTTTGCATCGCTCCCCACACCCCAGCCTCCACTCTCTTGTCCCCCTCTCTTTGCCCCACTGATTCCTGGGATTTAGTTGCCTCTGTCCGCCCCCCCCTTCTGCAAATTAATACTGGCTCCCATTCTGCTACCCCCTCACTTCAACTCTTTCCACTCCATTCCCTGATCCCCATTTTCCTTTCTCCCGTCCTTGGATATGAGACACCTTCCTCACCATTGCTCCTCTATTACCTCTGACCCATTTATCTGTAACGTTAATGTCATGCAGCGGCTTCTCTGGTTTAAATCAGACGACTTCTTCTAAAACAAAACATATTTGGGAGGCTAGTAACTTTTTGCAGGCGTATTTCCACACCAGTTGTATCCCACAACTCCTCAAGACTGCCATTTTTTGTTCGTAATGATAAGGAGTGCTGGGGTTTTAATACCTCACCTTTTCCCTCTTCCCCACCCCACTTTCTGAGTCCTTTTCACCCTCCTCACTGAGTTGCCAAGGAGCAAGTTTCTCTTTTAAAAGCTCTTTTAATTATACACTCGCTTCCTTGTAGGGACGGGAAGATGTGGCTTTGCCTGTGGTGTGGGGAAAGGAGAGTCAGAGCAAGTTTGCCAGCGGTCCTCAGAGCATTTCTGAGTCCTTGCTGGTTTTGCAGCTCTCGGTGCTGAGTGAGCTTTTCTAAGCTTCAGAGACATCCGATTCCAATTACATTCTTACTTTGCAGTTTCTCTGCCTCTTCCACCTCTCCTCTTCCAAGCATTTCCACTTCAGATTGTCTTATAAACCTACCCCCCAAGTTTATGATTGTTTTGACATCCCTATATCCCTGCCCACCTTTCCCCCTTGTGAGAACAGGCACAGGATTTGAGCCAGGCTTTGCACTTGAACTATAGTGTCCTGAATGTGTATACCAGCTTAAGTTCTGATACAGTGGTACCTCAGGTTAAGTACTTAATTCGTTCCGGAGGTCCGTTCTTAACCTGAAACTGTTCTTAACCTGAAGCACCACTTTAGCTAACGGGGCCTCGCGCCGCTGGAGCACGAGTTCTGTTCTCATCCTGAAGCAAAGTTCTTAACCCGAGGTACTATTTCTGGGTTAGCAGAGTCTGTAACCTGAAGCGTATGTAACCCGAGGTACCACTGTATTTCAGTCTTCAAGGATGAACGCTACCCTTCACCCCTTCAAAAATGGACTGTGCTTTTGAACATGAAGTGATGCGTGGCATCCCTCCAGATTTCTGCAAACACCTTCCTGGTATTTCAGTGTTTGAGAGAGATGCTGTGTTTAAAAAGCAGACCAAAAACCCCTGTGTTAAAACTGAAAGGTTGAGCGAGACGTTTCCTCCATTTCCCCTCCCAACGCATCTCACTTTTCTTCCCTACAGCTGTGAAGGATCATCGCAGAGAATCCCTTTGAGTCCCCATCTCCAAAGATGGCTGACTCGGCTGGCATTGTGGGCGAGCGTCTCAGCAGGGGCAAGCTGCCCGGTTGGATGGGCACGAGAGAGGTGAGTGGTGGATGGGCCTCTTTCTCTGGGCATGCATGATGGGCCTCCTCTGTGGTGTATCGGGCTGTTGTTGTTGTTGTTTAGTTGTGTCCGACTCTTCGTGACCCCATGGACCAGAGCACGCCAGGCACTTCTGTCTTCCACTGCCTCCTGCAGTTTGGTCAGACTCATGTTTGTAGCTTCGAGAACACTGTCCCACCATCTCGTCCTCTGTCGTCCCCTTCTCCTTGTGCCCTCCATCTTTCCCAACATCAGGGTCTTTTCCAGGGAGTCTTCTCTTCTCATGAGGTGGCCAAAGTAGTGGAGCCTCAGCTCCAATCGGGCTAGTACTTCCCAATTCTTGGGTTTCCAAGAAGAGGAGGAGGGAATCATGATTAACCGCAAGTGTGGGGAACCTCTGGCCCTCCAGTTGCTGCAGTACCGCTACCCTCATTGCTCAGTTGGTTAGAGCAGGGTGCTGCTAATGCCACGGTTGCAAGTTCAATCCCTATATGGGACAACTGCTCAGGGTCCCTTCCAACTCTACGATTCTATGATCCCTGACTGTTGCCTATCCTTGCTGGGACTAATGGGGGTTGTAATTCAGCAACATCTGGAAGGCTAGAGATTGCCCCGCATCCGATTTCCTTCTTTCTTACCTCTCAAGTCTGGGCTGTTTCCTTCCCTTTTTATCTGGTGCTCCAATCCGAAGCAGACACACACCCCTACCTCTTTCAGCCAATCATTCAATGAGCCTGTTTGCCAGTAAGAAACGGGGGGCCCTCAGCAGCCTGTTTATTTACAGCACCAGTAACACACGAAAAGGCTTCCAGAATGGCTGGTTAAAACAAGGCCGTCTCTGCTCACAGGCTTGCAATCTAAATGGCATGGCACAAAAGGAAAGAGGGGCAGGGAGGGAAACTCAGGCACAGATTCTTAAAATGTTTAAATAGCAGTTTTATTTAATGGGAATAGTTCAGGGCTAGGAGGCTCCTGATGGAGCTGGTCTTTCTGTGGAGGCGACAGAACGAGCGCTGCTTTCTATCTGGCTGGCTGAGGCTCCTTCCAGGTGGGTGTTGAGGAGGGGAAGAGGAGGCACGATGGAGCTGGTCTTCCAGCAGAGCTGAAGGGCTCCCCTGAGGTTCCCATGAAACACCCTGCCTGGGTGCCTGTTGTGTCCTGTGCTGGTTCCCTTCTCACTGTTTAGTTACTTTTGTCATCCTTTCCAGAGGGTGCAGCTATCTCTTGCGTTAAGAAGGACAGAGCCTTGCGGCACCTTAAAGGGCTAACAAACTTATTGTGGCACAAGCATCCTTCAGAGGCATGAATTGTTACCCTGCGCTTTCTTGTGTTGGCTGCGTATGATGCGTATGCTTTGCCTCTATGATCTGGGGCAGTAATGTTTCTGAATACCAGCTGCTGGAAACTGCAGGAGCGGAGAGGGCTCTTGGGCTCGGATCCTGCTTGTGGGTTTCCCACAGGCTTCTGTGAGAAAAGGATTCTGGATGAGATGGGCTCCAGCAGGGGCCCCTCTTCCGTTCTTAGGTCCAAGTTACCACTATCTGTCCTCTGCATTTCATTTGCCTCTGACCTTGCCGCTTACAATTCTCCCCCCACTCCTAAAACTGCATACAGTCATACCCTGGGTTACAGACGCTTCAGGTTGCGCGTTTTCGGGTTGCGCACTGTGCTGAACCCGCAAGCACTGGAATGGGTTACTTCCGGGTTTCGGCACATGCGCAGAAGTGCAGAATCGCAACCTGCGCATACACAGACGTGGCGCTGCGGGTTGCGAACGCTGCAGGTTGCCAACGTGCTTCCCGCACGGATCACGTTCGCAACCCGTGTCCACTGTGTAGCTCAATATAACACTTTGTATTGCCTACCGTACTTTGCAAGAGTTTATGCCACACAAAAAAACCATTCATCTTTTGAAGTTGCCAAAATACTTTGTTCTTGTTTTTAAGTTGGAGCAGCAGTGGTTTGTGCTTAGGCATTCAGTTTGAAACACCCAGAGGACTCTGTGCATGTGAGCCTTCCCCACCCTGATGCCCTCCAGATATTGTTGGATTACTATACCATATTCCCTGAAAGAAGGAACACAGGAAGCTATCAAGTTAGGGGTGGGGGGCGCTGCTTTGCAGTGGTTACGTTCCTACTTGGGTGGTTGTTTCCAGAGGGTGATGCTTGGGGAGGGCTCTTTGGCGCCGCGGAGCCTTCAATGTGGAGTTCCTCCGGGTTCAGTTTTATCCCCCATGCTGTTTTAACATCTACATGAAACCGCTGAGTAGGGTCATCCAGAATTTTGGAGTACGTTGTCAGCAATATGCTGATGCCACATAGCTCTTCTTCTCCTTTACATCTGCAGGTGTGTCAGTGGATGAGCTGAACCGTTGTCTTGCCTCAGTAATAATAATAATAATAATAATAATAATAATAATAGTAATAGTAATTTATTATTGGTACCCCACCCATCTGGCTGGGCTTCCCCAGCCACTCTGGGCAGCTTCCAACAAAGATTAAAAATACATTATGCACTGGATGAGAGCCAACAAATTGAAGCTCAGTCCAAATAAGACTGAGGCTCTGTTAGGGGGTTACACTCCCCCTGAAGGAGCAGGTACGCAGCTTGGGGGTGCTCAGGTGGCCTCAGTGGCATGGAATGCCTTCCATCAGCTTTGGCTGGTTGCCCAGCTGCGCCCCTATCTGGACAGGGCTAGCCCAATTTCTGTCATCTGTACTCTGGTAACCTCTAGCTTAGATTACTGCAACACATTCTACATGGGGCTGCCTCTGAAGGCGGTTCGGAAACTTCAGCTGGTGCAGATTTCAGCGGCCAGGTTGCTCGGTGAGGCAAGACGGTTTGAGCATGTTACACTGATCCTGGTCCAACTGCACTGACCACCAGTTAGCTTTGGGGCCCAATTCAAAGTGCTGGTTTTGACTTAAGAAGTCTTGAACAGCCCAGGACCATAAGAGCTGAAGGACTGCCTATCCCTATATGAACCAACTTTTAGATCGTGCAGCTGTCATTTGAGGGCCTTCTTTGTGTGCCATCTGCACATGGAAACGAGCCTTTTCTGCGATGGCTCCCTGTTTATGGAATGCTCTCCCCAGAAAGGTTTGACTGCCACCTTCGTTACATATCTTCATCCGCTAGTTAAAAACATCCCTCTTAAGTCTTTGGCCTATATGTTGCTTAATTGGCTAAAGAGTTACGAGGAATGTTTTTGCCTGGTGGCTAAAGATATGTAATGGGAGGAGAGGTATTATTATCAATAATAATAACATATTTTACCAAGTCAGACCCTTGGTCTGTTTAGCTCCATATTGTCTACACTGACCGGCAGCAGCTCTCCTCTCTCAGTCCTACCTCCAAATGCCTGGGACCTTCTGCGTGTAAAGCGGGTGCCCTATGTCACTAGCTTTAAAATTAATACTAAGATTCTAGTCCTCATGGTCATGATCCAAGATTTGACTTTATACTCAGACCCTTAGTTTAGGTAGCTCTGTATTGTCTATGCTGGCAGACAGCATCTCTCTGGGTTTCAGACAGAGTCCCTCCCAGTCCTGCCTGAAGATGGCAGGGATTGAACCCAGGACCTTCTGCATGCAAAGCAGGTGCTCTACCACTGAGCTACCACCTTTCCCCAGGTTAGATCAGTTAGGCAAATCATAGACACATAGAACTGTAGAGTTGGAAGGGACCCCAGGGGTCATCTAGTCCAACCCCCTTTCATTGCTCACAGTGATCCTATCAGGAACGGGTCAGGAGGCTGTGGCCCTCCAGCTCTTGCCGGACTACATCTCCCGCCATCCTCCCTGACCTTTGGGCATGCTGGCTGCTGGGAGTTGGAGTCTAGCGAAAGACTTCCGATATGCCCCGCCCTTCCTATAAGGTAGCCCAGCATCATTCATCGCCCAGCGCAGGCAGGTGGTTGTGAAGCGGGTGAGTCAACTGCGACAGAATGGTGTGGGATGGCGAAGTGGTTTTCCAGCGCTCGTGGCCCTCTTTGTGTATGTGAGCACATGGCTGTGATATTCCAGCCTGCAAGAACTCTGGGAGCGATGACTCTTGTCGCCGCTGCTTCAGAAGCAAACCCCCGGCAGTTGCCACCATCTCCGTGTGACTCAGTGGCTTGGTTCAGACTTGCCTCTTTGTGTGTGTACATTAAAAAAAAAAAGTATACTCATCCTGCTAAATTGCCCTTGCACAAGTTCAGCTGTCTGCTCCTCCCCGCCCCCTGTTGATGCTGCAAAATTCCCTGGGATCACTGCCTTCTTGGGTAGAAATCTAGGGCCTCCTTTTCAGCCGTATTCATTTCAATCACTATCATACCACTTTGTTCTGTCCAAAGAATCATGGGAGCTGTAGTATGTTCAGGGTGCTTAAAGCTGTTAGGAGCAGGCCTCAGTTCCCCTTACAGCTGACAGAGTAGTTTAACCACTCCTCATTAGCAAGACATGGAAGGCCCCCCCCTTCTGTCTTATCGTTTGCATCATTTTTCAGTTTGCAAAACCTGGTTTAAAACTTGTTTGCGCAAACCCGTTTGGAGGTGGTTTGCAAAAGCCCATTTCCCCGCTGCGGCCCCCAAGGCATCCTGGGAATGTTAGTTCTTTGGAGGAGCTAGGAGTGACTGACAGCAAGAGCCCTGGTTCCCTCAGGAAACTACAGGTTCCAGGATTCCTTGCTGCAGCTATATTTTCCAATACCCAGAGAGAGGGATGGATTGTTAAACCGCTCTATTAATTGCCGCTCTGTGAGGGGGAACAAGGGTCTCCTGCTAATAATTTTCAGCACCCTGAACAAACTACAGTTCGCAGTGTGTTGGGGGGGAAGCCACGGCTGTTTAATGTGGAATTATAGTGCATATGGGGCCCTACCTATTTCAAAAGTGCCTCCAGCCTCTGGCATTTCAAAGGTAGACTGCCTCTGCAAGTGGAGGTTGCATGTAGCATCGTGACTATTAGCCTCTCCAGGATTACAGGCTTCCAAATTATTTTCCCGGCCTAGTTCAAGGTCTGGGCTTTGAGCTTTTTAAAGCAGGGGTGTGGGGACCTGTGGCTCTCCACATCCTGTGGTTGGGCTCTCAGCTCCCATCAGCCCTAAGAGCCAGTGTGGTCAGGGGGGATGATGATGATTATGATAGCTGGAATGCAGCAACACCTGACGCGCCAGAGGTTCTCCACCCCTGTATTAAAGCCCCAAAACAGCCCAGAGGTCACACCAGAGACGCACCGCCTCCAATCATGTCCTTTTGTGTCCTTCAAGGCCCTCTGCGGATACCCTGCTCTCTGCCCTTGGTGGCAGCTTCCAAGAGCAGAGCCTTCTCTGCAGTGACACCCCCCCACCACCAGCAGCACCCTTGTAGAATTCCTGGCCGAAGTAAGAGGGGACAGCAGCCAAGGAGAGAGATGTAAGAAATTATTGACTTATTGAAGACTGGAGGGAGCATGGAGGTGTCTTGGGAAGGGAGGGGAGGAGATTACAGGCGAAGACCTTGAACAATGAGGACTAGAATTTTTATATTTATGCAAAGCATCAGCACAAGGGGCCTGGGGTTGATTCAGAGAACTGAGAGACCCTTCGTGCAGCTACCAGAATCTGTCAGAGTGCGCAAGTTTCTGACGCGTCCAAAGTGCTTTGGGCTGACCGGACAGGAGACTTTTAATTTATTTATTTTTTAGCCTTCCCTGGCTCGGCCTCTGTGGAAAAAGCCTAATTCCTGTCCAGCGAGTCTTTCCTCTACGCCAAGAAGAGTCCATGCTTGAAAGATGGTGAGGGTTTTCCCAACTGCCCTGTTTAATTTAGGTCTGGATTGGTGCTGGCTTCATAGACAGGTGTAATCCTGTTCTTCACCTGCCCTCCCACCCCAAGGTCCCTGCTTTTCTTGTTGTCGACTTCAGGCTAGGCCTGCTTTCCTTGACCTTTGAAGCGATTTCTTGACATGGAGTCGGAGAAGGGATGGGGGCTGAGGGGAGGTTGCAGGGCTTAACGTAGGCCTCGTAAGCGAAACTTCAACGAGAGCCACGTGTTCTGTCCTTGGGAGGTGGGTAGGCAGCAAATTCTGCAAAACGCTCAGCCTTGGGGAGGAAAGTAACACCGTTTAATAGCCACCAGATGTCTGGAGCTTATCCTGGCTCTATCTGGGCTGGTTCCACAATCCCAGCTTCCAGCTTTCATGCAAAGCGTAATTAACTTGGAGAGATCGCTAATCCTCTGCCACGGGGTGCAGCCATTGCCTAGGACAGCTCTTTAAAGCAATATAATAATATTTATTTTTAAGTTTAGCTCTCCTGGGTGGCTGTAAAAGAGCTTTGGGCGAATACAGGAGAAGGCCACGAGTCACAATGGCTGTGCGCTGCCTCCATGGTCGGATGCAGTAATGCTTCTGAATACCAGTTGCTGGAAGCCACGGGAGGAGAAAGGGTTCTTGCACCCGGGTCCTGCTTGTGAGTTTCCCACAGGCCCCTGGGTGGCCACCGCTGGGATGGGCCGTTGGCCAGCAGGGCTATCCTTGCGGAGGTCTGTTGTGACAGCAGAACCTCCATGCCCAAGGATAATCTACCTCTGAATACCAGATATTGTGGAATGACAATTGGAGAATACCGGGGCAGTCCGATCTCACTTGTGGGCTTCCTATTGGGGCATCCAGTTGGCCACTGTGAGAACAGGATCCTGGGCTAGATGGGCCCCCTTTGGCCTGATCCAGCAGGCAGGCTCTTCTGATGTTCCTAACTCCTTTTGGATGGTTTCACATCCTTAACTTTGTGTTTTGCATCAGGTTGCCTCCGATGCAAAGACCCGTCAAAATGAATGTTCGTGTGACTAAGCAAGGGTGGTTAATTTCAGTGGGTCTACTTGGAGTAAAATTTAGCTGGGTACAGCCCATTGACTATGCTGTCACCCCCCCCCCTTCAGATATATACAGTGGTACCTCGGGTTACATACGCTTCAGGTTACAGACTCCGCTAACCCAGAAATAGTACCTCGGGTTAAGAACTTTGCTTCAGGATGAGAACAGAAACCGTGCTCCAGCAGCGGCGCAGCAGCAGAAGGCCCCATTAGCTAAAGTGGTGCCTCTGGTTAAGAACAGTTTCAGGTTAAGAACGGACCTCCGGAACGAATTAAGTACTTAACCCGAGGTACCACTGTACAGTCATACCTCGGGTTACAGCCGCTTCAGGTTGTGTTTTTTTCAGGTTATGGACCGCCGAAACCCGGAAGTACCAGAACGGGTTACTTCTGGGTTTCTGTGGTTGCGCATGCGCAGAAGCGCTGAATCGCAACCCGTGCGTGCACAGACGCGGGTTGCGAACATGTATCCCGCACGGATCACGTTCGCAACCTGAGCGTCCACTGTATATATTTAAAGCACAATCTGCTTTGGATACTCAGATGAGCAAGGTGAAGAAAAATGTGGTTAAATGTGACAGGAGGGCCTGTGTGGGAATCCCCTGAGAGATCTTGAGCTGCCTCATCCTCTGGCAGTGGAGAGCTAATTGGCTCTTGGCCTCAGGCTGAGCTCCCTGCTGGAATTCCCCTCCCCGTCCTCTCCTGCTTCCTACCAAACAGGAGCTGCGAATTTGGGGAGTGACCATGAGCAAACTGCTTCTCTTCCTCGCCAAATCCCCCCAAAACGTGGGGATGATGACGCTGCCCTGCCTTGCAGGGCTGTTGTAAAGATTTGCAAGAGATCCCTTGAGGAAACAGATATATAAATATGATATAGCTGGGGGGGTGGCTGGGTAAGGCTTCTCTGCAGGGTTCTGTGGTAGAAGTTGCTGTGGGATGGGTTCTCTGATTCTCTTTGGGCTTGTTTACTTTGGAAAGCTGCTGCAGTCGTGGATCCTGGACTACCAATCCCCTGGTGCTAGTCCCTGGAATAACCTGAGTCCCCTGAAAGCAGCAGCTCTTCCACATTTATTTTAAGCATTGGTGTGGGAGAGGGAGAGAGGGACAAAAGATCATAGAAGGCAAAATTCCTCTGGGGCTTTTGATGAGAGAAGCCGGCCGTGCCCATGGCCCCACCTTACAGTGGTTACATCACACGCTAAGCAGATAAAACTGGGTATTCATTCCATCCTTTAATTAGTAGGGAGTCATTTAATTTCGGACCCTGTGACCTGCTAGCGTGTTCTTCGCAGGCTCCAAATCCTCTCTTGTGTGGCGCTTTGAATTTGGGAGTGTTATTGGCAGGAAACTCCTCTAAGTGAAAGCTTCCCTTTTTGGAAAGAAGGGGATTAATTCTTCTGCACTCTGTGTGTGTGTGTGTTAATCTCTGGGCGCGTGAGGAAGCATAGCTCTGCTGCAGAGACTCTTAACATTTGAAGATCACAAGGGAAGGGATGACGCTCAGGGCCAGAGCATCTGCTCAGCATGCAGAAAGTTCAGCCCCCACCATCTCCAGGACAGGCTCCTTACCTGAAGCCCTGGAGAACCACTGCCCGTCCGTGTAGACAATACTCAGCCAGTGCGACCAAGGGGCTGACACTGTGAAAGGCATCTTTCTGTGGTTTCCTGTTAAATCAGCCCTTTATTTGCAACCATGAGGACTATTTGTTGTTTAGTCGTTTAGTAGTGTCCGCCTCTTTGTGACCCCCTGGACCAGAGCACGCCAGGCACTCCTGTCTTCCACTGCCTCCTGCAGTTTGGTCAAACTCATGTTCGTAGCTTCGAGAACACTGTCCAACCATCTTGTCCTCCGTCGTCCCCTTCTCCTTGTGCCCTCCATCTTTCCCAACATCAGCGTCTTTTCTAGGGAGACTTCTCTTCTCATGAGGTGGCCAAAGTCTTGGAGCCTCAGCTTCAGGATCTGTCCTTCCAGTGAGCACTCAGGGCTGATTTCCTTCAGAATGGATACGTTTGATCTTCTTGCTGTCCATGGGACTCTCAAGAGTCTCCTCCAGCACCAGAATACAAAAGCATCAATTCTTCGGCGATCAGCTTTCTTTATGGTCCAGCTCTCACTTCCATACATCACTACTGGGAAAACCATAGCTTTGACTATACGGATCTTTGTTGGCAAGGTGATGTCTCTACTTTTTAAGATGCTGTCTAGGTTTGTCATTGCTTTTCTCCCAAGAAGCAGGCGTCTTTTAATTTTGTGGCTGCTGTCACCATCTGGAGCCCAAGAAAGTAAAATCTCTCACTGCCTCCATTTCTTCCCCTTCTGTTTGCCAGGAGGTGATGGGACCAGTGGCCATGATCTTCGTTTTTTTGATGTTGAGCTTCAGACCATATTTTGCGCTCTCCTCTTTCACCCTCATTAAAAGGTTCTTTAATTCCTCCTCACTTTCTGCCATCGAATTATCTTTTGGGGAAGGACAGCAGTGAGCACCTGCACCGAATGCAGAAGGCCCCAGGTTCAAAGCCCAGTGGCACCTCGGAAAGACTCCCTCTTTAAACCCCTGGAGAGATTCTGCCCCTGAGTGTCAGCAGCACTGAGCTTAGTTGGACTCTAGGGTCTGAGTTGGTGCTGGGAGCTTTCTGCATCCCAGGAACTCGCAGGTTCTGGCTTCAAGTCAGTAGCCAGCTGTTGACCTCTGCTTGCCACAGACCCTTTTATTTGCCTGATAGATTTGTGGCTGTCAGGTGGGGCCTCTCCATCCTCTCCTCTGGGCTTACTGCCATCCTTCCCAGATCTTCCCACTTCCTTCACCTGCGTTCGGTTCACCTGCCTCTACATCTGCACCTGTCCTTTGAGGCTCTTGACACTTCTCCACGTGTTGACCAAGTTCTCTTTGCTTGCCAGTTCCTTTCCGTGCAGCCCACTTCGCTTGCCTTTCCTCTCCTCTGGGCTTTGCATCCATGGGGAGCTCCCCCCCCCCCCCGCGTCTACATCTCAGTTAATTTACTTCCCGGAACACGGACTTTTAATTGCTCCTCTCAGAAGTCTTCCTTCTTGCAAAATGACTCGTCCTGCCAAGACTCCAGTGCCTAAATTTCAGCCTCTTTTACTTTGCTGCCTAAGTGTGACATTGTGTTTTGTTTTGTTTTTTAAAAAATATTAGTTAAGTCATGAAGGCTTTTCATTAACTACACAGCATGATGAATAAATAGCAGAAATGAGGGGGAGATGTTTAAATTCTGCTTCCTGCAAATGGCTTCTTTGGGGTTTGTTCACAGATGGCAGGGGTGGGGGCCGAATGGGGCCCTGCAACTCTCTCTGTTTGCCCCTTGTTTAATAAAACTCCGATGGACTCCCTTAATGGTCTTCTGATCCCCCCCCCAACACCTCTCTTAATTTCTCTTTCCCCCCCCGCTCCAAATTTGTTAGTGCTGCTATGTGGCGGGGGGGGAGCAGAGGAGTGTCTGGACACTGGCACAACACAGTTTCTATCCTATGCCGAAGATGCCTCTCTTTGTTCTGGTCTTGGGGTGCACATATGTTCTAGGACCTAATCCATGGGTAGGCAAACTAAGACCCGGGGGCCAGATCCGTCCCAATTGCCTTCTAAATTTGGCCCGCGGATTGTCTGGGAATCAGCATGTTTTTACATGAGTAGAATGTGTCCTTTTATTTAAAATGCATCTCTGGGTTATTTGTGGGGCATAGGAATTCGTTCATGCCCCCCCCAAATAATGTGGCCCCCCACAAGGTCTGAGGGACAGTGGACAGGCCCCCTGCTGAACAAGTTTGCTGACCCCTGACCTAACCTGTTGCTGTAATTTGTTTAGAACTTTTTAAATGCTGTGTTTCTTTTTTTTAAAAAAAATCATTTTTATTGATTTTCCAATAAAAAACATCCAATTAATATATCCAATCATAATACTCCAATTAAAATAAAAAAGACCAAATTATAGTCCAAATTATAATTATTAATTTTTCGGAGCTCCCCATGGTCTGGATCTTTGAAGCATATCTCCACATCTCAGTCCTGCCTCTCCTTGTTTCCATATTTTCCACATCTCAATTTTGACGCTTTATTTAAATGCTGCGTTTCAAAGTGTTGCAACCTGCCCTGGAACCTTAGCTTGAAGGGCGGGCAATAAAATTATTATTAATTGTAATATTTATTTATTCATTGCATTCATATTTCACCTTTTTTTTTTTTTAATCCAAAGAGCTCGAAGTGGTATATGTGGTTCTCCCCTGCCCACCTCATTTAATCCCTGCCACAACCCTATGAGGCAGGTTAGGCTGAGAGAGGTAGCAACTTTCCCCCAAAGTCACACCCAGTGAGCTTCATGAGGCAGAGTGGGGGGATTTGAACCTTAGTCTCGCCCTGGTCCTGGTCTGACACTAACCACTATGCCGCCACCAGAGGCTCTTGCTGACAGGGCTGGGTCCAGTCAGTAAAGTGCACGCAGCTCACACCAGGAAATCGAAATGGTAAGCCGCTAGACTACAGATTCGTTAGACACTTGCAGCGAACAGAGACTGCTGCCTGTCAGCCTACATGCTTTTCCCGTTCCAGTACCATTAAACTAATCCTGTTAACGACTTCTCGGTCTGGTACGACCTATGTGGTGGACCTGTGCTGGATCTACGGAGCGGTGGGGGAGATTTTAGTATTTAAACAGCGCCTTCTTGCTGCACAGGCCACATTCTTAGTTCTGGGACGGCCACAAGTTGAGTCACCAGATTCCAAAATGGCGCAGCTGCTTTCGTAAGGCTGCTCTGGGACCAAAATTACTACATTCATTTTTTTACATCCCACCATTTTCTCATACTGAGACTTCAGGCGGCGTACACAAATTAAAACAACACAGATAAAATACAGGACACTGAAAACATATAAAAAATAATAGTAAAAATAAATTAAAGCATAATAGAATTAACGCAACATCAAAACAGATATGTTAAAATATAGATAGTAAATTCATCACAGCACTATTTAAAATCCAGGCAGTTCCCGAAGACCTGTTGGAATAAAACAGTATCCACCTGCTGGCTGAAGGACAGCAAAGAGGGTGTCTGTCTGGCTTCTCTAGGGAAGGAGTTTCAAAGTCAGGGAGCCACCACCAAAAAGGCCTGCCTTCTCCCACCAAATGTGCTTCTGATGGTGGCAGGATGGAAAGAAGGATACAGTGGTACCTCTGGTTACGAACTTAATTTGTTCCGGAGGTCCATTCCTAAGCTGAAACCGTTCTTATCCTGGGGCGCGCTTTCACTAATGGGGCCTCCCGTTGCGCGCGTGCCTCTGGTGTGCAATTTCCATTTGCATCCTGGGTCAAAGTTCACAACCAGGAGCAGCTGCTTCCAGGTGAGCAGAGCTCGTAACCTGAAGCATTCGTAACCAGAGGGACCACTGTATGTTATGAAGAGGTAGCAGCCCGCAGCCTCTGCCCACATCGTGAGAGAAGTATTCCCACTCTCTCCCTGCCTTCCACACTCCAGGAGTCTCCGGCAGTTTCCCAGAGGTTAGAGAAGCTTTAAGCGCACATATGTGGCCAGCGGTAAAAAAAGGAGGGCAGCCTCTTTATGCTCTACAGTTAATTTTTTAAGAAGCTTCTGCCGCCTTCTGCTGTGGCAAGAATGGGTGTCAAAAGTGGGATTTGAATCCTAGCCGTGCTCTGTACATTGGGCCACAATCTCTCTCGTCAAGTGGGAAAGCAAATCTGCTTTAGGCAGCCTTGTCAAAATGCTGGTCATCTGTGGTGAGTCAGAAATTGTTTCTGGTGACCAAGGAGGAGGAACGTTGGCACTCATCCCACCCCCCTTTTTAGTCTACAGATGACTGGGATAGGTCTATGCCCTAGCAATCTTGTGGCCTTTTCCCAGCCTGTATTTGCTGCAAAAGAATCCTCTTTCTATGAATAACCATAGTCTTGGTGGTGGAATGTGAAACGGGATCGTCCGTTTGTTTGTTTTTAAGCACTGAAATACAGGCTGTATTTAGCAGGGCCACAGCTCAGCGATAATCTGCTTTGTGTGCACAAGGTCCCAGGTTCAATCCCTTGCAGCGTTTCCAGGCAAGGCTGGAAATGTTCCCTGCCAGTCAGTGTAGTCAATACTGAGCCAGATGTACCTATTAAACCAGACTGTTATTTGCAACCATGAGGACTAGAGTCTTAGTTTGCCTTTTGGGGAAGGACGCAAGTTCCTCGAGAGAACACCTGCGTTGCTGCGTAAGGCCAGCACTCTGTGCTCCCAGGCTGCCTGATGAGCGCACATTCTCTTTTAATTCCCTCTCCCGGTTTGCTTTGCAGCTTTGAAAGAGCACAGACCCGCCTTGGATATGAGTGACTCCGACGCAGACGTGCCGCCGCCAGGGGAGGAGGAAGAGGAGGAGGCGGCGCTGGCTGCAGCGGTGCTGCCGCCCCCAGGAAATGGCGGGGTGGCGGCCCTGGGGGTCATCACGGAAGGCGTGGGCGAGCTGGCGGTCATTGACCCCGAGGTGGCCAAGAAGGCCTGCGAGGAGGTGCTGGAGAAGGTCAAGCTGATGCATTGCATCTCTCCCGACGGGTCCATCCAGCTGAAGGACGGCAGCGCAGGCGCGGCTCGCCAGCCCGGCCTGGCCCTGCTGAACGGCAGCCCCGGCGAGTGCTGCGAGATCAAGTGCCTGGACGACCCTCCGGACAAGATCCAGGAGGAGGAGCAGCAGCACGCGGCCAACTCGGTCAAGAGCGCCCGGCGGCGCCAGAAGAACAACTCGGCCAAGCAGTCGTGGCTGCTGCGCCTGTTCGAGTCGAAGCTCTTCGACATCTCCATGGCGATCTCGTACCTGTACAACTCGAAGGAGCCCGGCGTGCAGGCGTACATTGGCAACCGGCTCTTCTGCTTCCGCAACGAGGACGTGGACTTCTACCTGCCGCAGCTGCTGAACATGTATATCCACATGGACGAGGACGTGGGCGACGCCATCAAGCCCTACATCGTCCACCGCTGCCGGCAGAGCATCAACTTCTCCCTGCAGTGCGCCCTCCTGCTGGGCGCCTACTCCTCGGACATGCACATCTCCACCCAGCGCCACTCCCGCGGGACCAAGCTGCGGAAGCTCATCCTCTCCGACGAGCTCAAGCCGGCCCACCGCAAGAGGGAGCTGCCGGCCCTCGGCCCGGCCCCCGAGGCGGGGCTCTCCCCCTCCAAAAGGACTCACCAGAGGTCCAAGTCGGACGCCACTGTCGGCATCCACCTCAGCAGCAACCTGAAGAGGACCGCTAGCAACCCCAAAGTGGAGAACGACGACGAGGTAACGTGGGGCAAGGGGCGTCCCCGGATTCACGGGGCAGGGGGATAGGTTACTGGGGTATTCAGTTTTTAATCTTTGTGAAAACGAACGTATCAGGAGAGGGGAAATTCTGCCTAGGGTGGGCTTCCAGCTCTGTGGCAAGTTGGTAGGCAGAGGCCATTCTCGTGCCAGAGAGCTGGGCATAAGGTAAGACATGCGCCAACCAGGTTGTGGCTGCTTTCCTGGCTCAGCTTTGTCCTCCACCTTTTGGAGTCCTGCCTGATTTCGCTGCCAGCTTTCATGCAGATCCAACGTGGGACGGGGCAGCTCCATTTCTGCTGCTTATCAAGGGACCGCTTGATCTCGAGCATCTCTTGGGATGATGTAATCAGGCGTTGCCAACCAGTCCCCCTGATAGCGGTAGAGGAAAAGTAAAAGGCCAGGGGGCACATGTGTGTTGCCCTGATCGCCCACCATTGCCTCCAATCGTGTGTTTACAGTTTTTATATATGTACCCTGTTCCTAAAGGGTCTTACAGTCGAAAATCCACACGTATTGGGGCAGCCTTGAGAAGGGCTGTGGGCCTGGGGTGTAACACCTGATGGGCATGCAGAGTGTCCCAGTTTCCACCCCTGGCATCTCCAGGTAGGGCTGGGAACATCCCCTGCTTGAAAACCCTGGAGAGCTGCTGCCATTCAGCATGCTGGCAGGACTATGGGTCTAACTCCTTCTAAGGCAGCTTCTTGTGTTCCTTCCCCACCATGACACCTTCCAGATGTTTCAGGCTCCCAGCCGTATTGTTTGCTCCAGGCCAGTGGTGCCGGCTGGGTTGATGGGAGCTGTGAGCCTGAAACATCTGGGGAAGGCCGTGCTAGATAAGGAGATGCTTACAGGAGTCGGCGTCATTAATATGACATATTGGGAATATGTGGGTGAGGTTCTAGGCCTCCCGCTCTGAGGAATGGGGTAAGTGGTCCTGGGGGTGGGTGATGGGGAAGATGGCAATCCCAGGGGGCAGCTGCGCTCACCATCCGGAGAGTCTTCTAGCCCCTGGCTAGCCACTGATTGACAGTGCCATGGGACAGTGGGCGGGACCTAGTTTCAGCTCCGCCTCTACAGTCGATAAAGCCGTCTTGGCGCCAGTATTTTGTTCTCTCCATGAATTCTCTCTTCCACCCGGTGGTGTTGGCGGTGTGATTTCTCTCTTTTGGGAAACAAACAAAAAAATGTGCAGAAAAGAAACTTTGAAGCCCAGAGTATTAATTTGCTTGGATTTCCTTGCCAAAAGTGGTGATAGATCTTGACTGAGATAGAGAGAGGGAACATAAGGTCCTGTGTGTTCCATGGCGAAATCCCACCACAAATCCTCTTGGGTTTTTACGGAGACAGGGATGGCGGGCATCTGTGGCCTTCCAGGTGTTCCTGGACTGCCACTCCCATCGTCCCTCATGGTTGGCTATGCTGGCAGCTGGGGCTGAAGGGAATTGGGGGTCCCAGCCACACCTGAAGGCTCCCCAGTCTTGCAGTAGAGGGGAACAAATGTATCCAGGGGTATTCATGGAATTATGATCTAGTTTTGCATGTTGTGGTTTTTAATCCCAAGCTGCTTCCAAGGAGCTCGGGGGGAGCGGGGTATGTGGCTCCTCCCTATCCTTTCATGTGGACCCTCACAACAACCCTGTGAGGTAGGCTAGGCCTAAGAGGTCCTCCAAGGAGCTTACTGGCCAGGCAGGGGTATAAACCCACGTCTTGCTGGTCCAACGCTCTCGAGCAGCCGATGTGGTGCCTTTCAGATGTTGTTTGGCTACAACTCCCATCATTCCTCACCCTCATTTATTATAATTAATAAAACGGGCTCCCAGCCCGACCCAGAGCAAGATCCTTTCCACCGTCTGCCTTTATTAAAGAAGAAAAACTGTTGAAAGAATTAAAAAGTGGAGGAAAGAGATTGTGCTGGGGGTGGATACCGAATGCTACACCAGCTGCTGAATCTCAATGGGTGTGGACATAGTGAAAGACCCTGGGGATTCCCATGCTTGTGGGGCGGGGGAACAAAAGTTGGAGAGCTTTAAATCATGGGTGGGGAACCCTTTTTTGGCTCCGCGGACCAGATCCTTATCAGGACCAGCCTCCAGGGGCCAAATTTGGTGTCAAATACGTGACATCATTTTGGCGTCATGTGATTGACAAGTGGGAGCTGTATGGAGCTGCTGGATGTGCCTGTTCTGGCGTCCAGATGTGCTGCTGTGGTTGTCTCTGCCAGACCGCAATCTCTCTCTCTTTCCAGCCCTCGATCTGGCAAAACATTGGTCCGTGAACTCAGCCGCCAGAGGCGAGCCAAGAGGTCTACTTTCACTCTCCCTTTCTTTCTCTCTCTCCTACCCCCTTGGCGCACGTTGTTGGAGATCATCCGAGCAGAAACTCTGGGGTGGAATTTCAGTATCGCCGGAGCAGCAAATGAATACTTAATGCGTCAGAACTTTCCCTGTCTCTCCGTAGACTCGGGCTTGCGTCAGACGCGGTTGCCAAGTGCTCTTGGCGCAGCTGTTCTTTGGGCGTGGGGCATTTGAGAGATGTGGGGGTCCCGTGATAAAGCCTAGGTGGAAGTAAGGGGATAGGTTCGCTGGGATTTTGTGATAGAACTGGGTAACTGTGCGGTATCTACTTAGGACCTCGTGGTTCCATAAGAACATCAGAAGGGCCTGGCTGCTGGATCAGGCCAAAGGGGGCCTAACCTGTCCAGCCTCCTTCTCTCACAGTGGCCAAGCAGATGCCCCAAAGGTGCAGCAGCAGCAACTCTCCCCGCCTGCGAATCCCAGTTACTTTTTGTTAATCCTCATCCTCCCAGAGTGGGGCGTACACAGCCATCGTGATCAGCAGCCTTTGATAGCCTTATTCTCCATGAATTTGTCTAATCTGCTTTTAAAGATGGGGAACGTGCTTGAAATGCCGAGTTAGCAGGAGCCGGCCTCAAGTTTTTTAGCGTGTGCAGTGAATAAAAGAAATTCCAGAAATTTCTTTTTCAGGCGTTGAGCTGCATGGAATTCTTCTGAGCCTATGCATGTGGAGAAACCAGGCTTCTTTCCTCCCCTCTTCTCGAATGCATAGGCTCTTCTCTCATTTTGTAAAATCACCTTTCCACCCATGAAATCTCAGTTGCGTGCATGGGAGAGGTATAGCTGATCCTGCCCACACAACAACCTTGCGAGGTAGGCTGGTACGCGAGATGCGCAGCCGATTGGCTTCGCATTCGGAAGCCGGCACTCTGCCAAGTGCTGCATGCTGACTTGGGGCGCGAAGGCGATCTTCCCCAGACCGTCCCGGCCAAGCCAGAACAATTGACCACCCTATTACGCTCTCGATTCCCAGGCTTGTCTTCCAGATGGCTCCAAAGGCGGCTCACAGAGCCCTTCCCACTCCCTGCCGCTTCATTGTTCGCAGGGGAACAATGGGCTGATAGAAAGCCGGGAGCTCGGAGGCCGCCGGTTGCCCAGGATGATCCCAGCCACTCGCCAACTGGAAACCGGAGCCCGGAATGCTTATTAATTCACGCAGGGCTGGATTTCTCCTGGTGACATGCGGAGAGTCTTCTGGGCCCGAAGTGCCGCAAGAGATGTTCTGAGGAAAATGTGGGAAGTGCTGAGGCTGAGGCTGAGCACTTCTTAAAATTGCAGTTCTGGTTGCCTCACCTCAAAAGGGATATTGTAGTGTTGGAAGAGAGAGGGGAGGGGTGCAACTCCCCTATAGAGAGAGGTTGCAGTTTGGGGACTTCTGAGTTTAGAGAAAAGGCGAGTAAGGGGCAACATGATAGAAGTTTATAAAACTATGCATAGCATGGAGAGAGAGAAATTTGTTTTGCATTTTGTTTTGTTTTGTTGGGAAACCCTTTTATTTACACGCAAGACACAGGCCTTCCCAAATCCCCTTACTTCAGAGGAATGAACCGAGAGGAGTGGGTGGCCCCGATTCCAGGTCGGCCGTGCTTAACGGGCTTGTAAGTGATGGAGAACTCTCCCAAATTGTGGCCAATCACTTCAGGCTTGATTTCCACCTGGTTGAAGGTCTTCCCATTGTACACGCCTGCCATGCTGCCCACCATTTCCAGAAGGATAATCGTGTCTCGCAGGTGGGTCTTGACCACCTCAGGCTTCTCCATGGGCAGGGCCTCTTTCTTGGCCTTGCGCAGCCGCTTGAGGAGGGAGTGCTGCTTGCGGCGCAGGCCGCGGTTGAGCCGCCGGCGGTGGCGGGCACTGTATAGCTGCATCAGCTGCTCGTAGGACATGTCGAGGAGCTGGTCCAGGTCAACACCCCGATAGGTGAACTTCCAGAAAGTACGCTTCTTCTTCTTCTTCTGCTTCACTTCCGCCATCTTGCCCGCAGTCTCCGCCAGGAAAAAAAAGTGTGAGAGAGAAATATTTTACCTCTCCCATGACACTAGAACTCAGTGACACCCTGAATGCTGGAAGAGTGAGGATACTTAAATTAAAGGACTTCTTCACGCAGCACAGAGTTAAACGGTGGAACTCCCTGCCACAGGAGGGAGTGATGGCCACCAACCTAGATGGCTTTAAAAGAGCATTAGACAAATTTGTGGAGGAGGAGAGGGCTAATGACGGCTACCAGCCATGATGGCTGTGCTCTGCCTCCAGTTGGAGGAAGCAGTGCTTCTCCATACCAGTGACTGGAGGCCGAAGGAGAGGAGAGGGCTCTTGCGATTGGATCCTGCTTCTGAGTTGTCTATTGAGGCATCTGTTTGGTCACTGTGGGGACAGGATGCTGTGCAAATGGTGTGGGAATGTTGAGGGTGGCAGGAGAGGATATATTGATTATTAATATCCGTCCTAATTCACACTGGCAAGTTACTTTATATAGCAGAGTGCGTTCCCCTTCTTACGCAGCAGAAAGCTGGTTGAAAACTTGTGTGAGTCTCTTAAGACAACAAACAATTCAATCTGGCTTGCCCAGATTGAGATATGTTCTGTTATTCCTGGTAAGACCCCTTTGATCCCTCCTAAAAGAATAAAATGGGATGTGGGTGGCGCTGTGGGTTAAACCACTGTGCCACTTGGGCTTGCCGGTCGAAAGGTCGGCGGTTTGAATCCCCACGACGGGGTGAGCTCTCGTTGCTCGGTCCCAGCTCCTGCCAACCTAGCAGTTCAAAAGCATGCAGCGCAAGTAGATAAATAGGTACCGCTCCAGCAGGAAGGTAAACGGCGTTTCCGTGTGCTGCTCTGGTTTTGCCAGAAGCGGCTTAGTCATGCTGGCCACATGACCTGGAGAAACTGTCTGTGGAAGCGGAAAACGCTGGCTCCCTCGGCCTGTAAAGCGAGAAGAGCGCCGCAACCCCAGAGTCGTTCGCGACTGGACTTGTCAGGGGTCCCTTTACGTTTACCTAAAAGAATAAAGACACAAGTCTTATTTATAAGTAACAAAAAAAGTAGTTTTACTTGTGATCAGGCAGAGCACAGTGTGATCCCTGAAGCAAAGCTTTAGGCTTAAAGTTACAAACATGGACAAACAGGTTTACCCCATAGGGGAGATAACCTGGGGGACTGCTGGCGGCCAGCAGTCCAGTCCAGGTGAATTAGGAAGTTCGCAGGACGAAAAAGAAGATCAAAGAGAGGGAGGTGGCTGCGTGACTTGGCCTTTTACAAGGTCTGAAAGGTCACGCCCCCCTACTAGTCACACGCAAGGAAGGATGCTCCAGGCCAGGAGGAACAGGAAGTTTCGACTGGCTGGACCAACTCTAGCATGACCACTCTAGCAAAACAGGTAATGTTGTACTTGACTGCTCCCAGTGGATTACAACCCACAGATGGGACATTAGCCTGATCCAGCTGCCTCTTCTTACGTTCTTATGCTTTGGCTGGTCTGAGCACCTCTTAATATTACCCCTTAGTCTCATCACCTCTTAAAATGCACATTTTAGCACGCAAATTGCTAACTCCATTAGCATTGACTACTTTGGCAAGAGTCTGCCTCTCGCTTGAGCTGGACCTGGTGGATCTGGAGGCTTCCTGTGATTCCTTTTTCCTAATAATCTACCATTGTGGCAAGGGATCCTCATATTACTTGCTTCGGTTTATGACAGGGAGGGAATCCCTGCCCACTGTACTGGCTCTTCTGTTACGTATATGTGTGTCTGTCTTGCCCCTACGAATGCACCCTTCCCCTCCTCTGACAACTTTCCGCCGAGCTAGTGAAAGCCTTAGCCAGAAAGCAGTAGGCTTGCCGTGATTTAATTCAGTGGCTGGACCTCTGGGCGCGTCATTCCCCTCTCTCCAGCCCTTGGACCTCTCCCCGGCCCCCCACTCTTCTCGCTGGCAGGGCTGTGGGCCCCCCTTGAGTGCCTTCACTTAGCTGGAACATGTCCTTGAACTACGATATTTGGCTGGAGAGGTGCGTCTGCATGCAGGGGAAGTACGAAAGCCTCTTAACTTTTTGCACAGCTGGGGTGTAGGCCTACTGTGCAGAGGTAAGAGCTGCCTCTGTCGCCCTGCCTCCTTTCTCCTCTGGCCCCCGCCCACCGCTGGCACACGGCCTCCCGAAGCTTGCCAAGAAGGAAATGCGGCCCTCGTGACTGAAAAGGCTTCTTCAAGGAAGGAGGATTCTCAGCCAGGAGCAAAAGGCAGATGAAGAGTCTACCAGGAGATCTCTGGGCAGTTGGCAGCTGAAAAGCTCCTGCTTCAGTTGTGAGCGGATACCAGGTGTGGGTTTTTCCTTCCACGGAAGGGCTTTGCATGCCAGGCTCTGGGCTCAAAAGGCATTCTCTGCCCCTCAGCGCCATCGGTGCATGTGCCCATCTGAGCCACTGTTTTGAAATCTGCTTCTCAGCAGCAACAGATCCTGCAATCCTGATGTCTGCCCACTTTAAAGTACAGCAGTACCTCAGGTTACATACGCTTCAGGTTACAGACTCCACTAACCCAGAAATAGTGCTTCAGGTTAAGAACTTTGCTTCAGGATGAGAACAGAAACCGTGCTCCAGCGGCGCGGCAGCAGCAGGAGGCCCCATTAGCTAAAGTGGTGCTTAAGGTTAAGAACAGTTTCAGCTTAAGAACGGACCTCCGAAACGAATTAAGTACTTAACCCGAGGTACCACTGTATTGCAGAGTTACCAAATGAGGACGGTCTATTTTTCTTCACTTTTTTAAAAAAGCCTTAAGAACAGAAACTTGAGCTTCTCTCTCTCTCTCTCTCTCTCTGTCTCTCTGTCTCGCTGTGGCATTTGCACCTGGGCAGGTAATATTGCAGGGGGTGCTGGAGGAGGAGCCACTTGTGTCCTGCCAGGAAATCCTTGCTGTGTAACATGAGAGCGCTTCGGAACCTGCTTTGTGGTGACACAACAGGCAGGCGTTTTGTGTGTGTGTTTGGCAGAGCTGGGCAACCTTTGCGCAAGGAACGCTCCCCTTGCTCTGAGGTCTCTGTGGCAACTGGGTGAGAGTGACTCAGGATGATTCAGGCACTGACAAGTGGAGACTGGGGGAATATCGACATCACTGCAGAGGTTTCCTGTTTGGGTTTGGAAACCAGGTGAAATCGGACAAGGGCTTCCGCCGTCTCTGATCCCTTGTGAAGAGGCCTTTTTAATGTCAAGATGGGCAGGCCTGCAGCCAATCAGCTCAGCAGGGAGGGATATACATCTCCAATCTGTTCAGTCAGAGAATCATAGAATTGTAGATTCCTGATGAGCATTCTTTAACACACATTTTCTTACTCATTCATTCATTCTTTCACATGCAACAGCATTAATCCAAGGGAAGAAATGGAAGTGATAAAAAATTGTTCAATAATGGAAACTTGATAGTACATATTGCTTTCCTGATATACATAAAACCTTCATATCATTATACAAGAACGCATTATGCTATGCCTAATCAAGTGTGTGGGTTTGCATTTTCCTGTCCTTTATTACACCAGTTCAAGATAAAAAGCTTTTTTCTTTTTAACCATACTGGTGTGTTTATTTATTTGTTTATTTTATTTCAGGACATTTATACACTGCTTGATTGTAAAAACAAAAACCCTCGCAGTGGTTTGCCATTATGAATGCATTTGCCTCCTGGGTTCCTTCAGGAGGAATGGTGGGATTTATTATTATTTTAAGGGGTTGGACTAGATGACCCTCAGGGTCCCCTTCCAACTCTGATTCTGTGACATAAAGCTGCTGTCTATGAGAGGTCTCAAAGTCCTCTGTGGGGTGTCATACACTGTGTGGGCTTTGTGTGTGTCTGTGAAGGAAGCGCAGTGTCCCCTTCCTCCCCTTTTTAAAGTCTGATCATTTTACATTTTTCTAATGGGCCCAACAGCTACTCCTTTCTCCTGGCCTCGTTCAATTTTTTATTTTATTTTTTTTTTGGCCCTTTGAACATAAAAGAAGAATTCCAACCATTTCTGTCCCCTTGGTGACTTGGCCAGACTTCCTCCGTCTGGCTTCTATGCCTGCTTCTGTTTTCCATAAACGGGGGGGGGGGGGGGAGCGGTCCTCATCGCGTGATTTGGCCCAGTTTTTGGTACTCTTGGAAATGACACCCTCTTCCTTGCGCACGCATAACAAAGCCTATCCCTGTGCTGGGGAGAAAAGCATCGTCAGCGAACCCAAAGCCAGGATGGGGGGAGCAGTCGGCCATTCATCTCCTCTCGACTCGCCCCCGCGACGACCGCAAGCGGAAAACCATCATTAATAGAGCGCCGTAAATGTGGGGCGAAGTCCATCCAGCCATTGCTGCGTCAGTTCTGCAGGAGATAATCTTAATACATAGGCCAGGCTTTCTCAAACTCAGCCCTCTGGATGTTTTTGGCCCACAACTCCCATCATCCCTAGCTAGCAGGACCAGTGGTCAGGGATGATGGGAATTGTAGTCTCAAAACATCTGGAGGGCTGAGGTTGAGGAAGCCTGACATAGGCTCTTTGGATGAGAGAACGATGGATATTGTGGCCAGTCCATGTGAACAGGATGGACTGTCCCATCCACAGAATGGGTCCCTTCCAACCGTTCAGTGATTCTATGAATTTATTAGCTGTGGATGGAGAGAAATCCTGTCTTCTGTGATTCCTGCATTGGACTAGAGCAGGCATAGGCAAACTCTGGCCCTTCAGATGTTTGGGACTACAATTCCCATCATCCCCAGCTAACAGGACCAGTGGTCAGGGATGATGGGAATTGTAGTCCCAAACATCTGGAGGGCCAGAGTTTGCCTATGCCTGGACTAGAGGACCTTTGGGGGTCCCTTCCAACTCTACAATTCTATATATATAAACACACCTTTCCTCTTGGCATCAACACTGTCTTTTCCTCTCCCTTTTCCCTATGCTGACTTGCTTCTTACACTCCTCACCATTTCCCGCATTTGGAAATAGCTGTGCTGAGACCTAGCATAGTTTCCCCCAGCCGTCTCAAATAAAAAGGTAATGGCGAGCTTAAAGGGATGCAGAAAAACATGTGCATGTATGTGGAATGCCTCCCCAGTGAGGAAAGGTCAAAGTTTCTCCCCTGCATGCTCAGGTTGGGAAGGGAGGAAGCGACTGGAAGATTGGAGAACACAACAGAGGTGTACAAAATTATGCCTAGCGAGGAAAGCGTGCAAAGCCCTTCTGTGTTGGATTGCCTGGAGGCCTTTGAGAGTCGCCCCAGGTGACCAGGCGGCCTGACTGTTTGAAGCCTGTGCTAGATAGCCCCTGGTGTTGGTTTCAGCCGAATGACTCTGGGTTCAGAGGTGGGGAACATTTCTGGCCCTCCAGATGTTGCTCAGCTCCCAATTCCGATCAGCCCTGGCAGCCAGCATGACCAGTGGTTGGGGATGGGAGCTGCAGTCCAGCAGCAGTTTCCACACTTCTGCTGTAGGCTGGCAGAGAGACAGAGTCCTTTCCAGGGTGGTTCATCCTACTGGGGAAAAAAGAAGTGATGTGATTAAGGGAAAATTGTCAAAACAACCACTCTGCCCACTTTTGGTTTCACTTTGGTTTTCTTAAGGTGAGTTCTCTCTCTCCTCCTCTTGTTTTTATCGTTATTACTGGTTTTACATCTTAGTAAGCTTTGGCTCTGATGAAACCCTGGCCTCTTTTCGTAAAAAAAAAAAAGTGACACAGTTGACTTGCCCTAAAAGGCTTTTAAAACTCCCTTTTCTTCACATGCAAAATGGGAGGGGGCGTGAGATTAATGATGGGGAGGATATAACACAGCCTGAGAATCTCCCACTTCTCTTTGTCTGTTTCTCACTTTTGTAGAACTTCTCCCCCCCCCCGCCATCCTCCTTCTAACAGAATTGCTCCCTGTTCAGCACCGACCTGTTCCACCTGTTGCAAACGGGTTATTTTATAGTTTTATTACCTTGCTGTCCATCCAGGGTGTTGCCTGCGTTTTCCTCCCCAAAACCCACCATTCTGTTCTCACAAGCGACTGTCCCAAGGACACCCAGTGGGCTTTGCGCCCTGCCTCGTATTAAGCTGAAGGATCTGTCCCAGAAGAGATCCTGGGAGCTGCTGTTCCGGAGTGGATCTGGGTATCTAGTCTCTAAAATCCTCAGCGCCTCTGCCAAGCCTCCAGTATCCAGGAAGGCATTTTGGAAAGCAGGCAACCTCTGGGGGGGGGGGGGAGAGAGATTGTTCAACCTGTAGGCATTAAGCCTTTCCTGCTGCCTTCCATGGCATCCAAGTGTCTTAATTATTCCGCATTAACTTAAAGAATTTGTGGGCTCCAGGGAGCACTGCTAGCTCAGATAACCTTCAAATAAGATCATAGGACAGGTTTGTCAACTGCTTGTAGCCTGGATGGCTTAAATCAGGGATGGGGAGCTTTGGCCCTTCCCAGATGTTGTTAGTCGGGGAGTCGCAGCTCTGCAGCGTTCAGAAGACGACGCAGTTGCACTGGCTTCCAGAATGTACCTCTGAATACCAGGTGCTGGAGCAAGCAGCAGGAAGAGGAGTTGGCTTCCTCTGGCTCTCCTGTGTCGGAAGCAAAGCGCTGTTTCTCTGAGGACAGAATATTCCGCCACGGAGTTGTTTCGCCTGGATGGGGGGGGGGGGGTTGTTTTGCTGTGCAAAGCGCCTGCAGTTTGTTCTCTCTGTTGAGATGGGGCAGGTGGGGAGGGAATGTGCAGAGCTGGTTTTTTTAAAAACAAAAAACTTGCCTTTTCTCTCCTCGACTTTCTCCCTCCCTCTCCCTTCCTTTTTTACATTTTAAAAAAAATGAAAACAAAAAACCCCCCACCCCTTTCCCCCTCCCTCTCATTCATTTCTCAGGAGTTGTCATCGAGTACGGAGAGCCTTGATAGATCATTTTGCTCCGTAAGTGGCCTGCGTTTTAGCTTTTTTGGTTTTTCTCCCCCACCTCTTCCAACTGGGCTGCCTGCTTCCCTTCCCGTGATTTACCAAAAATCAACAACAAATAATTTCTTTCGCAGCAGCATTTCCTCTCTGTTGTCATCTTAAGCCACTTTGCTAAGCCCGCCAATCACCCTTGGCAAACGCATCTTGCAGAGCATCAAAGGCAAAATCCATTCCTCTCTTCTCTTCCACCACTTTGGAAAAAATGAAATAAAATCACCCCAGCGAGCCAAATACTACACTGCTGTTAGCCATTTTTGACTCAGCCTCTTTGGCTAACCAACTTCCTTGGCTGTCATGCCTCTCTCTCTCTCTCTCTCTTCCATCACTCATGCGCCACCCGCGTGCATGTTGAGCTTGGGAAGGGGGGTTGTGGAGCTCTGCATGGTATGAGGCTCCCCAGCAGGTTTGTCTTGTTTATACTAAAGTCGTGTCAAGTGCAGATTGGCAGCCAGTGGTCTCTATGGCACATAACGCTTAACCATAGTTAATAGAGGCACAGTTGGAGCCACGCCATTGTTTAAAAAGCCTTGGTTTACTGTGTCACCAAATACAGTGGTACCTTGGTTTACGAACTTAATCCGCTCCGGAAGTCCTTTCTTAAACCAAAGCGTTCTTTAACCAAGGCGTGCTTTCCCATAGCAGCAGGGAACTCAATTTACACTCAACAGGAAGCAGAACGTGTTCTTAAACCAAGGCAAAGTTCACAAACCAAAACACCTACTTCCAGGTTTGCAGTGTTCTTAGTCCAAGTTGTTCATAAACTAAGCTGTTCTTAAACCAAGGTACCACTGTAGTTAAAAAGTGTTAAATAATACAGGCAGATTCCAGGCAGAAAAGCTCTGATAACACTTCACAGAGCAAAGCTGAACAAAACCACTGTATAATTTGAGGAGATAGGAACACAAAGGCTTTTTCTTCCTTGGTTTAAGCCCTTGTACATAGCAGCGAGACGGTGGACCCCATATACAGAGGGGGAAAACTCGATCACAATGACACAGCCAATCAGGGCATGTGCTGCCTTAGTGAATGCCATGCCATTCTATTTCGTTGCTATGCAAAACCTCCACCCCATCCCCCTTTGGGCCAGTTAACTTGAACGCTTGACAGATTTAACCCTTAAGGTACAAACTAAATGAGCCCTGCTGTTAACGCATCCAACAAAAAGCACCAGCCAATAGCTGCTGAACCTTGAAGCAATTTGGACTTTTAGCTACTCTTCACTTGTAAAGCTTTGGGGGCAGCAACAGCTCCTAACCACAGTTGAGGTGGCCTCTGTTCACACGTAATTCTCACCTATGCTTAACAGTAAGTTTAATAAATCATTTCCCTTAACAAGCAGCCTCTAACCATAGTTAAGCTGCTGGGCAGCATTCACGCACAGCATTAAACCATGGTTTGACAAACCCTGGTTTGGTAAACCATGGTTTAGTGCTCACATGGGTGGGGGGCAGTGATCCAGACAGACAGTGGAATGGTGGACCCTCTGGTGGGTACAGTGGACCCTCTGGATACAAACGTAATTCATACTGGGGGTCCGTACTTACCCCAAAAAGTCTGTATCCGGAAGCGCCGCTTCTGTACACTCATGCAGTGCGATAGAGCGCTCCTGCGCATGCGTGAAGCGAAATCTGGAAGTATACACTTCCGGGTTTGCCACGTTCATAACTCAAAATTACGTTACCCAAAGGTAACGTAACTCGAGGTACCACTGTACTCCCAAACAGGCAGTGATGTTTCACAACCATAGTGTATCCCAGTAGTCCCTTCTTATATGATTCCAGCCCTTGCCCTGTGCCATTCTCCCAGGTCTAGCCACACACACACCTCATAACCCTCAAGCAGGTATTTCAGGCTCTGTAAATTGTGAGAAGCAAACCTGTTTCTAGAAGTGCACCCAGTTTGATTTTCCTGAAATGTTTATAAGTGGAAGGAAGCCTAGCTGCTGCTGCTGCTGCACTATTACATTTTATCCTCTTACAGCTAGAGTTCTAGGCCTCCTACAAAGCAAGTACAGTAGTTAATCTCGTGGCCTTTCTTCGTGGTCTTACACGTGGCATTTTATAAGCCCAAAGGGCCTTTTATACATAGGACAGCCCATTGTTAATTCATATCACTCATGAAGAGTTCAGCATTCCAAGAGCTTTGTTTAGTCCTTAGCATTGCATTTGCAGTGACTTACCATTTTATAATATATATGAAGCATCTGAACCCAAACACACAAACATTTGAAAAACAAGATAATCTTTACTTCCTGTTGGCTTGCATTCTAATATACACAGCACCAAAGGAAAATGAATGGGGAGGGGAGAGGAAGCTGAGCAATTTCAGATGCTAATTTTTGATGAAACAAGAATTGACTCCTCCCTTGGGCTCACGGAGATGGAGTCGGCTTTTCAAATTGGATTACACTGCGGAATATTTCATTCTGAATTACGCACTCTCTTCTTGTTTTGGGAGCAAAGGGATTTTTGTGTTTCATTTTTCAAAGTCAAGTTCAGCGTATCCACAGCACTACCTCGGGCTGCACAAGGCTGGTGGTGGTGGAAGTCTTGCGGCAAGTGACCTGCCTGCTTTGAAGATACGGCCTGAATAAGGAAAACATTTGGAAGCACCATTGAATTGTTCGTCGCAGGCCTTCCGTATTCATATTTTGTTTCTCTTTGCTCAGATGAGCAATTAAAAGAGGAAATGCTGTTCTCTCTGCTGCCCTTCAATTATTACATATATTTTTAATTTGGCGCGCCTTGTGTTGAGTAGAAATTTTCATTTGCTTGTCTTCTTTCTTCCCTCATCTGTCTACAAATAATTTCTCCCCTCTTTTCGTTGGAATTTTTGCTTTTAGCAATTATACCTGATACTTCTTCTCCCCTAAGAATACCCGACCCTCTTCTTGATAATGGGTGGAATCAACGTATGAGCTCGTGATGAGAACATAGGCTTGGACTTTGGGGAAGATCCTTCAGTTCCTCCAATCGAAAACTCCTCCCTGTCTTTAAATCCATTCTCTCTTGTGTCAATCAACCCAGCCTTTCTCTTCTCTCAAATCCATCCCACCTCCCTCTTGCTTCAATATGGGACAAGGGGAGGGGAGGGGATATCAATTTTGGTTCATGTTTAATGCTTCCCAAAAACCAGTACACAGACACCCCACAGTTCTCTGGGTTTTGCAGTGCAATTCTCCAAAGTTGAATTTATTTATTTTTGTAAAATGAAACAAAAAGTAATGCATGTGCGTATTAGGGGAAAGTGTTTACAAAAACAATTCATTTAGAAAACAAGCATGCAGGAAATGTGTATGTTTGGGGGGAGATCACATCCGAAAATCAGTGTATTAGGAATGACGCACACTAAAACACCGGCAGGTTTGTGAGTGCTTTAAAACTATCATCATTCAAAGACTGGCGCGGAAATGTGGCAGGCAGAATTTCAGGTGGGAAAGAGGTTGAGAAATTGAAAGAAAGTGGAACGGAAAGATTTGCCTTGCTTCATTGGACACCATCTTGCTTGCTTGTCAATCTGTTTGGCCACTTCCAAATGTAAGCAGCGCCTCCCCCCCCCCCTTCCTTGGTTGGCCCTCCCCAGGAATCTGAAGCGTAAGGCTTTGCTATAATGTGGGTGTGAGGGTGAGGGACTCCGACTCCCATCAGCCCCTGCCAGCATGGCTAAGAGCCAGGGATGATGGGAGCTGAAGTCCAACGACATCCAGAGGCGCTGTAGGTTCCTACAGTGTTGTTTTTTTAGGGGTGGGGGGAGAAGAACGGATCTTCACCTGCTTCCTCTTTGGGTTGTGGCTTATGGTGCTATCTAAGCACTAGCACTTAACAACAGGCATAGGCAGACTCTGCCCTCCAGATGTTTTGGGACTACAACTCCCGTCATCCCTAGCTAACAGTACCGGCGGTCAGGGATGATGGGAGTTGTAGTCCCAAAACATCTGGAGGGCCGAGTTTGCCTATGCCTCCTTAACAAAGTTAAGTGCCAGCCCCAAGGAGCCTACAGTCTGAATTTAGAAAGGAGACGAGAAGGGATGATTGTGAGCAAACCATAGCTATACATTTGGCCTGGCCTGCATGTAACACTAAACCGTGGTTTATTTCATGGAGGGCAGGAGCAGGAGCCTGGCTGCAGAAGGCAGCTGAAGCCAGCCCACCCTGATCAGACACTTTCAAGCCTTAGTTTTTTTCCAGGATCTCAGGCGGTTGATCTTTTCCAGCTCCCACAAACCATACAGATCCTCTCTACGGGCTGGCATACAACTCTGCTTCGGACCCTTGCCTTTTCCCCTCCCCTTTGCTGGAAAAACTCTGGAATCTGGAAAACCCAGAGTTCTTTGTTCCAAAATCTTTTTACAGAAACGTTAAGAGATTTCCTATGTTGTTCTTGGCTGCGGTCCTATAATTCCGATTAGGCCAGGGGCAAGTCTCAGCGGAGCCAGGGCTTCTTGGTAAACAGCGCTGCTGAGAACTGAATCCCAGCTACCCTAATTTGCTGCTTTGTGGGGCTCTGTAGCAACCCGAGGTGGGGTATTACCTGTTCTGGTGGTGGTGAGGGGAGACCCCAACAGGGAATCCTGGTGGCTCCTTAAGGCATCTTAACGTGGCAAAAGTTCCAGTTGCATCAGGTGTGACCTGATTCCCCCAGTGTGGGAGAGATGGGAAACTTTGTGTTGGCAACACAGCAGCCCCAAAGCCCCCCCTTTTCCCCCACACACCCCAAAGCTGTCAGGGAATCCCTTCCTCCCTCCAACCAGGGCAGTTTCTCTCCTCTGTGCTCAGCACCTTCATTCCCCCTCTTAACTTTCTCTTTCCCCCTCCCAAAAAACCTTTTCCCCCTCTTTTTGCGTGCTCTCTACTTCATCACCAGCTTCATACAGTTAACACCCTTCTCTTGCCCCCCCCCTTCCCCTTTACTGCATGTCTCTTTGACCAGCGCTTGGTTTTGGTGGTGGCAGGAATGGCTTATTAATTTCAAATTATCCTTTTTAAAAAAAACAAACAAAAAACCCTTTCCTGTGACGGGAGAGTAAACTGCTGAAGTGAAGCCGGTTGTTTTTGAAGAAGGGGGGTGGGCAGGGAGCAGTTATGCAGGAAATGGAATCCCCCCCCACTGTGATGTTAATAATCACCATCATCAGTGGAAATAATTAGCTGTATATAGTTTCCAGTGCCTAAATCGGTCCAGCGTCTCAGCATCCTGACGGCCCTGAAAGGTAGTCCAATGTGGCTTTATTTTGAGGGTGACTGGGTCCGAATGCCTTTCTGGAGTGCACAGCACACCTCTTGGTGCCCTATGGGTTCAACCTTCTGTGATTTTAACCCCAAGGGTGATGATGGAGGCATCTGTGGCCATCCAAGTGTTTCTTGGACCACGCGGCACCCTAACCTTACCATTGGCCATGGAGGCACAGCTGTGGGACTCCGCAGGTGTTCCTCATCCTCTTTTCACAGGTGACAGTTCCTGTGGGTGTCTTCTTGACATTCCTAAGCGTTTAATCGCTTAACAATTATAAATCATATAAACTACTTGCTTAAAAAGCAAACAGGAAAACACACAGTCTCTTCTCTTCCTTGCTAGGTTGGTTTTATATATATATATACTGTACAGTCGTACCTTGGAAGCCTTGCGAGTCAAACGTTTTGGCTCCTGAACGCCGCAAACCCGGAAGTGAGTGTTCCGGTTTGCGAACATTCTTTGGAACCCAAACACGGGTTCCGATTGGCTGCAGGAGCTTCCTGCAGCCAATCAGAAGCCGCGCCTTGGTTTCCAAACGTTTTGGAAGTCGAATGGACTCCCGGAACGGATTTCGTTCAACTTCCAAGGTACGACTTTATATATAAAGCTGGCATTGTTCACAAACGCTTGTCAACAATTTGGACTTTTTAGCAGCGAGGGCAGCAACTTTTGTGCAGCACCGCTTGGTGTTCTTTCAAAGGATTCCTAGCTTTTCGCACCCTCTGCTGGCTATTTGAGAAAGAGCAACCTCTCTATGGGTTTTTTTTGGAGAGGAAGGCTGGTGTCAATCAAGAGTAAAAGGTTAAATGTTTTGCTGGGGTTTGAGGCAGGTGGCTTCAGGTTTCAAGACATCTGCAAGAAAATGAGAATGTTCCAAGGGCGGGTGGCGGTTAAAGAAGACTCAAATGTGGATTTGTTGCCTTTTTGCAGTCTTAAGGTCACATCCACACCATCGTTTTAAAGCACATGGCTTGCCACCAAAGTAAGGAGTATAGCGTGTTAAGGATGCTGGGAATTATAGTTCCATGGGGATAAACTACAGTTCCTGCTTCTCAAATGTTTAGTGTGGATGTGACCCAATAGTAGGCGGGTAGCCTATGTTGTTTAGGCAGCCCCTGTCAAATTGAACCCTTGTTGCCATTACTAACCTGTGTTAAAAGGGGGGGGAAATATAGTCTTTCAAAGTGAACTCAAAGAATTGTAGCTCTGTGCAGGGAAGTCAGTGGAGTATCTCCTAACCACTCCCAGTGCCCTTACAGTTCCCAGAATTCTTTGGGGACGCCATGACTGTTTAAAGTGAGATCATATAGCCCCACCTGCGTTTCCTATTTAAAGCAACATCATGCTGCTTTAAACAGTCATGGCTTCCCACCTACCCTGGAGAATCTTGGGAACTGTAGTTTGTTCAGGGTGTGGAGTGTTCTCGGGAGGCAGCATAGGAGGGGGAGAGAGCTACAGTCCCAGAGCTCCCTTTTAAACCCCTTTGGCAGCCATAGCTCTGTGTGTGGAATAGGGGATCTCCGAACAACCCCCAGCGCCCTTAAACTACAGTTCCCAGAATTCTCTGGAGGGGGAGCCATGATTGTTTAAAGCCGTATCATAGTGCTTTAAATGTATGGTGCAAATGTGGCTTGAGTTAGACGTGAGCTGGATCCCATCCCCAGGGTGGTGGGCAGAAGACTGAACTAGGCATCCTCTCGGCCCGACCTAATCCTGGTCATTCAGATGGCTTTAATCAGAATAGGAACATTTCTCTCATTTGTCAGGCAAAAATTGGCATCCTCCTGTAACTCCTGAGGGTCCCCAAGGCAGGCACCCTCTGTGCAAAAACCGGTTCCAACTTCTGTCTCCTTCTCTCCCTCCCTCTAAAATTGGGGGCGGGGGAGCCCCACAACCCTGCGCAGCCCGTCCGCCTGGCCCCGGAGCGAGAGTTCATCAAGTCTCTGATGGCCATCGGGAAGCGCCTGACGACACTGCCGACCAAAGAGCAGAAGACGCAGCGCCTCATCTCCGAGCTCTCCCTGCTCAACCACAAGCTGCCGGCCCGTGTCTGGCTCCCCACCGCTGGGTTTGACCACCACGTGGTGCGGGTCCCACACACCCAGGCCGTCGTGCTGAACTCCAAGGACAAGGTAAGGGGGCTGAGGAAGGAACGGGGGCAAGAGCTCCAGTGGAATTGGGTTGCGTCCAGCTAAATTCTACTCAGAAGTAGATCCCAAGGCTGAAAACGCATCAGCTGTGTGCGGGAGAAATTGTAAGGTCACCTGCTCATGGATCCACATGTGGTGGCAGTGTCCGAAGTCTTTTTGTTTTGGGCGGAAACTGGGAACGGCACTTCTGTCCTAGTGCTGGAAAACTGCTTGACATCTTTCCCAGAAGGATCTCATTTATCACCTGATGACTGCAGCACGCCTTGCTACCTCAAGGCGTTAGAAGACTAAACACAGACCTGCTTGAAATCTGAAACTCAAAAATCTGGGACTTAGTATTAACGGACACACCAACAACCCACACATGAGTTAAGCAGACAAGAAAACCAATGCATTTCTCAAACACATGGCTGATCAGTTTTTAGTCGTTTCGCTCGGTAATGGTAGATATGTATACCATCGATGCATAACTTTGAATGCATTTTTCTGGATCCATGCAGAAACAGTTTGAAGGGAGCTTTTCCCAAGGAACATTTCCAGATTCCCCCCGAAAGTTAATAATGATGGAGGCAGAGGCACACTTTGCAATTAGCAGTAGGAGCCAAGTGTTGGGAAGAACAGTGCACTGAGCCCTCCTTCGCCCAGAGTAGAAATAAGCTGCCTGTCCCCAAAACATCACCACAAATCTCCCGTCCTGTTTTGTCAGACGTTGTAAACTTGTCCAGTCAGAGTCCTTTCTCTTTCTCCCTCCCTCCTCCCCGTCTTCAGGCTCCTTACCTAATCTATGTGGAAGTACTTGAATGTGAAAACTTCGACACCACTAACGTCCCGGCCCGGATCCCAGAGAACCGTATCCGTAGCACGCGATCCGTGGAGAACCTCCCAGAGTGCGGGATCACGCACGAGCAGCGGGCCAGCAGCTTCACCACTGTCCCCAACTACGACAACGATGACGAGGCTTGGTCTGTGGACGACATTGGGGAGCTGCAGGTGGAGGTATTTCGATAAAATCATCATCATTTAGCTTCGCTTCGCAAATATAAAAAGGTTGACTTTTTAACGTTTTGGTGGAATATTTCCAGTCACTTTAAACTCGTCTTATTCAAACCTTTTGTGTGAAAAAAGGGGGAGAAATGCATAAAAATCATTAAGAATTATCGGAGCACATCAGATTAGCTTGCCAAATCTCCCTTATGCATAACAGACATGTAAAAAAGCAGGAGGAGCAAGAAGACGAGAGAAGAAGGCTTGATAAGTCAGCAAGGGGCTTCAGTGCTATCCAATGAAATAATTTTCTCTGCTGATGAAAATGAAGGACAAATAGCTGGTGCCTAAAGATGAAAATGGGGACGCGGGTGGCGCTGTGGGTTAAACCACAGAGCCTAGGACTTGCCGATCAGAAGGTCAGCGGTTCGATTCCCTGCGACGGGGTTGCTCGGTCCCTGTTCCTGCCAACCTAGCAGTTCGAAAGCACATCAAAGTGCAAGTAGATAAATAGGTTCCGCTCCGGTGGGAAGGTAAACGGCATTTCCGTGCGCTGCTCTGGTTCGCCATAAGCGGCTTAGTCATGCTGGCCACATGACCCGGAAGCTGTACGCCGGCTCCCTCGGCCAATAAAGCAAGATAAGCTCTGCAACCCCAGAGTCGGTCACAACTGGACCTAACGGTCAGGGGTCCCTTTACCTTTAAGATGAAAATGATGGAAGTTATGAATTGGCATTAATTACACCAAGTACGTACCGCTGCTGCTGTCACCACTTTTATGGGTGCTGACTTGATCACTGATGAAGACAAGAGGCTTATAGTTGGTCACAATAAAGCCAAAAAGGCCCAAGAAAAATCCCTGGATCAGGAATTCAATTACCTTTGTCAGAAGGGTGAAATGGACTGCATCTTTTTTGATGGCCTTGAAGGTACAGCTAAAGCGATGCTGAAAGCAGGGCTCTTTCTTCAACAATGTGCCACGGAAACGAATGAAACCTCTCTGCTTCCATTGAGCTCTTCCTTCCTTCCTTTGTTCTCCAGCTCCCAGAGATTCACACCAACAGCTGTGACAACATCTCCCAGTTCTCTGTGGACAGCATCACCAGCCAGGAGAGCAAAGAGCCCGTCTTCATAGCTGCTGGAGATATCAGGTGAGTGGGAGTCTAGAAGAAACGTCCGCTGCTTGGCAATGAGGGGTTCAGGTCTAGGAATAGAACATCCCTTATAAAAACCCCCAAAACCTGAGAATAGTATAATCCAGTTCCGCTTCCGTGTGTAGCAAAATCCCCCCTGAGGCGTTCTCAAAGTAAAGGAAGGATTGAACTCTGATTAATAAGAATACACTCAGAGGCTTGAACCAGCAAGACTCTGGGAAGGGTGCGTATAATATTCTGTGTCTCGCCACCCTCCGGCCCAGGTCGTTTTATTCACAAAAGAGCCTTTTACAGAGTGTTTGTAAGAACCAATCAGATTTTTTCTGAGCATTTCAACAAACCCCATGTGGGGACACCGTTAGACTACCAAAACTAATTAAGCATGGGGTAAATAAAACAGAACTACAAAGGAGTGCATTTGGCAACCCCTGAGGTCATAAGCAAGCAATACACATGATAGGAAGGATGGCCAGGAGGACAGCGACCATTCTCACCTTTAGGTGAGATCTGTTTCCTGGCCCTAAGATTAACATCCTAAGATTAACATATCAGAAAAGCTATATCAAATAAACTTGCCCACTATCTTTATGGCCCAGGATGCATGCCTGGCAAAGCAACTGGGCTGTGTACGTGACTTGTCAAGCAAGAGAAATGGACAGTAGAGGAAATGGCCAGAGATGCAGAGGGTTGTGGGATTTGATCAGAAATTATTGTCAGTGTATCAAACCCAGTCAAGGCAACGCATTCATCGTGGAGACAATGGCTTGATGCATATTATCTAATTCGTCATAGTAATCCCACCTGACCCCACACTCTGGATATTTGCACTCCTACACCCTCCCCCCCCCAAATTAACATTTCTCTTTCCTCTTGCAGGAGACGCCTCTCGGAACAGCTTGCCCACACTCCAACATCCTTCAAGAGGGACCCCGAAGACCCTTCTGCTGTCGCCCTGAAGGAGCCGTGGCAGGAGAAAGTCAGGTGAGGGCAGTGCAGGGTCAGAGCAGAGAGTGGCGGGGCCCCAGTTGTGTCTCCACGGCCTGACGTGCTAAGAAGCCAGGCATTGGCTGCAGGCCGGGAGGCTCTCCCCATCTCTTGCGTGGGGCAACGGGGCTGTTCAGGTTCCTCAGGGCTTGGCAAGGGTGGCCCGAGTCTCCCGCGCCAGGCCAGGGCGGAACCAACTGCTTCCTGCTGCTTTCTTGCAGACGGATCCGGGAGGGCTCTCCGTATGGCCACCTCCCAAACTGGCGCCTCCTCTCTGTGATCGTGAAATGTGGCGATGATCTCCGGCAAGAGCTGCTGGCCTTCCAGGTGCTCAAACAGCTACAGGTAGGGAATACTCCACAGCCGTGCCTCTTTCTCCTTTCTCTTTCCTCCCTCAAGGGCTTCTGAGTTTGGTCAAGTCGGATGCAGTGCTGGTGTAGTGGTTAGAGTGTCAGACTAGCATCTGGGAGAGTTGTTGTTGTTTAGTCATTTATTCGTGTCCGACTCTTCGTGACCCCATGAACCATTGCATGCCAGGCACTCCTGTCTTCCACTGCCTCCCGCAGTTTGGTCAAACTCATGCTGGTAGCTTGGAGAACACTGTCCCACCATCTGGTCCTCTGCCGTCCCCTTCTCCTTGCGCCCTCCATCTTTCCCAACATCAGGGTCTTTTCCAGGGAGTCTTCTCTTCTCATGAGGTGGCCAGAGTATTGGAGCCTCAGCTTCAGGATCTGTCCTTCCAGTGAGCACTCAGGGCTGATTTCCTTCAGAATGGATAGGTTGGATCTTCTTGCAGTCCATGGGACTCTCCAGAGTCTCCTCCAGCACCACAATTCAAAAGCATCCATTCTTCGGCGATCAGCCTTCCTTATGGTCCAGCTCTCACTTCCATACACCACGACTGGGAAAACCATAGCTTTAACTATATGGACCTTTGTTGGCAAGGTGATGTCTCTGCTTGGGTTCAAATTCCTCCTCAGCTCTTGGGGGCCTAACCTCCCTTGCAGGGTTAAATGGGGTGGAAGAGAACCAGGTGCGCCACGTTGAGCTCTCTGGAAGAAAAAAGTGGAATAAAAATTTGAATAAAAATCATAATACAGTGGAACCCCGGTTTTCGAGCGTCTCCTCCTGTCTGGGACACCCCTGTAGTCTGGAGATGCCCGTCAAAATTTTGCAAGGGACATTTTGCATGCTGGACTTCTCTCCCCCCACCCCACACAAAAAACTCAATGGTCTCCTGTTGCAAAGCGCCTTTCTTTCGTTTGCTTTCCTCCTCCAGTCCATCTGGGAGCAGGAGCGCGTCCCCCTGTGGATCAAGCCATACAAAATCCTCGTCATCTCTGCCGACAGCGGCATGATCGAGCCGGTGGTCAACGCCGTCTCCATCCACCAGGTCAAGAAGCAGTCACAGCTTTCTCTGCTGGACTACTTCCTGCAGGAGCATGGGAACTACACCACCGAGGCCTTCCTGACCGCCCAGCGCAACTTCGTGCAGAGCTGCGCCGGCTACTGCCTGGTCTGCTACCTGCTGCAAGTCAAAGACAGGTGAGGGGGTCCTGGGGGAAGCTGGGGCGAGGCAGTGGGCAGAGAAGGGGTGCTCAGCACATTGCAGAGAGAAGCCTCGCAGCTGCCAGTTTCCAAACAAGGAGGGGAGAAACCACATACTCCTCCTTGAGCTCCTTGTAGAAAATGGCAAGATAGGAATGCAATAAACAATGTTTTTTTCTGTCCTGTCTCCTCCCACCCTGCAACACCCCCCACCCCAAAAGGCACAATGGCAATATCTTGCTGGATGCAGACGGACACATAATCCACATAGATTTCGGGTTCATCCTCTCCAGCTCACCCCGGAATCTCGGCTTTGAGACATCGGCCTTCAAACTCACCTCTGAGTTCGTCGATGTAAGTTGGCGGTGGGTGGAAGGGAGAGAGAACTCCTGCCTTGTTTTTTGTCCGCAGTTCTTTGCGAGAAGTTTCTTGGATCAAGCAGTTTTTGAATATTCTAAAGAAGGGGCAGGGAGGACATGAGGAAGCAGCCTGTGGCCAAGAGGTCTAGTTAAGGCGTATTTCTTATTTATGCTTCTTTGAAGCTGAGGAGGTTGGTCAACCCACACATTGTCTCAGGCACAGGCAGCCTTTTGCTGAAGCAATCCCATCGAAAGAAATCAAACTCCTCATGGAGGAGAGGGCTATCGATGGCTGCTAGCCATGATGTCTGATGCTTCTGAACCCCATTTGCTGGAAACTGCAGGAAGGGAGAGTTGCCCTTGTTCTCATGTCCTGCTTGCAGGATTCGCACAGGCATCTGGTCAGCCACTGTGAGGATAGGCTGCTGGACTAGTGGGCCATTGGCCTGATCCAGCAGGCTCTTCAGGTGCTATTTGTGGGGTGCTATTGTGGTTGCTCGAGAGTAACCAGGCAGGACTCTGACCTGTCTTTTACAGGCTTTATTTTGGTGCAAACTATTTACAGTGAAGAGCGTCATAAGTTCATGTCTGGCTCCATCACTAGCAGAATCCGGGAGTGGTCTGTTCGTGTATCTCCCCCAACATAAAAGTTTCGTCACCCCCAGCCTTTTCCACCCCTCCCTGCGCCTCAAACTACTGCGCATGACGGGCGACGGCGAGGGCGTGCCTCCCTCCTCTCCGGCTTGCTCAGGCGCGGTGTTAAAGCTCTTACTAGTATCCTCTGGTCCTTGCACCTCTTCTCCACAGGAGGTGGGGCTTTCCTCCTCGCCGGAAGATGAACTGCTTTGCAAGATTTTCGGAGGTTCCCTGTAACACAACTGCCCCTCCATCTCTCGCCTCTGAGCCGATGGCATTTCCCTGACAGCTATTATTAATTATTATTATTATTATTATTATTATTATTATTATTATTAATACCCCACCCATCTGGCTGGGTTTCCCCAGCCACTCTGGGCGGCTCCCAACAGAATATTTCTAGGGTTTGCCACAGTTTTTTGCATGCATGAAAGCTTTAAGCCTTCCAGTCCTTAGGGAGGTCTCTGCAATCTCCTCCCTGTTCCTCCAGCCCTTCTTTGGACGCCCATCTTGAACTTTCCTCCTTTTCCCCCTTGCCCCCTTTCAGGTCATGGGAGGCTTGGATGGCGACATGTTCAACTATTACAAGATGCTGATGCTGCAAGGCCTCATCGCCGCTCGGAAGCACATGGATAAAGTCGTCCAGATTGTGGAGATAATGCAACAAGGTAGCTTTTGTGGGTTTGGGGGTACCTGGGCAGCTTTGGGGTTTCAGGCCAGGCCACCAGGTCACAAACACACCCACCCCAAGCCAGTAGAGTGTCTCTTCCACCACATGTGAGAGGCTCTCGGTCCACCCATCCACAAAGGGGCACCTGCACTGCCAGGCCCAGGATCGCTGGGACGCTGCAAAGGGTTCTGGGAACACCGGTCTCCAAACCCACCTGGGTAGTTTTCTCCCAGCGCACACACAAACTCAGGTTGTCATCTGATTTCAAAGAACCGCCTTAGCTGTTGAGCCCGCCATTCAGTCACATGGTCCTAAATAACCCCGTAGCACAGGTGCCTTCTTGACAGAAGCACAAGGAAACTTGTAAGCCGCTTTAATCAGCGGCCGAAAGGAGGCACTGGCCTTTTAGAAAGGATAGGGGTTTTTTTTGTTTCTCTTAAAAAAGTAACCAGAGCGCTTGTTATCAGTTTGTCCTGCAGGTTGCCAGTGTTGCTTGGGCGAAACGCAGCAGTCTCAGGCCCCCGCAGTAGCTCAGGTCATCAGTGAGTGTCGAGAGCAGCGTATTCGGATAAGTTGCTAGTCCATAAGAAAGTAACACAACTGCCTTGCTTGATCAGGCCAAAGGTCCGCCTGGTCTGGTGTGTTTTTTTGCCGCAAGAGGCTGGCACCCCTCTCTGGAAGTAGTTCCCAGAGACAGTGATGGCCAGCCCCTTTATTTATACTTGACCTCTGCAGCACCTGGCATTTGGAGGTAGACTGCTCCTGAGTACTCAGGCTTCCCTTTAGCTACCTACTGCAAATAGCAGCTGTTGGTACTTTTATCCTCCACGAATTGCATAATTCCCACAGGGTGTTCCTCCCCATTTTTAAAAGCTTCCCCCTTCCCCATAAGATTCCAGTGGCTCTTTAAGGACCTGTTGGAGCAAGGCAGTTCAAGGCTTCCAAAAAAGGGCACATCCTGCCCACCCCCCTCTACGAAAAGTGGGCTGCGATTGGGCAGAAGAGCAGGGTCATGAGAGTGCCTGTTTTGCATAGTTCTGCGGGGTATCGTTTGGCATTTACCATGAACGAGCCAATTTTAAAGCCCTCGACGCAGCCTTCGCTTTCCAGGCAGTAACCTACGCCGACGAGTTGAATGGCGGCTACAGAGGGGCCTTCATAGTGGTGGCACCAACCTTTATGGGTGGACACGGTGGGAGGCAATCGTGTTGCCCCCCCCCAAAAAAAATCATAACGATACTCAGATATAGAAACTCAGATATATATGCTAGGTCAGGAACCCCCAACCTGTGGCCCTCCAGATGTTTTGGCCTACAACTCCCATGATCCTTAGCTAACAGGACCAGTGGTCAGGGATGATGGGAATTGTAGTCCAAAACATCTAGAGGGCCAAAGGTTGGGGGTGCCTGTGCTAGGTGCTAAATGACAGCTTACCGTATTTTTCACACTGTAAGATGCACCTTTCCCCTCCTAAAAAGTAAGGGGGAATGTGTGTGCGTCTTATGGAGCAAATGCAGGCTGCGCAGTTATCCCTCTTGCTGTTCTGGCTTCTGGGATTCAGAATATTTATTTTCTTGTTTTCCTCCTCCAAAAACTAGGTGCGTCTTATGGTCTGGTGCATCTTATAGAGAGAAAAATACAGTAAACCGTGGTCACGGTCACCATCATGGAGTAATAATAATAATAATAGTAATACCATAATTTCTGTGCCATCCATCTGGCTGGGTTGCCTGAGCCACTCTGTCTGTTCTCCAGGGGGTTGGACTGGATGCCCTTCGTGGTCCCTTCCAACTCGACCATTCATTGAGTCTTTGTTGAGATTCCTGTGCGTGGGGGGCTCGGAACGTATATCCCTGCGTAAGTGGGGGGGGGGGGCACCTGCAATTTTATCTATCCTTTCATTCTCTTTGTAAAGCTCTTGGAGGGTTCAGGCAGTGCGTAAACCTTACGAGAGTAAATAAGACTTCTCAGCCTTCCCGGAGGACAGAGAGACAGATCGTGTCCTCTCCGCAGCGGCGCTACGCTCCTTGGGCCAACTTGGGGCTCCAGAAGGCCCTGACTCTCCCCTCTCTCTCCCCCGCAGGCTCCCAGCTGCCCTGTTTTCACGGCTCCAGCACCATCCGCAACCTGAAGGAGCGATTCCACATGAACATGACGGAGGAGCAGCTCCAGCTCTTGATCGAGCAGATGGTGGACGGCAGCATGCGCTCCATCACCACCAAGCTCTACGACGGCTTCCAGTACCTCACCAACGGCATCATGTGACCGCCTGCCGCGCTCCCCAGACATGCCGGTGAAACCGCCCGCCCCCCATCCATCCCCACCACAGCCAGAGACCCTCAAAAAGTCCTTGTTGGAGGGAGCTGGATGGCGGAAGTAGGGAAGGAACGAGGAGCTGCCTTCCTCCCGAGGCGTCTCTTGAACGCAGCACCCCTTTTTACCGGATTCTTTTAGACACTGATGGGGGTCGGGGTGTAGGTTGGGGGCTTCGGAGTGGGGGAGAAGGACCTCTCGAACTAAGCTAGAGAAGTTTCTCTCTCTCTTCCCATGCGAAATTTTGAAGGATCATGTAGGAAAGAAAACCTTGAGATCTTTGCTTTTCTTCCCCCAAGAAAAGCCAACGAGCGAAAGGACGGAGCCTTTGTTCTCTGGACGTCGGGAAATCACACACGAAGAAGAACCATGTTTTGCCCTTGTCCCCATCGTCGCCATCCTTCCTCTCTCCCCGTCCCTGAAACTCAAAAATCATTTATTTCAGTATTATACCTCGTCTTTGTCCTCTGAACTGTCACTCTCTCGCAACAATCCCGCAAATGTTTTATGGGCCCAGGGGAGAACGGAGTGGGTAGGATGGTTTTTTGGGGGTGAAGGGGGAAGAGAGAGAGAGAGAGAGAGAGAGAGAGAGAGAGAGATGGGCCTTTGCAACAGCTCCGGAAAATCATGCATTTCTGAGCCTCCCATTTCCAAGACCCCCTTTTATCCCCCACTTCTCACATGTCCCCCTCCCCTTCCACCCCACTTCCCAACCCATGCATGTTTTTTTTCGTTGGTGTGCATGTGTGTTTCTGTCGAGACAATTAAATTCCCCGCCATCACCAAACCCCTGTATTATTTCCTGCACAAGTTTCATGCAAAGGCGCCACCGTTTGCGAGTTGCACAAAGGCCGGTGTTTTCATTATTCCACACCGCTTCTCTAGAGCACAGTTTTTGGGGTGGGAATTGGCTGCCGGTGGGGCAGGAGAGCGCTCAGCCTTTGCCACCACCACCACCACCCTGTCCCTGTCCCTGTCCCAGCGGGAATTCTGTCTTGCACCTCTTTCTACTCTCAATATATATATATATTTTCTTACACCATTCATGGCATGGGAAGCATCCGCTGAGCATTTGGCAATACTAGTTTCAGAGGTTTTTTTAGCTGTTCCCTTAGTTTGTGTTGCTTTGAAATCTCCTTAGCACTGCTGCAGAAAACCTCTTGCCGCTGTTCGTCCTGCCACAACCTCCTTAGAGAATGAAAACATTTCTTTTCTTCCTGGGTGTATTTAGTTCACTTATTTCCCACTGGGCAGCCAATCTCTCTCTCTCTCTCCCATAGCCATTTAGAGTATTCCTCCCCCTTAAGCCTCTTCTTCTCTCCTCCATCTTTCCCCCCTGTTTAACAAGTTGCCCCAGTTTACAGCTTCCAGCATAGTGCAGCCAAGACGGTTCCCAAGGGTCAACGTTCCCTTCTGTGGCCGAGTTTCGCCCTCCTGCCCAGTCCTCTGGGTCTTAGACAGTGCCTTCTCCTCCATCGCTCGCGATCGCAAACAGGCTGGGATCTGGCACCTCTTCGAAAGCAGCCACCATGGAGCCTGGGAGGTGTCGCAAATGATCGCTGGGACGCAACTCCCTGGAGACATGAATGTTTTTTTTTGTAATATGAATTTTAGAAACAGCTGTGTGTGTGTGTGTGTGTAGGGTGGAGCTGTCCTTTGCCCCCTTTAAAAAAAGAAAAGAGAGTTGGTACTTCAAGTCACTGAAAAGTTACGTGGTTCTGTTGCGGGAGGAAAGCGAGCCCATTTCCATGTATTCAGATATGAAATTCTGGGGGGGTTTTGGGGGGGGGAGGCAATGCCATGTGAATGTGGGGGGCGTGCATTTGTGTGTCCGATACCTCATTGCGTGAGGTTTTTGTGTTGTTGGGGGTTTTTTGCTTTTCCTTCCCTGTCCAATCTTTTGGCTGGCCTCTTCCCCCAAATCTCCTTTCCCGCATATGATTTCCCCATGCTATACCAAGTGTGTGTACATAGCACTTAAAATCATGCCGTACTTAAAAAAAAAAAAAAAGAGCAAAGAAATATTTTTTATTTTTTACAAGAGACCCTATATTGAGTAGAGGGGAGCTTGGAAATTGCTGCATAAAATGCAAAGAAGGTGGTAGCAGACATTCCTTTTCTCTGTATAAATGTGTGCACTGTTTTTAAATGTGCAGGTTCACCGAGCCCTTTTTTTTAATTTAAAAAAATAAAAAGATTAAAAGGGGGGTGGGCGGGGGAGCTGTCAGTCTTGATGCAGCAAACTGCGTTATCGCAGGCATCTGTTCAGAAACATCTGGACAGGGGCGGAGGGAGATGGCAGAATCAGGTCTGCAAGGGGTGGGTGATTTAACAAGTCTCTTCCCCCACCCCAATAAGCCCATGCTCAGGTGTGTTTGTGTGTGAATTCCTCCCCCCAGCGGCAAATTCTATTTACACCTTCTGTTTACAAAGTTTTTGGTGGTCTTCGCAGCAGAGCAGCTTGTCATTCTCTCGCCCCCCCATTTTTAAAATCTGAACTAAGGTAACAAGAAACACAATCTCAAAAAGATTCTTTCACGATGGGTGCTGTCTGCTTTCATCTGTCGCATCTGTCAGTTCCTTCTTGTTAGATAACCCCTTTTTTTAGGTAGGGGGCTTCACAGTCATCCTCAGCCACTGTCTGGAAGGGGGAGAACACCTGGGGGGGGGGGGAGACAGGGCAAGGAAGTGTGCACCTTTTAAAAAACCTGCATCCACACGCAAAAGCAGAAATGGGGAGGAATTATTATTTTTTGGTACCCTCCTAACCTTACAATCGTACAGGTTTTGGGCAGCGTTGACTGAATCTGGTAGAAAAGTGATGCGTTATGAATGGCTTTGTGAAAAGCACGGTTTTAAAGGAGGGAGAAATTTAGCAGTGTTTTGTCATAACAACGGCTACATAAATCCCTCTTCCCCTTGCCAGTTCCCGCGAGGAACTTACGAGCCGCCGCGCCTTTTCTGTGCCTGGAAGCCTCCGAGTGACTGTAGCAGCTTTGCTTCCTGCTCTCTTTCTGTGACGGTGCCTGCTGCGTGCAGCGCCTTTTTCGGAGCCTCGTGGATGACTTCCTGCAGCAACAGAGAAGGCGACGAGCATGCAGGGAAATGGATAGCAAGTGGGTCGGGAGCAGCTGTCAAAAGCAGTCACTACTACAGTCACCGGGAGACTTCCGGGCACCCAGTGGCTAACGGGTGCTCGCGCGAACCAGTTTATTGAGATCCCAAATAGGTGGCTGTTTCTCCCAGCACCCTCTTGATTTGAATGATCTGAACGAGGTCTTTTAGGGCAGGTAGCAGGAAGTCACAGGTCTGAATTATAGCTGAACTGGGCTGTCAGCAAATGAGACAGGCTTCTCTGCCAGCAAGGGTCGAGAGGCTTATCACTGTTCATAACACCAACCCTACAAAAGTGGGGGAGAGCTTTAGGAAGAGGGTAAGCCATTAACAAGCGAGGAAGCAAGCAGTCTCTCTTAAAATGCATTACAGGTTTCATTTTACACATGCGCGCCCCGCCAGCCCCGTTAAAAGTCCTCCCCCATTTTCAGGAGAGTTGCTGATGGCTTCCAAAAAGTTTGTGCATGACCATTTCGTGTGTGCGTGCGTGCGTTTTTCTTTTTCTTTTCCTTCCTTCATTCTTTCTTTCCCTAGTTGGTAAGGATGGGCCAAAACTCCAAAATAAAAGTCTATGAAATGAACTTACATTTCTAATAAAAATGTCCTTTTTTTATAAATATATATATACATATGTAAAGAAGAAGAAGAAAAAAAATGCAAGCCGAATATTTGCAGAGAAGTTGTTGACCTCTGTCTCATTTCTTTGGGTGATGAATACAGTCTTTGTGAACAAAGGGTGTGTTTGCAGTTTGCGGGGAGGTAATTCCGTGGCTGCGGTGCTAGTGATAGTGGCTCTGGTGGCGATTGGCTGAGCTGTCCTGATGTCACCAAAAGGGAGAAGCAGGTGCGGTCACTGGTTCTGAAGTGCCTGTGGTGGTTCTCCATCGCTCCACGCTCTGGGAGATTTCCCGTGGGTTTTAAGAGCAGAATCGACCCTCTTCTAAAAGGGGCGAGCGGCTGGCAGAGTCTTGCCATGGGCATCTAAAGGGGATTGCAGGAGGGCCCCAGAAAGCAGAGTCTGTAGCGGTCAAGTGGTCAAAGTCTCAGAGCATAGCCTTACGAAAATGTCGGAGGAATGAGCCAAGAAGGTCCTGGCCGGATTGGAGAGGGAAAGAAAGGCTTGGTGCTTTGTACTGATTTTAAATGAATGGCTCAGCCATTTGCCTTCCATCTGCAGACTTTATTTTGTCAGTTGGTAAAGCCATACTTTTTTAACTGGAGAGAGGGCAGTCATTAATTTTAAAAATATAAATAGATAGGTGGGGTTCTTGGGGAGGCCAAAAACACTTTTTGTGGGGTTGGATACAGTCTGTGCACCACAGGTTAGCCATCCCAATCTAGGGGCCTATCCTGAGTCACTCATCCAGCTGAAAACTTGCCATTGCACTGTAACTTAAAACTGCAGCCCTAAAACATGGCTGCCGCAAAAATGTTAGTCCTCCATTTAACTGCATTGAACTAAACCACAGCCTTTGGCATTTCAATCAAGAAATGCTGACCCCTTTGCAAAGACGTGCATCTATTTAAGCTGCTACTTATCAAGTAGGAACTCCATCAAAGAAAAGGAAAGATGTATCTAGCCTTTGCGTTTGGTTCTTTCCCCTCTTTGCCTGACTTCCTCTGAGCTAATCAGTACCAGACAAACTTGAAAGCCATGATATCACCTCATTCCCTTCCTAGAGCAAGTAGGGGGTCCATCCTTTGCCATGGGGCTCTGGGAAATGATGCCATTGCTCCTATGGGGGAAAAAAGTATTGGAGCTGTGCTGTGGTGTGTTTGCCCTCCAGCACACCACACATCATCTCCCACACACTGCCAGGGAAAAGATATTCTCCTGTGAGTCCATCAGTGCTTGGGACACAAAGTCAGCCATGCTGACGTAATTAACACTTATTCAAAAAGGTGAAATGTCTCATGCGATGAAGGAAGAGTTCCTCCTAAAAGCTGTTCTGACCTTGACTGGCAACAGTGTGGGCTTAACGGGACCCCTTTTCAGGGTATCTGGAACCTGGTGAGGTCTGTGGAAGGCAAACGCAATTTCCCAGCAATTCTTCCACATTCTGTCAAGATCCACACATGCAGCAATGTCATTGCCTTATTCCAGGAGTAGGCAAACTAAGGCCAGGGGGGCCGGATCCGGCCCAATCGCTTTCTAAATCTGGCCCACAGACAGTCTGGGAATCAGTGGTTTTTTACATGAGTAGAATGTGCCCTTTTATTTAAAATGCATTTCTGGGTTATTTGTGGGGCACAGGAATTCATTCATTTTTACCCCCAAAATATAGTCTGGCCCCCTGCTGAAAAAGTTTGCTGACCCCTGCCTTATTCTGATGGGGAGTCTAGGGATATACTGAATTATTTAAATAGGAACATAGAAAGTTGCCGGCTGGGATTGTGGCGGAGCCAGTGACCTGGACTAACATTGATGCATCAAAATAATCCCATGGATGTCTTAAGAGAGAATTTTCTAAAAATGCAACATTGATGGTATCTAACACCTTGGAAACTGTCGTGAAGATGTACAAAAGTGTTCCAAGCAACTGCTGGAGGTGTGGAGACAAATCGGGCACTTTCTATCACATGCGGTGGCTATGTAAGAAAATCCAGGCATTTTGGGCGAGTATCCACTTAGAATTACAAAAAATGATAAAGATTTCCTTTAAGAGGAAACCAGAAGCTTATCTTCTGGGGACTACAGATTCGGATATCCCGCAAAAAATGAAAGGTATCTTTTATACGCTACAGTGGCAGCAAGAGTTCTTATCACTACAAAATGGAAGAGTGATGAAATTAATGAATGGATCCAAAAGCTAACAGATTATGCGGAGTTAGACAGTTTATCAGAAAGAATAAAGAACAAACCAAAACAGGAATTCGTCTCAAAATGGGAAGTTTTCAAAGTTTATTTGAAAAACAATTACAGCAGTTTAAACTCTGTCGCAGCATTTGAATAAGTAGTAGCTTTAAGAAAGATATGAGACCTAAGATAAACCAGTAATTAGTTAATTTAAGAAAAAAGTGTGTACTGGCAACAAATAATATATAATTGAAATAAGGAATAGGGACGCAGGTGGCGCTGTGGGTTAAAGCACAGAGCCTAGGACTTGCTGATCAGAAGGTTGGTGGTTCGAATCCCCGCGACGGGGTGAGCTCCTGTTGCTCGGTCCCTGCTCCTGCCAACCTAGCAGTTTGAAAGCACGTCAAAGTGCAAGTAGATAAATAGGTACCGCTCTGGTGGGAAGGTAAACGGTGTTTCCATGTGCTGCTCTGGTTCGCCAGAAGCGGCTTAGTCATGCTGGCCACATGACCCGGAAGCTGTACGCCGGCTCCCTAGGCCAGTAAAGCGAGATGAGCGCCGCAACCCCAGAGTCGGCCACGACTGGACCAAATGGTCAGGGGTCCCTTTACCTTTATGGAATAGGCGGGAGGTCGGGTCTATAATCCAAGGACCATTTTTTGCTTTATTGATTTGTAATTAACACTGTATCACCGTTTTATTTGTATTTTTGTTCTGTTTTTTCCTTTTTTTGGTGTATCAGAAAACAAAACAAAAGCCCCATGCAGTTAAACGTTCATAGGACTACGTGCCCTCCCTGCCTTCCATTATTTCACAGTTCACATAATTACCTTTTTTGAGTCTCCTAACCCGCCGCTGCGATTCCCCTTTTGCCCAGGAGAGGGCAGCCTTGCATAAGCGCCTCGCCCGCAGCTGCGCGCCTTCGCCTTTCTCCTCCACCAGGGGGCGCCTGCGAAACTCACCGCCACCACCTTTCCTTGCCATTTCAATGCAAAACCTCAACCACTCCACCCCTTAGCCAGCCTTGCAAAAAAAAAAAAGCAAACCTCAATTTCACAGCTTACCTGTCTCTGCCTGCCTGCCTTCCTGCCTTCCTCCTCCTCCTTCTCCTGGCCCAACCCATCTTGCAGAGGAAGAGGGCGATCAGGTCAGGAATGTTTTGAAGGGAGCAGTTGATTTCGCTCGCTCTCTTTCCTCCCCTCCCCCTCCTCCAGTCCATCCACTTTGGGAGCACTTTCGCTTTGCTGGGGAGAAAGTGCCCCCAACTCCCGAGGAGAACTTTCCCTGCGCCTGGGAAAAGGAGTTTGCAACGCCGCCGCGGTGAGTTTCTGATGGGCGCCACCTGCAAGTCCCAGTAAAAATCAGGAATTGCCTGCGCGGGTGAAGATCTTGCAGACAAGATTCCACCATGGTGAGTGTTTTCGCTTTTCCTTGGAAACAGATTCTGGATCTTCTGCCTTTCCACCCCCCCTTCCTCGTTTTCCTCCCTCCTCGTTTCGTTGGGTCAAGCTGAGCGCCCAGCCAACTTCCCTCCAGCCCCCACCACCATAAAAGAAAAAGTTGGATCAAGTTTCTCTTTCCGTAGCAAATCCTGAACTTCTTTTGATTTTCTTTCCCGCCTCCCTATATAAAAAAAAGAGGCCCCGATTCTCATGTTCAACTTGTTTGCAGGACGTTCTGGTCCAAAAAATGCGCGCCTGAATTAAATTAATGGGCATCTTGACCGTAGATCTTAGTGACACTTCTAGAAAGAATGTTGAAATGGGCCGGTTTCTATTTAGCCTCCGATTTAGCAACAGGTGACCCTGCAGAACAAATGCAATTATATTTCACAGCATAATCCTATGTACTGTCTACACAGAAGTAAGTCCCACTGTATTCAATGGAGTTTACTCCTAAATAAGAATGTGTATTCTTATTCAAATCATTGACGGTAGATCTTAGCTGTTGGGGGGAAATGTTTCTATTGTTTCAAAAAGGTATTGTTTGGAAATGGAAATAATCTTTGCAATTTAAGAGAGGGGACAATTTTTCAAACAGTATGGAGGCAACTGCTTTCAAGTCCCCTGGATGCACTTTTGATATAATTTTAATTGATAGGTGCTTAAATTTCATTGGAATGCCTTCTGTCACAAGGTCTGTCTTTAGATTTTCCCAACAAATTCAGGCTCCATGGCATATCCTTCAGTCGATATTTTTGGGCTGCGTTTATACCATACATTTAAAGCTAGCACAGAGAGAGAGAGTGAAAGAATCGTGGGCGATATACTTTACTCCTTACTGCTCTATAGTTCCCAGCATCCTTTACGAGCTACATTTCCCTGGATTTTTAAGAGTAGGAAAATGTGCTTTCATTAATGAATAATAATAATAATAATAATAATAATAATAATATTTTATTTATATCCCACCCTCCCCAGCCGGAGCCAGGCTCAGAATGAAGAGTTCTCCAGAACCTTAAAATAAAAAACTTGCTCTTTTGTCACATTTTAGTTGGCCTAATCATCTTCCTCTTTCCCCGGGGGCTTCCTTAAACTGAGGCTGAATCACCTTCCGAATTGCAGCTTAGAGAAACTTCAGATCAGAAATAGCTGAAGAAGGCTTTAGGTTTCCTATCTGAGCAGTTCTTGGAAGGAGTGGCACTGGGGCGGGAAGTTTCCCTCTTGCAGTTTTAGAAACAGCCCGAGAGAGGTGATAATCCAGAAAGGACCATCTCCCTCCTGGCTTTTCTTGTGGGCTAGTGAACTGCCCATCAAATTGATGGCTGGCATACTTCTGCCCTCCAGTTTCCCCTATTTACCAGGAAGAGTTCCTGTTTTCTGAGCCCTGTTCCTGGTAAATCGCTGTTTATTTTTGGTGGCGGCTTTTTAGAACAAAGTTGTGAATGCTTAACCCATCACCCCTCCGCTTAATAACTTAACCCACACCCCTATAACCCAATAACTGCCTATCTACATAGTTGTTGCTGAAATAATAATGTTTCAAAGCTTCCAGAACCCCAGCATATGGGAGTATGTATTCCACAGAGTGCTGCCTTTGACTGAATCAGATCACTGATTCTTGAATTGCATGGGGTTGGACTAGATCCCTTGGGATCCCTCCCAACTCTACAATCCTATGATTGGTCCATGCAAAATCAGTGTTACTTACAATGGCTGGCAGCTGATCTCCTGAGTTTCTGACAGGGGTCTTTCCTAGGGAAATGCTTGTCGTTGAACCTGCTCTACCGTTGAGTTGCAGTCATTTCCCTAAAAATAAAGCGAGAGGCTAGTCCTCATTGTTCTGAAGAAAGGACTGATTTAAACAGGAACAGAGGGAACTGCTTTACAGTCATACCTCAGGTTGAATATGCTTCAGGTTGAGCGCTTTTGGGTTGCGCTCCGCGGCGACCTGGAAGTAACGGAACGCATTACTTCTGGGTTTTGCCACTCGCACATGCGCAGACAGTCAAAATGACGTCACACGCATGCACAGAAGCGGTGAATCACGACCCGCGCATGCGTAGATGCGCAGTCGCAGGTTGTGTTCGCTTCAGGATGCGAACAGGGCTCTGAAACGGATCCCGTTCGCATCCTGAGGTACCACTGTATTAGGGTGTGGAACTTTATTTTTTCAGTTTTTTTCAGTGAGGAGTCTTAAAAATATGTTTTTGGTTGTGAGGGATTCAAATTATTATTTTTGCGAATGGACACCATTTAGCTTGGCAAATCTACATTTGATGAAGAAGCACATAATATGCTTTCAGGAAGCCAAAGAATTTTCATTCTACCTTTTGAAAATGTCAGGTAATGCTAAATAACAAGAGGAGGAGGAGAACTTCAGCCGTTTTCAATAATTTTTGTGCAATTCTGCACACATATTACTTTTGAAGCAAAACTAAATTATATCAATTCAACCAAAATTTCTTGAATTCCCAAGTCATGCTACAGCTTTTTAGCAGCGTTCATTTTTGGAAGTTGAAAGCTAAAAAATCCAACACACCCTCCTGCTGTCGTCGCTCACTACTGTCAACACTGACAGGCAGCATTTCCTGGGGAGACAAGGAGCCTCTCTCTCTGCCCTACCTGGGGATGCCAGTAGGGCCTGAAGCTGGGAGGGCAGAGATCCTCACCAATAGGGGCAGGTCTGTAGCTCCGTGGTAGAGCCTCTGCTTTGCATACATCTCCAGGTGAGATGCTGGGACGCGGGTGGCGCTGTGGGTTAAATCACAGAGCCTAGGGCTTGCCAATCAGAAGGTCGGCGGTTTGAATCCCCGCGACGGGGTGAGCTCCCGTTGCTCGGTCCCCGCTCCTGCCAACCTAGCAGTTCGAAAGCACGTCAAAGTGCAAGTAGATAAATAGGTACCGCTCCAGCGGGAAGGTCAACGGTGTTTCCGTGCGCTGCTCTGGTTCGCCAGAAGCGGCTTAGTCCTGCTGGCCACATGACCCGGAAGCTGTACGCCAGCTCCCTCGGCCAATAAAGCGAGATGAGCGCCGCAACCCCAGAGTCAGCCACGACTGGACCTAATGGTCAGGGGTCCCTTTACCTTATACCAGGTGAAATGGGGAGGGGCATGAAAAAGACTCCCTGTCTGAAACGCTGGAGAGCTGCTGCCAGTCAGTGTGAACAGTATTGTGCTAGATGGGCCCCAGTGGTCTGACTCCGTAGAAGGCAGCCTCCTGCGTTTGTACACAATTCAGCCCTCTGTTCAGAACCATGAGGACTAGAATCTTGCTTAGTTTTTAGGGGATGGGCTGGAGCTCCTGGGAATGTCCCTGGCCTGAAACCCCGGAGAGCCGCTGGCAGTCAGTGCAGACAGTACTGTGCTAGATGGGCTGGTGGCCTGACAAGGCAACTTCCTGGGAATTTGTGGGCATGCCCGTGGGTTTGCCGCAAGGATTCGCGCACCGGAGGTGACACAATCTTGCGTGCGGATGCATCAGCAAGTGAGGGAGCCACTGGGACCGATGGCAAGCCATGTGTGCGCCCCACCAAGTCTCAGTTTCCGGCCACATGGTGCGTGGTTTGGGAGCTGCACGGTCAGGGGAAAAACAACGCTGTCCAGGGTTGTATAGACTGTGGAGAGAATAATTGGGTGCACTCTTCCCACCTTGGATCAAATCGATGCTTCCAGGTGTCATAAGAAAGCTGCAGAGATAGCGCAGGATAGTGCGCACCCCGGAAATGATCTCTTTCAGCTTCTGCCTTCTGGAAGAAAGTACAGGGTTATAAAGACTAGGACTAGCTGCCTGGGAAACAGTTTCTATCCAAATGCGATTTTGGTTTTAAATGGAGTCTCTATGGGAGTATATTGTATTTAATTATGGGGTATCAGGACGTGGGTGGCACTGTGGGTTAAACCACAGAGCCTAGGACTTGCCGATCAGAAGGTCAGCGGTTCGAATCCCCCTGACGGGGTGAGCTCCTGTTGCTCGGTCCCTGCTCCTGCCAACCTAGCAGTTTGAAAGCACCTCAAAGTTCAAGTAGATAAATAGGTTCCGCTCCGGCGGGAAGGTAAACGGTGTTTCCATGCACTGCTCTGGTTCGCCAGAAGCGGCTTAGTCATGCTGGCCACATGACCCGGAAGCTGTACGCCGGCTCCCTTGGCCAATAAAGCGAGATGAGTGCCGCAACCCCAGAGTCGGCCACGACTGGACCTAATGGTCAGGGCTCCCTTTACCTTTATCTTAACCAGGCTGGGATAGCAGGCTTGTTGGTTTTTGAATGTTGTTGTTTTTTTCTTTTCAGTTTCGTTGTTCTGTATGGGACAATGACAATAAAGATTCTCGTATCGTATGGGTGGGAGGCAACTATGAGGAAGCGATGAAATGCAGCGAAATTGTACTATGCCCTTGCGACTCTGTTTAGCTCCGTTTCCCCCTGAGTGAAGCAAACCCCTCGTAGCCATGCCAGCGGGGTTAATGGTTAACTTCTTCTGCGGGGGTGTGATTCTGACACCCTACGTGGGTGTGTTTAGAAGTGGGTGGGGAAATCCCTTGTGCCACCCTGCCCAGCGGAGCCCTTGCAGGAAAAATTAGGCAGGACCAGGCTTGATGGAGAAGCCTTTGGAATGCCCCCCCCGGGGGGTGCAGTGAATCAGCCTCTTTGGTTCCTCCTCTCTCCCATCCCCCCACCCATGTGCTTCATTTATTCCTTCCCCCACAACTAGGTGACCATGCACGAAGCCAGCCCAGGTCTGATTCAGCGGGGCGAGGCCTTCTCGATACCGGTGGGTGATGTCAGCTTGCTTGAGGTTGCCTTCTACGCTGCCTGTTCCCCGAGAGGTGATACTCTGGGTGACCCATAGGCAATTTGGCCTCCTTGGATCAGGGATCGTGCCCACGTTTGTTTGGGTTTTTTTAACGCAAAGAAATAAAAACTACATTTTGATTCTGTTGTAAACAAAAGCTGCCCTTTTCCCCTTTTTGGGGTATCCAAAAGCCCGTATAGAGTCCTTACTTCTTCTTACTTCTGTGCTTAAACAGATAAATCTACACCTGAGTAAGTTTCCTTTAACAAGGAAACTGCAAAAGGGGGGGGGTGTTTGCTAAAGGTACCCCCCCATCTCACTTTCCTATGTGTGGTTATTTTAATTCCTAAAATAGGCTTAATATTCCTATTCAAGTACAGTGGTACCTCGGGTTACAGACGCTGTAGTTTACAGACGCTTCAGGTTACAGACTCCGCTAACCCAGAAATAGTGCTCCAGGTTAAGAACTTTGCTTCAGGATGAGAACAGAAATTGTGCAGCGGTGACAAGGCAGCAGCAGGAGGCTCCATTAGCTAAAGCAGTACCTCATGTTAAGAACAGTTTCAGGTTAAGAACGGACCTCCAGAACGAATTAAGTTCTTAACCCGAGGTACCACTGTACAAAAAAATTGTTCAATTGTTCACTTTTGTATTCCGTTTAAATCACTTCCTTTCTGAGAAAGGTCCCTGAAAGACATAGGGTGGGCCCACACTCCATCCCATACCCTGGAATCCCAACTCACACATTTAAAGCATCCCAAACAATCTTGGGAACTGTAGTTTGTTTGCCATGCTGGCAGCTGAGAATTGGACGCCAGCAATATCTGGGGGGCCACGAATGTTCCTCTTGAGGGCCATGGGGCTATCCTCCCGAGGCCCAACAAGGAAGGAAAAGAGCTGGTCACATGCAGATGTTTCAGTAGGGGGTTCCTGCCCAGAGGGGGCAGCAAGGAATATTGGGCATAGGGGCCGAGAGTCTTCCAGTGTCCTGGAGTTTCGCAGGCAAATGTGATGGGGAGAATGCCAGCGATAAAGGCAGAAAGGTGATTGTTACCCACATTTGTTAAGCAGAACTTCCATGTCCTCCCGCAGTATACCAGATGACATATCAGCCCGCGTGGAAGTAGGTTGTGCAGGCGCTGGGTGTTAAATCATTGCAGTCTACAGATGTCGTCAGGGTGGAGCTGTGTTTGCACGGCAAATAACGCCTTACATTCCTTCCACGCAGGCCTGGAATTTGGAGGGAAGGACACTTCAGACTCTGAATTCTTCTGCCGTGGTTCGGAAACGGTTTTCGTGGCACAAGTTTGCAGTCTCCACCTGGAGATGGGGTCTCGTGTCCCGGAATGCTTTTGTGGCAGAAGAGCGGGCGATCGAGTTTGGTTTGGTGTTTCGCCCCATCGTTATCGCTGCCAAACTCTTTCACCTGGGAGTTTTCCCCCTGAGGCGGAAAGGGAATCTTGGAGACTCCCAAGCAGAGTTAATGAGCGAGAGAGAGAGCTGACGGAGGAGCAGGTTTCGCAACCGAGACAGAGAGTTCCGCGCCCAGGCTGCGCAGAAGGAAATAAAGGGGTGCAGGCGATCGCTTGGAAGGCAAGAAACTATGGAGGCCCAGTGTGCTTTGGGAAGGGAAGAAGACTTGATGATCATATTGTTACACATTCACCCCATATACAGTGGTACCTCGGTTTAAGAACGGCCCTTTTTATGAACTACAGTCATACCTCGGGTTACAGACCCTTCGGGTTGTGCGATTTCGGGTTGCGCACTGCGCCAAACCCAGAAGTAGTGGAACGGGTTACTTCCGGGTTTTGGTGCTTACGCATGCGCAGGAGCACTAAATTGTGCATGCGCAGGAGCACTAAATTGTGCATGTGCAGGAGCGCCAAATTGCAACCCGCACGTGCGCAGACGCGGCGCTGCGGGTTGTGAACGTGCTTCCTGCATGGATCACGTTCGCAACCTGAGTGTCCACAGTACAGTGGTACCTCGGGTTACATACGCTTCAGGTTACAGACTCCGCTAACCCAGAAATAGTGCTTCAGGTTAAGAACTTTGCTTCAGGATGAGAACAGAAATCGTGCTCTGGCGGTGCGGCGGCAGCGGGAGGCCCCATTAGCTAGAGTGGTGCTTCAGGTTAAGAACAGCTTCAGGTTAAGAACGGACCTCTGGAACGAATTAAGTACTTAACCCGAGGTATTCGGTTTACAAACTCTGCAAAACCAAAAGTGGTGTCCCAGTTTGTGAACTTTACCTCACTCTAAGAACAAAAGCTGAACGGTGGAAGGGCACCGGCAGCGGGAGGCCTCGTTAGGGAAAGTGCGCCTCAGCTTAAGAACGGTTTTGGTTCAAGAACGGACTTCCGGAACGGATTAAGTTCATAAACCAAGGTACCACTGTGTACAACATGAACGCAAGATAGACTGTCTCACAGCATTAACACCCGAAAAGATCTGGCTTTTCCATTAGTCGCAGCTTAGGATCCAGTACAGATCAAGCATGTCTCTGTGTCTCCAGCTTCCAACCTGCTTCCAGCTCAGCTGTCACTCACTAAAGACACTTAAGTGGACAGCCGTAGTCATTGCCTTACAAATAAACTTGTCTGACTAGTTCAGTGATAGAATCCTCTGTTGATAAACCTCACTGTGGAGAGGACTCCAAGAATTGGGAGGAACTCGGGGCATCATCCAGACTCCCCCCCCCCCCAAAAAAAATCACCCATCCCTAAAACAATGTGTACATTTACTCAGAAATACGCCCTGTTGAGTTCAGTAGGGCAGCCTTACTCCCAAGCGAGTGCTGCCTAGGATATTACCCTGAATTTCCAAATGGAATAGTTTGGGAGCTAAAGGGAGTCTCAGTCATGCTGCCTTAAAGTCCCAGAGGTAGCAGGATGGAGTGCGAAGTCTCGGCAAGGATGGCGCATGTAGCAAACAAAATGTAATAATAATAATAATAATTTTTATTTATACCCCGCCCTCCCCAGCCAAGGCTCAGGGCGGCTAACAAGCAATAATAAAAACAAGTTGAATGAATACAACTTAAAAACAAGATTAAAATACAACATTAAAATATTGAAACATTAAAATATTAAAATGCAGCCTCATCACAGGAGGAGAAAGGAAAAAGAAAAAAGAGGGGGAGGGAATCAAATTGGCTCCAATTCAAAGACCAGGTGGAACAACTCTGTCTTACAGGCCCTGCGGAAAGAAATCAGATCCTGCAGGGCCCTGGTCTCATGAGGCAGAGCGTTCCACCAGGCCGGAGCCAGTGCTGAGAAGGCCCTGCCTCTGGTTGAGGCTAATCTGACTTCCTTAGGGCCCGGGACCACTAGGGTGTTGCTATTTATGGACCTTGAGGCTCTCTGTGGGGCATACCGGGAGAGGCAGTCCCATAGGTACGAGGGTCCTAGGCCGTGAAGGGCTTTAAAGGTCAAAACCAGCACCTTAAATCTGACCCTGTACTCCACCGGGAGCCAGTGCAGCTGGTAAAGCACTGGGTGAATATGCTATATGAATGTAGTGTCATGTTGGGGTTAGTGTGTGTGTGTGTGTGTGTGTGTGTGTGTGTGTGTATGTACGTTCCAAACTTCTTGGGGCTGACATGCATGCAGACAGCGCTTTATTTCATCTTCCCAACATAATCTTACCTGTTAATTGCTGCGTTTCTATGTGATCTCCCCACGCGGTGCAAAAAAAACCCCTCTACTGGAAATCTAGCAGAAAACCCTAGCGCTCATTTTTGTGTTGATCGTTTCCAGACAATATATCTTTGCAAACCTGGAATATTGCAGGGGTTTTGTGTGGTATGTTTCCTGCAGTTTTTCCCCCATGGCTCCCACCCTGCTGTTCACATGATGAAATTTCAGGCGAATTGCAGCAGAAGAGAAGTGGGCCTGTGCAGAAAGGGCGGGAGAGCGGAGGCATAGTTAAACTGTGGAACTCCCTTCCACAGTAGGCAACGATGGCCGTCCTCTCGGATGGTTTTGAAGGACGATTGGGCGACTTCACGGACGAGAGCAGCTAATGATGGCTGCTTCTCCGTCTGGAGACAGCTGGAGACACCAATGCTTCTGAAAACCTGTGGCTGGAATGCGCAGGAGGGGAGAGCGCTCTTGTGTTCGAATCCTGATTGCGAGTTTCCCAAAAGAGGCATCTGCTTTGGCCAATGTGAGTATATACACAAAGCATCAAATGTGGTGACGGTAATAATAATGCAACAAAACAACAACACCACAAACTGGCTTATAAGTATAAAACCAAATTTACTAGAATAATAACTAGAATAGAGATAGGCTTGTAACCATTCAAGCAACAGACATACTAAGGTGCCATGTGCAAAACAAAGCCTGGAGATACTGTAAATATGGAGTGTGTAAATGTACAACTCTATCTTAACAAGTTACATGTGCAATAAACATTATACAGACTGGATAAATGAACCGTTCAACAAGTAGTCCACTTGCTTTGTGTTTCCAACTCAAGACCCATTGAAGAACATCTCATCCAGTTCAATCTTTGAAAAACAGCTTTGAAAAGCTTTTTCATGTTCTCCAGTGTGCTACCCTTGCCATTGTGGCGGCACGGGGTTGCCGTTCTGTGATTGGACTTGCGCTACTTGTTGAACGGTTCATTTATCCAGGCTGTATAACGTTTATTGCACATGTAACTTGTTAAGATACAGCTGTACATTTATCCACTCCATGTTTACAGTATCTCCAGGCTTTGTTTTGCACATGGCACCTGAGGATGGCCAATGTGAGGACAGGATGCTGGACAAGATGGGCCTGATCCGGCAGGCCTGCTGGTGCGAAGGAAATTTAGCGTGAGAGAGACCTACAGTTCCATAACCCTACAGATAAAGGTAAAGGGACCCCTGACCGCTTTACTGGCCGAGGGAGCCGGCGTTCAGCTTCCGGGTCATGTGGCCAGCATGACTAAGCCGCTTCCGGCGAACCAGAGCAGCGCACGGAAACGCCGTTTGCCTTCCCGCCGGAGCGGTACCTATTTATCTACTTGCACTGGTGTGCTTTTGAACTGCTAGGTGGGCAGGAGCAGGGAGCGAACAACGGGAGCTCCCTCCGTCGCGGGGATTCAAACTGCCGACCTTCAGATCGGCAATTCCTAGGCTCTGTGGTTTAACCCACAACGCCACCTGCGTCCCAACCCTACAGATACCTTGGGGCAAAAGGACAGAAGCTGTGGCAGAATTTCCAGGCAAACAAATGCAATTAAAGCTCATGTCGGAAGGCAGCCTTGGGTTTGTGGCAATGGCGGCTGCCAGGCAGCGTGGGCACCACAACCACCGCGTGGCAAGCGAGTCTCTGGGCTGCCCCGAGTGAAGATGGCAGGCCTGTGTGCCACAGAAAAGGAGGCCCCTGCCAGCGCCAGCCTTGCCAACGCCTTTGTCCCCTTCTCAAGCACCGCCGGGCCTACGCCGTTGCCCATGGCAACCAAGCCTGGACCTGGCAACTCCGGTCCTGTTTTGTGATTAAAAAGGCACCCATCTTGTGCCCTTTAGTGGCGGCGATGACGGGAGATGTCAACCCTCGTCTTCCTTCGGCTGTAGACTGCTTTGAGCACAGCGGTTATTAAAAGGGAAAAGGGAAAAAAACAGGTTTGAAACCAGATGTGGCACAATCCTGAGAACACGGCAAAAAGGGAGGGGGGAAGGGAGGGGAGATCTTTCTCCGAAGAGCCGCAAGTCAGAGGTGCACTCGGCACATGCTCGGGTAAACCCTCTCCATTTATGCTGGTTCTGGAAGAATGAAGCCAGGGTGCATCCACACAGTCTGCACCCTGGGAACGTTAGTTTGTTAAAAAGCACTGGAAATTGTGGCGCGAGGGGGGGAAACGGTTCCCAGGATCCTCTGTAGGAAGCCATGCGCTTTAAATGTACGGAGTTGAATGTATCTGCAGAACGATGGCAGGCTCCCTAGAGAGGGCCAAATTGCGGAGGTCTTTTTTTTTTTTTGCTGTTAATTCTGCAGTTCCAGCAATATCCTTGTGGTAGACGTAGTTGCAGGTTATGGTAATGAGGGCAAGGGATGCACTGAAAATTTAAATGGGGACTTTCCCCCCTTTTTTAAAAAAAAGGAAACTTAAACTTCTTAGGTTTAAGTTTAGGGCATCCCTGAGAGAAGTTTGCATGACAAAGCCCAGCCCTCATGGTCAAATTCCGGTCAAATTCCACTCGCTGTGTGACTGAGGCCAAGCGTTGGAATTCGAACTCGGTTCTGGAGTTTATTATGCCTGCTCCCCCTCCATCTCTCCTTCCTTTGGGGGGGGTATTGTTGATAATAATTGCACCCCCTTTTTCTTCTACAGCTGCCTCGCTTCATTTTGGGGTGTGGCCGTGGGAGAATTGCCCCCCTTTTTGAGTCCTGCATGGGGCTGTATTTTTCTCTCTCTTGCTTCCAGACTGCCCATCCTTTCTCCACTCTGAGATGGCGACTGTGCCCCTTGCTTTTCTCTTCCCCTCGATCCTGGCACGTCGCCTGGCAACCGGCATTGTCTCAGCCAGCTTGGGAGGAAAGAAGCCTTAGCAACGGGCCTTTTCTAAAGTTTGCAAAAATTTGCACACACACTCACAGAAAAAGACCACCCAAGTTTGGTGGTGCGAAAGAAATTTGTAGTCCCTGATTTTATTTTATTTTTTGGTGGGGGACAAGGGCTAGCCAATGCAGTTTTGAAGACATTAGTAGGGCCCGATTGCCTGGTATATTTAAAACAAAAACAAAAACCTTTCAAAGAGTGTAAGAAGAAGGCGAAATGTCTAAGCTCCCTTCACCTCAAAGTTTAGTTCCGTTTATTTCTCCCAGAGAGGTCTGTTGATGGGCCTCAACGAAGTCCATTTCTCTGCTGTTTATTAATTTATGCAAAAGGTTTTTAAAAGCGGTTTTCTGTGTTCCTGTTCCTGTTGTGTTTATGTTAGCCCTTTATTCAGAAAAACAAACAAACAAGAGAAAGTGTTCCCTGATCTGTTCCAATAAAGGCCAAAAAATAATAATGAAGTTAAAAAGCAAAGTTGGTAGCCTGTGATTAAATTACAAATCTATAATTTCTAATTTAAAATGCAATTATATAAAAACTATCTCATACCCAAACGAACCAGGAAATTTGCGTGTAATGATATTCCAGTGTCAACGAGTTGAAAAAATATATGAGACAAGTATCTTCTGAAACATATCAAAACCAGACACACTTCGACTATGAAGTCTTCAGATAAATGTGGGAGCACATTGACTTGAGTCCAGAGCCATGGAAATGTTTGCAATCCACTTCAATGAAAAATTCTCTTACCAACTGAAAAATATAGACCTTTTCGTCTTCCTAAATACATCATTTGGCCAGACCCCCCCCCCCCAAATATATTTTTCTCCAAACAATGAATATTTTTGTACAGACAAGTTGCTCCCCTTAGAACCATGAGGACTAGAATCTTTCAATTATTTTTTAAGGGAGTGTCCACATCTCAGTGGTAGAGCCCACTGGTTGGACACAGAAGTTCCCTGATTCAGCATCTCCAGGCTGGGACGGACTCCATCTCCAAAACCCTGAAAAGCTGATGTCAGTCAATGTAGTCAGGACCAAGCTAGATGGATCAGTAGTCTGACATGATAAAAAGCATCTTCCTGTCTTCCTTTTTTTTTTAAATAACTTTTATTCAAAATTAAAACAAAACATATTATCCAGAAACATATCATCCTTATTTCCCCCCCCCATTTTCCCTCCCTTCCCTACAGAACCCACCCACCCCCACCCCCTGACTTCCCTCAGTTCCAGTCTTTGATTTCTCTAAAAATGCTGTTTTCTGCATGTTACACAGTTGTATAAATCCTCAAACTATTTAGCTGATTATTATCAATAAAAAGTTTGTGAATGTTTATTCAAAACCGGCCAAGGAGTCCAGTTCGCTTCAGATACTTTGTAAAGGGTTCCCATTCATGTTTAAAGTCAGTTATCCTTGTCCCGTAGCTTATATGTCAGTTTTGCCAGTTCTGCATAGTCCATCAATTTTTCTTGCCATGATTCTTTAATTGGGGTTTCTTCAGTCTTCCATCCTTGTGCTATTAAAACTCTCGCGGCCGTTGTCTGATAGATGAAGATGTTTTTCAGCTTTTTTGGCAGATCTTTCCCTACAATCCCTAATGAAAATGCTTCAGGTTTTTTAACAAATGTTAAATGGAACATTTTCTTCAATTCATTGTATATCATTTCCCAAATTTTTTAAATTACCCTACAATCCCACCACATATGATAAAATGTCCCCTCCTTTTCCTCATCTTCCTGTCTTCCTATTCTTTCAGCCCTTTATTTACAGTGATGAGGACTAGAACAGGGGTCAGTAACCTAAGGCCCATGGGCCCGAAGTGGCCTGCAAAGGTCGTTTGACCAGCCCACAAGCTGCCCCTGAACTGAGTTGCCTGCTTGTGCTCTGCGCTAAAACGGCGCAGCTTCCGCAGTGTTGGAAATCACATCTGCGCATGCACAGACGCCGAAAATCGTGTCTGCGCATACACAGATGCCAAAAATCGCGGGCAGGCCCAATCTCCGCGGAACCGATCCGGCCCAGGAAAGATAAACCTTGCTGACCGCTGGACTAAAAGCTTACTTACAATACTGAGCTAGATGAACCAGCAGTCTGGCTCGGTTTAAGGTGGATTCCTCTGTTTTTGTTATGTACTGAATTTTTGAGGCTGGACGTTTGTGGTTTATTTTCACTGGCTGTTAAACAACTTGATTATTCCATATTGCCAAGAATGCTGTTTTTGTTTCAAACACTGCAAATTTTGGACAAAATGGACTGTTTCAAGAAGTGGCAGAGAGATATCTCTAGATTTGTCTGGCAGGGCAAGAAGCCTCGTATAAAAATTAAGATATTAACAGATGCTTAAGAAAGAGGTGGATTTGCCCTGCCAGACCTTAAACTTTATTATGAATCAGCCGCATTTTGTTGGCTGAGAGAATGGATGCTTCTTGAAAACATGGATGTGTTGGATTTGGAAGGTTTCAATAATGTATTTGGTTGGCATGCATATTTGTGGTATGATAAGGTTAAAGCACGCAAAGCGTTCATATTGTCAGAAAAGCACTGTTTAATGTTTGGATAAGATATAAGGATTTGTTAGAAAATAAAACCCCAAGATGGTTGTCACCAATGGAAGCAAAGGCTCAGAAAAAACTCAATATGGAGGCCAAATGGCCGAAGTATTGGGAAATTTTGGAACAAGAGGGTAACAGATTAAAACTGCAGAGTTTTGAAAAATTAAAAAACAGAGTACAAGATTGGCTCCATTATTATCAGATAATGGAGGCATATAACTTGGACAAAAAATTAGGCTTCCAGGTGGAAAAATCAAAATTGGAAACAGAATTGTTAGACCCTAAAGTTAAGAATTTGTCAAGAATGTATAACTTGCTGTTGAAATGGAATACTCAAGATGAAACGGTGAAATCTGCTATGATTAAATGGGCACAAGATGTTGGACATAATATTATGATGGCTGACTGGGAACAGTTCTGGACCACTGGTATGAAGTTTACGGCATGTAATGCCTTAAAAGAGAATTTAATGAAAATGATCTGCAGGTGGTACATAACACCAGTCAAGCTTGCAAAAATCTATCATCTGCCCGATAACAAATGTTGGAAATGTAATGAAACTGAAGGCACATTCTTTCACCTTTGGTGGACATGCCCAAAGATTAAGGCATTCTGGGAGATGATCTATAATGAATTGAAAAAGGTATTTAAATATACCTTCCTGAAGAAACCAGAGGCCTTTCTCCTGGGCATGGTCGGCCAATTGGTGCCAAGGAAAGATAGGATTTTCTTTATGTACGGCACAACAGCAGCAAGAATACTTATCGCAAAGTATTGGAAGACACAAGATCTACCCACCAGGGAAGAATGGCAGATGAAGCTGATGGACTACATGGAACTGGCGGAAATGACTGGCAGAATCCGAGACCAGGGAGAAGAGTCGGTGGAAGAAGACTGGAAAAAAATTAAAGTATATTTACAAAAACATTGCAAAATTAATGAATGTTAGAAGGATGCTGGAATGAAGTTATATGGTTTTAGCAGAAATGTAATAAAGAATTAAGTAAAAGCTGATTGATAATGGGCCAAAATGAAAAAATTTAAGGTTAGACCGTTAAGATAAATTATAGAACAAAAATTGAGAAAGATGGAAAGAATTTGCTGAAATAGTTAATTGAACTAGAATACAAAAAAGGGAGGTGTGAGGAGGTCGATGAAATAAGTAAATGAAAGGTAAAGATGCGGAATATTGGATGTGTGTTTTAGTGTTTTTTAGTGTTTTTGTTTCTTTTTGCTGTATTGTTGTATCCTTTTTTTGTTTTTCTTTTTATGTATTGTAATGTATGTTCTGTATGTTCTGTTAATTTTTTTATCGTTTTCCTTTTTTCTTTTTTCTGTAATTTTTAAATTTCCAATAAATATCATTTTTTAAAAAACCAAACAACTTGATTATTCTTATGCTATCTTGTATTTAATCGTTTACCGCCTCAGGAATATTTATCTCCTTTCAAGACAGCGTAAAAATATTTTTACTGCTACTAATAATAATGTTTTAGATAATATTAAATTACAACATCATCCTTTGGAATTCTTTCCCTCTGTGTTCTTTTTGGCACCAGCAAAACTTCTTAAAGATCTTTCCTGTTTTGCACCTTTGCTGGTATTGTTTTTAAGGTGTCCTGATCGCTAGTGCACTTGCTGCCCTGGGCTCCTTTTGGGGAGAAGGATGCCTGGATATAATTCAATAAACACAACTGTTAATAATACTCTCCTTCCCCAGGTCAGCAAAGAGCGGTATCACTGGCAGACCCAGAATGTCAAGCAGACTGGAGTGGATGACATGGTCCTCCTGTCCAAGATCAATGAGGATGCCATCGTGGAGAACCTCAAGAAGCGGTTCATGGATGACTATATATTTGTATCCCTTTACACGTGTTGGGTTTTTTTGTGGGGAGGGCCCTAGTCAGCCTTGAGTAAAGGCTCTGACCAGTTTCTTTGGGGGGGAAGAATTGAGGTGAGGACCCTCTTTTTCCTCACCTCAATCGCAATCAGCAGCTCCAGGGCAGGTATGATGGGATTCTGGCAGAAATTTGCTGATATCCGCTTATTTGTGTCCGGAACGGAAATTGATGCGGCGAATGCGATAGGTGTTTGCTGCTACTGCTGCTACTGCAGTTAATGGATTGAGGCTGAATCCTGACAAGACAGAAGTACTGCTTCTAAGGGGCGGGCAAGTGTGGGGGATTCCCTGGTCCTGAATGGGGTAACTGTGCCCCTGAAGGACCAGGTGCACAGCCTGGGAGTCATTTTGGACTCACAGCTGTCCATGGAGGCGCAGGTCAAGTCTGTGTCCAGGGCAGCTGTCTACCAGCTCTATCTGGTACGCAGGATGAGACCCTCCCTGCCCACAGACTGTCTCACCAGAGTGGTGCATGCTCTGGTTATCTCCCGCTTGGACTACTGCAATGCGCTCTCCGTGGGGCTACCTTTGAAGGTGATCCGGAAACTACAGCTAATCCAGAATGCAGCAGCTAGACTGGTGACGGAGTGGCCACCAGGACCACATAACACCGGTCCCGAGAGATCTGCATTGGCTCTCAGTACGTTTCCGAGCACAATTCAAAGTGTTGGTGCTGACCTTTAAAGCCATAAATGGCCTCAGCCCAGTATACCTGAAAGAACATCTTCATTCCCATCGTTCAGCCCAGACACTGAGGTCCAGCTCCGAGGGCCTTCTGGCGGTTCCCTCACTGTGAGAAGTGAGTTTACAGGGAACCAGGCAGAGGGCCTTCTCGGTAGTGGTGCTCACACTGTGGAACACCCTCCTGTCAGATGTCAAGGAAATAAACACCTGACTTTTAAATGACATCTGAAGGCAGCCCTGTATAGGGAGGTTTTTAATGCTCGAGGTTTTTTGCGTTTTAATATTTTGTTGGAAGCCGCTCTGATTGGCTTGGGCAACCCAGTCAGATGGGCGGCATATATATAATATAATTATTGTTGTTATTATTATTTATGGCATTTATAATCTGCCCTATACCCGGAGGTATATTATTCCATCTGCAAATGATATTTCATCGGTCGGGTTTCCGGCCCTCCCGCCATTTGCATTGCAATGAACGAGTAGAATAATGCAATGGCAGCATAATTAGTTATGTAGATTATGTCATTTCACTGCAGCGAGTCAAATAATGGAGAAGGTCCAGATTGTCCTTTGGTCTGATCCAGCGCCAGGGCTCTGGCTGTTTCAACTGGGAGGGAACCTGCTGGATTTGACTGTTCACTGAATTGCCCGCCCACCCTTGTCTTGTTCCTTGTTCCTTGACCCTTGACTTTCAAAACATAAAAAGACCTACATTGGTCCTGTCCTGATTTCCGTGAACCCCTTCAAACAACTGCCCTACTTCACCGACCGCGAGATCGACATGTACCAGGGGGCGGTAAGTGACTAGGTTTGCCTTCCTTTTGTTTATGCAGCTGCCGAGGTGGAGAGTGCCCCTGGGCATGTGCAGAGTCCCGCTCCCCCTTCTGGTGACACTGGCTTCCCCAGCTTCCCTCAAAGGAACTATTGGGATCTGTCATTTGTAGGAATTCCATTTTTCTGAGCCTTGCGCTGACAATTAAATGAGAAGTGTACATTGGCTCCCAGTACATTTCTGAGCACAATTCAAAGTGTTGGTGCTGACCTTAAAAGCCCTAAACGGCCTCGGTCCAGTATACCTGAAGGAGCGTCTTCACTCCCATCGTTCTACCCGGACACTGAGGTCCAGCTCTGAGGACCTTCTGGCAGTTCCCTCATTGCGAGAAGCCAAGTTACAGGGAACCAGGCAGAGGGCCTTCTCGGTAGTGGCACCCGCCCTGTGGAACGCCCACCAGATGTCAAAGAGACTTTTAGAAGACATCTGAAGGCAGCCATGTTCAGGGAAGTTTTTAATGTGTGACATTTTAATGTATTTTTAATCTTTGTTGGAAACCACCAAGAGTGGCTGGGGAAACCCAGCCAGATGGGCAGGATACAAATAAAATAATAAAATAATAATAATAATAATAATAATAATAATAATAATATTGTCGAGGCACTCTTGGATTAGAACAGGGCAGGGGAATATCTGTGCCTTTGCCCCACCCCGATAGTGACTCCCCCTCAGATCAGTCCCAGAAGCCAGCATGGCCCAACAAGGAGGGAGGAGGATGGGAGTTATAGTTCAGCAGCGCCCAGAGGGCCATAAGTTCCCCAGACCCATCTCAGAGTCTCAGCTAACCCAGGAAAGCTCTTTTGAATACCAAAGCAACAAAAAGATACTCTGTGTCCCGTGCCAGGCAGTCAGAAGTTCAACTTTCCCGGGTAGCAACGGGTGGTCAGCTTCACCTGTTGTATTCCTGCCTGCTGTGCTCCTCCTACCTTCCAGAATGGGAAGGCGAGGAAGGTGGGAGCTGGCCTGAAACTCTGCTGGAGCCTGGGAATGGCTTCTTCTTCTCCAGTGACGCTGCGAAAGCCGTGAGTCAAAGGAGGAGCGTGGCCGCACTCACAGAGTTGTGCAACTGGAACCTCTGCGCCCAGTCAGAAGTGCCATTGATTTGCCTTGCCCATCTGACCCACATGGAGGTCTGCTTTGCTCTGGCACTGCCATCTAGTGGCCAGTGGGCGGACCATCCCCTTTAACAGCCAGCTGTAGGGAGGGAGATTGATGGATGGATAGTAAAGGTAAAGGGACCCCTGACAATTAGGTCCAGTCATGACCGATTCTGGGGTTGCGGCGCTCATCTTGCTTTACTGGCCGAGGGAGCCGGCGTACAGCTTCCGGGTCATGTGGCCAGCAGGACTAAGCCGCTTCTGGCAAACCAGAGCAGCGCACAGAAACACCGTTTACCTTCCCGCTGGAGCGGTACCTATTTATCTACTTGCACTTTGAGGTGCTTTCGAACTGCTAGGTTGGCAGGAGCAGGGACCGAGCAATGGGAGCTCACCCTGTCGCGGGGATTCGAACCTCCAACCTTCTGATCAGCAAGTCCTAGGCTCTGTGGTTTAACCCACAGCGCCACCCGCATGGATGGATAGATAGATATTAAAAATGTTTCACAGAATCATGGAATTGTAGGAAGGGACCCCTTAGGATAGCAATCCTTACCTAAGGAGCCATGTGGCTGCTTTTCAAAAAGCTCTGTTTTGCTTTTCTTTTCTTTTTCAGGTTTTAATTTGCTCTTGCTGTTTTTCTGCCTTACTCTGTTCCGCTATAACTATTTGTCAGGCTCAAGTTGTATTTATATTTCATGCACGAATTAGTTTTTTAATTCGCACATTTGCATACGCACCCAAAAACGCTTTGGCGGCAGAGCAATTAACAAATATTTTAAACGGACCGCCACTAATCGGCAGAGCTGTGCAAATAACTTCTTATTATTTGGTGGGATCTGGCCAAGTTCTGCTTAGAGAAGATGCAATGAAATGCAGGGACCTAAGTTTGTTCTGTTGATTTTTGCGCTCTCCAAAAAAGCATGTATAAATGAATGAATGATTGCTGGTGGTGATGTTGAAATTCCTCTAAATCAGGCATAGGCAAATTTGGCCCTCCAGATGTTTTGGGACTACAACTCCCATCATCCCTAGCTAACAGGACCAGTGGTCAGGGATGATGGGAATTGTAGTCTCAAAACATCTGGAGGGCCGAGTTTGCCTATGCCTGCTCTGAATGGGTGTGTACATTTGCAAGATGTGTGTCTCTTGTTGTGTGGGATTAAACGAGAAGGGTGGGGGAGAAGCCACCTTGAGATATAAAAGCAATAAATAAATAAATTCTCCAGGTAGTCATTTTCATGCCTGTGCCATTGCCATGATGGGGGATTCCCCACCCACTCACCCAAGGCCCTTTGTTACCTAGATCTTGAAATACCTTGGAAAGTAAAGGTTTTCTGGAAAATAGGATAATCAAAGGTCTTACGTGGACCATTTCTTCCTCACAGGCACAATATGAAAACCCTCCCCATATTTATGCTCTGGCTGATAACATGTACCGGAACATGTTGATCGACGGGGAGAATCAGTGCGTCATTATCAGGTAATGTTACAGGGACAGAAAGGGTGGCGTTGATACGGAGAAAGGTTGTGTTGTTTGGGGGCTTTTAGATTAGAAAAAAAGGCGACATAAGCAGTGGGGGAGATACATGATATCTGTAAAATCCTGCACAGTATAGAGAACTGGGTAGGGAAATTTGGGGGGACGGGTTGGTAAAGATTTTTTATTTTATTTTAGAAATTAAATATATAAAACAAAGAGATGACAGACTGGCAGAAATTGAAAGATTAAAAAAACAAAAACAAAATAGGCACATATAATCTTTGCTGTTGCAGAGAGGTTAAAATGACAAAGTCCAAGTCACGAAAGCAAAAAGCGAGACTAAATGTTGTCTACAGATGAAGAATATTAGCATTATCTGACTATCTGATGATGGTTTGAAAATGATAGTTCTCTTGCATATGTAAGAAAGGAATGCCAAATCATATAAAACGTGCCTGCAGGTTCTAGTCCTTGTCAAAATATTTATTTCTCCACAATAGCTATATTCCAGTGTGATTGGTACCAAGTGTCTGGTGTGTGATTTTAGTACCTCTCTTTGCAGCTAAACCCTTCTTTGTTCTTTGATATCTTCCTCTCTTTGTGTTGCAGTGGGGAGAGTGGCGCCGGCAAGACTGTAGCAGCCAAATACATCATGGGCTACATCTCCAAGGTGTCTGGTGGAGGCCCCAAAGTGCAGGTATTAAACCACATTGGCTAAATTTCCCCACCCTTGTTTCCAAACAGTGGTGCTTAACATGAGCCGGTTGCATGATGCAGCAGCAAAAAAAGCTAATGCTATTCTGGACTGTATCAACAGAAGTCTAGTGTCCAGATCAAGGGAAGTCATAGTCCCGCTCTATTCTGCCTTGGTCAGAGCACACCTGGAATCCTGTGTCCAGTTCTGGGCGCCACAATTTAAGAAGGATGTTGACAAGCTGGAACATGTGCAGAGAAGGGCGACCAAGATGGTTAAGGATCTGGGAACCAAGCCTTATGAGGAATGGTTGAGGGAGCTGGGTATGTTTGTCCTGGGGGTAAAGGAGACTGAGAGGAGATGTGATAGCCATCTTCAAATATCTGAAGGGCCGTGTCACGTGGAAGATTGAGCAAGCGAGTTTCCTGCTGCTGTTGCTGCAGAGCGTAGGGCCCAAACCACTGGATTTAAGTGACAACAGAAAAAGAATCAGATTAAACCTTGGGAAGGACTTTCAGAGGGTAAGGGGACAGATTCCCTCGGAAGGTGGTGGACTGTCCTATATTGGAGATCTTTAAGCAAAGTTTGGATGGCCATCTGTCATGGATTGTCACGGTCCGGTCTACGGGCGATTGAAGTCCCGGCTGAGGATGTCAGGACCGGGGGCAAGATGGCGGGGTTGGAGCAGCAACGAGAGTCCAGAAGCCAGGGGTCCGAGGGTCAAGAAGCAGGGAGTCCCGAAGTCCAGGGTCCGAGGGTCGAGAAGCAGGGAGTCCCAAAGTCCAGGGTCCGAGGGTCAGGAAGCAGGGAGTCACGAAGTCCAGGGTCTGAGGGTCGAGAAGCAGGGAGTCACAAAGCCAAGGTCCGAGGGTCAGGAAGCAAGAAGCCAAAAGCAGCAAGGCAGGAAACGAGTTGCTGTGGCAAAGAGCCGATGGGAAATGCTGACCTTATATCCTTTCCCGGCTCTTGCCACCAGGTGCTGTGAGTTACCAAGCAGCCTCACCTGTGCGGCCGCGCCTTGCCTCTCCAGAACAAACTTAGGAAGGCCCCAGTCCTGCGAAGCCCTACTGGTCACAGGGCCCGGCTCCTGCACGCACTCCTGACATCGATGTTTTAGTTGAGATTCCCGCATTTCAGGGGGTTGGACTAGATGCCTCTTAGGGTCCCTTCCAAGTCTATGGTTCTGTGATGTTAATTGAGAGGGGCTCTTGCGTGCCTCAGGCAATTGTAAGCAGAGGAGCTGTACCAGATTTAATGTCAACCCCCCCAACCCCATTTCCACCTCAGCACGTGAAGGAAATCATCCTGAAATCCAACCCCCTTCTGGAGGCATTCGGGAACGCCAAGACGGTTCGGAACAACAACTCGAGCCGATTTGTAAGTGTCTGCGAAGCCGAGACGGGAGATCTGTTTGTGACATGTGGGCTCTCACTGGGAGGTTTGGCTTTCCTGGCCGCTGACACCGACTCCATGAGGCCTAGAAACTCAGCAGTGTCGTTTCAAAAGCGGAAACGCAAAACACAAATGGGCATTCTGTGGAAGCTGAATTTTTAGGCCCCCAATAAGATGAGAAGGAATTGTGGCTTACACACAGTCCTGTCTTATTTCTGTGACGTATATACACAAAGCATCAAATGTGGTGACAGTAATAATAATGCAACAAAACAACACCACCACAAACTGGCTTATAAGTATAAAACCAAATTTACTAGAATAATAACTAGAATAGAGATAGGCTTGTAACCATTCGAGCAACAAACATACTCAGGTGCCATGTGCAAAACAAAGCCTGGAGATACTGTTAACATGGAGTGGATAAATGTACAACTGTGTCTTAACAAGTTACATGTGCAATAAACATTATACAGACTGGATAAATGAACCGTTTTATCTGCTGAGAGGGTGTTCCACAGGGCGGGTGCCACCACCGAGAAGGCCCTCTGCCTGGTTCCCTGTAACTTGGCTTCTTGGAATGAGGGAACCGCCAGAAGGCCCTCAGAGCTGGACCTCAGTGTCTGGGCTGAATGATGGGATGGAGACACACCTTCAAGTATATTGAGAAGGTGCCCTGGTATTCTGTTTCAAATCCCCTGCAAACTTCTAACTGGGGTTAAAATGAGTCGAATGAACCCATTTCAACATGGCAGGAGTCACAAACGTGGTGCCAGTGGGTGTTTCCTGGGAGCCACAAAGCTCCCTTTGCTCCCTTCACAACACACACTCATTGCTCCCTTGGTTGAGAGGGGATAAGCCAGATTCGTCTTGCGAAAATTTCACGGAATGGAAGGAGGAAGTGGGGGGGAAGGGGCACTCTGTCCCGCTTTCTCTCTCCCCTCTATGGTCTTTCCAAGGCGAATTCTTTGACCCAGATCTTTTGGAACAGCGAAGGACAGGAGTGTGGTGTCTCTGTGGGTGGGGGCTAAGTCGGGGGGAAGAGAAGCAATTGGGTGGGTGGGTGCCCACACCACTTGCTCAAATACCCCTCTGGGCTCAGTTTGAGGATGATGAGAAGCTTATTCAATATAATAGCTTTTAAAAGAACCTCCATGTCCAAGAGCACTATACCCCTGAATGTCACAGACAGTAGTGATGAAGGAGAGCTTCTTAATTCCCTGTTGCCCATGAAACAGGATCCTGGGTGAGACAGACCTTCACTCAGATCCAGCCAGAGGTCTAAAAAATGGTTGGTGACCCCTCGGCAGGATTTATTTTGTTTGCCAGTGCAACAATGATTGGGGGTCGGGGGCACTCAGGAAGCATAATTCTAACGGCGTCCCCTTCCTGTTGCCCCCAGGGCAAGTATTTTGAGATCCAGTTCAGCCGGGGCGGGGAGCCCGATGGAGGAAAGATCTCCAATTTCCTGCTGGAAAAGTCTCGTGTCGTCAGCCAGAACCCAGGAGAAAGGAGCTTCCATATCTACTATCAGGTGATGCATCAGGCCCGAATTATCTTATGGGAAGAGGCCAGAGGGGTACCTGTGTGTGTTTCGATGTCCTTTGGAGGTAAAACTGGTATCCCCAAACATCAGGGGTGGCACTTGGTGGCCTCAATGTCATCCCCGAGCCACCTCCTTGCCCACTCTGCTTCGTGGCCTCAAGCGGTTTATCCTGGAAAACATAGCTGTCAACGTTTCCCTTTTTTTAAGGGAAATTCCCATATTCTGAATAGGATTCCTCGCAAGAAAATGGCAAAGTTATGCTGGAAAGGGGGGACAATGCCACTGTTCCACCTTACAATGTCACTGGAGGTTTGCAGAGTTTTTTGAACTCTTTTTCAATTTTATTTTTATTTATACTTTTCAGATTTATACGTTTCACTGGTTTTGCAATCGTTTTGACATTTCGAAACTTGACTTCCTTCCCCCTCTTTCTGCAGTTCCTTAAGTTTATTTTCAATATCTTCTGCATATCCAAATTAACTTAATTTGTTCATTTATTCATCTACTTTAAATATATACTCTTATGAAACTGCAGGTTATTACAAGAATCCTGCCAGTGTTGTTATCGGTTTACAATTTATCTGTAAATATTCAATAAACCATTCCCATTCTTTTGTGAAAAGTTTGTTATCTTGATCTCTTATTCTTCTGGTAAGTTTCGCCATTTCTGCATATTCCATAAGTTTTTGTATCCATTCTTCGTTTGCCAGGACTTCTTCCTCTTTCCATTTTTGGGCAAGTAACATTTTTGTCACTGTAGTAGCATACATGAATAAGCTTCTATACAGTGGTTCTGTCCCTATAATTCCCAAGAGAAAAGCTTCTGTGGTTTTTTTTTTTAACGAACATTATTTTAAGCATCCTTTTCATTTCATTATGTATCATTTTTTGAACTCTTAAGACATTTGTGCTGTTCTACGTTGTAAGGTCGTTATAAAGGGTTTGCAGAGTTGAGAGGTTTCTTGAGCTCTTAACACGTTTTGCATAGAAACACTCTCATTTTGTTTATTAATTACCTCTTCCCTTTCCCTTCCCCGCCTCACTGCAGCTGCTGGAAGGAGCCAGCACAGAGCAGCGGGAAAATTTGGGTATCACCACTCCAGATTATTACTACTACCTCAACCAGTCAGCAGCTTACAAAGTGGAAGACGTCAACGACCACCAGGAGTTTCAGGAGACGTTGGTATGAAACCAAGGCTTTTAAATCATCATCCTCGTTTCATAAAATTTATAGACCTCTTGTTCGTAAAGTGGGGTGGGGGGGAGCCCTTCAAAGCAGAAAATATTATCCGTTAAAAACAACTATTTAAAACATTCGAAAGATTATTTAAAGCTGTTCCAAACCAGATTAAAAGACATGTCAACATGGGTCTGGAGAGAGTTGCCTGAACAAAATTGTTTCTAGCTGGTGCCGAAAAGAGTTCACTGAAGGCCTGATTTCAAGAGGCAAGGAGTTCCATAGTGTGGATGCTGGCACACTAAACAATCAATTTCTTGCAACATGGAATGAGTATCATGGCGCCAGTTCTATACTTGCTGTGTTTGATGACCTGTGTGTTTTCTGAGGTCACTCAGCTAGAATCCAGGCGCTGAGCGCTCAAGAAACTGTGGTCAGTCTACTTAGAGGACAAGAATTTCAGGGGACCTAGACCCAGGGGCGGAGCAGGGTGGGGGCGGACCCCCCCAGGTGTCCTCTCTGAGGGGGGTGACATTCGGCGTGCTGCCCGCCCACGACTCCTGCCTACTGCGAGCCGTTGGTCGAGGGGGGGTTAGTTTTGCCACTTTTTGCCACTTCGTTTTGACAGCCGCGTGATCCTGGGCTGCTGGAGAAGTAATGCAGTATAGTGGTAGCTCGGGTTAAGTACTTAATTCATTCCGGAGGTCCGTTCCTAACCTGAAACTGTTCTTAACCTGAAGCACCACTTTAGCTAATGGGGCCTCCTGCTGCTGCCGTGCCGCCGGAGCACGATTTCTGTTCTCATCCTGAAGCAAAGTTCTTAACCCGAGGTAATATTTCTGGGTTAGCGGAGTCTGTAACCTGAAGTGTATTTAACCCGAGGTACCACTGTAATATCCAAGGCAACACGATGACCAAATACAATGATATGATGTCAATATACACTCTTTATATAATATGAAAGATATGAAATCACATAAACAGAAAACTTAGGAATTTCTGAGGATCACAAAATATGCACTCTTAATGGATTCTCTTGGAATCATAAAACCAAATAAACATAAGTCTTATAAGTCTCTGAAAGTCTTTGAAGACTATGCAAGTCTCTGAAAGAAGCAATGTATCAGATTCTTATCTGGTGAAAACAGGCTGTAAACCTTATTTTATGGCGTCCAACACTGCCAAAGTAGTTCGCAAACAGACGTTGTGAACAGTGATTCCGGATATACCCACTGTTTCGTGGAATTCTTCTTCAGCACAGCAGAAGGATACAGAAATGCTTCATAAACTATAAAAGAATATTAAAACAATGACCTGCGTATGTATGGTAGCTACAATAAACTCAAAATATTATGAACTATAATATCAAAATAACGTGAAATAAAACCAAAGGTACATACCCCATCTTTATGGTGAATGGAAAAGTATAAACAATTGCTATGCAGCAGTGGTCAAAAAGTTATGTAGTCACTGCTTCTGACCATATGTGAGCAAAGAGATAAAAAGCTGAGCCCAGGCGCAGCTCATAGCAGGGAGATTGAGTTTAAAGGTACAGTGCAGTAACGGACAGAATATAAAGAATCAAATGGAACAACTGAGATCCAATTCAGAATTTGCAACACAGGCGTTAAATTGTTTGGAGAAGTAATGCAGCTGAACAACTTCGGTCCATCCTTCCTCCTGGCAATGACAATGCGTAGATCACAGCCAGTCTTTTTATACTGTGAGTCGATCGTATAGTTCAAGCTCTGGTTTTCCCAGTAGTGATGTATGGAAGTGAGAGCTGGACCATAAAGAAGGCTGATCGCCAAAGAATGGATGCTTTTGAATTATGGTGCTGGAGGAGACTCTTGAGAGTCCCATGGACAGCAAGAAGATCAAACGTATCCATTCTGAAGGAAATCAGCCCTGAGTGCTCACTGGAAGGACAGATCCTGAAGCTGAGGCTCCAAGACTTTGGCCACCTCAGGAGAAGAGAAGACTCCCTGGAAAAGACGCTGATGTTGGGAAAGATGGAGGGCACAAGGAGAAGGGGACGACAGAGGACAATATGGTGGGACAGTGTTCTTGAAGCTACCAGCATGAGTTTGACCAAACTGCGGGAGGCAGTGGAAGACAGGAGTGCCTGGCATGCAATGGTTCATGGGGTCACGAAGAGTCGGACACGACTAAACAACAACAAGAACAAAGATCGCAGTCTCTTGGGAGTCCAACTAGATTTCAATGTGTGTGGGAGGCGGTGACAAGAAATTTTCTGCACCGGGTACCACCTTACCTTGCTACGCCACTGCCTAGACCACACACCCCCAACCAGCGTGTCTTCAGGGGGTTACCCACTTTCTGGGTTGAAAGACATCTTCCTCACTCTCTCCTAATAATTGAGCCCAAAGGAGTTACCTGGTGGAGTTACCGGAAAGCTGAGAAATTTAGGACCTCTTCCATTCATTGAGTCAGTTGCATTCTTCCAGCCTAACCAACCTCGCGGGATTGTTGTGAAGATAAAATGGAGACTGGTGGGGAGAAGAACCACATATAGTCAGGGCCAGATTTAGGTTTGATGAGGTCCTAAGCTGCTGAAGGTAATGGGGCCCTTCATATGTCCAGCTGTCCTTAGCCAACAACAAATTGTCGCTGTTTTTTTGTGTTGAACATATGCTATGTGGTAATTTATGGACCTCATAGGTATCTCAAGCCATTTGCCCTGCAACCAGTCCATGCAGAATGTAGGCACCCTAATATGTTGTTGTTGTTGTTTAGTCGTTTAGTCATGTCCGACTCTTCGTCTATATATAGAAAGGAGCAAACCAGTGATATTTTAGGGAGCAAGCAGGGCCCATGACTTGCATCACAGGAGCCTACACAACACAAAACACTGTTGCTGTGTGTAGGTTTTATTTTATTTGTTTTTTATCTTTCATTTTGGAAATGTACATCCAGGGGTTTTTTCCCTTTAAATTTTTTGGGGGCCCCCAAGAGAGCAGGGCCCTAAGCTATAGCTTGTTTAGCTTATACATAAATCTGGCACTGCTTACACTGAGCTCCTTGAAGGAAATGCAGAGCGCAATTTTTCCAAGCACAAGCCAGTAAAATTAATGAAAATACAACCAAGAGAATATTTTTTCCTAGAGGGGGAGAAAAAGTTGCATGTGTATCCCATGAAGGAAAGGGAATTGGCTCATGACCAGAGACCCATAGCCCAGAATTTTGACAAGTCGCCTGGTCCCCGTTTTTCTTCTTTAGAGGTTCCCCTTTGGTACGGACTCCTTTTCACAGAATTGCAGAGTCGGAAGGGGAACCCAAATGCCATCTAGCCCAACCCCACTGCAATGGCATCTCTTTCTCTCCCTCCCGTCTTCAGACAGCCATGGATGTGGTGGGCCTCTCGGGGGAAGAGCAAGCCTTGGTGCTCCAGATCGTGGCCGGGATCCTGCACCTGGGCAACATCACTTTCCGGGAGTCGGGCAATTACGCCATGGTGGAGAGCGAGGACTGTGAGTTGCGGGGCTGGCTGAGGGGTTTCAGCGGCGGCTGGTTCCCCTTGGGACTGGTAGGGTGGAAGACAGGGAGTCCAACAGTAGGGGGCGCCAGAGCCAGAGATTTGTGGTGGCACCTAATTCGATGCCTAGAAAGTCCCGGCAGACGCCTTTCTCACAGTCCTAACAACTTTTTACACAGCAGAGTTAATAATAATAATAACTTTTTATTTATACCCCGCCCTTCCCGGTTCAGAAAACCGGGCTCAACAAATTTAAAACAATTGATGCTACAAAAACAGCGTAAAATACAGTATAAAACGTGAATAACAATAAATTCAGAATTCAAAAATCAATTTAGGGGGGAAATCCATCCAATAAACATTAGATAATTCCCAGGGCTAGCTGGCTAAATGAGTCCTATTTGGGCCAGTGAGGAGACCAGGGGAGAATTAGCTATGGGATCCTTTTTTTTTTTTTAATTCAAAATTATAACAAGACATATTATCCAAAAACATATCATCCTTGTTCCCCCTCCCCATTTTTCCTCCCTCCCCCCCTTCCACACAACCCCCCACCCCCACCCCGACTTCCCTCAGTTCCAGTCTTTGGTTTCTCTAAGAATGCTGTTTTCTGCATGTTACACAGTTGTATAGATCCTCAAACTATTTAGCTGATTATTATCAGTAAAGGTGTTGGTGTATTTGAAATGAAAACTTAATAAAAAGCATTTTTTACAAAATGAAATGAAAACAACCGTGGCAGCCAAGTCCCCTCTCTCCCCCAGTCTTGGCTTTCCCATCGTACCTCTTGGCCATCGACCAGCAACGCCTCAAGGAGAAGCTGACCAGCCGGAAGATGGACAGCAAGTGGGGCGGGCAGCAGGAGGTGATTGACGTGACGCTGAACGTGGAGCAGGCCAGCTTCACCCGGGACGCCCTCTCCAAGGCCCTCTATGCCCGCCTCTTCGACTTCCTCGTGGACGTGAGTTTCAGGGCTGGGCACCCAACAGGGCAGTGGGGTGGATGGGTGGACATTTTGAGAAGGTCCTGTTCCAAAGACCCACTTGGGTGACCGTATTTGCCACCTGGGCCTCCAGCCTGCAGCGATTTGACTTCTGTCCAAACACGCGGTAAAACGCATGTTCAAAAAATACAGTAAAGGTTCGCTATCTATGCTAGCGTTTGATTGACGTTGGAGTGAGACCGAGTTAAGAAATAAAACTAAGAGCACATACAGTGGTACCTCTGGATGCGAACGGGATCTGTTCCGGAGCCCCGTTCGCATCCAGAAGCGAAGGCAACCTGTGTCCGCGCATGCACAGGTCGCGATTCGCGGCTTCCACGCATGCGCGTGACATCATTTTGACCGCCTGCACATGCGCGAGCGGCGAAACCTGGAAGTAATGTGCTCCGTTACTTCCGGGTCGCCGCAGCGCACAATCCGAAAATACTTATCCTGAAGCTACTTCAACCCGAGGTATGACTGTATTGATATAGGAATGTATTAGATAATATGTAAAGAAATATATAATAATAAGAGTACATTCATTTGTAAAAAAAGGGATATACAACGGGAAAGACAGGAAGTCTAGTGTGTTGGTATATATATGATTTGGGGGGGGGTTGTTTTTGTTTTTTCTCTTCTTTTTTTGTTTCATTTTCTTTCTCGGTATATAAAAATTGTATATAATTTTTGTATACATGTTGGAAATTATATTACAGTAAGCCCTGTAATGTAATATGACAACGTTTACCGGTGTAATATAAGAATGTTAACAAATAATTAAAATGCAAATTAAAAAAACAACTAACACGTGATAAAACCTGAGTGTCTGCATCTTTTAAAACCATCTTGTGTGGCTTTAAAAGAAGATTGGACACGATTCACGGCGGCTAAGGCTACCGGGGACTACTAGCCGCAATAGCTGTATTTTCCTCCATTGACGGAGGCAGGATTCCTCTGAATAATACCAGTTGCTGAGAATCTGCTTTGGCTCTCGGGTCCTGCTTACGATTTTCCCTTTGGGGGCATCTGGTTAGCCATTGTGAGAGCAAAATGCAGGGCTGGATGGGCCCGCTTTGGGCCTGATCCAGCCGGCTCGTCTTATGTTCTTAGTCTACTGCTTCTGTTTTTGAACGCTTCCTTTTTCAAGTCCTCCCTGCAAGTAGAAAACAAACATGGCAAGGTATTAGAAGGATTCATCCTGATGCGTGAGATTTCTACATGCAGGGAGTTTTAAAATTATTATTATTATTCATTCAAAAAAATGGACACCTCTTGCCTGCCAGGTGAGGTGTTGCCACAAACTGTGCTGCCTCATTTGGCTAAAAGTTCAGACCAGTACAGCTTGGGGCCGGGTGCAAAATGTCGTCCAGGTCCTAACCTAGCACTCTTAACCACTGCACCACACTGAGTGTGATGTAGCCTTTTACACAAACACACCATCAGCACCATCAAACTTTACCTCTGGCTGCAATATCCAGCCACTTGCAATATTATTATTTTTTTAAAAAAGAGAAGATCCCAATTTTCCAACTCCTGAATGGTTGGATCGTAGGTGATGCCTGAAAATGGAGCCATGTTTGTGCAAAACACAACTCTCTGCAGGTCGCTGTTGCTGCAAGCAGAGGACCCCTGCATTATATGTCCGGGTTATTTAGATTTGATTGTGAAAACTTGGCTTATTTCATGAGATCTGCCCTCCTTCTCCCTCTTCCCTTCTGTCCGCTGCTCTTATTTGCTCTCAGGCTGTCAACAAGGCCATACAGAAAGACCGCCAGGAGTACAGCATCGGGGTTCTCGATATCTACGGCTTTGAGATCTTCCAGGTAATATGAAAAAAGGAAGTAGCAGATTCCCCTGAAACGGGGGCACACCCCTCCTCCCCCAGTAGTAGTAGTAGTAATAATAAATAAATAAATAAATATTATTTGTACCCCGCCCATCTGGCTGGGTTTCCCCAGCCACTCTGGGCAGCTTCCAACAAAGATTAAAAATACCACATTTTTCGCTCCATTGGACGCACCGGACCATAGGATGCACTGGATCATAGGAGGGGGAGAACAGGGAAAAATTTTTTTTTCTTGTTCTCCCCCTCTAAAACAAGGTGCGTTCAAGGTACATTCACCAGAGCTTGTGGGGCTGGCGGTGGGGGGAAGCGCTGCTTTCCCCCACCGCCAGCCTCAAGATCCCTGAAGCCTTTGGAGCGCAGCGCCCCGCTGCCCTGCACAGGTTTGCGCGCAGCCGTCCCCAAGCTAGAGCAGCGAAATGGAGCCCTCCGTCTCGCTGTTCTGGCTTGGGAACAGCCTTGCTAGCTTCTGCAGGACAGCGGGGTGAAGGCACCCCGCTGCACTGGAGAGGCTGTGCGCGCAGCCGTCCCCAAGCTAGAGCAGCGAGACGGAGCGCTCCGCAGTGCTCCGTCTTCCTGTTCTGGCTTTGGGCTTAGCGGCGCAGCCTGCACTCGCTCTGTAGGACGCACACACATTTCCCCTTAATTTTTGGAGGGGGAAATGTGCGTCCTATAGAACGAAAAATACGGTACATTAGAATTCTGTGCACCCACCATTAATTTCAGTGGTTTCTGCTTCAGAAACTGTTCTGCCTTCCTGGCTGCCCGTCTCCCCCCAGAAAAGGAACCAGCAAATATAATAACTAAATAATATATATGCATATTGGTGCACATTTTTTCTACAAGCTGGAGGCAGGCGCAGAGACCCAGGGATTGTTCCAACTGAGTCTCGTTGGTGGAGGGTTGAGAAGCTGAGGTCAGGGCAGCGATGCCCAACATGTCTGTCCCCCCGCCGCAACCCAAATCTCCGACTTCCCCTCCTGCGACTCTTGAGTTCTTCCTGACAGCCCCTTCTTTCTTCCTCGCTGCAGAAAAACGGATTCGAACAGTTTTGCATCAACTTTGTGAACGAGAAGCTGCAGCAGATTTTCATTGAGCTGACACTGAAGGCCGAACAGGTGAGAGAGAACGACGGTTGTGTTTTCCGAGCCACTTGGTTATCATTTGGTGTAGGAAGTGAAACGGACAAGAGATCTCCTTAATTGATTGGATCACACCCCCTTAAATAGATTGTGGGTTCTTTTGAGTGGGTCCTGTGGCTCGTTTTTCAATGGTACGCAGGATGAGACCCTCCCTGCCCACAGACTGTCTCGCCAGAGTGACGCATGCTCTGGTTATCTCCCACTTAGACTACTGCAATTCGCTCTACGTGGGGCTACCTTTGAAGGTGACCCGGAAACTACAGTGGTGCCTCGCAAGACGAAATTAATCCGTTCCGCGAGTGTCTTCGTCTAGCGGTTTTTTCGTCTTGCGAAGCAACCCTATTAGCGGCTTAACGGATTAGCGCTATTAGCGGTTTAGCGGCTATTAAAGGCTTAGCGGCTTAGCGGCTTAGCTGCTAAAAGGCTATTAGCGGCTTAGCGGCTTAGGAAAAGGGGGGGGAAGCGGAAAAAAAATCTCAAGACTTGCAAGACATTTTCGTCTTGCGAAGCAAGCCCATAGGGAAATTCGTCCTGCGAAGCAACTCAAAAACGGAAAACCCTTTCGTCTAGCGGGTTTTCCGTCTTGTGAGGCATTCGTCTTGCAGGGCACCACTGTACAACTAATCCAGAATGCGGCAGCTAGACTGGTGACTGGGAGCGGCCGCCGAGACCATATAACACCAGTTTTGAAAGACCTACATTGGCTCCCAGTACGTTTCCGAGTACAATTCAAAGTGTTGGTGCTGACCTTGAAAGCCCTAAACAGCCTCGGTCCTGTATACCTGAAGGAGCATTTCCACCTCCATCGTTCTGCCCGGACACTGAGGTCCAGCTCCAAGGGCCTTCTGGCGGTTCCCTCACTGTGAAAAGTGAGTTTACGGGGAACCAGGCAGAGGGCCTTCTCAGTGGTGGCACCCGCCTTGTGGAACGCCCTCCCACCAGATGTCAAAGAGAAAAGTAACTACCAAACTTTTAGAAGACATCTGAAGGTAGCCCTGTTTAGGGAAGCTTTTAATGTTTAATAGGTTCTTGTATTTTAGTGTTTTGTTGGAAGCCGCCCAGAGTGGCTGGGGAAACCCAGCCAGATGGGCGGGGTATAAATAATAAATTGTTATGATGATGATGATGATGATGATGATGATGATGATGTTGCCTAGCGGCTCATTTCCAGATGACTGTTATATGCCCTACAAGGAATGTCCACATTACGGCGATCATTGACAGATGTTGTCGGCCTCCACCTCCCATCAGTCCCAGCCAGTGTGGGGATGATGGGAGTTGTAGTTCGGCAGCATCTGGAGGGCCATCCCTCCTGTAGATAGCGCCTATTGGCCAGTGTCCGTGATGTCATTCGCACATGGTCCCAGGAGCAGTTTAGTGCTGATGGAAAGAGAGAGAGAGAGAGAGTGTGTGTCTGTTGTGCAAGTTTAGCCCGTTGTCCAGCTGCTCATTTGTTCTATCCCTTTCCCTGTTCCTCTTCTCCCCTCCCACAATCCCCCTCTTCCGACCCACAGGAGGAATACGTCCAGGAGGGCATCCGCTGGAACGCCATCGACTACTTCAACAACAAGGTCGTGTGCGACCTAATCGAGAACAAATTGGTGAGTGGGAAAAATATTGGGACGATATTGGGATTGGGAGGGGCAACTCCCATCTCTTGTGGGGACACAATTAGTGCCAGCACCATTCGTTAAGAGTTTGGGTGTAATCTTAGACACCTCCCTTTCCATGGAGGCGCAGATTACAGCTATAACAAAGGCGGCATTTTTTCATCTCTGCCAAGCTAAGCAGTTGGCTCCTTACCTCTCTCACCCTGGTCATGTCCACTGTGATCCACGCTACGGTCACCTCCAGACTGGATTATTGTAACTCGCTCTATGTGGGGATGCCCTTGAGACTGACCCAGAAACTCCAGCGGGTGCAGAATGCCGCAGCAAGACGCCTTGCGGGGTCCTTGCCATGGGATCACATTCACCCAGTGCTATACCAACTGCACTGGCTCCCGGTGGAGTACAGGATCAGGTTTAAGGTGCTGATTTAACCTTTAAAGCCCTATACGGCCTAGGACCCTCGTACATACGAGACCACCTCTCCCGATATGCCCCACGGAGGACCTTACGGTCTTCAAACAAAAACGTCTGGGAGGTCCCGGGCCACAGGGAGGTTAGGCTGGCCTCAACCAGAGCCAGGGCCTTTTCGGCTGTGGCCCCGATCTGGTGGAACGCTCTGTCCCAAGAGACTAGGGCCCTGCAGGACTTGACATCTTTCCGCAGGGCCTGCAAGACGGAGCTGTTCTGCCAGGCCTTTGGCCAAGGCACAGTCTGACCCACTCCTTTGGTAATCCTCATAGAACTCTATCCCAATGGTTGCCATTAATTTGATTCTGAATTCCCCAATTAATTCAGCTCCTAGCCTACTCTTATTTATTTATTTTCTCTTTCCCTCCTCTTTCCACCCCCGCATTGCTGCGCCCACTCCCAGAATCCTCCAGGGCTGATGAGCATCCTGGACGACGTCTGCGCCACGATGCACGCCAAGGGCGAGGGGGCTGATCACACCCTCTTGCAGAAGCTCCAGACGGCCCTGGGAACCCACCCTCACTTCAACAGTTGGAACCAGGGCTTCGTCATCCACCATTATGCCGGGAAGGTCAGTGCCCCCCAAGGAGGGGAATCAATGGCTGGGTCTCCCCTCCTCCCTCATCCACGGAGCTGTGCATCTTTTTTGAAGTGAGGTTGAATCCTGACAAGACAGAAGTACTGTTTTGGGGGGACAGGAGGGGGGCAGGTGTGGAGGACTCCCTGGTCCTGAATGGGGCAACTGTGCCCCTGAAGGACTAGGTGTGCAGCCTGGGAGTCGTTTTGGACTCACTGCTGTCCATGGAGGTGCAGGTTAATTCTGTGCCCAGGGCAGCTGTTTACCAGCTCCATCTGGCACGCAGGATGAGACCCTACCTGCCCGCAGACTGTCTCGCCATAGTGGTGCATGCTCTGGTTATCTCCCGCTTGGACTACTGCAATGCGCTCTACGTGGGGCTACCTTTGAAGGTGACCCGGAAACTACAACTAATCCACATTGTGGCAGCTAGACTGGTGACTGGGAGTGGCCGCTGGGACCACACAACACCGGCCTTGAAAGACCTACATTGGCTCCCAGTATGTTTCCGAGCACAATTCAAAGTGTTGGTGCTGACCTTGAAAGCCCTAAACGGTCTCGGCCCAGTATACCTGAAGGAGCGTCTGCATGACAAGCAGCTGCACTAACGACTTAGTTTTATCTGCCCTTCTGCTAAAAGTAAAGCAAGATCCTGGTCCTCATGGTTCTGAATAAATCAGGAGGATGGAAAGCTGCCGCCTCCTGAGTCAGATCCTTGGTCCATCCAGTTCAGCATTTTGGAGGGCGGGCAGGGGACCCCCCCCCCACACCAGTAATCTGCCTGTAACTGCAAAGTCTAGCAACCTGAGCCGCTTTCTTCCTGGGTGCTGCAGGTATCGTATGACGTGAACGGCTTCTGCGAACGGAACCGCGATGTGCTCTTTACGGACCTCATTGAGCTGATGCAGAGCAGTGAGATGTGAGTGGGGCAGGGTGGGGAGAAAGGTGCCTCTCGAAAGCAATAAATAAAATAAAATAAAATAAAAATTCCTTCCTGGAACTCATCTCCGCCCTGCTAGCATGTCCCTTTCGGATGGTGTTTCACACCTGGAAGCTGCAGGTTTGAATCCCAGCTGAGTTAAATGTCTCCTGGGCGATCCTCAGTCTTCCCCGTCTGTAAAATGGGAAGATGTAAGCGATGTCAGCAGACGATGATTGAAAGTGGTACAAAAACGAAGACCTTTCTTTGGGGCCGTGTGAGCCGTTTCCTACAAGGAAAAGGATGGTCCTTAATGGTTTTTTTTCTTGTTGTCCAAAGCCCATTCATCCGAGATCTCTTTCCTGAAAACCTCAACGCAGAGAAGAAAGGGCGTCCCACCACAGCTGGCAGCAAGATCAAGGTAGTGTGGCTTGGCAGCGTATGTGGAGACAAGGAAAGTGTGTGTGTCTTTGTATATCCATAAGGGCTAGGATTCTCTGCTTTAAGAAATGCAGTTGTGCAGCAGCTGCTACGTCAAACTGCAGCAGGAAAGGGAACAGAAAGCAAGCAAGCAAGCATTGGCTCCACTTCCCCTGTCCTTAGGACCTGTCCCTGAGAAAATCATTTGCGAGCTTGCTTATTTTTTCCTCCCTCCTCCCCATCCCTTTTCCTTTTGTGCTGTGACTCAAAAAAAAGAAAAGAAAGGGAATTAAACAGAACAAAGTATTTTCTTTTCTTTTCACCTCCTCCCCTCCTGGGAAAAAATTAAAGAGACAAGCCAACGACCTTGTCGGCACGTTGATGAAATGCACGCCGCAGTACATCAGATGCATCAAGCCGAACGAGACCAAGAGGCCCCGCGACTGGGAGGAGAGCAGGTGGGGCAGCTGTGGGGCACATGGGGCCTATGGGGTGGGGGTCTTCAAATCAGTTCCGGTTCTAGAGATGAAGGGGGGAATGAGGGGAGACTGTACGACCCCTCCAAAATAACACATGAAGAATAACCAGTGTAGCTGCAGGCAAGGATGGTTTTTAAAGGGGATTTAATTAAATTTGAGGAGTCTTGGATTCGAGGCAGTTCAGGGGTGATGATGGGACTTGTCGTTCACCAACATCTGGAGAGCTGCTCCACTTCCCAGTTCTCTGCTTAAACTGCCATAATAACAAGGACAGTGGTGTGATAAAAGTCAGATAGTTATTTATTTCCTTGACATGTGCTGGGAGGGTGTTGCACAGGGCGGGCGCCACCACCGAGAAGGCCCTCTGCCTGGTTCCCTGTAACTTCGCTTCTGGCAGCGAGGGAACTGCTAGAAGGCCCTCAGCGCTGGACCTCAATGTCTGGGCAGAACAATAGGGATGGAGACGCTCCTTCAGGCATATTGAGAAGGTGCCCTGGTATTCTGTTTTAAATCCCCTACAAACTTCTAACTGGGGTTAAAATGAGTTGAATGAACCCATTTCAACATGGCAGGAGTCACCAACATGGTGCCAGTGGGTGTTTCCTGGGAGCCACAAAGCTCCCTTTGCTCCCTTCACAACACACACTCATTGCTCCCTTGGTTGGGAGCGGATGAGGCCAGATTCGTCTTGCGAAAATTTCACGGAATGGAAGGAGGAAGTGGGGGGAAGGGGCACTCTATCCCACTTTCTCTCTCCCCTCTATGGTCTTTCCGAGGCGAATTCTTTGACCCAGATCTTTTGGAACAGCGAAGGACAGGAGTGTGGTGTCTCTGTGGGTGGGGGCTAAGTCGGGGGGAAGAGAAGCAATTGGGTGGGTGGGTGCCCACACCACTTGCTCAAATACCCCTCTGGGCTCAGTTTGAGGAGGATGAGAAGCTTATTCAATATAATAGCTTTTTAAAAGAACCTCCATGTCCAAGAGCACTATATCCCTGAATGTCAAAGACAGTAGTGACAAAGGAGAGCTTCTTAATTTCCTGTTGCCCGTGAAACAAGGTCCTGGACGAGACACACCTTCACTCGGATCCAGCCAAGGGGCTTTTTGCCTCTTCTGATATTTCTCCCATAAATTGGGAGGGGAACCTCACTTTCTTCCTTGTGACATAGCCCAATCAGTTGTAACGAACGGCTCAAGGGAACTTCTGTGCCCAGGCGCAGTCTATCTTTGAACAGCTGTTGCCAGAAGGTCAGGCAGTCTCTCCCCCCCCCACACTCCCCCAACGTCCCATTTGATCCAAAAAACTAAGAGCCTCAACATAGACGTCTACTCTGCCTCATCCGCAGTTTATACGAAAACACTCGGGTCCGGGTTAGGTGTGACCGACAGGGTCACTTATCCAAGGAAATCCAAACCTACCATAGTGTTAAACAAGGCTGCGTCCTTGCACCTACTTTATTCAACTTCTATATTAATTCCTTAGTAGGAAATATGGGGAAAGAAAATGCCCACCCCCCTAAATTGGCTGGTACACCCCTCCCGGTTCTCTTATATGCGGATTAAGTAGTTCTAATTTCCTTCTCCTATGTAGGCCTCAGAAAACTTCTAAGATCTCTCACTGTTTATTGTAATGCCGAACAATTAACAATTAACTATAGCAAATCCAAAGTTATAGTGTTCTCTATGGGAAGGGCAATAAGAGGCTGCTTCCGTTGTTCTTGTGGCCCTCAATTTCTGCTCCTCCTCCAGGGTGAAGCACCAGGTGGAATATTTGGGCCTGCGGGAGAATATCCGGGTGCGCCGAGCCGGCTACGCCTACCGAAGGGTCTTTCACAAGTTCCTCCATAGGTGAGGCTTTGTGTGCTGTTCTGTGTCCTTTCTGGGGTTGCCAACTGACCAGAGGAAAAGCCCACCCTACTCTGCTCCTGCGCCTTTCGACGGAAGCTCGGTCTTTATGGGCCATCAGATCAGGGAAAGCTTCCCCTATTGATGGGGACGAAGCCTTGGACTATGCAGAAGCGGCCGAGGGGAAGGAGGCGCCAGTCAGAAAGGGCCGGACCGTTCCCAAAATCTGTTTCCATCCTCCCCACTTTCACATGTACAAACCCCCGTAGGCACATTCTCTCTCTCTCTCCCTCCCAGGTACGCCATTCTGACCCCAGAGACATGGCCACTGTGGCGTGGGGACGAGAAACAGGGCGTGGTGCACCTGATGAAATCTGTCAACATGGACCTGGACCAGTTTCAGCTGGGGCGGACGAAGGTCTTCATCAAAGCTCCAGAGTCGGTGAGGGCAGGAGGGAGGAGCAGAGGCTCCCGGGGGAAGTCAGGGCAGAAGTGGCTGTGCTCAAGTTCCTTCTTCCCTCCCTCCCTCCCCCCTCCCTCCCTTCCTTCCTTTCTTCCTCCCTCCCTCATTTTCTTCTTTCTTTCCTTCTTTCCTCCCATCCTTCCTCCCTCCCTTTTCTTTCTTCATTCCTTCCCTCCCTCCCTGTTCTTCCTTCCTTCCCTCTTTCCTCCCTCCCTTTTCTTCCTTCCTTCCTTCCTTCCTTCCTTCCTTCCCCCCTTTCCTCCCTTCCTTCCTGACTTCCTTCCTTCCCTCTTTCCTCCCTCCCTTCCTTCCCTCTTTCCTTCCTTCCTTCCTGACTTCCTTCCTTCCTCCCTTCCTCCCTCCCTTTTCTTCCTTCCTTCCTTCCTTCCTTCCTTCCTTCCTTCCTTCCTTCCTTCCCTCTTTCCTCCCTTTCCTTTCTCCCTCCCTCCCTTTCCTTCCTTCCTTCCTTCCTTCCTTCCTTCCTTCCTTCCTTCTTTCCTTCTTTCCTTCTTTCCTCCCTCCCTCCCTCCCTCCCTCCCTCCCTCCCTCCCTCATCTTTCAGCCTTAATATAAGAGCAGCCTTGTTGCTTGATAAGGCCAAAGGCCACCTGCTCCAGCCCCCTGTTCTCCCAGTGGCAGACCAAACACCCCAGTGGGAAGCTGAGATGGGTCATAAGTTCCAGCTTCCAAACATTCTCACACCCTTAAGTCTAAAAAGTTAAATTGGTCCCTGCCTGTTCCAGATTGGAGCTCATTTCATTTACATTTTCATTTTTCCAACTCTGCAATTCTGTGAAGGATCCCTATGGGAGGCAAGAAAATGGCAGCTCCTTCTGGAGTCTGCTGACTCCTTCCTGTCCCTGGCAATGCCGCCCCAATTGATCTCCCTCTCTCCTTCCTTCCCTCCTTCTCCTGCCCTCTCTCTTTCTCCAGCTTTTCCTCCTGGAGGAGATGCGCGAGCGCCGTTACGACGGCTACGCCCGCGTCATCCAACAGGCGTGGCGGAAACACGTGGCCGTCCGGAAGTACATTCAGATGAGAGAGGAAGGTGAGCTGTTCCCCCAGGTTGACCCAGCTGAGTTTGTGGAGCATTTTGGGGGGTGGGAAATCCCTCATTGCTCCTCAAACATCCCAAAGGATGTTGCCGTGTGGCCAATGGCACCAGCACTTGAATTACGGAGGAGGGGGCAGAGAAGGCTTTTGTGACAGCACCCTTAACCATTATTTTAGCTCCGTTAGTAGAGCATGAGATTCGTTGATCTAAGGGTCCTGGGTTTGAGCCCCGTGTTGGGCAAAAGACTCCTGCATTCCAGGGGGTTGGACTAGATGACTCAAGTGGTCCCTTCCCACTCTACAGTTCCATGATTCTAGGGGGGCTCATATTTGTCCAAAATCAGGTGGGGTGGCACAAGGGTTCCTAGCAATTTCTCTCCGCAGTTTGAACGCTGGGTACTCAAGAGTCTTGTACTGATTTCATGCTCTTTATTGCAGCTTGTAAAACAGTGATTTAATTGTCCCCCAAACCTCAGGCTTTTATATACATTATTTGCACAATGAGTCCCGTCTGATTGGCTGATCCTGCTTCCCTCCTGGAGCCTGATTGGTCTTTTCCTGCAGGCCAATCAGTTGTTGCATTCTAGGATCCTACTTGCCTATTGTTCTAGGATCCAAGCTTAGTACATAACAGCAGGGCTTAGCCGCTGGGTTGTGTGACTGCTGGGAAACTGTCTCTGAGCCCGCACAGAGTGCCTGGCCGCTGCTAGGCCTAGCTTCTTTCTCGCTTCTGTCTTGCAAAGCGTCCAACATCGTTCTGAACAAGAAAGAGCGTCGCCGGAACAGCATCAACCGTAATTTTGTGGGCGACTACATCGGCTTGGAGACCCACCCTGAGCTGCGGCGCTTCGTGGGCCGGCGAGAGCGCGTGGATTTTGCTGACACAGTTGTCAAGTATGACCGGCGCTTCAAGGTGAGCCGGGACACTGCGAGAGTCCTTCTGTGTGGCCATCTTTCTGCATACATTTTCTGCAACATTTTACTGTTGTTAGCCGCTCTGAGCCCGGCTTCAGCTGGGGAGGGCAGGATATACCGTATTTTTCGCCCTATAGGGCGCACTGGCCCATAGGGCGCACCTAGTTTTTTGGGGGGGAAATAAAAAAAAATATATTCCCCCCCCCCAGCCCCCAGTACAGGCTGCTATCCGCAAGCCTTGCGAGCCCAGCAGGAACTCCCGCCGGGCTCGCAAGGCTTGCGGGCAGCAGCCTGAAGCCGGGAGAGCGTGAGGGTCGGTGCGCACCGACCCCTCTCGCTCTCCAGGCTTCAGCGAAAGCCTGCATTCACCCCATAGGACGCACACACATTTCCCCTTCATTTTTGGAGGGGAAAAGGTGCGTCCTATAGGGCGAAAAATACGGTAAATAAAATATTATTATTATTTATTATAGCCTCGTCTTTCTCTCTGAGTCCTGCCCTGTTGCCTGGGCTCTGCCTCCCCGTCGGAGGCAGTAAATGGTCTGAATATTGTTGCAAGCATGTGCCTGAACCCACATGTGAGTCCAGCCCTCATGAACACCCTACAAAGAAGTTTGGGATCTTCTGCTAGAGTTATGATGTTCATCTGTTTATGAATATGCGTTTACCCTTTATCCTTACATCTGCAAGAAGTTCTTACACAAAGGAATTCAGAAAGCTTGCGAGAACAGGAGGGCTGAACTAGGTGGGCCACTGGTCTGATCCAGCTAGCCCTTCTTAATTTCTTACAGAACCTCCAGGCCCAGTGGCAGTCTATCTAGGTTCCAAAACTCTTCGGGACGTTTGGCCGATGTGAGAACTGGGCTGGATGTTCTTGTTGTTGTTTAGTTGTTTAGTCGTGTCCGACTCTTTGTGACCCCCTGGACCAAAGCACGCCAGGCACTCCTGTCTTCCACTGCCTCCCGCAGTTTGGTCAAACTCATGCTGGTAGCTTTGAGAACACTGTCCCACCATCTCGTCCTCTGTCGTCCCCTTCTCCTGATCTTTCCAAATCAGGGTCTTTCCCAGGGAGTCTTCTCTTCTCATGAGGAGGCCAAAGTCTTGGAGCCTCAGCTTCAGGATCTGTCCTTCCAGGGAGCACTCAGGGCTGATTTCCTTCAGAATGGAGAGGTTTGATCTTCTTGCAGTCCATGGGACTTTCCAGAGTCTCCTCCAGCACCAGAATTCAAAAGCGTCAATTCTTCAGTGATCAGCCTTCTTTATGGTCCAGCTCTCACTTCCATACATCACTGCTGGGAACATCATAGCTTTAACTATACGGACCTTTGTCGGCAAGGTGATGTCTCTGCTGGATGTTCTTACGACCCCCTTTTTGTAATTTCCCTGCAGACAGTGAAGCGGGACCTGATCCTGACCCCCAAATTCCTCTACCTGATCGGCCGCGAGAAGGTGAAGCAGGGCCCAGATAAAGGAGCCATCAGGGAGGTCCTGAAGAGGCAGATTGAGGTGGAGCGGGTCCAGTCAGTGTCCCTGAGGTGAGTGACAATGACAACGGGCTGTGGGGAGGTCAGGGAGTTGTGGGGAGGCTGGAGTATGGCAGCTCCTCCTTCCATACTGAACAGGGATGGCCCTCCAAGCATTCTGCCGGGCCCTCAAAATCCTCCCAGGTCACTTGTTTTGTGCCCCAAGGGTTCCAGCTGATGCTAGCCTTACTCAGAGTAGACCTACTGGAATGAATGGACACGTGGGCATGTTGATTGAGTGTGTTTCTGGCCACATTCACACCACATATCTAAAGAGCTGTGATGCCCCCGCCAACAGCCGTGGCTTCCCCCAAAGGCTCTTGTAGGTTAAAGATGTAGTTTAAAGGTGATGAGAATTGTTAGGAGAGACTATGAGGAGAATTATTAGTTAATGATAATTTAAAGTAATAGAGAAATTAAGAAATGCAGAACAAGTGATAAAGAACGGAAAATCTTCAGAGGTTGTTGACGGAAGTGTAAAGTATTGTTAAGATAAGAAGTTATGTTAAATGACTGTTGGAAATGATATGTTAAAAAATTAATAAAAATGTATATTAAAAAAGAGAGAGTTGTTAGGAGACGCCCCCACTATTCTCCTCACAGAGCTACAATTCCCAAAGTGGTTCAACAACCAATCCCTCTTCCTGGGGAACTCCGGGAATTGTAGCTCCATGAGGCGCCCTTGACAAATGACAGCTCCCAGAATCCTTTGGCGGGAAGCCATGACGGTTTAAAGTGGCTCCATTGTGCTTTAAATGTGATGGACTCTGGCCTGAATGCACCCTTCATGTTGATAATATTCTTAAGGCTAATTTGTTTCCCACCGTTTCCTTTTTTTATTATTATTATTAATTTCAACATAACATTTTATCAAAAAACATATCATACTTAAATTCCCCCCCTATTTTTTCCCTCCCTCCTCCCCAAAATATAGCCCACCTTCCCCTCCCTCCCCCCTGACTTCCCACAGCTCCTCTCTCTGGTTTATCAACATACGTTATTTTCTGCATGTTACAAAACTGTACAGATCCTTGATTCATCTATCTAGATGTTATCAATAAGAAGTTTGTGAATGTTTATTCAAAACCTGCCAAGGAGTCCAGTTCATTTTGTTTTTTCTTTAAATACTTTGTAAAGGGTTCCCACTCATCTTTAAAATCACAGTTATCCTTGTCATGTAGTTTGTGTGTCAGTTTTGCCAATTCTGCCTAGTCCATCAATTTCTCTTGCTACAGTTCTTTGGTCTGGATTTCCTTGTTCTTCCATCCTTGTGCTATTAAGACTCTTGCTGCCGTTGTCGCATACATAAAGTTTTCATTTTCCTTGGCAGGTCTTTTTCTACAATCCCTAACAAAAATGCTTCAGGTTTTTTGACAAATGTTAATTGGAACATTTTCTTCAACTCATTATATATCATTTCCCAAAAAAAATTAATTTTACTACAGTCCCACCACATATGATAAAAGGTCCCTTCTTTTTCTTTACATTTCCAAGACATATTTGAAATGGTTTTGTACATTCTTCCTAGTTGTACAGGTGTTATATACCATCTATATATCATTTTCATATCATTTTCTTTCAACAAGGAGCAATTTGTAAATTTTGCTTCCCACCGTTTCTTAATGTAAATATTTAAAAATTAGTGTAACCCGCCGTGGGACATTATGGTGAAAGGCAGGTAAGAAACTGAAATAAGAATAAAACAGTTCCAGGATCGGAGGCAATTTCCCATCAGTTGGTGGGAATCGCAAGTAGGGAGAGCGCTGCTGAGTTTGACCCCTGGGAGGGCAGAATTGCTCTTCTGATGTTATGATGGAACCTCCAGTCCAGTGTTAGTCTACCTCGATTCCTAGGTTCAGAGAGGTTTATGGGACACTGTCAGAACAGGATGCTGGACTAAATGGGTGTCTGGAGCTGATCCAGCTGCAGCAGGCAAGGCTCTCCTTTGGCTTTTTAAAGTCCTTACTCTCTCTCTGTCTCCCATATTCTCTCGCCCAAGCACCTTGCAGGACGACTTCATCATCATCCACGAGCCCCAATACGACAGCGTCCTGGAGTCGGTCTTCAAGACGGAACTGTTGAGCCTGCTCTACAAGCGCTACGAGGAAAGGACCCAAAAGCAGCTGCCAGTCAAGTTCAGCAACCAGTGAGTAGCCGCGCTGCTCCCTTGAGAGTATTAGTTGATAATAATAATAATAAATTTTATTTATATCCCGCCCTCCGCAGCAGAAGCTGGGCTCAGAGCAGCTAACAACAATAGAAGTAACACAGCATTCTAAAATAAATTCATTCTAAAATCATTCAAAATCAAATTAATGGCAACCATTGGGCTAGAGTTCTATGAGGATTACCAAAGGAAGAGGTCAGGCTGTGCCCTGGCCAAAGGCCTAGCAGAACAGCTCCGTCTTGCAGGCCCTGCGGAAAGATGTCAAGTCCCGCAGGGCCCTGGTCTCTTTGGACAGAGCGTTCCACCAGATCGGGGCCACAACCGAAAAAGCCCTGGCTCTGGTTGAGGCCAGCCTAACCTCCCTGTGCCCTGGAACCTCCAAGATGTTTTTGTTTGAAGATCGTTCCTCCGTGGGACATACCAGGAGAGGCGGTCCCGTAGGTATGAGGGTCCTAGGCTGTATAGGGCTTTAAAGGTTAAAACCAGCACCTTAAACCTGATCCTGTACTCCACCGGGAGCCAGTGCAGCTGGTATAGCACTGGGTGAATGTGATCCTGCAGCGAGGACCCCGTAAGGAGTCTCGCCGCGGCAATTTGCACCCGCTGGAGTTTCTGGGTCAGTCTCAAGGGCAGCCCCACATAGAGCAAGTTACAATAATCCAGTCTGGAGGTGACCTTCGCGTGGATCACAGTGGCCAGATCAGGGCGAGAGAGGTAAAGAGCCAACTGCTTAGCTTGTGGAGATGAAAAAATGCCGCCTTTGTTATAGCTGCAATCTGCGCCTCCATGGAAAGGGAGGTGTCGAAGATTACACCCAAACTGATGGTCCTGTGGGTTCGGACAAGTGGGGCCGTGTTGCCCAAGTCCCTGCTTCCAGTGGGGAGCCTCTGGGAATGAAGGCACGAAGGTGAGAGAGAGCCCTCCCCTGTGGGTTTTGCTTACGGGGCTCTAAGATAGACTGCGCCTGGATGTGGAGGCTTCTGTGGAAATATGACAACCCACCACTGAACATCCGCAACTACTTTTCTGGGTGATGCAGAAAGGTGGGGGAGGGGAGTCTACCTTTAACTCCTTGGAGGAAGGAAGGGTTGGATTCAAATACAAATATTCCACTTGATCCAGGAGAGGGATTGTTCGAAATAAGCCCTGCAAATGGAATATGGGCTATTGTTCCAACCATGACTGATTGTATTCTTAGCCTGTGGTCCATGGTGATCCTAAGCACAACTTCACCCCGAGAAGTAAATTCCATTGCAGTCAGACTTTCATATAAAATGATTAAGGAACAACAGACTGTAAGTCAGTTCCGTTAATGTTTTATTCAATACAGTGGTACCTCGGGTTAAGTACTTAATTCGTTCTGGAGGTCCGTTCTTAACCTGAAACTGTTCTTAACCTGAAGCACCACTTTAGCTAATGGGGCCTCCTGCTGCTGCCGCACCATCGGAGCACGATTTCTGTTCTCATCCTGAAGCAAAGTTTATTAACCCGAGGTACTATTTCTGGGTTAGTGGAGTCTGTAGCCTGAAGCGTATGTAACCCAAGGTACCACTGTATTTGTATTATTGAAATTGTAGCATTGGATGGTATATTGTAAAACACTTTGAGGATTTTGGTTTTTTAAAAAAATAAATGCAATATGTCTATGTATATGTATGTGTGTACACACACACACACACACACACACACACACACACACACACACACTGTATTTTCCATGTATAAGACTAGGGTTTTTTTACCCAAAAAATAGGTTTAAAATTGGGGCTCGTCTTATACACGGGTAGCGCTGAGGGCTGTCTTCTTAATTTGGAGTCCCCCAAAATAAGGGGAGTCTTATACATGGGGGTGTCTTATACAGTGGTACCTCAGGTTACAGATGCTTCAGGTTACAGACTCTGCTAACTCAGAAATATTACCTCAGGTTAAGAACTTTGCTTCAGGATGAGAACAGAAATTGTGAGGCGGCGGCAAGGCAGCAGCAGGAGGCCCATGGTGCTTCAGGTTAAGAACAGTTTCAGGTTAAGAACGGACCTCCGGAACGAATTAAGTACTTAACCCGAGGTACCACTGTACAGTGGTGCCTCGCAAGACGAAATTAATTCGTTCCGCGAGTTTTGTCGTCTTGCGATTTTTTCCGTCTTGCGAAGCACGGTGTCGGAAAAGTTTTGGAAAAGCTTCAAAAATCACCAAAGTCTTCAAAAACCTCAAAAAAGGCTCCTCGAAGTCAAGTCGCAACTGTATTAACGGTGTTAAGAAAAAGGAAACAAACTTGCAAGACGTTTCCGTCTTGCGAAGCAAGCCCATAGGGAAAATCGTCTTGCGAAGCTGCTCAAAAAACAAAAAACCCTTTCGTTTTGCGAGTTTTCCGTCTTGCGAGGCATTCGTCTTGCGAGGTACCACTGTACATGGAAAAATATGGTATATTGTAATAAACAAGCAAACTCAGGTTTTATTTATTTTACATTTTCATTCCCACCCTTTCTCCGAAGGAATTCAGGGTGACGCGTGCGGTTCATGCAAAACCACCCCCATGTTAACAACCACCCCCATGTTATCCTCACAACGACCCTGTGAGGTAGGTTAGGAAGAAATATAGCGGGTGGTCCGAGGTCACCCAGTGACTGCTATCTTTTAATATATCTCTTTTTCTCATCTCTCCCTCTCTCTATTTTTCTCTCCTCTGCCCCAGGCTGGAGTTCAAGGTAAAGAAAGACGGTTGGGGTCCCTGGGGGGCTGCCGGATCCCGCCAGATCCAGTTCCAGATCTGCCAGGGGGACTTGACTCTCCTGCGCAACAACGGCAAAGTGCTGGTGGTCAGCATCGGGCCTGGCTTGCCCCGCAACGCCCGTGAGTCTGGGGGCATTTTGCGGGGGGGTGACGGTTATTGTTCCCAAGAGGAGAGGACCTGAGGAGGGGAAGGAATAGCCCTAGACCCTGATCAAGATATTGCTCAATGGATCTAAGTCAACAAGACAGTTCTTTAATTATTTTATTTATGTCCTTTAAATTTCCCCCGAGAACCCCAAAATACATTCTGGAAGCCTGCATTCCCGTACACCTCTCCCCACACACAATTTATAGCAGTGTGCCTTTGCAAAACGTACTATTATTAAGTGACCCACCAGAAACCTTTGGAACTGGTATTTCAAATTCGTTATTTCAACCCTCCCATTTTGCGTTGACAATATCGGGATGTAACGACTGCGTGCTCAAGGTCTTTGGGGGTGTGGATTGCCCTCCGACAGTGCCGAATTTACGTGTAAGCTAAACAAGCTATAGCTTAGGGCCCCACTCTCTTGGGGGGCCCTAGAAAAATTAAAGGAAAAACTGGGTGTACATTTCCAATATAAGATAAATAAATATAAGATACAGTGGTGCCCCGCAAGACGAATGCCTCGCAAGACGAAAAACTCGCTAGACGAAAGAGTTTTCCCTTTTTTTAGTCGTTCCGCAAGACGAATTTCCCTATGGGCTTGCTTCGCAAGACGAAACGTCTTGCGAGTTCTTGCGAGTTTGTTTCCTTTTTCTTAAAGCCGCTAAGCCGTTAATAGCCACTAAGCCGCTAATAGCCGTGCTTCGCAAGACGAAAAACTCGCGGAACGGATTAATTTCGTCTTGCGAGGCACCACTGTAGATAAAACCTACATACAGCAACAGTGTTTTGTGTTGTGTATGGACCTATTAGGTCCATAAATTACCATATAGCATAAATTCAACACAGAAAACAGTGACAATTTGTTGTTGACAAAGGACATATAAAGGGCCCCATTACCGTCCGTAGCTTAGGGACTCATCAAACCTAAATCCGGCTCTGACCTCCGGCGAGCTTTTGAGTCGGACGGCGCTGAGGGCACCTTTAAGGGCTGCTGGCCCGTGCTGGGTGGGTTCCCAGGGGATCGGGGCCACCTCCCCTCCGAGAGCTGACAGTGGGACCCCCTGATTTCAGGACCTACCCGGAAAGACACCAGGAAAAGTCGGAGCCTGGGCAGGGGAACCTCACCTGGTTGGAATACCCCGAACACAACAGGTAAAAAATGTTTCCTTGTGGGGGGAGAGGTCTAAGATGGGGGTGTAGAGGCAGGATTGGAGGAATTCAATTCCCCCTCCACATGGGCATCCAAGAACATGCGAAGCTACCGGCGATAGGGGGTTAGGCTGGATGTCCTTTTAAGATCCCATTCTCTATCCTTGTACAAGGTTCATCCTGCCCTGTATTGTCTCCTCTTCCAGGGATCAGGCCAGGTGGGGAGGGAGATTCTCCCAGAGTCCCACTTGTGGCCTCTTCCCAGCCTTGGCGTGCTGAGTGTCCTGGGTTCAAATTCAGACATCTCCAGATTTTTAAAAGCCCAGCTTAGGAGAGCTGCCTGGATCCCAGAAGGGTTTGTCTCTTCCTGACAACCTCAGGAGAAGACACCTTTATTGCAGGTCAAGTTAGGACAGCCCGGGTCAACCTGCCGCTCCCTCCAGATTGGATTAAACGACAGCTTGCATCCCCGTCTCTGACCATTGGTCCTGTTTGGGGAAGGCTGTGTTACAGGGGATGGTTTGGCTGTTTGCTCTGAGGATATTCCATAGCAGATACTCAAGAATTCAGGAAGACGGAGAACAAACTCAACTCCTAACACCCAAAATATTTGGGGTGAAGGAGGGTGGTTAAAAAGGAGCAACCCAGCTAGATAGGCGGGGTATAAATAATACAATACAGTGGTACCTCGGGTTACATACACTTCAGGTTACAAACACTTCAGGTTACAGACTCCGCTAACCCAGAAATAGTACCTCAGGTTAAGAACTTTGCTTCAGGATGAGAACAGAAATCGTGTTCCGGCGGTGCGGCAGCAGCAGGAGGCCCCATTAGCTAAAGTGGTGCTTCAGGTTAAGAACAGTTTCAGGTTAAGAACGGACCTCCGGAACGAATTAAGTACTTAACTCGAGGTACCACTGTGATAATAATAATTAATGTGCTCAGGAACTGTGAAGAAGAATCTACCCAAGCCGCCGAGAACTTTGATCTGTTTTTAGTAGCTGTAACTTTCTGTATGTTTTAAAGCATCGTTGTACATCATTATGGATTTTATTGTTTTGCGAACCGCTTTGATGCTTGTTTACAATCAAGCGGTGCGTGTATTTTATGAAATAACCAGCCAAACGGCGACCCACGTTCCCCTTGCAAAGGGTCGGGCGTTGACTCTCTCTTATCTATCCCTCCCCCCCGGCAGGGTCAAAGTGGGGCAACCGCGGGGGTGGCAATGTGGGAACCAGGCCCCCCTTCCAGCAGCGCCTTTCGATGACCAGGCAGGTCAGCATGGAGCAGCCCAGTTTGCCCCGCCAGGGGGCCAGCCCCAGAGCGAAAGTCCTGCCGACTCAGCTGAACCTGGATTTCATGAACGTCCCGGACCAAGGCGTGGCTGGGTGAGCGAGCTGAGTAGACGGTCGTTGGACGTCGCACTTTCCTGATGCTAGACTGAGACTTTGCTTCTCTCTTTCTCTCGCACTCTGGATTACAGAACTAAATCTTGCCTTCCTTCTCTGATTTTCATGCTCATTGCCTCCGACTCCTTTGAGCTTTGCCCAAACCATTTGATTGACAGTTTTAAGGTGACCAGTAGGCTGCAAAAAAACACCACCACCCCAAAACCAGAAAAACGTATTGCCTTAAAACTCAGGTCTTTGGCAAGCTCAGCAGTTTGCCACTTTGCCGTGTATCTCAGGTCTTTTCTGTGTGTTTCCTTACTCTCTGGGCCAGGAAAGGAGTCAGCTTGTGGGGACGCGGGTGGCGCTGTGGGTTAAACCACAGAGCCTAGGACTTGCCGATCAGAAGGTCGGCGGTTCGAATCCCCGTGACGGGGTGAGCTCCCGTTGCTAGGTCCCTGCTCCTGCCAACCTAGCAGTTCGAAAGCACGTCAAAGTGCAAGTAGATAAATAGGTACCACTCTGGCGGGAAGGTAAAAAGCCTTTCCATGTGCTGCTCTGGTTCGCCAGAAGCGGCTTAGTCATGCTGGCCACATGACCCGGAAGCTGTACGCCGGCTCCCTCGGCCAGTAAAGCGAGATGAGTGCCACAACCCCAGAGTTGGCCACGACTGGACCTGATGGTAGGGGTCCCTTTAACTTGTGACTTGCATATTTCGTTGTTTTAAGGACTCTTGTTTAGGCCAGGAAACCTGCAGCTGTCCCATAATGGTCACTCACCATTGGCCATGCTTGCTGATGGATCTGAAGGGGGTTGGACTAGATGGGGCCTGATCCAGATTGCCAGGCTGCTCTTAGGTCCTTCTGGAACCTCCAGGTCCAAAAGCAGTCTATTGAGAGTCCTAAGTTCCAAAGGGCATTTGGCCACTGTGAGGACTGGATGGTGGCCTGATCCGGAAGGCTCTTCTTAAGTTCTCAGGAGTTGTCATTCAGACCCGTCAGGAGGGCCAAAGGCTCTCCCCGCACCCCACCAGCTTTGGAAGAAGGCCTTCCTTTCTGGTTGAGGTTGGGATGTGGCAGATCATTTCAGCAGAATTAGGTGGGAAAGGAGGAGCGCTTCCGTTTGCTCCAAACCCGATGCTGACCTCTCTTTTCTCCAGCCTCCAGAGGCGCCTGTCCAAGGAAGCGAAGCCCATCCCAGGAGGAGGCCGGGCCAAGCCCAAGCCCAAACCGAAACCTCAGCCATGCCTCCCCCAGTGCAGGGCCCTGTACGCCTACGACGCCCAAGACACAGACGAGCTCAGCTTCAATGCCAACGAGTTCATTGAAATAATCAAGGAAGGTAAGCTTTCGGGGGTCTTTTCTTGGCGAGGTGCGTGTGTTGAATGAACCCCGTTTCCCTGCCCAACTTGAGTTCAGCGGCTGTTGTCCATGATAGCTACTGGAGCCTCCAGGTTCAGGGGCAGTCTAGCTCAGAGTCACATCCAAAACGAGATGGCAGCTGAGATGGACCCATTATAGCCTGCTCTAGTGAAACCACTCCTGTAATTTTTAAATAAAGTCTACCCATTTTTCTTAGACATCTAGAGAGCACCACATTAGCCAGCCCTGGTTTATTCGTTTATTTCAACAATTTGTATGCCACTTAATTGCCAGGAGTTGGAATAGATGATCCTTTGGGTCCCTTCCAGCTATACATTTCTACAAATTACAGGTGTTGTACAATAAACAGAGAAAATCAGAAATGATTTTAAATGCCTGCTGGAATTTTTTAAAAGGCAGCTTTTGAAGACAGTGGGGGCTGTCTAATCTCAGACAGAAGGTCCACAAAATGTGGCTTCCACAGTAATGAATGCCTGGTACCTGGCTGGATCTATCAATTGTAGATAATGACTGACTACAGTTTCTATCATCCCTGCCCCTGTGTTAAGTGGAGGTGATGGGAGCTATGGCCCAAAAACATCTGGAGCTCCCCATGTTCGTAATCCCCGTCGTAAGCTCTCGGAGGCAGGAGGAACCTCTGTGTACAGGGGCAGTCTAGCTGAGCACCAGGTGCAGCAAGCGGCAGGTGGGAGTGTGAATGTTCTGCTTCTGGTGTCCTCTTATCCGCTGGCTCCTTCTGGGAAATTCGGGAGCTGTATGGGACTGACTTCTGGTGTGATCCAGCAGAGCTGTCCCGATATCTGAGCTCCTGATTCTTATTCCGCCTGTTTGCAGACCGTTCTGGCTGGTGGCAGGGCCGCATCCGTGGCAAAGAAGGTTTGTTCCCGGGGAACTACGTGGAGAAAATCTGAGACGGGCAGACGACTCTCAGCGTTCTCTTCCTAGACTGCCCCCCTCCACCAGCTGCTGTGGACTTTGCAGGCTAGAGAAGGAACTTTGGCCAGCAAAAAGAGCTGCTTCGTGGCTTGGGAGACACCTGCCTTTCTCTGTTCCATTGCACAAGAACAAGGGGTGTGTGTGTTTATTTTATATATATAAATGGCTGCCTTTGAAAGCCATGACAATGCCAGCATGGCTGAACTTTGAAATCAAGAACAGGGTGGGAAAGCACAGGCCTCCTTTTTTACCCCTCCAGTGGAAGGCGTTTTGTCCATGAAAACGGGCAGGTTTTTGTTTTTAAGCTTCCAAGCAAGAAAGCCTGTTGTCGCAGGGGGAGCGGTTTGCATTCTGCATATACACCATGACCGTACGGGAGTCACAGGAGCTCCCTGCAGAATCCTGCTGAGGCCAAGCAAGCGCTGGCATTTAAGCAGGAGCGGGACCACAGAACCTGCGTGCGAAATAAATTATGTGCATCAGGAACCCTTTTCTGTAAATGGGTTTTATTTGATGAAAATGTGGGTCGCTGTATCCTGCCTAATTTCTCAGCAAAGGCCCTGCCCTACCCCCCTGCAGTGCAGTCCCCACGCATTTCCCAAACGGGGGCGGGGGGCATTTCATTGCTTCTACTTTGGGAACCAGAGCAGGTAATCTGGGATTACAAATTCCAAGAAGCTTTGGAGGATAAATTGCGAAAGCTTCTTGGAAAGACACGTTGCCAAAGGGCTCCTGCACCTTTTAACAGCCGAGGAAGGAATTTTCAGCAGGTGTGGCGTGAAGCGGGGACTGCACAGGCTGGAATTACCTGTTCTAAAAGTGCAGGAATGCCGTCATGTTTTTGTTCCCATCTGGCTACCTTCGAAGGATCTTAGAATTGGGAGTTGCAAGGTCTGGAATGGCTTTGTGGTTGCAGTTTGCAGTGCTCAAAGTTGTAGAGAAAGGAAGTCTATGAGTTACATTTATTCGTTTATCTACATTAATGTTTGCTCTCTTTGGCCAAAATGGTTCCCGGGGCAGCTTACGTATGATCCATAAAAGCAAGGCAGCTATGCATGAGGGGGTCTACCTGGGACTTCTGTTTTCAGAGGCTGTGTGTGGAGGATCCTGGAGTGTGTATGTGTGTCTGCAGTTGCCCTCCTGCCCTGCTGATGGGCACATGACAGGGGTTTCTCTAGCCACTGTGGCAAACAGGGAAGTGCACTTGATGGAGGTTTGATGTGATCCAGAAGGACTCCTTAAGTGGAAAAAGAGAGGGGGTGCATACTGGGAGCAAATACCTTCACTGGGACCATCATTGGGTCACCCCAAATTCACCATCAGATCACATAGCATGTCCATGGCTACAGCCTGCACCAAAAAAAAACCACGCATCCACTGTTGCGTGGGGCCGCAATGGCGCAAAAACGTGGTTACAAAGCACGGATCCACATGAATTCTCAGGATTTTTGCATTGGGCTACCCCAAACTCACCGTCAAACCACATGTCTGTGGTCACAGCATGAACCACAAAAATCATACATCCACTGTTTCGTTCAGAATATTTTTTTTTTCCTGTTTCCCTCCTCTAAAAACTAGGTGCGTCTTATGGTCAGGTGCATCTTACGGAGCAAAAAATACAGTAATCACAGACAGGACAAAATCATGGATTGGAGGGAGCAATGGGGTCCCTCAAGAGATTTTGCCCACTAAGACGTCTCTTGGCTCTGTTTTTCCCTTGTTGGAAAATAAAGCCATTAGTTTGAGTGAGCCTTAAATAATAAAATACTTCCTACCCCAGACAGGAGGACACACTCAGAGGCAAGAGGCCCACAAACGGCGCCGCATGTTGGAAACCCTCCGCGAAGCCCGCTCGGGTGCCACACGGACGTTCTCAGTGAGCCAGGTTTAGCTCCAAATTACATGTTTCCTTTTTGAGACTTCCTTCCACTTCAGGACAGGGTTTATTACTCAGCCGAAGCCACAAAAAATGAGCTGGGTTAGTTCACAGGGGGAAGAAGGTGGTGCAAAGGTATCGCTTTTCAGTCCTGGCCCGTTTGCAGCCGCCCTGGGATGGCGAAGATGTGTATTGCCTCTGAACTGTCACTTCCAGATTTCCAAATTATTGCTTGCAAATTTTTGCTGAGACGCAGGGACTTTAAAGAAAGCTCTTTTGCAAAACGGTAGCTGGCACCACAGCCTCATGGAAAACAATGACAGGATATTTCTTTCTTGCCCCCTCCCTCTGTGGAAGGAAGGAGCAAAGGTAAAATCAAAGCAGCAGGGATTAATTTCAATTAAGACCAGGTCTGGAGAGGGGTTAAACCACTAGAAGTTTTTAATTGCATTATCAGTACAGTGAAAGGAGTTAACCTGAGAGACTTTTTCAGTGACCAATTTTTTTTTTAATGTAGCATAATATTCAGTTCACAGTCGTGACCCCCCCGAACCTCCCATGACCCTCCGTAATTTTTCACCTGCTAGAAAACAAATATACAGAATTCAGAGTCTTCTTTTTTTGTTTTTTGTTTTTTAAAAAGCCCACAAGATATACCTAAAGGCACTGAAGTGCGTGCAAGGTAAGGTAAGAAAAGAAAGGAAAGGGGGGGGGGTTAGGTTTGGAAGTCAATCTTCAATAATTACAAAGCAATCGATTCTCTTCCGTAGCCCCTAAAATGGTAAGAAAGTTCTATGAAACATCATTTACACTTTCAGCTTTTTTTTAAAAAAAAATCTTTTTTCTTTAAATTAAAAAGGGGGGGGGCAAGATGAGTTAAGTAGGTGTTTAACAGAGACAAGAAATTGCCTAAAATAAATGAACACGTTTTACTTAGGAGGAGGAGGAGTGGGACAGGGAGAGAACCATCAGGGGCTTCGGGTGAAAAGTTAGGAAGCTGAGTTCATCATACAAGATTCATGAGAAGGAACTAAACAGTACTGATCTTCTTCTTCCTCATCACCCTCAATTCTGCTCTGGTGAAGAATCTCATTTCCAAAAAGCACCCCCACATAATGGTAGAGTGGATATGATTATTTTTTTAAAGGCATTATGAGGACTGCAATCACATAGCTGATGTTACAGAAGTTCTGTAGGGGGGGGAAATGTGAATTTATTGTATGGCTCCCACTCCAGCCCTTATGTTGGATCTTCACTGCATTTCCCAAGCTGGACTTGAGGAGGAGACAAAGAAGACAGAACAGAATCCCTGCTGGGGTGGAAATCCCACCTCTCAAATCTGCACCCAGCAGGATTGTGCAAAGTACCACTGACTATCTGGGGCTTTGAGCGTGCAGCTGTTGCACCACGGACGACCCACACCCTCTTACTCACTTCGCTTAACCGCTCAGCCTCTCTTGCTTGGCATGTTTACTAGGAAGTAGGATCCCAATGGGTACTGGAAGACTGACTTACATGCAGATTCAGGAGTGGGGTTGAGACCCATTGCGGAAGGTTGCCCAAACCAGTTTTGGTGCTAAGGGAGAAAAAGGCATTAAAAGCAGATTGTGGCAGAGAGGGCGAGGGGAGCATTTGAACTCAGATCCGTAGGTCACAACAGCAGAGTGCTCTGCTCATCCTGCCCACAGAATCTACAACTCCACTGCCAAAGGAGGAGGAGGAGACGACGGGGAGAACCAGATGGAGCCCAGTTCTACGAAGAGCCATATTTCCTTCTTAAGCAAGTGTGAACACAGTAATGAAAAGCATCCATTTCTCTGGCCTACGCTCTTGCCTGTGATGCGTTACGGTTGGGATTAAAAAAGTTAAAACAGTCTAAAGATCGGAAACGTAACTTTCAGCCACCCCCAGGAATGGAAAGCTGGTGGCCCTCCAGATATTTAGCTATGCAGCTTACTCTCTGAATAACCCTATGGCCAAAAGGCGACAGAGGCCTAAGGCAGCCAGATGTTGTGAACTACAACTCCCATCAGCCCCCAGCCATCTGGAGGGCACAAGGTTGGCAAAGGTTGTTTTAGAGCAGTGTTTACCCAAGTGTGGTACCTGCCCCCCAACAGGGGTGTGTGAAAGGGTTTCAAAGGGTACAGATATTTTTTTTTCTTTTACTTTAGCACAGGCTTTTTTTTTAAGCTGCAAAAAAACAATTCAAAGATTAAAAACTTTATTATTAAAACTACACCCAAATTATCTTCACCCGAGAAGGGGCAAGCCAGGAAAACTAAACTCTCAGGAGGGGAGTGCGGTTATTTTAATTTTGCGAAACAGTGACCTAGACAGGCCACAGTCAACTCCTCCTCCCTACTCTAACCATTTGACAATTTAGGGCCTCCCTCTTTTCTATCTCTCCCCAAAACGAATTTTAATGGATGTGCAAACTAATATTTTCAGAAACAGGACATTACAACACTCATTACCTTTTTCGTTTTTCTTTTTAGTTAAAAAAAAAGTGTACGTTAACAGATTTGTTTAAAGGACACACGCTGGGTTAATAAGCATTAGTGACGAGTCAAAGACAAATAAAGAAAATCCAAGTTACTAAAATAATCACTTGTGCACATTATTTTTTTTAAAAAGAGATCTACGAGACTCCCTTCCATGGTTTCCTTTTAGACAAAGCACAAAAGTACCCCCTCACACACCTTTACACATGATCTGATTGTGGGAGGGGTTTTTTTAAAGCACAGAACCTGCCACTTCCCAAACCTTTGTTGAAATATGAAGCTAGAGGCTCAACGTTTGTTAGAATAAAGAGGCAGCATTGTATGCTGTTTTCTTGGTCACAAAACCTTGGAATGATCATCTACAGAAGGGACTTCATTCTGGATGGGGAGGGTGAGGGCAGACACTCAAGATCATGATTAATTGCTAAATCAGCATGATATAGACAAACACCCCCTTTGGCAGTGAAGTTTGTCAACACATGATTAACGCAGCTGATCCAACGGCCAGGGGATCAACAGAGAGTTGATTAAGTGTCAACAGAGAGGATGGAGAGGTGTGTTATATATTTGCACAAAGGTTTGATTTGTTTGTTTTAAACACGGGTCATTGACCTTAATCAAGAGATTGACTGGACTGTCCATCGTAAAATTCTCTCCTGAGAGAGTCCCACTGAAATTGGACACAAGCGGTGGAAGAGCACAGGCCCCAAACGTCCCAGCGGATTGAGGACGGGGTCAAGCGATGCCTTCCTAACCCTTTTGCAATTAAGGGCAGGAATGTGGCACCAGCATTTTATGCAAGGGGGCGGGGGAAGACGTGTGCAAGCGTTTGAATCCCCCAGCCGTAGCTGAAAAAGTTACAGCTGTGTCCCTCCACCTGGGTAGGTCTGTTGCTAATCAGACATGTATCTGGTCACTACAGCTGCCTTTTCGTTTTCTGTTAAGGGGAGGGTGGAAGCAATATTAACCATTCCCCTCTGTCTCCCGTCCACACCTCCCCATCAATGGATTTTCCGGGCCACCAAATATTAGGAAGTTATCGCTGTGGATACACACACCCGTTTTGAACCCACTGGAGGTCCCCACCACCACCCTTCAGCTGACACACAAAGACACAGAGCCTCATCTGCCTCCTAACCCCTGTTTTCATTCTCCGTTCAACCCCTTGGGAAAAGCTGGAAGAGGTGGCACGTAGTTTGGCAGGTAGGTTTGGGATGCAGGGGGCAATGGCTGCTGACCGAGTGCCCATTGTAACAGCGATGGAGAATCCTCTGCCCTCCCCAAACGCTGCTGGACTCCCAATTCCCAGCAGCCAACATGCCCAGTGCACAGGGCTGACGGGAGTTGCAAGACTGGAACCCCAGATAACCCCCATTCCTGGTCTGGATTCTCATCCACACAACACACATTGTGAGCCAAACACCAATAACGATGGGGGTTATGTGTGTTTGGTTTGCTTTCTAAAACTCTGCCCCTTGGAATGGTTTGGAAAGGGTAGCGCTAGAGTACGAAAAAAGGAGTCAGTATTACGATGAGCAGCGAAGGAGGGCGGAGGGGAACGCCGTGCTTCGGAGAGGCGGAAGAATCGACCCATGATTCCGACTGAGAAAGGCAAGGGGAGGACAGAGGCACTAACCTGTAGCTAATTGCGACTTCCCGTCCTGCAGCGGCGAACATGATTTTAAAAAAAGAAATGACGACAAAACAGGAAAGGTGAAGCTGAAACGAATCCCTCTTTTCGAGGAGGGAAGAGAAGAACTAAAACCCAGGAAGCTTTTGGAAATCCTGGAGGGGAGAAAAGAGGGTGGTGGAAAGAGTGGGAGGGGGCAAAATCAGAGGGGAGGGAGGGTGGCGGTGGCAGCACTGAGGGGGCAACGCAACGGGGTCATGTACTGGGATGGGTTAGTGCCCCTGTGCAGGGAGGAGGAAGAGGAAAGGAAGAGGAGAAGCATCGCGAGGCTTCACCTGCCTTTTCCAGTGACCAGCAAGCAAAGCTGACAAGAAGATCTTCCCAGCAAGGGCAAGGCAGGCACCCCTGCGTACAGCAGCTTTAATCCACTGGGGCTCAGGGTCCTATTCCTCAGCACCACCAGATGTAATGCTTCTTCCTTGCCTTCTGCCCCATGGTATAACCCCAGACTGAAGGAGTTTAAAAAAAAACAGCAACAAGACACCCCACAACCGAGGTTCCAAGCCAACAGCAGAGACAGCTGCTTATAAATAAGGCTCCTTGCCGCCCCCCTTCACAATCACAGCTTATTAAGAAGTGAGGCATTGGGGGGGGGTTCATCACTGCTCCCACCCAGACCTCGGGGCGCTGATCAACCTCCGACCGCTGTCCCTGGGTGGCAGAGGGGCAAGGCAGAGCCTCCCGTGCACACGCTCCTGCTCCCCCCCCCCAAACTAGTTCTCTGCCCCCACGTTCTGCCGGGCTTTGATGAAGGCCATTCCGTGGGTGCGGAAGTGAGTCTTGAGGTTGAGCTGGGTGTCGAAGCCCTTGCCGCAGACGGTGCAGGAGAGCTTGCCCTCTTCGGCTGGCGGGGAGCCTTCCTCGGCGTCGCCCCCCCGGGGGCTGGAGCCCCCCGCATCGCCCGACCCCCGCTTCTTCTTGTGGGTGATGAAGCGGTGGCGGTTGAGGGAGACCTGAGAGGTGAAGCAGAGCCCGCACTCGCGACACTGGTGGGCGCTCTCCCCTGTCCTGTGCTGGGGGATGTGCTCCTGGAAGTCGGCCGCCGAACACGCCACGTAGCCGCACTTGCGGCAGTGGAACTTCCGGTCGCCCCTGGGGGTCTTCGAAGGCGGGGTGGTGCTGTCCGGCTCCTCGCTGCACGAGTCCCCTTCGTCAGAGAGCTTCCGCTTCCGGCCAGACGCCTGGGGGGGAGGGGAGTGGAAGTCTTTATTTTTATATATACAGTGGTACCTCGGGTTACATATGCTTCAGGTTACATACGCTTCAGGTTACAGACTCCGCTAACCCAGAAATAGTACCTCGGGTTAAGAACTTTGCTTCAGGATGAGAACAGAAATTGTGCTCCGATGGCGCAGCAGCAGCGGGAGGCCCCATTAGCTAAAGTGGTGCTTCAGATTAAGAACAGTTTCAGGTTAAGAACAGACCTCCAGAACGAATTAAGTACTTAAGCCGAGGTACCACTGTATACCATATTTTTCACTCCATAAGACACATTTTTTTCTTCCTAAAAAGTAAGGGGAAATGTCTGTGTGTCTTATGGAGCGAATGAGTAGTCCCTGGAGCCAAATTGCCCAGGGGCGAAAAGCAGCTCATGCCTTTTTTTTTTTTTTTTTTTTTAAAGAGGGAAGTGGGTGTTGAAACAAAACTGCTGATCGTTTGCCGATCGGGGAGAGAGATAAGGGACCCTAGGGATAAAGGAGGCTGCCTGGGAGGGAGGAGGTAAAGACAGCAAACTTGCAAAGCGGGGAAACAGGAAGACTAAAGCAATGAGGAGAGAAATTAGAAGAAAAGGAGGAGCAAAAAACTGTTCCAGCTAAGGAAAAGACACTAAGGCAAACAAGAGGGAAGGGAGTGTTGAAAGGAAACAGCTGATCGATGGGATCAGAAGAGAGATAAGTGACGCTAATGGAGGCTGCCTGGGAGGGAGGGAAGTAAAAGCCCATGGATCCTTAGGATTTTTGCATTGGGTCATCCGAAATTCACCATCAGATCACATGTCTGTGGCCACAGCATGAACCACAAAAATCACACATCCACTGCTTCGTTCAGAATATTTTTTTCTTGTTTTCCTCCTCTAAAAACTAGGTGCGTCTTATGGTCAGGTGCGTCTTATGGAGCGAAAAATATGGGGTGTATGTGTGTATATATACACACACACAGAGAGATGATAGATAGATAGATAGATAGATAGATAGATAGATAGATAGATAGATAGGCTTGGTGTCTAGCATGCCGTAGGGCTGATCCTGCTAGCCATGCAAGCAAGAATAACATTATGAGCATCTTTGCGGATAAAAACCAAGAGGCAGCGGAATGGTTCTAGTCCTCAGGGCTGAGCAAAGGGGTGGTGGGGTAGACCTGGGGAGGTGTGTGACAAAGATTCTGGATGCAGAGAGGAACTGAACCCTACTGGGCAGTACAATCCTGACCAGGTGCAACAGCAGGGATCATAGAGTTTGTAAATTAAGAGTTAACTCTGTTGTCAGAATGGCAGCCCATGGTCCGTGTAGCTCAGCACTGCCTGCAGTGAGCGGCAGTGGCTCTCCAGATTTTCAGACAGGGAGTGTCCCCTGCATGCCAGGCAAGGGCTCAGTCACGGAAGAATCCACCCTCCCTCAAAAGAAAAGCAAGATTCTAGTCCTCATGCAGGGAAATAGCAACATGGGAAGTGGTTTTGCATCGAGTCTGACATTTGCCACCCCCTGTACCTGCGAGTTCCTGGCACCCATGCGGGTGATCAGCACCTCTTGGCTGCGGGTCTCGTCGGTCACCTTGATGCCATGACGCACCTCGATGTGTTTCTCAAGGATGAGGCGGCTGCTGAAAGTCCGCTTGCCTTCCGTGCAGTACCTGGGGTAGGAGGAGGAAAGGGGGAGCAGTGAGAGGCCAGTAGAGACGGTGTGCCGGCCTGGAAAGGGAAGGGAGGTGGGTTTATATCTTGATTTTATTCTGTGAAGCACCCTGAGCCCCTCGGGCATAGGGTGCTATATAAATTCAATAAATAAAAATAACAGACAGAAGGCTGTTCTGGACAGTGGTGGCTGCATTACAAAGTGCTTCAGAAGTAGGCTGGGAAGAGAAGTGCAAAGCTCAGAGTGCAGATGAGGAGCTTCTGTTCCCCTTACAAAATCTAGATCTGTAAGTTCATTGGGGCAGGGCCTGGCACTCTCAGCATCATCTCTCACCCCACTGCTGCCCACTGTGTGTTCTGTACTTTTCGTCAGGACTTCTGTGACAAACGTAGCTGAGGGCATTTCACAATTCTGCACAAGTTATGGGATTCACCTTGGGGTGCTGAGAAGTCTTGAATTGCTTCCAAAACAAGTTTATTGTCTTCAGGACGTGGTGGGGATATCTCCAGCAGTCTCCACTCTACCCCTTCCCTGTTCTGTCAACCCTTGACAAAAATTACCTTAAAATCATCTAAAATCTTACCACCAGGGCAGCTGAATCAATTCCACAGAAGCAAACATAAACACATACTGCCTGATTTTGCAGCAGAGGGCGCAACACACCCACAGGAAAGATGGAGTGCGTGGACACACACACACACACACTCTATGTGCTGCCTGACTCGCCAACCAGCCCAGAGGCCAGGAGGATGGGCTCCTTCCATACCGGCAGGGGTAGACACGTTTGATGCCCTCGTGGTTCACACGGACGTGTCTCCGGAGGCTGGGGTAGGAGCAGAAGGATCTCTCGCACAGGTGGCAGGGGAACTTCTTTACGCACTGTGGGGTGGAGGTGGGGGGCAGGGGGCCACAGAGAAGAGAAGCCACAGAAAGAAACTCAGGTCAAAATAAGTGCAAATGTCACCACCAGCACCTCTGCCCCAAAGCCCAACCCCTCAAGTCCTCTAAACCCAGCATCCGCAAGGGCAATCTTTTTTGCTGCAATTCTCCCCTCTGCTTCCATCCCACTCCCTGTTAGCTCTTGGAGGGGCAGAGACCTGCCTCGTACCTGATTCAGTACCATGCAAAGGGAAAGAGGGGAGTTGTCATCCTTTTGAGGTATCCCCCAGCCCCTGGCCAAATTCTGTGCAACTGCCATAAAACTTAGGGAACAGGCTGTACTACCAAAATGATTAAGGTTTTAAATGACAATTTTAGGTTATATTTTAGTGATCAAGATTTAATATACATTTTTAACTGCCGCTATATCTGAATTGTCTGTTATATCCAACTGCATTTCAATGTATTCCTGTTGTGTTTTATGATTTTCCTGATATTGTAAGTGAGCTGGAACTGGTCTGTGACCGTAATAATAAAATTCTATCCCCAAGCCCCTTCATTTTCCTCCTGTGTCTTTTGAGTTTTAGACTGTAAGCCTCCTCGGGGCAGAGACCTGTTCCTCTGTTCTTAGCAGAGCACACAGAGGGGCATGACATTATAGGAACGAATGAGTTTCCTCGGCCATGAAATTCTGTCCCTTCTGACTCGCAGGTGCCACTCAAGGTACTCCCTGTGCCTTTTAAAACCAGAGATGCTGGTGACGATCTCCCTACCCTTGCTATCATCCCACTGCCGCCTGCCGCTCCTCCCTCACCTTCCCGTGAATCTTCTTCATGTGCAGGACGTACTCGTCCCTCTCCGGGAACCAGGAGTGGCAGATCCCGCAGGTGCAGCCGTTGCTCCGGGAGCGCCCTCCGCCCTCCGACTTGCGCTGGAAGCGGCCTCGCTTGCTCTTCCGCAGCTCCGGGGAGCTGGGCGGCTCCTCATCTTCTGAAGAGGACGACGATGACTCCGAGAGCTTGGAGACGGGCGGCGGGGGCTCCTCTTCGGCCGGCTCCTGCTTGGGGGTGAGCGGGGCAGCAACTGGCTTCTTGGCGGGGTCCTCTTTGGGTTTCTGGGGCTGGTGGGTGCTCTGGCGCCGGGAGGGAAGGAGAAGCAAAAGGTTCAGAGAAGGGCAACAAAAACCACCGAGGGGTGGAGCGGATCCCCTATGAAGAATGGTGGCAGCTTCTGAGGACTTTTCAGTTTGGAGTCAAGGCGAGTTAAGGGGCGAAAGGATAAAGATTTATAAAATGATGTACGGCATAGGGAACGTCTTTCCTCCCTCTCTCCTAATACTAGACCTCAGGAACGTCCAGTGAAGCTGAACGTTGGAAGATTCAGGATAGTCAAAAGAAAATAATTCTTCACAGAGCACATAGTTAAAGTCAGGAGGCCGTGATGGCCACTAGCGATACGATACAATAATCTTTATTGTCATTGTCCCATACAGAACAACGAAATTGAAAAATCTACATAAGACATTCAAAACCCAGCAAACTTGCTATCCCAACTATCCCAACCTGGTTAGCCACTAAAACTCTGATACTCCATTTTTAAATATAATATACTCCCGTACAGACTCCTTACAATGCATTTAAAACCAAAATCACATTTGGATAGAAACTGTTTCTCAGGCGGCTAGTCCTAGTCTTTATAACCCTGTACCTTCTTCCAGAAGGCAGAAGCTGAAATAGATCATTTCCGGGTTGCGCACTATCCTGCACTATCTCTGCAGCTTTCTTATGGCACCTGGAAGCATAGATGTGATCCAAGGTGGGCAGAGTGCACCCAATTATTCTCTCCGCAGTCTTTACAACATGGATGGCTTCAAAAGAGGATTAGGCAAATTCATGGAGGAGAAGGGTATCAATGGTTACTAATCATGCTGACTGTTCTCTGCCCCCATGGTTAGAGACAGAAATCCCACTTGCTGTAAACTACAGGAGAGGGGAGGGCGCTCTTGTGGTTGAATCCTGTTTGTGTGTTCCCCGCAGGCATCTAGTTGGCTACTGTGAGAACGGGTTGCTGGACTAGACAAGCCACTGGCCTGATCCAGCAGGCTCTTCTTACGGTCTTAAGAGAAGGTGGCTGGACTGGTCAACACCATTTCCCAGCTTCACTTCATGGCTGGGCAGCAGGCGAATGGAGGGGCTCTTTGCATGCAAGGCAGACGCCCTGCCAGCTGCACCCCTTCCCCAAAGTTAAGTCTCTCTTCTGAGATCTGAGCAGCTCTTGCTCACTCTTCCAACCTTATCTTTGTAAACAAGAGGACCAGTAATTTCCCTCTCTCTCTTTTTAATGAAAGCTGCAGTGCTTGGGAGCCAGGATTTTGCAGCCAGTGGCTGTAAGGATTAGAAGGAATGAAATCTATAATTCTCAGGAACCTGAAAACAGTATCATATTCCTTTTCTGTGCTGTTGCTGTGGTATACTGCAACACACATGCAGTTCCTGCCTAGAGTGCTATTCCCCAGAGCAGAGGTCGGCAAAAAATTTTTGGGCCAGTCCACTGTCCCTCAGAACTTGTGGCAGGCCAGAGAAGCGGCGTGGGGGGGGGGGCTGGAAGAAGAAGCGAGGTGGGCAAGTTCTCCTCCTCTCCACCCTCCACCTCCAGCCGCTGTGCTTACCTTCCCTGGGGCTGCCACCGCCGCCACCACCACCGCTGTTGCTTCTCGTGGGTAGGCAGAGGGAGCTCATCCGCTCCGCTCTGTGGCCTACAGGAGTACCAGGGTGGTAGTGGCAGAGGGAAGATGAACGGTGCGAAAGGGCTGGCTCCAGAGAGGGGCTGCTTAAAATGGTGCTCAGACAGCTCCCTTCCTCCTCTAGGCAGGGAGAAGCCAGGAGGAAGGAGGGAGGAGGCGCTGCTGCGGGTGTTTGTGTGTGTGTGTGGTGTGAAATGGAATTGAATGGCACAGGGGGGAAAAGGGGCAGCCCGAATGACCAGAATCCCTACGCTGATCCACTGACAGTCCGTGGGCCAGATCCTGAAGGCAATTGGGCCTGATCCGGCCCGTGGACCTTAGTTTGCCGACCCCTGTCCTAGAGGGATGAAATCATTTCCTTCTCCCTGTTGGATTGATGGCTCATGCTACCCATTCCCAAAGTAAGTGAAAACATCAAAGGTGGAACTAGACTAGGTGTGGGGGAAAAGGAAGTGAGAAATTACCGATTTCCCCTGTGTCCCCCCCACCCGCCAACTCTTCCCCTTCTGCCCCACAAGGCCACTCACCTTCAGGTGCTCCAGCATCGTACGCTTCTGGGCGAAAAGAAGAGGGCAGTCGGGGCACTTGAAGACGCTGACCCTCTGGTTGAGCAGGTGCTGGTCGAAGTGGGAGGAGAGCAAGGGCTTGTGGGTAAAGACCGTGTCGCACATGGCACACTTGAAGATCATCCTGGAGAGGATGAAAGGGACAGGAGGGCTCTCAGGAAGGAACTGACCTGCTGTGCGGCACCAATGTCTAGGCAACACGATGACCATATACATACGTAATAGAAAATCTTTATAGAATTCCTTCAAATCATAAAAAGTTCAAACTGAAATCTTTAGTCTCAAAAACTTTAGTCTCTGAAAAACTTTAAATGAAGCGAGGTACCAAACTTTAAAGCGAGGTACCAAACTTTTATGAAGCATTCTATATCCACCCAGAACGCTGATGAAGAATTCTACGAAACAGTAGTCAATATCCGGTATTACTGTTCAGTGTTGGACATCACTGTTGAATACACAAAGCTTCACAGCTTGTCTTCCACTGTACAAAGTCTGGTACCTCGCTTCACTTAAAGATTTTCAGAGACTTTGAGACTAAAGATTTCATTCTGAACTTTTTATGATTTGAAGGAATTCTATAAAGATTGTCTATTACGTATGTATATGGTCATCGTGTTGCCTAGACGTTGTTGACGTTCTCTTTGCAACACAGGGGTTTGTTTGGATACTTATTGCTGCTCTGCGGCACAGCAGGAATCAGCCGGGGTGCAAGACAAAATAAGAACCCGGGAGGCACCTGCTGGGTCAGGCCAATGACCTGTTCTCACAGCGGCTGAGCAGACGCCTCTTTTGGGAAACCCACAGGCAGGATTCAAGCGGCAGAGCCCTCTTTCCTCCTGCAGCTTCCAGCAACCAGGATTCAGAAGCATCGCTGCCTCAAACTGGGGAGGCAAACGGGTAGCCTCTTCTCAGTGAATTTGTCTAATTCTGTGGGAGGGAGTTCCGTCGTTTTAACTATGCGCTGAAATGAAGTAGTGCTTCCTTTTCTCCGTCCTGAATTGGGGTGTAGGACAAGGTGAGGTTCTGGCTAGATGCAAGGCCGGGTTCAGGCTTTGCTCTGAGGAAACCCAGAGCTCTGAAGCCGTTCCAGCAATGGAGAAACTGAAACCGACAAGCCTTTTTATAGGAGTAGCATCCGGCGCAGCCAAATTGTTAGGACCACCTGTGCTTCAATATGCTCTTTTGCTCAAAAGGGGCCTGGGCTTCTCTAGGAGCCTCCCACTCCAGCAGAGGGAAGGAGGCTCAGGGCTTGCACACAAAATGGCAAGGCCACATGTTTGGCCCAGGGCGCCACTGTCCCCACCACACATCTGGCTGCACCATCTCTGGGTCTGTGTGCCCTTCCTGCAGATTAAGAGTCTTTGCCTGTGTCACCGGATGAAGAAGGGTCTGGCTCCTGGTCCCAAACAGGTCGGAGGGGCTGGGGAACGCTTGTTCCTGCGGCTCAGAAGGCCAAGAAGAAGCCCTGCTTCCCCTATGGGAGAGTTTCGTTTTTTGTTTAAACTATTTACTTTGTGCTTTCATCCTGCATTTTTACCTTGAGAACTGCCCTGAGATCTTCAGATGAAAGGAGGTATATAAATTTAATTAATAACAACCACAATAATAATAATAATAATAATAATAATAATAATAATGAAATAGATGTGATGGCTCTGCCCTGCCTCCATGGTTGTTTGGTTGTAAGTCACTTTGGGTTGCCTTGGGCAAGATAACGCGACTAACAAATTTAATAAATTAAATTAAATTAAATTAATGCTTCTGAACACCAACTGCTGCTGTGCTTGGGTCCTGCTTCTGGGCTTCCTATTAGGGCATCTGGCTGGCCATGCTGAGAACAGGATGCTGGACTAGATGGGCCCCTTTCTGGCCTGATCCGGCAGGGGTCTTCTTACATCTTCTTATGTAAAGTCCATCAGCTGGAGGCCCAAAGGCCCCCTCCCCATGATCAAGCCCTCCTTTCGCTCTAGTCATTTTTTTGACAGACACACAGGGTTGTGGCCAACTACCGTATGTCCCACTCACAGTAGAGTTGCGCCCATTAATTTCAGTGGTTCGCCTCTGAGTAGCGCTAGCAGTGGACACAACCCAGACAAACACACACACACACACACACGCCATCTCACTTGGACTGCTGGTTGCTGAAGCCTGGGTGCTGGGTGTAAATATGGGCATGAGCGCTGGGGGCTGATTTGAATGCCATGGGGCAGATGGGGCACTTGTGGAAAACCTCGCAGTGAGACGTCTGGATGTGGGACTTGATGGAGTTCACTCCGCCAAAGACGACCGAGCAGCTCGGGCACCTGAGGACGAGAACCGGGAAGTCTTACTGATCAATACACCTAGCTGCCCATCACTAAAAACATTCCCTGGGCAGCATACCAAAACAAAACAATGATTAAAACTGCAAAACGTGATCATTAAAATCAACAATAAAGGCATAAAAGGTTGCAGCCGATGCTCTGAGAAGACCCACTGAAATTAATAAATCTAAGACATTGTTATTTATGCATGCCAAATTATATCCATTTTGATTAAACGTTACGGTTAACGTATTACTACTTTTGGGCTGTTACTATGTTTTGAACAGCTCTGGGTACCAAATTTGTAGTCTAAAAATAGCAATAACAACCTTCATTAACAACAATGGGTCTCCTCTGCATTGGAAAGACCCCAAAGGAAAATCTTCCTAGCAATAAGAGGGGGCAGCCTGGTTTCAAGACACAGACACACACAGAGAGAGAGAGAGAGAGAGTGAAGGGAAAAGTATTCATTTTTGCTGATGAGACCACACAGAAGGTGGCACGTGAGCCTCTCTGGGGAGGCTGACTGAAAAGGACCTCTCCTTGGGAGCTACCTGCCTTCCTTACTTGGTGGAAATGACCAGAGGAAGCTTTGGAGGGGAAAAGCAGGGCCATTCCATTTGACAGTAAAAGTTGGCATCCCAAGTTAAGGACTGGCTGGAAAAAGCCCTCCAAACAGTATCAAAGGTTCTCGCAACCTTCTCCTGCGGCAGGAAAAAGTTCTTAAGAAAACAACCACTTCCAAGGCCATAAACTGGAAAATATGGTGTGATGGCAGCTGAGCCCCACTTCCTGAGTTCTACCTGGATGTTGGAGAAAGGGAAGAGGCCCATCCTGCCAGGTCCTGAACAGAATAGATGGCCCAGCCTTCCTGCTCCCCCATGACAAAAAGACAGAAGGGCCAGGGGGCACTGAGTGGAGATGATCTGAAGGCAGAGGAGGCCTGGGCCTGGTAAGCGAATGGAAATGAATGAGAATACAGTGGTACCTCGGTTTACGAACTTAATCCGTTCCGGAAGTCCGTTCTTAAACAGAATCCAGAAGTCAGTTCTTAAACCGAATCCGTTCTTAAACCGAGGTGCGCTTTCCCTAATGAGGCCTCCCACTGCCGGTGCCCTTCCACCGTTCAGATTCCGTTCATAAACTGAGGCAAAGTTCACAAACCGGAACACTACTTCCGGTTTTGCGGAGTTCATAAACCAAATAGTTCTTAAACAGGACTGTTTATAAACTAAGGTACCACTGTAATAATAATAATTGGTGACTACTTGGGAACCATATGTACAATGCCACCAGGTTCCATGATGGAAGAAAGGCATGGATAAATAAGTAAGGGGGTGGAGGAAAAAGCCAAAATATCGAGCCAGCATCTTAGGCTCCAACGCCACCCAGACATGGAACATACAATGATCAAAAATAAGAAGCGGGAGCTACAGCAAAGCTTGCTTAATTCTCACATCACCGTTTTGACCTCCACTCCATGGATGCCCTGCTCTGAAATCAGGGGTGAGTGGGAAAAGGGGTCCTGAGTTCAGATTCCTGCTTCAGCGGCCAAATCATTAAAACAGGAATTAACTTTATCCATGTTGGGCGACAGAACTAAAAAAAGGGGGGGGAGGGTCTGCCTTTCGGGTTTCCACTCACACTCAAGACACCCCTACCTGTAGCCTATCCTCCGGGAGAAATGGAGGCAGGCTTCCTTCAGGTGGGCCTCGAAGTTGGCCAAGAGGAAGTTCCCCCCGCACTCGGGGCAGACGTGAGGCGGGCAGTTCTTGTGCATGCGCTGGTGGGCGCCGAAGCTGCACCGGTTGGGCATAATCATGGGGCAGGCGTTGCACACCTTTGGGAAGGAGCAAAAAGAACGATTAATTTACATTGGCAGGCAGGGGGAGGGAGGGAAGGTGTAACGAGTGCTAACTCTGCCACTGGCAAGGAACCGCAGAAACTGTGCCCTGGAATCAGGGCTTTGCCAATGAAAGAATGGCCGCTCGGTGCCAAATCACCTGTTCAATCCTTGTTGCCTCCAGGTAGGTCTAGGATTGCCCTCTGCCCAAAACCCTGCAGAGCCGCTTCCAGTAAGTGAGGACAATACTCAGCTGAAGTGGGGGGGAAGACTCTCAACCTGACCTACCTCCCGGGGATGTTGTGAGGACAAGATGGGGGGGGGGGGGGGAGAACCTACATACACCATCTTGAGCTCCTTGGAGGAAAAAGTGGATCCACCCCCATCGTTCTGCCCGGACACTGAGGTCCAGCTCCGAGGGCCTTCTGGTGGTTCCCTTGCTACGAGAAGCCAAGTTACAGGGAACCAGGCAGAGGGCCTTCTCGGTGGTGGCACCCACCCTGTGAAACTCCCTCCCACAAGATGTCAAAGAGAAAACCAACTAACAGACTTTTAGATGACATCTGAAGGCAGCCCTCTTTAGGGAGGCTTTTAATGTCTGATGCATTACTGTTTTTTAATATTTTGTTGGAAGCCGCCCAGAGTGGCTGGGGAAGCCCAGCCAGATGGGCAGGGTACAAATAAATTATTATTATTATTATTATTATTATTACTACTACTACTACTACTACAAGGGCTATTACACGAAAGAGGGAGCAAGCTTGTTTTCTCCTGCTCTAGGGGGCAGGACTCAAACCAATGGCTTCAAGTTGCAAGAAAGGAGATTCTGACTAAAAATTAGGAAGAACTTTCTGACAGTGACAGCTGTTGGACAGTGAAAAGGTCTCCCTTGAAAGTCTCCTTCCTTACAGGTTTTTAAGCTGAAGGTGGGTGGCCATTGTCATGGATGCTTTAGCTGAGATTCCTACATTGCAAGGGGCTGGACTAGATGGGTCCCCCCAAATCTATCATTCTATGAAATGCCAATAATAGTAACAGAATACCACCCTGACAGCGTTCCGAGCGCCCTCACCGTGGAGGCGGAGGCTGTGGCTTGCTGGAAGTGGGCTGCGAGGCCGGCTTTGTCCTTGCAGGGCTCCTTGCACTCCAGGCACTGGCAGGAGTTGGTGGTGGCCTGCTCGGCGCTGCCGTTCAAGGGAAGGACGGGGGGGTCGTGCGTGGCCGCCCCGCTGGCTGTGCCTTCCTGGGCGACGGCGGCCGCGGCGGCCTTGCTGGCGTTCAGGGAGGCCAGAGAGACCAGCGGGGTGATGTCGGGCTGCCCGATCATCTGGTCCAGCGCGATGGGCCGCATGACCAGGTGGGAGCACTGCATGACCAGGCCCTTGTCCTTGTGCTCGCGGGCGTGGAGGAGCAGGCTGCACTTGTTGAAGAAGACCAGGCGCTTGGTGCAGTGGTTGCAGGTCACCTCGATGCGCATGCTGCGCCGGTCGTAGTGTCGCGCCAGGCTCTTCTCCAGGGCGAAGGCGTCTCCGCACTCCAGGCACCGGTACCCGAGCGGCGGGAGGGTCAGGCTGGAGTCTGCCGGGGGCGCCAGGTTGGGCTTGTACATGGGCAGCAGGTTCTTGCTGTTCAGGATCTTGTTGAAGGCCTCCACCAGGCTGGACTGGCTGCGGGAGATGACCGTGCCGGCCACGGTGGGCGAGGACTTCTGCGACTGCTGCATCACCACCACCGTGGTGCCGTTGACCTTCTGGCTGGGTCCGCCCGCCTGGGCCGCCGCCACGACGCCAGCCTTGGGGAGGGCCTGCGGCACCAGGCTGACGATGTTCTTGGCCATGGCCTTGCTGGGCAGCACCACTGCCTTCTGCTGGGCCACGCTGGCAGCCATCAGCATGGCGCTGCTGGCGTTCTGGATGGTGGAGACAGGCAGCACCGTCCCTTTGATCTTGGTCCCGTCCCCCAGCTGCACGCTGACTACTTTGGGCCCCTCCACAACCTTCACGGGGCTGGCGGCCACCGTTTTGGGGCTGGGAGGCCCCGCAGCCCCTTCTTCCTTTTCCGCAGAGGCGGGGGGCACGGGGTCCTCGGCGGGAGCGGCCTCTTGCGAGTCGTGGTCCGAAGGCAGCTTGGCGGCTCCCGGCTCCGTGTCGGAGGAGACCCTGGTGACTGTCCTGGTGATGCTTCCGGTCGGAGTCTTGATGGTCTTGATCCTCACTTTCAGGGGCCGCGAAGAATTGGACGAGGGGGAACCAGCACTCTCGTCCTCGTCCTCTTCCTCGCTGGACGCATCTGGCGGGCACTGCACAGGCTTCTCGATGGGCTCCTCCTTCAGGGTCCCGACGCTAGAATGTTTTGGGGAGGTGGAGGGCCCGGGGCTTGCTTCTGCCTCCGGAGGAGAGCTTTTGAACAGTGAGTCCCTGGGGCTGGAGGGAGAGTGCTTGACCTCTGGGGTGCTGTGGGAGCCGACGCAGAGGTTTGCGTCTGAGCCCGGCCAGGGTGCTATGGGGGAACCGTCTGTAGGGTAGCAAATAGAACCGGGCTTTGGGCGGCCCAGTGGACTGGCCCCCTGGCAGGGTGTCTCGCAATCGGATTCCTGTTTGATGGCTGGGGGCACCGGGGGAGCAGCAGGGGTTGGAGGGAGGCCCACACCTCCGCCGGCTGGGCATCCTTCAAAGGACTGTGGGAATGTTGGAGGGAGGGGCCCTGTGGCCTCCCCTGCCGACAGCTCGTGGCAGGCCAGCGGGGAGACCGAAGGAAGCACGTGGGGCGGGGAGAGGGGCCCCTTCTCCTTGGGCTTGCATTCTCGCGGCTGGTCAATGAGGTTAGCCTCACTGTCCTCAGGAGGGTCAGGGCTGAAATGGGAAAAGATGTCCAGGCTTTTGGCCCCCTTTTCTTTGGGGGTCCAACACTCTCCGTTGGCGGTGGCCACCCCTTCTGTGGGGCGCGTGGGGGAGGAATGGAGCGCCTCGGGGGCAGAGAAGCCGTTCTGCAGCAGGCGCGGCCCGACGACGTGGCTGTCTTTGACGCGTCCGTCCACGGGCTCCAGCTGCTCGGGGCAGACGGTGTTCTTCACTATGACGCTGACCGTGGTGATGTCGGCATGAGGGAGGATGTGTTCAGGGACCACCGTCTCCACAGGGATGGGCTTGATGTGTGCCTCCGCCTCCTCGTGGATGGCCTCGTTGGTGTCAATGTCGGGAATGTCAAAAGCCGCCAGGAGGTCATCAAAATCTGGGGTTTTCATGTCCCCCATGGCGAAGGATTCAGAAAGCTCTGGAAAGCAAGGAGGGAAAGGAAAACAGTTGCTCTTTCGTGGAAAGACAGGTAGCTCTCATGTTCAGAGACTTGGGTCCACCTAGCTCAGTAAAAGGTAAAGGGACCCCTGACCATTAGGTCCAGTCGTGGCCGACTCTGGGGTTGCAGCGCTCATCTCGCTTTATTGGCCGAGGGAGCCGGCGTACAGCTTCCGGGTCATGTGGCCAGCCTGACTAAGCCGCTTCTGGCGAACCAGAGCAGCACATGGAAACGCCGTTTACCTTCCTGCCAGAGTGGTACCTATTTATCTACTTGTACTTTGACGTGCTTTCGAACTGCTAGGTTGGTAGGAGCAGGGACCAAGCAACGGGAGCTCACCCCGTCACAGGGATTCAAACCGCCGACCTTCTGATCGGCAAGTCCTAGCTCTGTGGTTTAACCCACAGAGCCACCCGCGTCCCCTATCTAGCTCAGTAGTATTGTCTAAAACATTATTTCCCAAACTTGGGTCTCCAGCTGTTTTTGAACTACAATTCCTTTAAAAAATATATATTTATTTTTTGGTTTTTCAAAGATTTACAGACATACAAATTACAAAAACACAAATCACATATATTTCTAATACACATATAATTGACTTCTCCCCCCCCCTTTTTGTGGTTTCTTTTTACTTTAAATTTTCATACTGCATTTTCCACATCACTCCATCTTTAAGTTATTATTTAGTTCCTCTTAATAAAATATTTAACTGCTTGTTTTACATTAACCCTGCTTATGAGCTTCTTTGCATACATGTGTTCTTCAAATATTCCATAAATTTCCTCCAATCTTTAAAATCTTCTTCTTCTTGGTTTCTAATTACACCTATTGATCTTGCCATTTCAGCATAATCCATTAATTTAATTAGCCATTCTTCCTTGGTTGCTACTATATCTTCTTTCTATCTCTGGGCAAAAACCATTCTAGCTGTAGTTGTAGCATACATAAACAATTTTTTTGGGTCTTTTGGGATCTCAGTATCTAGAATCGCTAGAAGAAAAGCTTCTGGTTGTTGTTGTTGTGTTGTTGTTGTTTTTTAAAGATCTTATAACATTTTTTCCAATTCCTTACTAATAATTTCCCATAAAGCTTTTCCTTTCTTACAGGAACACCACATATGGCAGGAAGTACCTTCTTTTTCTTTACATTTCCAGCAGGTGTTTGATTTTGATTTATCCGTTTTTGCCAATCTGCTAGGAGTTAAATACCATCCGTACACAATTTTCATGTCATTTTCTTTCAGCGTATAGTACGCTGTAAACTTTAGGTCTACATCCCACAACTTCACCCATGCGGCCATTTCAATATTATGGCCTACAGTTCCTATAATCCCTGACCACTGGTCCTGCTAGCTAAGGATGATGGGAGCTGTAGTCCAAAAACAGCTGGAGACCCATGTTTGGGAAACACTGTTTTAAAAGAAAATATTCCATAAGCCGAAAGAATTTCCATTTCTCCAAAAGGAAAAAGGCTTGGGGGGAAATCCTCCATTCAAATGTGTACCCCACCCCACCAGCAAGGTCTTTGCATCTTTATCTATGACAAGGCTCCCCATACACAAAATGGGACAATTTAAACATTCCCCACCACTTTGTAACCCACCTGAACACATGAAGTGCCCAGTTCCCAGGCAAATATGGTCCTGGGGAACACACAACGCTAGCCAGATGGGGACACTGAGTCACTCCACTGGCCCAGCAACATTTGGCGCCTCTTCCCCTTGAACTTTTTCCATCCCAGTTGGTCACTATAACAACTTGTAACTAAACCAAACTTGCGCCTGAGCTTTTTCCCTCCTCCCTCCCAATCCACTTTTCCTTTTGTGCTGTGACTTTTTACAGATTGTGAGCCTGAGGGAGGGACTGTCTTCACATTGTTGTGTGGGGTTTTGGGGTTGTTGTTTTTTAGTGATTTGTAAACTACTATAGTAAGCTTTTTTGGTTGAAGAGCTGTTTTTTAAAAACCAATTAAGAAGTTTTGAGACAACCCAGTGAATGTTCTAGTTACTCCAAAATTCACTGCCTTCTCTAAGCTGTAATTAAATTGCCTCCTATAGTAGGGTTGGGTAGAACTTGTCAATAATATGCCACTGTTTGAGCATTTTATGTATTTTGCCCATTGATTTTAAATTTTCTGGTTTTAAAATGCTTTTATGGGTTGCATTTTTTCTTGGTCAATTCATTTTGAGAATTTTTCTTTGCATAAAACAACTGATAAATGTAATAAATAGTGACAGTAGTAGATATAATAAGAAATAGCTGAGTATGCATCCGTTTAGGCCTGGATGGGACACCACCGGAAGAACCACATAAATTGCTCTGAACTGCCTCTTTTCAATAACTATGCAGGATATATTAATTACAAAAAGTACAATAGGCAGATAAACAAAAAGCACTGAGCTTCAGGTACGCCAGCTTTCAAACTTCCTACGCAAAGAAACACCAAATCTGCTTTCTTATTATCTGCGCATGTTCTGTTGAGCCAAATCACAGTGACGCCTGTCCTGTCTCGTGTGGCTGTTATCAGTTTGGCAAAAGTCACCCTTGTGCAGGGACATCCTTGAGTGTGGCACTGAAGAAACTAAAACTAATGAAAGGAAAAAGCTGCGCGCTTGGACATGACCCTTTCGGCATGTGGAAAGACTCACACATTTTTTAAAAAGGAGAAGCGGGCAAGTTTCAGAGGCAGAACTCACGTGTAATGCGTGCCATGGTTTGCTTCATTCGAAACAAACCGTGGTGCAAAGAGACGGTTTGCTTATTATGGCTTACCAAATGTGGCTTATTTGGGGCAAAACATGGCTTGATGGCCGGTTAAAACTTGCTGCTGATCCCACCGGCTAGGGAAGAGCGTAAGAATAGGCAGTGATCTCAGCGCCCAGGGTAAACCATTAACTCTGGTGAAGTGACAATTGTTCGGCTTTCAAGAGGGAGAGTATTTTGCTTTCAAAGGGAATGAATGGGGCAGGCCCTGAGGGGCTGGTACTTAACCTGAAACTTTTCTTAACCTGAAGCACCAGCTAATGGGGCTTCCTGCTGCTGCCGCGCCGCCGGAGCCCGATTTCTGTTCTTATCCTGAAGCAAAGTTCTTAACCTGAAGCACTATTTCTAGGTTAGCGGAGTGTGTAACCTGAAGCATATGTAACCTGAAGCGTATGTAACCTGAGGTACCACTGTACATTTCTATCCCACCTTTCCTCCGAAGGTGGTGCACACAGCTGCCCACTTCTTTTTTAAATCGTACAACAACCCTGGGAGGTAGAGATGGCAACTTGGCCATGGCCAAATGGGGATTTGAACCCCCGTCTCCCAAGTCCTTGGCACCCCCACGCCTGAAGATGTGTTCTTGAAGCAAGATACGGTTGCTGACAGAAACCATAGACAGAAACCTCAGAGAAAAAAGCCAGGAATTCAAGATGGAGACGGGCTTGCTCAACCTGATAGCAACCTCGGCAAAAAAGCAAGCCAACAAAGGAATGCATCACAAAAGCCTATTTTGCTTCACGCTTTGGTGGGGACCGAGATATTGCTTCGGCGAATAAACAAGCCAATAAATATATTTTTTTATTAAAAAAAACCTCTTTTGTTCCGTGCTTCAGCGACCGAGACACTGAGGAAATCTTTCTCAAGCCAGGAGGCCAGAGAGGTGGCATTTTTGCTGAAGCCCTTTTAAAAATTTTTATTTTAGTTAGTTTCTGGTTTTCTCCAATTTGAGGGGTTATTTCAAGAAACCGCTATTTTGAAGAGAAAGGGTGGCAGTGGGGAGACGGCTTTTCCTTTTCCTTTCCTGACCGACAAGATATTTTCTTGCATGTATGTTTTACTTCTGAAGGGAGAGGAGATATCGGCTCAATTTTTCTGTCAGACAAAGCTTTCCCTGGGCATGAACTGGGGAAATGGCCTCCCGGGCCCCCCAGACCCGTCTGTCATGGAGGCCAACTGAAACGGCTGCTTTGCCCATAACTACGTGACACGAAGGGATCAGCTTCTGAGGGGGAGAAGGAAGGGGAGGGAAACGCTTTCACAAGAGGCCGACGGCCGCGTCTCCTGTTGTCCGAGGCCAGGAGAGCGTGGCTCACGATGAAAGGGAACGGGAGGCCTAGGACAAGGCCCAGACCAGGCCCCGGAGTAGGAAGCCTCTCCCCTCGTGTTGGCTTGCCGCCGGCATGGCAGGGGAAGCTTCCTCTGGGCAGAAATGGAGGAGGAAAGGCTTCTTCAGTGGGTTACGTTGCAGCAAGTCAGGCTGCTGTTAAAAGTGTCGAGGGGAAGAAGGCTGAAGGGAAAAAAGATGGCCGCCCTCCCGCTCCCTGGCCACCCTCCGCTATTTCAGCCTGTCTAAACGGTTTTAAAGCAAGCCCTTCTTTTAAACAAAATGTTTTGCTGCCTGAGGAATAGGCCTGGGGTGATTTGGGGGCGCTTCCAGGCAACCTGTTTTATTGAGCATGAGGGCAGTCTCCCTTCCCGCACCGTGACACAGGTTTGTTCACACATGACACAAAACACAGGCGCAAGTCTTTGCATGCGCTTACTGCGTGCACAGCTACACATGCGCACGAAAGCTTATACAGTGGTACCTCTGGTTGCGAATGGGATCCGTTCCGGAGCCCCGTTCGCAACCTGAAAGGAACGCAATCCGTGTCTGCGCACGCGCGGGTCACGATTTGTCGCTTCTGCGCATGACGTCATTTTGCGCATCTGCGCATGTGCAAGTGGCGAAACCCAGAAGTAACCCTTTCCGGTACTTCCAGGTCGCCGTGGGGCGCAACCTGAAAAAAACGTATCATGAAGCAAGCGTAACAAGAGGTATGACTGTCCCCAGAACAAACTTAGTTGGTCTCTAAGGTGCTACTGGACAATTTTTAATTTTTTAAAAAATTTTGACTCACAATGCGTTACATGCGAACAACTGTACGAGTGTGCCGGTTGACTCCATGGTACGCAGGCACACTCACTGAATGTGAACATCCCCAGGGAGACAATCCAACAGGTGAAGCTCACCCCTCTTTGCAACTCTTTTGCATTGGGAAAAGCCGCTCATGGTGAATTTCTTTTTCATAGCTGTTTGAAAGGCTCAGGAATTCTGCCAGGAAGGGGGAAATAAAAGGAGGCAACCCTAGCTGGCCCTGATGGTGTCATTAAAAAAATAAAATAAAATGCAACACGGTTCAAGATTCACACAAACACAAAGACTGCTTGATGATAATGACGCCCTCTGTGTCGCAGGGGGTTGGAATAGATGACCCTCGGGATCCCTCCCAACCCAACAATTCTATGATGCAGGGCTAAAGGTAGCCTTTGAATATCCAGTGTCACAGATATGATTTGGTGGGGTCCTTGAGAGAAGTGAGAGGGAGATGAGTTAAAAAGAGCAGCACATCACAAATCTCCCCCTCCAAGATCCATTTCTGACATACCCCAACCTGGAACTGCTAGCCAGCACTCGCAAAAGAAAACATAAAATTGTGTCCCCACCAACAACACACAACTCAGTACAGCTAAAGGCCATGCATCCTGCAACGTCAGAAAAGTATGGTATAGAAATTTAATTTTAAAAAAATCTATGGCCTTTTAATTAGGGAGGGGGTGCATTGTTTTTGTTTGTTTCTGTGTTATGTATTTTTGTGTTTTTCTACTGTAAACCGCCCTGTGATCCTAGGATGAAGGGCGGTATAGAAAATGAATTAATAAATTAAATAAAGTAACATGGTACAGGTCCCTAGACTATGCCACATTGAGGACGCCAGGTAAAGAGCCAATGGTTCTTCGCAAACCCATTGTGAAAAGTGAGCATGTCAGTACAAGGTGTGGGTCTAAAAAGAGAAATTTAAACTTGGGCGAACATTTGTTCTCTACCACCCTAGTTCTCTGATGACATAGTCCTGGGGAGAGGCCTGGACCTTATCATTGCCCCCTAAATATCCATCTCTAAGCCTGTAGCTTGTGGGTTATCAGTCTTACCTTCCCAAAAGCACTGAACACACCTTAAGCGCCAGACAGTGCTCCTTTTCAAAATGGCACCTTTTAAAAAAAGAAGAATTAACTCTGAACTTGGGGGCGTGAGCAGGCCTATCAGCAGGCAGTATAGCAAAATGGAGCCCCCATGTTTAGTAACAGTGTACAGTGGACGCTCGGGTTGCGATCAGTGCGGGAAACAAGTTCGCAACCCACAGCGCCCCGTCTGCACATGCGCAGGTTGGCGCTTCTGCGCATACGCCAAAACCTGGAAGTAACCCGTTTCCAGTACTTCCAGGTTCAGCATGGTGCGCAACCCGAAATCACGCAACCCAAAGCGTCTGTAACCCAAGGTATGACTGTACCTCAAAAAACCAGATTCTAGAAAGAAGCAGAGGACGGCCTCCCTGCCTGCCTGAAGCCACACCTATGGGTTTTTTAAGTGTAGAGGAGTGGTCCCTGGCTGTGCATCCACCACACATTTACAGGTCACTTGAAGCACATGGCTTCGCCCAAAGAAGCCTGGGAACTGTAGTTTGCAAAGGGTGCCGGGAACTGTAGATCTGCAAGGGATTAACTTCCGCTCCCAGAACTGGGCGGGGGGGGGCAGAGTGGGGGCGGGGAATGTGCTTTCCGTGCGCTTTGAATGCACTGCAGTCACTGTTTCAAACAGGATGCCGGCTGGAAGGAGGTCTCTATTTAGGTCTAGTTTCCAATGCACACTCAGGTTTCAGAAGCACACGGACAGGCAACGGACAGGCAACGTTAAGCACGGAAAACTTCTCGCTGCAATAGGGGGGAAAAGCAAGAAGGGCCCTAAGGAGTATGTGGGGCAGATACTCCTCCGCCCCACAGGAGGCTGGTGGGGGAGAGTAATGGGAAGATCTGCTTGGCGTTCCCCACCCTGCGAAGCTCCCAAGGAGCACCTGGGAATTGGCGGTGGGGAGGGGGAAGAGAGAAAGGGCGTGTTTGGTGGTTCCTCTCTGGTCAAGTGGCAGAGCAGGAGGAACCTGTTAAAAAGGCAGCACTAACCTTACGGAGGTTTTCCTGGAGCAGTGGGGCGGAGGAGCCGAGGGAGAAAAGGAATCAAGCAGGAACGGAGAGGGGGGGAAAGGGGGCGGACGTGGGCCTCCGGTTTCTGGCGACCGACGGGCAGGGGAGCCTGCGGCTGCTTCTCAGCGCAAGGGGGCAGGCCGCTGGGTTCCCAGCGTGAGCTCATGAGGTCAGGGCTCGACAGGGACAGCTGCGATGGGAGGGATGCCGGCGGGGGGGCGAGATCGAGCAAAACAAGCACCAAATTCCCATGGGAGCTGAGCGAGGGAGCAGGCGCCAGGCCTACCTTTGCCACGGCACATTCTCCTCCTCCTCTGCCAGCCGCGCTCTGCAACTTAGCAGGTAGGGCTCACGCCATGCGGCCAGGCCGGAAGCCGAGAAATTTGGCATAGATTTAGCTACCTTTGCAGAGGGAGGGAGGAAAAAGCCTTGCAGGTCTGCACAATTCACTGAGGAAGTGGGGGGGCAGCAATCACAACCGCCACCCTCAAGACCCTGGTCAGCAACTAGCGTTAACAGAAGAGCCTGGCTGCAGGATCAGGCCAAAGGGGGCCCTTTCTAGCACAGCACCCTGTTTTCACAGCGGCCAAATGCCCCGAGGAACCTAAGATAGACTGCCCTTGGACCTGGAGGTTCTACACAAATAGCCTTGTTGGATCGGGCCAGAGGGGGCCGGCATCTGCTGCAGCAGGAAGCCCGCAAGGACCCGAGTGCAAATCTCCTCTCCTGTGATTTGCAGCAAGAGTCATTCAGCAGCATTTGGTGGTTTTGCCCACCAGGACTGGGCCTCCAAGAAAACGAAGTGTTTTAGGCCAAGGCCCACTGCCACACCCGGTTTTGCCTCTGGGGCTGTGTGGAGGGGCACACGGCAGCAACAGTCAGGAGAGGTGTGGGGGGGGGACCTGAGCCAGTGGCAGTCAGCTGCAGACCCTCTGAACCAAAATAAAGGCAGGTTTAGGAAAGGTTGCCCAAACACAGCGGAGGAAAATGAGGCAGCCTGGTCAAAACTTCCTTTGGGAAAGGTGAAATACGCGCATTCCAGCCTAGCATTCGCATAGTCATAGATTACATCGGATTCGAAACCTGCGGGACCAGAGATTCTTAGAAGACTGGAGTAAATATATGAATTATTTGAAAAGTAATTGTGATGAACAGATTATGCTAGTAGGTTTGCAAGGTGGGCTATTCTAAATATTGCAAGGAAGACTATGAGAAGAACTATTAGTTAACGATAATTAAGAGTAATAGAGAAATTAAGATATGCAGAATAAGTGATAAAGAACTGAAAATCATCGGAGGTGTTGACGGAAGTCTAAAACATTGTATAAGATGAAAGTTATGTTATTTGACTGTTGGAACTGATATGTTAAAAAACCAATAAAAATGTATATATATATAAAAAGATTACATCACCTCGCCCCCCAAAAAAAAATAATTCAGTGAGCCCCCTTGTGAGGAATGGGGGGTGGGAAAGACGAATCGGGGCTGCCCTGCCTTTCAAGGCTGGTGTAACATTAATAGTTTTGAACACAGTTGTACAAAACTAGTACACTTGTACACAAAGTCTGACTACATGCCCCCCCCAAAAAAACCTTAAAGAGTAAGTTAGTAATCTGCCTCAGGCAACGCCCAAAAAATTCAGGCCACTCTCCTTCAGCTTAACCTACCTACAGGGTTGTTGTGAAAATAATATTCATAGCTGGACTGGATCTTTAGATTCTGACAATTCCCGGATGGTGGTATGCGAGTCTGTGCACACACAAAGGTAACTTTTGTATTCGTACTACTGGCAAGCTAGTTGTCCCCCATCTTATATTTGTGCAGCTGTTATTTCTGTCTAAGTGCAGGACCTAACATTTGTCACTACAGTCATACCTCAGGTTACAGACGCTTCAGGTTGCGTTTCTTCGGGTTACAGACGCGCTGAAACCCGGAAGTATCGGAATGGGTTACTTCTGGGTTTCGGCAGTTGTGCACGTGCAGAAGCGCCAAATCGCAACCCGCGCTTGCGCAGACGTGGTGTTGCGGGTTGCGAACGTGCCTCCCGCACGGATCACGTTCGCAACCCGAGCGTCCACTGTACTGAAATTCATTTTGCTAGTTTTAGCCTACTTCTCCAATCTATGAAAGTAATTTTGAATCCAGATTCTGTCTTCTGCAACATAAGCTACCCATCCCAGTTTGGAGTCACCTGCAAACTTAGATGAACATCCACTCAATTCCTTTGCCCAAGTCATTTATAAAGACATCATTGAACACCAACAGGCCCAGGACAGAACACTGTGGCACCCCACTCATCATTTTTGGATGATGGGGAACTATTTGTGAGCACTCTTTGGGTTCAGTCAGCCAGCTACAAATCCACCTAACAGTTACCTCATCCAGCCCACATTTTTCTAGCTATATTATGGCAGACTTCATAAAAAGCCTTACTGAAATCAAGATATACTACATCCACAGCATCCCCCTGATCCACCAAGCTTGTAACTCTATCAAAAAAACAAAGAAATGAGTTTGGGCTGCTTCTTCTTCTTTGCATTGTTTATTTTATTTTAACCAGATTGGGCATTGCTTTCTTTTCAGGTGAAGACAGAGTCAAAGAAGGCATTGGGCAGTTCTGCCTTCTTTCTGCCATCCAGTAGCATTTTTCTGTCTTTTCCATGCAGAGGACCTACCGCTTGCTTGTTCCTCTTGCTTCTAACATAGCCAAAGAAACCTTTTATTCTCATTATTTTTAACCTTGGAAGCCTGAGCTCAGAGCAGCTGTTCCAAACTATCTGGTGCATTACTGCAAAAGGGAATGAAAGCAGCCATCTTCTCTTTTAACAAGGGTTGGTGGCTTTTATCCCAGTTTCAAAACCCCTTTACAGTTCCTTCAATATCTCCAGGAAGCACCTCTAGTCCAGGCACTGGAGTAGACTAATGTCTCTTCAAACCTCGCTGTTATCATTCAGCAAATTAAAAAGCCAGGCTAACTCATCATTAAACAGCTGGAGGGGGCCTGATTCCCACTGCAGAACTTAATCTATTTTTAAAAAATATGTTTATCCTGCAATTAGTACAAGATCACACAGCTGTGATCGATCCTAGGTGTCATGGACTTTGAAGAAGCATGAACTCAGGACGTAAGGGTGAAACGAGCTGAGACAAAGGCACATTTGGCAAACCCTCACTGTGATCAACTCCAGCCCGGAAACCTATGTCCTCACTGTGGAAGGACGTGTGGATCCAGAATTAGCCTCCACAGTCACTTATGGACACACGGCTAAAACTGTGTTCATGTAAGACAATCTGACTCGATCACGAGTGATCGCCACAACTACCCTGTGAGGTAGGTTGGGCTGAGAGTTAATGACTGGTCCAAGGCTACACACAGTGAGTTTTGTGGCCAAGTGGGGATTTGAACCCTGGACTCTCCCAGTTCCCTAGTCTCTAGCCATTACACCACACACTGGGCCTCTATGTTAGGGGCGAAAACTCCCATCAGCCCCAGGCAGCAGGGGGCTGGTGGGAGTTGTAGTTCAAGACATCTGGAGGGCGCCAGGGCTAGCTAATTCTTCCAGTTGCCTTGGAAGGCTGAGCAATCCTGTAATCCAGTGGTTCTCAACCTGTGGGTCCCCAGATGTTGTTGGACTACAACTCCCATCATCCCTGAGCCCTGGTCTTGCTAGCTAGGGGTGATGGGAGTTGTAGTTCAACAACATCTGGGGACCCAATGGTTGAGAAAGGCTGCAATCATTCACAGTGACCTTTTCATGCACACACAAATACATGCACTATTTGGATGTTCTGAGCACACTGCAAAATCAGAACAAGTTCAGATTAATAGCAAGCAACTGACACAGGTTATTGTCCCAACAACAATAAAGAAAGGAAATTAAAGTAATGTTAAGAGTGTGTGCACACATGTGGTGTGTGTGTGTATGTGTGTGAGAGAGAAAATCACTCAGAGAAACAAACCTAGCCACCTCCCTTTTCAGAAGCTACCTTGGGGTGGGGGTTAATGCAGAAAAGAACCCACCAGGCCCAGCCATTTGAGATTCCAGCAGGATATCTAAAGACCTATCAAGGAAAATCAGCATCTAAAAAATCAGGGGCTGTGAAAGGAAAGGGGTATTCTTCCAAGCCATCGCCTCCGATAGCCGGACCTCCTCTTAAAGATTTTAGGTTTAAATACAGGCATTGTTGGGTTAAATGCGGGACAACTACCCACCCAAAAGGAAGCATTGTCATCGCAAATTAGCTTTCATTCTTCTCCTGAATGAAAGTGGGGGGCTTACGCTAATGCAGAGAATGCAATATATATCCAGAAGGCAGCTTCTAATAAGGCTTCCTTTCGGCCTTTTGAGTTAGTTGGGGAAAGGGAAGGCTTTGTGTGGCCTACCCTCCACTGCCTGTTGCTTCCCACCCCACCTGCTAGGAACAGCTGCACAGCATGGGCCCCAACTCCCGTGGGGCACGTGTGCGCAGTGGGGCTCTGGTGCTGAGCATGGAGGTTATGTAGCAGCTGGCCCAAGGCACAGGAGAATGGCAGACCACGGTGGTTCCCCAGAGACTCCAATTTCCTCCCTCCTTCACCCCCTATATGAGGCCAATAAAAATCCCCCCTTGCTCATTCTGACTGTAAGCTCCTTATGGACAGAGACCTAATGCCCTTTTGTTGTTGCTGTTGCTGCAGTTGTTTGCACTCAAGTTACACGTGTGCGGGACGCGGGTTAAACCACAGAGCCTAGGGCTTGCCGATCAGAAGGTCGGTGGTTCGAACCCCCGCGACGGGGTGAGCTCCCATTGCTCGGTCCCTGCTCCTGCCAACCTAGCAGTTCGACAGCACGTCAAAGTGCAAGTAGATAAATAGGTACCGCTCCAGCGGGAAGGTAAACGGCATTTCCGTGCGCTGCTCTGGTTCTCCAGAAGCGGCTTAGTCATGCTGGCCACATGACCCGGAAGCTGTACACCGGCTCCCTTGGCTAATAAAGCGAGATGAGCACTGCAACCCCAGAGTCGGCCACGACTGGACCTAATGGTCAGGGGTCCCTTTACCTTTACCTACATGTGTGCAATAAAACCACACAGGCAGCTGCCTTAGACCACGTCAGACCATTGGTCCATCTAGCTCAGTGGTGTCTACACTGACTGGCAGCAGCTCGAGGGTTTCAGGCAGGAAGTCTCTCCCCAGCCCTCCTTGGAAATGCCTTCGGGGACTGAAACGTCTGCAAGCAAAGGCAACAATGCTCCATCACTGTGCTACAGTCCTTCCCCAAAGATTCCAGTAAGCTTCCAGTCCTCGTGGTTCTGAACAAAGGACTGGTTTAAACAGGGACACATGAAGCTGCCTTTTACTGAGTCAGACCTAGCCCAGTATAGTCTACACTGACTGGCAGTGCGTCCCCAGGATTTCAAACAGGGAGTCTCTTCCAGCCCAGCCTGGAGACGCCTTTGGGGACTGAGCCAGAGTCCTTCTGCAATCCAAGCAGGTACACTACCACCAAGCTTACTCCAGAGGGAAGGGTAAACGTGCCAACGATGGAAATAGATTTCTCTCTCTCTCTCTTTCTCTCTCTTTTTTAAAGGATTTAAACAAACAACCAACACCGATCGCCCGGCCCGGGAGGCAGCGATGGACGGACGAGCCCAGCTTTTTTCATCTCAGCTCGCAAAGCAAGACGCAACACGCCAGGCGAGGCTTGGGGAATGGACAAAAAACAACAAACAAGGCCTGGGACGGAGGCCTGGCAAGGAGGCCGCTGTGGCAACCTCAGCCCTGGCTGCAAAAAGGGGCAGAGTCAGAGGCGGGGAAAGCCATTCTGCAAGAGCTTTGCAGCGCACAGGGATCGGCTGGAAAGAGCTACAAAACCTGTTAGGAGTTCATCCTGTCTTCTTAGTCTCTCCCTTGGCATTTTGGGAGTGGAGAGGAGTATTCGGAGGGGAGGAGGCTGTTTTGAAGATCACTGAAACTCAGGAGACAACCTGGGGTGCCCATATCTGCTCCTGGGCATTTGAGGCCGAGCTCCTGAGATGAAGGCCTCAGCTCAGGTAAAATGTCCCACGTTCAAGCCCTGGCATTGTTGGGCAAGATCCATACCAGAAACCCTAGAGAGGCACTGCCAGCCAGTGTAGGCAGCATGAGCTAGAAGGACTAAAGGTCTGCTTCTGCAGTAAGGCAACTTCCTACAGTACAATTGAAAGCCAGCCATTCATTCACAACCCTGAGGACTAGAATCTTACTTCATCTTCAGGAGAAGCCTTGTGGGAGAGCGACCACCTTGCATGTAGAATATGAGTTCAATCCCAGTGGCATCTCCAGGCAGGACTTCCTTCACCCTGGAGATACTGGTTGATGGGGCTAATGGGATTTGGGAGTCCCAACAACATCCAGTGGAGGGGCACAAAAGCAGTCCCCGCCCCCCGGTACAGAAGGCAGCCAAGGTGGGCAGAAGGGCACTTGGAGATTATTCAGATCAGTGATCTTCAACTGTGGTCCCCAGATGTTGTTGGGACTACCATTCCCATCATCCCTGACTATGCGGCAAAGACATGATGGGAGTTGTAGTCCGACAAGGTAGATGGACCCTGATTTAGACAATGGTTTATTATTCATTTCGACAAATTATATCCTGCTTGAATACAGTCGTCTCCAGGAAGCTCATGGCAATGAAGCCAAAACAAGTTAAAACTATAAAAACCAGAGTTCGATTAAAAAGCCTGCCACAATTTTTAAAAGTCTTATGTTAGTGCCGGAGGTTCACCGGGTAGAGGAGGGCCTGTCTAAAGGGAGTTCCACAAAATCACTGCGCTGAATGCATGGCTCCTGAATGCAAGTAATGGGGACCACAAACAGTGACTCCCCTCAGATATTGATCAAAGGGATCAGGAGGTCCGAATATGATGCTGTTGGGGCAAGCAGACCCCCACCCCCTATTTCCAACCACCAAACCCCACACCTCTAAGGGAGATGGAAGAGGCAGCTGAGATCAGACAGCTCCCAAATCAACACAACCCAGTCTTGCACTCTGCTGCCCGGGGCTCAAAATCTGTATCCTGGTGGTTCAATCTAGACCCCACCTTTTCCATTCCCTCCTTTGCCCCTGCACCCCCAACCTGAACCGTTTTAATATTTCAGATTAAAAACCCGTCTGCTGTGGCCTTCAGCTGAAGTCTGGCACGCGATTAAATTCCAGTTGTCTTTAAGAGACTTAAGCCTCGACCATCTGCTAACTTCCACGGAGACACCCAAGTGGGGAAGGAAAGGAAGGCCAGGAAAAGAGCATTTTTAAAGAGAATACAGAAGAAAAAATTTTTGGCAGGCTTGCTATTGCGTTTCAAGGGTCTCAACATTAGCATAGTGGGCAGACAGACAAGGGAACCTGTGAAGCTTTAAAAATCCATGTTATTTGGCTAGCATCTGCTCTCGGGGCCAACGCAACAAACAAGGCCAGGATACAAAACAAGGAGAACCACGTGACAACGCCTGGCCTTGCTTGACTGTACAATTTCAAGATGCTGATGGAAAGTCACATAGCAAAAATTCCCTGAAAGCAGAAAGTTAGCATCTCAAGGAGGAGCCTTGCTTTCTTCCTGACATGCTATCTTTTGGGTTCTTGGTTCCCAGCCCCCTCCACCCTGCCATTTTCATTGCTGTTGGGTTTGCATTTCAATTCCTGAATGTCAGCACCCATGCTCCGATCAGGAATGCCGGTTCGCAGAAATTACCGGCACCCATTTAAAGCATACGCGAACCCGCTGGGAATTTGGGACACAGAATTAATGGTGTCCAACGCAACTCCAAAACATTGATGGCCAAATTGGCATCAATTTCAGAGACCTAGTGGGAAGTTTGAGAAGATATCCAGTCCACCACATGTTGCTGAAATAGCCAGACTACTAGCTGTTGGGATTTGGGGGAAACTGACAACACCTGGAGCGCCACGGGTCCCCCAGACCCTGACATAGCGCAAAACCACAATTTAGGGAAGATTTTCCTGTATTTCCCCCAGGATTTATTTTCAGTTTGGAAGGGAGGGGGAGGGTTCTGCGTACTCAACAGCCTGTAAACACAAACTATCCGCAAAGAGGCAAACAACAACAACCCGATATTTATTTACACGAGGAGTTGATTTATTTTTCAGGTTTCAGGTATCAATTGGCCGGTGGCGAGATACACAATTAAATAAGGGGTGATGGCAAACCTCTTGAGATTTCTTCTCTTCTACCTCCACGAAATCCTGGGAGAAGGAACTCTCACCCCCTCAAAAAAACAAAAAACACCCCATCACAACTGTTGTGTATCTTGGGAGGAAATGCTTGACTTTCACCCAACCCCCAATCTTGAGAGAATGAAGTTGTTCACTCCTCTCAATAAACTATATGTTTTATATATATTTGTGTGTGGTAATATTAAAATTTTCCTTGTGATTTTTTTTGGGGGGGGGCAGAGAAGAGAAGGGATCTGGAAGTTGCTCTCCACCCCCTTTTACTCTCCCAGGGTTGTTTTTTTTCTACTTTTGCTGTGGAGGGAAGGGTTGAAGAGAAGGAATAAAACAGTTAAACTTATTTAAAGGAGTTAAAATCTGGCATTCCTCTCTCAAGTCTACTCTGCTCCCCTAAAATGTTTATTTATCCTGGGACCTTCTGCATGCAAAGCGTGTGGTCTATCACTAACCTATGCACACACACCCCCAATTTCTTTAATACATACAGGGAGAGAGAAAACCCAGGTCCCCCCTCCATATTCCTTTACTACGCCTTCGAATCAGGACTGAGCTGCATCCTTCTCCCTATTTTGCCCCCCGCAACCCCCATCTCATTTTTATGTTGAGATACTCTATATCAGTGGTGTCCAAACTTTTTTCAAAGAGGGCCAGATTTGATGAAGTGAAGGGCCGTGAGGGCCGACCAAAGTTGTTGAGCTTTTTTTAGTGTTGAAGTTGTTGAGATTTTACCCCAGGAAATAAACTGTCACAGGGGCCAGATTAAACTGACTGGTGGGCCAGATTAAGCCCCCAACACGAACTTTGGACATGCCTGCTCTATATGCATTTTTGGAGGGGGGGGGGAAGAAGCAGCATCCCTCCCCAAAACCTCATATTGTCCCTGCCTTCTTAAAGGAGGATTGAGATGGACTCCCTTCTCCCCCTGATTTTTTAGATTTCACCTCGCCAGTGTGAAGGGGAGCACCAATCTCCCCACGCTGCTCTCAATATCATTTTCATGCACAGCCCCACCATCTCATTTAGAGATCTCTCCCACCCCCCAGGTTTTTCAGGAGGGAGCACCCCATCTTCCTTTCCTCTCAAAGCAGAACTCAGATGCCCCCATCTCCTCCAGTCTGAGCCCCTCCCCACTCCTTGCAGTTCCAGTTTTCTGTGGAAATACATGGATTTTTGGAATTGGGGTGGGGTGGGGGAACAGCACCCATCTTCCTCCTCCCCTCCCCAAAATCCGCTTGACCTCTCAAAGCAAAATTGAAACGGACCCTTCCACCCCAAGTTTGTTTTCGTGAGTAGCAAAGAGAAGAAAACACCACCCTCCTCCCCACTTCCTCCTCTTCCAAAACAGGACCGAAGTGGACCAGCCCCACTCCATTTTGAGGTCTCCTATCCCCCCCAGGATCTATTTGCACCGAGATGCACTGAAGGAGGCGAACCACCATGTTATTCTGTCTTCTGTCCTCCCCAGAGGGCTTTGTTGGGGGGGTCACCCCTTCCCACATTTTAAGTCTTCAGCCCCCCCAAAAAACACCCCATATTGGGGGGTTGCTCTTCTCCTCTATATTTTGCAGGAGGGAGGAGGAACCCCCCTACACACACCCAATTTCCTACCCCCTCAAAGCAGGACTGAAATGCCCCCCCAAATACCAGAACCCCCCCAGTTTATTTCAGCTAATATCCACTGAGGGATGAAAACCACCAGCCTGTCCTGTATCTCCCCCCACTTGCAACCCCCAGAGAAGCAACCTTGGTTGGGGGGACCCCTTGCCCCCCACCCCCAGATTTTGAGGACCCCCCCCAATCCATTTATGCTGAGATACTCCTCCCTCCCCTCCCAGACCCTCCTCCCCATTACTCCTCCACGACAACCCTCAATGCAGAAGCCCCCCCATTTTGAGGTGCCCCCCATGAATCTCCCTCCGCGCCCCCACCCCTTTCATCGAGGCCTGGTGGGCGGGGCCTGGCGAGGCCCCACCCCCTTAAAGGGGAAGGCCTTTCGGGCCTACCTGCTCGGCTCCGGCTCCCTGGAGCGGCCCGGCGTCGTGTCCGTCTCGGAGAGGGGCAGCTCGCCCAGCGGCTCCTCAGGCTCCCCGCCAGGCCCCTCTCCCGACTGCGGGGCGGCCTCCGCCTCCTCGGCCGCTTCCTGCTTCTCCGCTCCGGCCCGGCCCCGGGTCCCCTCATTGGCGAGGCCGCTTGCCGCTCTGAGGATGACCTCCCGGCTGCCTGGCGCTCCATTGGGCGAACGGGACGTCGGTCAAGGAAGGCTCCCGGTCTCCCCGCCCGCCATTGGGCGAAAGAGGCTATCAGTCAAAGGCGACGTTCCGCCTTCGCCGAACTCGTTCCTCGTCGGAGGCGTTCCGCTCGCTGGGCAGCCCTACTGGCTGCGCGGCCTGCCGCTCAAGTGGCTCGCGCCCTCCTCATCCGCTCTCTACTTGGGGCTTTGCCAAGCCGAGCCAGGAGCAGAGATGTAGCCAGCTGGGGGAGCCTCCCGCCGGCCAGCGTCTATTGGCTAAGACATCTATCATTCTCCGAGATATCCAACTAACTATTGGCTAGGGCAGCTTGCCACTCAGCTGGGCGCCAAACAAGCCTTTCTATTGGCTGCGAGCCCTCAGGAAGGCTGGGCTTTAATTTCATTCGCTGGACACCTGGGGGAATACAGAAACGGCAGCAGGTGCCCATTTGCTGAGGCGGCGCGTCTCGACAAGAACCTCCTATTAGTATTCAGCAGGGGAGATGGGCGGGGCTTGCAGGGGGAGGGAACTAGCGCCTCACGCTCCACCATTCTAATTGGCTGTCCTTCGTGCCTCTTAAAACGAACAAACCAACCACCAGCGCTTAGGCTTATTGGGGGAAATCCGTGTCATTCAAATAAGTTGCCCCCGCCTGAGGCCTCTCACCTCATTTTCCTATTGGTAGGCTACTTCATGGAAGGCGGGCCGTATTCTTGCCATTCAAAATAATAACTGAGCCCTCTAAGAGCCGCACGCGTGAAGGAACGCCGAAGATCTGAGTGGCGATTGGCCAAAGCAAACGTCCGTCCAAACACTCCTCGCGGGCGGGAGAACGAAGGGCAAGCCACCGTGCCGCAAGGGATTCTGGGATAGTGGCCTTTAAATGGAGTCGCGCAAAGGAGTCTGGGGGGGAGGGGAAAGTGGCCAAAAGGTCTGTGAGCAAAGCATTCTGGGGGAGTGGCGCAAGGGATTCTGGGCAATAATGGACAATTTGAACACAGGACCTAACAAATTGAATTTTTTAACATCTGGATCAAACCTTCCAGCTTTGGTCTTGCAGCTTCACAACTGCAAGCTCCATTGAGGACATTAATATTAATTAATGGTATTACAACTTAATTTTTTAATTGTTTTTAATAATGTTTCGGGTGGCGCTGTGGGTTAAACCACAGAGCCTAGGACTTGCCGATCAGAAGGTCGGTGGTTCGAATCCCCACGATGGAATGAGCTCCTGTTGCTGGGTCCCTGCTCCTGCCCCCCTAGCAGTTCGAAAGCACATCAAAGTGCAAGTAGATAAATAGGTACCGCTCCGGCGGGAAGGTAAACGGTGTTTCTGTGCGCTGCTCTGGTTCGCGAGAAGCGGCTTAGTCCTGCAGGCCACATGACCCGGAAGCTGTACGCCGGCCCCTTGGCCAATACAGCAAGATGAACGCCGCAACCCCAGAGTTGGCCATGACTGGACCTAATGGTCAGGGGTCCCTTTACCTTTACCTTTAACAAGTTTGGTAGGGACACCTGCAGCCTGGAATGTGTTGCTGAGTTATAACTACCATGGGTCAGCATGGCCAGCCCCCGGTGGGAGTTGTAGCGCAGCAACAATGGAAGCGCCAAGGGTCCTTGCCTGTTGTCTTTGTCCATGGAGTTTTCTTGGCAGGGATACTGGAGTGGCTTGCCGGTTCCTCCAGGTGGATCATGTTTGGTCAAAACTCCACTATGACCTGTCCATCTTGGGTGGCCCTGCACGGCATAGCTCATAGCTTCTCTGAGTTATTCAAGCCCCTTCGCCACGGCAAGGCAGTGATCCATGAAAAAAAGCAGAGACATCACCTTGCCAACAAAGGTCTGTATAGTGAAAGCTCTGGTTTTCCCAGTAGTAATGTTTGGAAGTGAGAGCTGGACCATAAAGAAGGCTGATTGCCGAAGAATTGTTGCTTTTGAATTATAGGGTTGGAGGAGACTCTTGTGAGTCCCATGGACTGCAAGAAGATCAAACCTCTCCATTCTAAAGGAAATCAGCCCTGAGTGCTCACTGGATGGACAGATCCTGAAGCTGAGGCTCCAATACTTTGGCCACCTCATGAGAAGAGAAGACTCCCTGGAAAAGACCCTGATGTTGGGAAAGATGGAGGGCACAAGGAGAAGGGGACGACAGAGGACGAGGTGGTGGGACAGTGTTCTCGAAGCTACCAGCATGAGTTTGACCAAACTGCGGGAGGCAGTGGAAGACAGGAGTGCCTGGCGTGCTCTGGTCCAGGGGGTCACAAAGAGGCGGACACGACTAAACAACTAAACAGCAACAACTACAGGGTCCTTGCCTAGGGAACTTTCCAAAGAGGAATATGACAGGAAGAGCCTCTGACTGGGTATGCTTTGTACATTTAAAGCACCCTCCCCAAAAACCCTGGGAATGGTAGTTGACAGAGCTACAATACTCAGCAAAATTCTAGTCCTCATGGTTCTGTGGTAAACAAAATCTGCCCTTATTCCCTTATGGGGAACACTAAGAACCCTTATAGAGTCCTTTGTAGGTTCTCCATCGCTAGGAGAAAATAACAGAGGCCAACCAGAGAATATTGAGAAGCAAAGCAGCTAGTAAGCCTGATCTTTATTGATCTGTTGCAACAGGGTGCTCGCCTCACGCAGGAGAAAGGACCCAGAACCAAGGTGTGAATGCCCTTATATAGACATTTTAAATTGCCTGCCCTGGAGCTCAAGACCACCCCTCCATACATCATACATACATCACAGAAAAGGTGGTCTACAACAGAAATTTGAATGTTGTTTTTCCTGTCAGGTTATCTGATCATGCCTTATCTGATTGCCTTTCTTAGTAGTCTGGCCATTTCTTTGAGATGGTGATTTCCCACTTCCTGAGACAATGGGAAGGTTCCCTCACCCCCTCCCTCCTTGCAGAGAAAACATTTGGTCAGTTTGGGAGTCAAAATGGTTTCAGGGCGGTCTTCCTGTGCTGCTCCAGACATGTGGTCCACATATCTATGTATGTGCTTGGTTGGTACATTTGTGAACATTTATTATATATAAAAGACCTTAAAATTTTTATTTCAGTTCTGATATAGGAAGCTTCTGAGTCAGACCACTAGTGGTCCGTGTACCTCGATTCGGCTCAAGACAGCGACCAACAAGTTAAAGCATGCAGCGTCCTCAAGGCCTCCCCGTCGCCTTTCCTCCGAGCCTGGGAGTCATTGTCCTTTGTCCTCCCACCTTGCCAAGGGGAGCCAAGTGATTTTCATCTCCCGCCGTCCACTTCTCCATCGCTGCCCTGTCGCTGCGACTGGGGTGCACCAGCTTGTAAACAATCTTGCTTTTATGTGCCTCTGAAATCAGTCTCTTTCCACCCCGCCGCCCTCCCCGAGAGCCAAGGCCTTTCGCTTGGATGTTTTCCGAGCCGATCGAGTGATGCGGCGGTTTCTCCCGAAAACAGGGCCTCGTCTGTGCCTCGGTCCGCTCCGTTTTCAACAGCGAGGTTATCGGGGGAGCCTCGGCCTCTCTTTCAAAAGGGCCTTTTCTTCCCGGCATGTCAGGTGGTGGAACCTGAGAGAGTCGGCCGCAAGCCAGAAAGCTTTTGGCTGGAGGAACAAAGTCTCCTTTCCTCGGTCACCCCCACTTCTGCCGCCCCTCAGAGGGCTCCTGGAATAAAGGGTTGACTATCCTTTAAAGTGTAGATCAGAACATCCACAAAACACGAGGTTGCCATCTTTTATTGCGTGCTTTTGAACGACAGTGGGGGGGAGAGACAAAGGGAAATTTAGCAGGAGGTCAGATCCTGCTGAATGTAAGGATTGGAGGGGGGGAGAGGCTTCACCAGATGAATATCGGCCTGTTACACGGCAGCCACGCTGGGGAGGAAGCTGCAGTAGCTGCAATTCCACCTGCCACTTTATTGAAGATAATTTCTTTTTTAAAAAAGCACAACAATCTGTGCTCTTGAAGTAAGAAGCAAAGAATTGTAGCGTTGGAAGGGGCCCCCAAGAGGTCATCCAGCCCAACCCCCTGCAATGCCTCTTGCTTGCCTGGATGAGGGATGGAGGGGTGTGTGTATGTGTGTACTCAAACAGAGGAAACATATAGACAGACTGCCTTAAGCTGAGTCAGACCATTGGGGTCCATCTAGTTCAATATTGTCCTCACTGGCTGGCAGCAGCTTTCCAGGGTTTGGGACAAGGGGCTTGTCCAAGCCCCAACTCGAGACGTCAGAGATCAAACCAGGGATGTTCTGCATGCAAAGCAAGTGATCTGCCACAGAGGTATACAGCCATCCCCTTCAAAATAGGCTTAAGATTCTCGTCCTCACGGTTAAAGGTCGGTTTGCAGTATTGCACTCTACACTTGTAGGGATGCGGGTGGCGCTGTGGGTTAAACCACAGACCCTAGGGCTTGCCGATCAGAAGCTCGGCGGTTCAAATCCCCGCGACGGGGTGAGCTCCCGTTGCTCGGTCCCTGCTCCTGCCAACCTAGCAGTTCGAAAGCACGTCAAAGTGAAAGTAGATCAATAGGTACCGCTCCGGCGGAAAGGTAAACGGCGTTTCCGTGCGCTGCTCTGGTTCGCCAGAAGCGGCTTAGTCATGCTGGGCACATGATCCGGAAGCTGTACGCCAGCTCCCTCAGCCAGTAAAGCGAGATGAGCGCCGCAACCCCAGAGTCGGTCACGACTGGACCTAATGGTCAGGGGTCTCTTTACCTTTACCTTTACCTTTACTTTACACTAGAGTCCAAGCAAGGAATGAAAAAAGAAGCGTGTCTATCCGGGCATGAGCAGAGTGCACCCACTTTCTCACTAGGGGATTGGGTATCCCAGACGTAAAATACGATGAAGGTTCATGTCAAATGCTTGTCCTACTCAGAACGCACCCATTGAAATTAAGGGAAGTTGCAGGGGTTGGTCTAGATGTCCCTCGGGGTTCCCCTCTAGCTCTAGAATTCTGTGACTAACTTAGATCCATTGATTTCAAGGCGTCTCCTCCCGCTTTGCCTGGATGCAACCCTCAGCCTACAAGCCGAAACAGAACTAGCCCTATGGAAAAGGCCTTTGCACCTTGCTGGGCAGCAGGTATTTGGGGGCAGAAGGCGGGGAGAGGCGGCAAAAAATTATTCAGTGCCCCCACGAGAGCTTGGAGCTGGGATGTGCACAGAAGGGGCTATTGTTTGGCAGGGCTGTGTGCCAGGCAGCCGAGACTTTATAAGAGCTTCCCGCTGGCATCTCACACGCCTACGAAGAAGCCAAAGTCTGGATCCGTTCAGCCCTCCCGTTGGGGAAGAGAAAATGGTGAGCGAGGACAAGAACCCCGAATCGTGGCCGGCAGGGCTGCACCTCAAGAGCCCACCCTACGTAAGTAGTTCACTTTAGAAGTGGGGGGGGGGGAAGGCCACCTCATTTTTTAAACCCCCATTGGGTCTCCCGTTCCTTTAACTGCTGCTCAGCAGGCAGGAATCCATCAGGGAAAGCTCTTTCCAGCCTTGTGTGGTTGCCGTGCGCAGTGGCGGGGAGAGAAGCTGCGCCGGTGGGATTTCTGCCTGCTGCCCTGCTAGGGGGTGGGGGTTGAAACGCCCAGTGTGGGAATGCCTACGGTTATCGACCTGCCAATTTTTTGTTATCTTTGGGTTCTCCAGCGCGACGAGAGCACCCTTAAGCATGTGCAGAGTGCAAATGCGGAAACAGGCTGAGATTTTAGAAAAGGGATTTCAGGTGCTGCTAGATGCCATCACCCCCTCTTTCTTTCTTTCTTTCTTTCTTTCTTTCTTTCTCTCTCTCTCTCTCTCCTCACCCCCTTCCCCAATTTTTGTTCAGACTCTCCACTCCAGCCTTGAGCTGGCAGAGCCTCCCGTCGCCTCGAACCGCAAACTGGTGATTCTGATGGTGGGCGCTGTCTCAGCCCTCAGCATCAGCATCGTGGGGGTCCTGCTGGCCACCTACCTCGGGCGGGCGGACTGCGTCCAGGTACGATACGATAATCTTTATTGTCATTGTCCCATACAGAACAACAAAATTGAAAAAATGTGCATCAGACATTCAAAAACCAACAAGCCTGCTATCCCAGCCTGGTTAACCCCCTAAAAATACCCCATAATTAAATACAATACAGTGGTACCTCAGGTTACAGACGCTTCAGGTTACAGACTCCGCTAACCCAGAAATAGTACCTCGGGTTAAGAACAGAAATCGCACAGCGGCAGCACGGAGGCAGCAGGAGGCCCCATTAGCTAAAGTGGTGCTTCAGGTTAAGAACAGTTTCAGGTTAAGAACAGACCTCCAGAACTACCGTATTTTTCACTCTATAAGGCGCACCAGACCACAAGACGCACCTAGTTTTTGGAGGAGGAAAACGAAAAAAAATATTCTGAATCTCAGAAGCCAGAACAGCAAGAGGGATCGCTGCGCAGTGAAAGCAGCAATCCCTCTTGCTGTTCTGGCTTCTGAGATAGCTGCGCAGCCTGCATTCGCTCCATAAGACGCACACACATTTCCCCTTACTTTTTACGGGGGGAAAGTGAGTCTTATAGAGCAAAAAATACAGTAATTAAGTTCATAACCAGAGGTACCACTGTAGACTACCTTACACTGCATTTAAAGCCAAAATTGCCTTTGGATAGAAACTGTTTCTCAGGCGGCTAGTCCTGGTCTTTATAACCCTGTACCTTCTTCCAGAAGGCAGAAGCTGAAAGAGATCGTTTCCGGCGTGCGCACTATCCTGCGCTATCTCTGCAGCTTTCTTATGGTACCTGGAAGCATAGATTTGATCCAAGGTGGGAAGAGTGCACCCAATTATTCTCACCGCAGTCTTTACAACCCTGGGCAGCGTTGTTTTTCCCCTGACCGTGCAGCTCCCAAACCACACGCACAGACCATAAGTTAATACACTATCAACAGTACAGTGGTAGAATGCCATCAACAGGTCCTTTGAGAGATTATTACGGAGGACAGGCGATGATGGAGACAGCGCCTGCCTTCTGCCTGGTGGAAGTCCTGGTGGTTTGAATCCAGCACGTTCTGCCTTCCGCCACTGCAGAAGTCTTGGGCGGCCAGATCCTGCACCTTTGGCCAGGGCTACCGCATTTCAATCTTTCCCCCCCGCTTCCTTTCTCGGCAGAGAGACGGCTTCAGCTTCCTCCCTCCCCAAGTCAACGTCCAAAACGAAGCGTCTCTCTTGCTGGCGCTCAGCGAACTGGGCGAACAAGGCGTGGCTCCAGGGATCACCTGCGACTTGAGAAACGTGAGTCACAGAATCGGCAGTAGGGCCAGAATTCGTGTCACAAGAGGCGATGGGGACAGTGTTGCTGTTTTTCCCTCCCAATGGGGTCTCCTTAAGTTGTCCAGTAGTGCCTTAGTGGTCACTGAACTGCACTAAGGTGGATTTAAGAACATAGGAAGCTGCTTTGATTCAGACCAGTGGTGGATCTATCTACAGCGACTGACAGCAGCTGCCCAGGGCTTCAGGTAGGGATGTTTTCCTGGAGATACTGGTGATTGGACCGGGAACCTTTTGCATGCCAAGCGGAGATGCCAGCTCTTTCACTGAGCTACTGCCATTCCCCTAAGTGTGTGTTTGTGTGTGTGTGTGTGTGTGTGAGAGAGAGAGAGAGAGAGAGTGTGTGTGTGTGTGTGTGTGTGAGAGAGAGAGAGAGAGAGAGAGAGAGAAAGTATTGTCTGGGCAAGCGACTTTACAAGGTCTCTCTAGTTTAAAGGTATCCAAAGTGCATTAGAGTTAATTAAACCACACTGAGGTTCTCTTAAGAGCATGGGAGTGTCTCTTTTATTTATTTGAAATGTATAGCCTATGTTAATGTAACACAATTAAAAAGAGAGAGCTGAGAATACGAATAACCTTTGCAAAATGGATCGGAGATAGCCAGCTGAACTACCCGAGTGCCATAAAATCAGACCTGGGGACAGGAGGGAGTGTGGGATTCGGGGTTTGGGGGCCTCCTCTACAAGATGCTACCTCTCTGCTCCCTCTCTCCCCCCCCCACAGCACTTGATGGTGTACCATGGCCAGCCAGAAGGGTGTGTGGCCCGAAAGATGGAGGTGTCCGAACCGCTACCCTCCTGCCAGGAACTGGAGGCGTACTTCCAAGCTGTCTTGGTGAGGATCGGCAGGTGTCCTGCAGGTGGTTTTAGGCACATGGGGAGTGTGGCTTGGAGTTACGGCCCTTGCCTTGAAAGCAAAGCAAGATCCTAGTCCTCAATGTTTTGAGGACAGGGCTGATTTGAACAGGAACAGAGGGAGCTGCCTTATAGCAAAGGTCCATCTTGGGAAACTGAACCCGGGACCGTCTGTTTTTGAGGCATCGGCTCTGCCGCTGAGCTGCAGCCCTTTCCTTAAAAGTAATTCTAAGATTCCGGTCCTCATGGTTCTGAAAGAAACGCTGACATATAATTAAATGCAGCATCTCAAAACAAAACAATCATGGGTTGTCCCCCTGCCTTTGAACTGTTCTTTTAGACATAATTAATGCAAACATGATCAGTAGTGGTTTATTATTTTATACATAAATGCATTTTTTACTTTATACATTTTTATCCATATCCAAACTTGTTTAATAATAATTCAGTAATAGCTGATCTCTGGTTTTATGTATACGATTTCAACTGTACGGTTTTATGTGTTACTGCTGGAAACTGCTCTGATCCCCCCCCCCCTTGAATGAATACCAGTATACAACTGGTTTTGTATATAAACCAACAAATGATACCAGCCGACTGAAATTCATATGGTTAAAAGCGATTTAACAGCACAAACCCTGTGCATGTTTGCTCTGAAGTAAGCCCCACTTATTCAAAGGTTTTTACTCTCAGGTAAATAGGCCTAGCTGGGGTTGCAGGCTTAGAGCTGTTTCATCCGACAACAGGCTGCAGTTTAACTAATATAGCTGCCAACTAAGAGAAAAAGGGGGCAACTCATCCTTCAAAGTGTATTTTGGGTTGAGGTTGGGGGTCCGAAGAGTCTTGCTTCCGGCTTCAAGACTTGTGGACTGGGGTCTACTTCTTCAGATGCATGAAGTATCATCTTGAGTTGCAAATATAACACCCACAGGCGCTCAGAGGGCTGGTTGTGGCTGTGAAGTCAGAAAGAAGTTTGCAGCAAGTTTAAGGACAAGTATACCTAACCGAGTTACGTAGCTAGGTTGGAGCAGCTAAACCAAAACGGTCAAAAAACACTAAAGTCAATAAGCAGGGAGTTCCAGAGATTGGTGCTAAAGGACTGAGAGTGTGTGTGAATACAGCAGCAGCAAGGATTCTGTGTGTACAGAAATGGAAGGAGAGAAAACACACCCAGAGGAAGAATGGTTGGTGAAAATCTTGGAATACGCAGAGATGGCAAAATTGACGGCACTGATAAAAGATACAAATGTAGAATGTTTTAAAGAAGACTGATGGGACGCAGGTGGAGCTGTGGGTTAAACCACAGAGCCTAGGACTTGCCGATCAGAAGGTCGGCAGTTCGAATCCCCGCGACAGGATGAGCTCCCGTTGCTCGGTCCCTGCTCCTGCCAACCTAGCAGTTCAAAAGCACATCAAAGTGCAAGTAGATAAATAGGTACCACTCCGGCGGGAAGGTAATGGTGTTTCCGTGCGCTGCTCTGGTTCGCCAGAAGCGGCTTAGTCCTGCTGGCCACATGACCCGGAAGCTGTACGCCTGCTCCCTTGGCCAATAAAGAGAGATGAGTGCCGCAACCCCAGAGTTGTTTGCGACTGGACCTAATGGTCAGGGGTCCCTTTACCTTTTTAAAGAAGACTGAAAACCATTTCAAGTTTTTATAAAAAGTTACTGTACTTCCCATATGTGAAGACCACAGCTGGGATTGAAGTGTAAGAAAATAGCAGAATGTATTAGGAAACACATTAGAAATTCGACAAGATGGAACCTTAAAATGCAATTGTATGTAACTTGAGTTATATCGAGAGCATGAAGCGAAAACACTTTATGTAGCAGTTGTCAAACCTGCTTTTGCTGGCTCTGTTTCTTGCCCTGTTGCAGAAAAATGCCACGCTGGGTATCACCTCGGAGGTGCAGATTGTGGGGACCGCATCGCTGGGCAGCCTCACCACCCTGCTGTGTAGCAACAAGCCCACCTACCTGGTCAACAGTTTTGCACGTAAGTAGGGTGGAAAGGGTGGGACGCGGGTGGCGCTGTGGGTTAAACCACAGAGCCTAGGACTTGACGATCTGAAGGTCGGCGGTTCGAATCCCTGTGATTGGGTGAGCTCCCGTTGCTCCCTGCTCCTGCCAACCTAGCAGTTCAAAAGCATGTCAAAGTGCAAGTAGATCAATAGGTACCGCTCCAGCGGGAAGGTAAACGGCGTTTCTGTGCGCTGCTCTGGTTCGCCAGAAGCGGCTTAGTCATGCTGGCCACATGACCTGGAAGCTGTACGCCGGCTCCCTCGGCCAATAAAGCGAGATGAGCGCTGCAACCCCAGAGTCGGTCACGACTGGACCTAATGGTCAGGGGTCCCTTTACCTTTACCTAGGGTGGAAAGCTGCCGCTGGAGTGGACTGTACAGACCGTACCTCTGTCAGAGGGGTGGGGGGAAGACAGAGAGAGGTTTGGATATCTGATTTAGGAGGGGGAAGAAAGATTTGAACTATAAGTTCCAGCAGCAGCAGCAACCCTGGCCATGGAGCCAATGCTTGCTAGGGCTGATGGGAGTTGTAGTTCGGCAACAGCTGGAAGGACGAAGGTTCCCCCACAGAGCGGTTCTCAACCTGTGGGTCCCCAGATGTTGTTGGACTACAACTCCCATCATCCCTGAGCTCTGGCCTTGCTAGCTAGGGGTATGGGAGTTGTAGTTCAACAACATCTGGGGACCCACAGGTTGAGAAAAGCTGGTAGAGATACCCAGATCTCTCTCTCTCAATACAAATCCGACCGATGTAGAGTTTGTAAAATGCCAAATTTTGGACACTGCCAAAAGTTTCTCTAGTCCAAGGCGGGCTAATCCCTGGTTTGGGGAGCCGGTTTGCACATACACACCCAAAAGAATTTGGATCAAGATTTATTTTTTAAAAAATGATTAAAGTAGGCGCAGGATTGCACACAAAAGCCTTTTGGTGAAAGGCAGGAGAATGGCATCAAAGGCGCCTTTTGGCTGGAAAAGGGAGACCTTACATCACAAGAGCTCTTCGGCAGAACGGGGACTTAGCATCGCACACAAACCCCACAGGGGCTGCATTTACTGATAGACAGGACTTGTTGAGCCCACCTCTTCTTTAAAAATATTTTATTTCCCCCATTTCTTTGCAGCTTCTCCAAGGCACACCATGAGCAGACTTGCTTAAAAGAAGTCGGGAAGTTGTGCAGACCAGCAATCAACATCTCCTCTTGCCTCTTCCCTGCAAAACCCCAAGACAAAGGACCTCGGCTGAACCTGTCACTATTGATTTCCCCCATATAGGAAAGTATGTGGGGAGGTGGCCGCTCAAGTTTGTATGTGATTTCACTGCAGCTCAAGTTTGTATGTGATTTCCCCCCTCCCTGCAACTCCTTGTCATAACCAAATCATTAGCAATAACAACAAGAATGATAAAAAACCTGAAAGGGTGTTTGTGTGTCTGTTTCACGCTAGAGTGTTTTGAAAAGGCGAACTCTGGGAGCAGCGTTGGGACAATGCAGACACAATTCTGCACTGGCACAGAGCGCGATATTAAATTTCCTGAGAATCTGAGCAAAATGCAACACAAGATAGCTCAGCCTCCCTTATTGAGTGTGGCATGTGCCCTCTGGTGGGAGAAAGGGTCATTGCATCACACAGAAATCTACCCTCTTTTGTTCCCATCGCCCAGCCAGGCAGCCCCTTTGCTGGATAGCTTTATTGCAAATATTAAATATCTTCCTGCACTTGCCAATTTGTGGCCCTCTGCCCGGCCGTTTGCATGATATTTGCATAAACCTCTTGTACTCTGCATCGCTGCTAATTTGCTGCTTGACAGCTGAGGATCCCCAAGCTGGCTGCTTTCGGTCCTTCCTGCAAAGCACAGCTGCCTCACCAGAACATCTGGGCTCATCAGCTAAGGGGGGTTTGCAGGAACAGCAGTACCCATTGGCTATGAAAATGCTGAAGTTTTCTGCACTTAGCCAGCTGCAGAAAACTTGCCTGGCCTCCAGCAAAATTAAAACAAGCTTACTTTTTAAAATCCATTTAGGCTATTTATATACCGCTTCATCACAACTAGTCTCAAAGCTCTGATTTCATAGAAACAGAGAACTGAAGAGTTGGGGGTCATTTGGTCCATCGTCCAGCAATGAAGGGAGGAGCATCCATCACCTTCTGAGTCGGTTCCACTGTTGCCAACAGCTCTTGCTGTTAGAAAATTCTCTCTGATGTTTAGCCAGAATCTCATTTCTTGTCATTTGAATCCATTGCCTTAACACCTTCCCTCTGGACCCGAGCATTAAATGTACTTTTCCCTCTCTCACAAACCAGGGTTCCTGGCTTACACTAAAGATTCCAGGACATGTATATCTAAAAAGTTTATGCAAATGTCTCCTGAGGCTAAGTTTCTGGGTTACTTAAGTTCCTTGGAGCACTGACTTATCCTGGTTAGTTTCTGGAGTGCTCTAGGAAGTTTCGACCAAATTTTTTGCACTCTGCTAAAAGTTTCTCTCACTGCACAAACCAGGAATGTGGACTTACGCTCTGCTCAGTTTCAAAACAAGGCAACTTCAGACATGGGTTATGAGGCTGGCTTGTTTAACTAACCACTCAGATGTGAACCACGATTCCTGCCAGGGCCCTGTGCAACAGAATAAGTCGGCTTTCTATGAAAAGGAAGCTGATCTTAGGTTCTGCTTGCCTTCTGGCTTTGCAGGACCTTGAACCCTTGGCTTTGCCCCTGCTCAGCTAGAATGTGGCATCCTTGCTTTGGCAGCTGGTACCTGTGGGGTCAAAGGAAGCTGCCCATCTCCTTAAAATAAGATTCTAGTTAAATAGGAATGAAAGCAGCTAACATTTGGGGCTCAACACTTTTTAAAAAAGGGGGGGGGGGAGAGGTATTTTCCTTGGAGTGTGACTCAGTCATTTAAAAGCACCAGACGGCAAAATTCAATTTTTCAGACCGCATGATATAAATTTGATACTGGCTGCTGGGAAGTATTTGTTGGGAAGGAGTTTATGAACCCATCCATGGCTATGGTAGACATTCAGCCATAAGGACTAATAGGCCTCAGCTCCCATCAAGTAATGTAATCCAAATCCATCCAAACTGATGGTCAATCTCCACTTTTTGTAACGAGGTTCGTAGTTGAATGGTCTAGAATTGTAAGCCTTCAGGTAAAGGTAAAGGGACCCCTGACCATTAGGTCCAGTCGTGACCGACTCTGGGGTTATGGCTCTCATCTCACTTTACCGGCCGAGGGAGGGGGCGTACAGTGCACGGAAACGCCATTTACCTTCCCGCCTGAGCGGTACCTATTTATCTACTTGCACTCTGAGGTGCTTTCGAACTGCTAGGTTGGCAGCAGCAGGGACCAAGCAACGGGAGCTCACCCAATCACAGGGATTCGAACCGCCGACCTTCTGATCGGCAAGCCCTAGGCTCAGTGGTTTAACCCACAGCGCCACCCGTGTCCTAAGCCTTCAGGGACTGACCTATTCTCCATGTAAGTAAGACAGTCTGGAAGCCTCTTTGACTGAAGAGAGTGGTGCAAATAAATACACACAAAAACTGCAAGCCCCGTGAAAAACTCCACAACTCGACCACGTCTTTATATAAATCTATCACACAGAATACACTCGGGATGCTGCCTGTGGTTCGAATCACCTCGCCTCAAAAACGATACTGTAGAGCTCTTAAAGGTCCAGAAAGGGGCCACTGGAATGATCTAGGGGAGTGGAGTGACCCCCCCCCCATGAGGAAGGTTTGTGGCCTTTGAAAGAAAGGGCAGGGCAAAGGATACGCAACAGATTCAAAGTGTGGCAAAAGCGGAGAGAAGCCTTTCTCTCTCACAGTGCTAGCTGTCAAACCGAGTCAAAAGGCAGACGATTCAGGATGCGCAAAAGGAGGTCCTTCGAACACCTGACGGGTCGCAGCTTTGGGGAAAGGGTGTTCCAACCCATAATAAGCCCACCTGCTTCCTAGTTTCCCCTTTTTGTCATGGGTGCTAAAGCCTTGCGTCTGTTGAAACCAGAATCTTGAGTTCTCTGTCCCGCCGGCAGCTGGAAGTTTTCCAGTGGCCACAGCACGATCGCAAACGTGTCTCTCAACCTCTTCGCGCCGATTTCACGGCAGGCAAACGAAGGTGCCTGCACACAGGGAGGGGGACGGCGCCGTTTTGTCGGAAAGGAAAGGGAGGTTAGGAGATCGGCCGCTCGCGTTCTGACATGCACAAACCACAGCTTAATGGAAGTGGGCGGTGGAAAAACACAACGCCGCAAAGAAAATTTAAGGTTTTTATTACCCCCTAAACCGCAACCCAAAAAAGAAGAGAAGTTCTACCCACCCACCGCCACCCACCCTGACCCATAATAACCTGGTGACTCTCCCCGCCTCTCCCCAACTAGCCCGGAGGGAAGATTACGGACACTGATGGCTAGAAGGCTAGGTGAACTGGGGCATGCAGAGCCAGCGAAGCTCTTGACTGCGTAACGGGGCCGAGGAGAGTTGGGGCGCCACTGAGGGCCCGTGGCCTGCCCCTCCTCCCCGCATCATTTCTTCTCCTCCTCTTTCTTGTCTTTGTTCTCCTTGGATGCCTGCGAGGCCAGGGAACCCATGGCGTTGCGAATGGCCTCGTTGTTGGGGTCGACTCCCGGCAGGTTCTCCAGGACGCTCTGCAGGAACTCAGGGTCTTGCATCACATCGTAGTCGTCCTCTTCCTGGACGCGGGAAACGTCCGTGAAACAGGTAAAAATCAGATTGGAAAGAATTTAAGGATTATTTGCATAAATATTGTAATATAAATAATTAGAAGTCACTTGAAAGCACCAAATAGGCCTAGGATTAAAATAGGATTTAACTGCAAGTAAGCTGGATTTAGAACAGTAAGAAAAGAGAATAAGATAGTTAATTGATGGAAATAATTTTAGATTAAGAATGATATTAGAGAACTGTTACATGCAGCTACAATGAAATTCAGAAGAGAGGGATCTGAGTAAATCAATTAACAATGTAAGAGAGATTGGGTTTTCAAGGGATATGTGTTTAAGATTTCTTTTTTAGTAATGTGTTTTCTCTTGTGTGTTTTTTTCCCCTTTTCTCTCTGTTGTATTTTATTATAATTATGGAAAATTTAATAAAACAATTGGGGGGGGGGGAAGAAACAGATAAAAATCAGCATCAGAGGCACTGCCACCTTTCTGACCTGCCCTCCACCGGTAGGTCTCAAGGTGGGTCACAATGGCCCTTGCAAGAGATTTAGTGGTACTCTGGATATAGCTTATAGCAGAAAAGATGGTGGGCAACTCTGTAGGCAGGAGAGCCCCAACCTCCACCAACGGGGTACCCTTCTAGACTACAACTCAGTGCTAGCTGGGGGGTGTGAGTTGTAGTTCAGATCCAGAGGCTGCTCTGAGCAAGTGGATAGAGGGGGCAGAGGGAGGATCTGCGGCCACTGACCTTTGTCGGTTCTGACGTGTCCATATCAGTGCTGATATCTACCTCGGCCGACTCACCTTGTCCAAACTCTAAGAGGAGAGAAAACATGCACAGTTTAACAACCTCTTCTCTGCTACAACCAAAGCCCATAGGTGGGTTTCAAACGCCAACCAGATTAATGAAGAGACAATCACGGAGCCTCCGCTTAAAGCAGGGGTGTCCAAACTTTTTTCAAAGAGGGCCAGATTTGATGAAGTGAACATGTTTTTGACCCTTTTTTCGGATTGAAGTTGTTGAGCATTTTTTTAAGATTGAAGCTGTTGAGCTTTTTTTCCCGGATTTTACCCCAGGAAATAAACTGCCATGGGGGCTGGACTTTGGACATGCCTGGCTTAAAGGGAGGGAAGAGATTCAGTCTCCTTGCGGCCCACCCCGAAAACACACGATTTTTATCTCTATTATTTCAGGGTGGGGAACTTCTGGCCCTCCTAATGATCCTATCGTGTCTGAACACTGGCCGTACTCCATTCCCCTCTCAACACTTCAAGCTGTTTCCCCAAACTTCGTAACCAATTCACATTTTAAGGGAAGCTTTTAATATTTGATGGATTACTGTATTTTAATATTTTGTTGGAAGCCGCTCAGAGTGGCTGGGAAAGCCGAGTCAGATGGGCGGGGTATAAATAATAAATTTATTATTATTACTATTATTACCTGAATTAAAATGGGTTTCAGCCTTCACCCTTTATTTTTTACTGTCTGCAAGAGAAATTGTTCCCCTCCTCCTGGGATGCTGCTGCTACCTGCCTCCCATGTTCCTGCATGAGCTAGTGTTTGAGCACAACCCTAAAAGGAGATGAGGCTGGAACACTTAGTTCATGCCGAGTTGGAACGGGCACAGTCCTCTGCGGCCGATACTTCTCTTCTGGGCACAACTGAGAGAGACTGTTCTAGTGTTTTGGACGAGGAGGGGAATAATCCTGATACAAATACAAAGGGCAAGTGCTCAAGCTGCCCCCGGAGGCCTTCTCAGCAGTTGCCCTGCCCCACTGGCAAAGGTGGTGTTCCTGATCCGAAGACTACGCTCCGTGCTTCTCGCCTGCAACTCACCGGCTCCTTGGAGAGACATCTGCATGGCGTAGGCAATCTGTTCTTCTTCGGTCATGGTGCTGAGGTCGGGCAGGCCAGCTCGGCCAAATTCCTGTTGGCCTATGGTCATCTTGAGCAGGGCGTCGTCTGAATCTAGAGCACAAGGAAGCACGAGGACCCACGTTTGAGGTAAGACGATTCAGTGCCAGATCGTATTGCAAGAGATCTTACCCTCTGGAGCAGGAGAAAACAAGCTTGCTCCCTCTTCCATGTGACAGCCCTTCAAATATTGGCTACCCCATCTCCTCTCTGTTTCCTCTTTTCCAGGCTACACATGCCCAACTCCCTCAACCATTCCTCATCAGGCTTGCTACCCAGACTCCTGATCATCGTGGTTGCATAGCTGTCAACTTTTCCCTTTTCTTGCAAGGAATCCTGTTTGGAATAAGGGAATTTCCCTTAAAAAAAGGGGAAAGTTGACAGCTATGCTTGGTTGCCCTGGTCTGCACAGCCTCCATCTTGCCTAAATGAAAAACTCGGATTCTTTTCCAACCCTCTAGCACATGGATGAACCTGGAAGGGACTTGATTCCAAACTGACTGAAAAATCCACACTCTGGCTTCCCCCTTCTTAAAAATGTAGAAACTCAGCCTAGCCACTCCATACATCTAAACATCAGCCCCATAAGGGACCGCAGCCTGGATATGGGGCATGGGTTCCCCAAAGCTGGCCATTTACAGCCTGTCTTTCTGCACACGGCCTCCGAGGTGGTTCAGAGTTATTTGACTTGACTGGAAGGAAAGGAGAGTCAGGTCACTTCGCCTCCCGATTCCCCTGGCTCAAACCCCTTTTCTTACCATCCGCACCGGAGGTTGGGATCCCGGCTTCTGCGGCAGATGCTGCCGCAGCCCTGCGAGCTTCCTCTTCCTGCCTCTGCCGTTGCTCCTCCATGGACACCCGGAGCGCCTGGGAGGAAAAACAAAACAGACAAACCCAGGTGGTCAAATGAGACACAGGGGCTGCTAAACCAAGGAGCGTATCCCAAACGTAACACAGAATGGCTAACACCCACATCAAAGCACGCCCCCAAAAAGTATCCTGAGAACCGCAGTTTCTAAAGGGTGCTGGGAACTGTAGCTCTGCAAGGGGCAAGCTACAGTTCCCAAACTTCTTATGGGGTAGGTGGGTGGAGAAATGTGTTTAGACAAGCTGATGTACAGACAGGTATAATGTCGGTGTGTGTTTTAATCTGTTTCTTGCTTATTGCTGTTGGATATTTTCTAAATGTTTTAAAGAGTTGGTTAACCCAACCCTGTTTTTCCTGATAATTTCATTGAAGAAAAACCATCCCAAAGTACTTTACAATCAGGTGACGTATAAATTTTATGGAAATAAGTAATAGAAACATGTTCCCATTGTTCCGCCCGGACACTGAGGTCCAGCGCTGAGGGCCTTCTGGCGGTTCCCTCGCTGTGAGAAGTGAGGTTACAGGGAACCAGGCAGAGGGCCTTCTTGGTGGTGGCGCCCGCCCTGTGGAACGCCCTCCCTTCAGATGTCCACCAGACTTTTAGAAGACATCTGAAGGCAGCCCTGTTTAGGGAAGCTTTTAATGTTTGACGGACTATTGTATTTTAATATTTAGAACCACCAGACTTTTAGAAGACATCTGAAGGCAGCCCTGTTTAGGGAAGCTTTTAATGTTTGACGGACTATTGTATTTTAATATTTAGAACCACCAGACTTTTAGAAGACATCTGAAGGCAGCCCTGTTTAGGGAAGCTTTTAATGTTTGGTGGACTATTGTATTTTAATATTTTGTTGGAAGCCGCCCAGGGTGGCTGGGGAAACCCAGCCAGATGGGCGGGGTATAAATAATAAATTATTATTGTTATTATTTGTGGTGCTTACCAGAGCCAGTTCTGGGTCGGCGCTGGGGTCCACGCCAAACTCGAAGTCACTTGCCCCCAGGCCCAGCATTGCTCCTCCCTCTCCAGCGAGGATCGGGGAGCTGATGAGAGCATCAGCCAGGCTCGGCCCGGGGGGCACTGTCACCAGGTGAGAGCCCGTCCCATCTTTGCCGTTCAAGGTGTTGATGAAGGCCGTCAGCTTGTCGGTGTTGGCTTCCTGCGGGCGGGAAGGAGAGGTCAGGAACCGACCCGGGAGTCGCAGGCAACTTAATGGAACAACAACGAGCCACGGGCTCAGAGAGGGTCTCTCACCTCTTCTCCAAAGTTGATGATATCCACGTTCACTTTCTCCTTCTTCAGCCGCTTGGCCAGTTTCACGAGCTGCGAGGAGAGGAGATCCATTAGGGGCGCAGAGCAAGGTGGGAGTACCAGGAACGGGAGAGGCTTCCCGGAAAACCAGGTGCTTTGAAAATGAGAGAGTTCCTCCCCCCACCCCCCACAGTTCCAGGTACACACTCACGTCTTTCTCATTATCCTCTACAGGGCTCCCCACAAAGGCAATGATCCGCATCTTGTGGTTCTTGCCCTGGCGATGTTTCAAAGCCAGCTGGAACAGAAGCAGCCGTGTTACATGGAGAGAGGGGAGGCCCCTCTGCCCAGCCTGTCTCCCCCCATCCCTGGGTTTGAATGAACCCTTTATTTCCCTTCTCCCAGACCACTGCCAGTCAGCAGATAGACAATATCTATCTGGATAGGCCTATGATCTGACTCATTAGAAGGCAACTTCCGATTTAAATCATCCATATGTTCAGAACCATGAGGACTGGTATCTTGCTTTGTTTTTAAGGGAAGGGCTGTAGCTCCTTGATCAGAGCTTTGCATACAGAAATCCACAGGTTTAATCTGTGGGATCTCCAGGAAGGACTCCCTGCCTGAAACCTCAGAGAGTCCCTGCCAATCGGTGTAGTCGATACTGAGCATATCTTAAAGTTTTAAGTGTCTGTATGCTTATCACATTTATAAATTTTAAATTTATTGTTGTACATTGTTTTAACTGTTTGTTTTCTTTCTGGGATTGTACCCCCAAGTGTGTTTTATAAGCTGGTCTCCGACCATAATAAATTATCTATCTATCTATCTATCTATCTATCTATCTATCTAATGGACCAATGGTCTGACTCAATGTAAGGCAACTTCGCTGTCAAGGTGTCTTTCTCTGTTGTGTATGACTTCAGGCGTAAGGGAGGCGAGTGAGGCTTGGTCAACACAGCTCCACAGGCCAAATGGAAGAAGAGTTTGGACTTGATATCCCGCTTTATCACTACCTGAAGGAGTCTCAAAGTGGCTAACATTCTCCTTTCCCTTCCTCCCCCCACAACAAACACTCTGTGAGGTGAGTGGGGCTGAGAGACCTTAGAGAAGTGTGACTAGCCCAAGGTCACCCAGCAGCTGCATGTAGAGAACCGGAGAGGCGAACCCCAGATTATGAGTCCACTGCTCTTAACCACTACACCACACTGGAGAGGTCTGGCAGCCTGGGGGCTCCTCACCCTCTGTTCTCCTGCAAGCACTAACCCCGCTTCTCAGGACAGACCCCCTCCTCACTTGCCCAACTTAGCATGGGGCTGTTTCAGATTCCTTTCCTCTCCACTGGCCCCAAAAGGATGATAATCTTTAGTTTAATATCTCAATTGATGGCTGCCATCGGGGGGAAAGAAGAGAAGTTGCAACTTACATGAGCAACTCGGATCCCTGTGCAGAAGGTGATCTTCCCTTTGGGCTGCACCGAGTGCAGCTTAGACAGGATGCGGCCTGTGTCGGGGGTCAGGGTGGTCAACACCTCACAGTTACTGAAACAGGCAAATACAGACATGGACAGGTTGAGGATTAGCGTGTCAGAAAGGGAAAGAGGCAGAGAGGTGGGGGTACAATGACCTATAGCGGATCATGATCTGGCCTAACATGCTAAACAAAAGAACATTAGAAGAGCCCTGTAGCTGTTTTTTGAATTCTGGTGCTGGAGGAGACTCTGGAGAGTCCCAAGGACTGCAAGAAGATCAAACCTCTCCATTCTGAAGGAAATCAGCCCTGAGTGCTCACTGGAAGGACAGATCCTGAAGCTGAGGCTCCAAGACTTTGGCCACCTCGTGAGAAGAGAAGACTCCCTGGAAAAGACCCTGATGTTGGGAAAGATGGAGGGCACAAGGAGAAGGGGATGACAGAGGACGAGATGGTGGGACAGTGTTCTCCAAGCTACCAGCATGACTTTGACCAAACTGCGCGGGGCAGTGGAAGACAGGAGGGCCTGGCATGCTCTGGTCCAGGGGCTCACCAAGAGGTGGACACGACTAAACGACTAAACAACATAAGCTGTTTAGGCCAATGATTCACTGTTAACCAACTAAGACCCTAAAGGCAGAAGGGGAGGCCTCCTTGGTGCTGTTCCCATTGGGGGCTGCCTGGCTGGCACTGACCTATGGTGACAGGGCCTATTTGGTGGTGGGTTGCCATTTGTGGAATGCCATGGTGAAGGGTGTTTTCTACCCCCCATTACTGACTTTCAAGAGGAATCTGAAAACATCCCTGTTCAGCCAGGCATTTGATGGCTGAAAGGCACTGTCCCTAGCAATTCTGACATCACAGGATACGAGAATATTTTCAACCGTAACTGAATTTAGTAAGCTTCAAAAAAAGGCAAAAAAAAAGTTTCATTTTGACTACGTTTGGTGCCCTAGGCTCCTTCAGAAGGAAGGGAGGGGGCACATTAGATAAATAAATACTTGAGCATCCTGTTCTCCCATTGGTCAACCAGATGACCCAATGGGAAGCTGCTGATGTCTTCCTCTCTTCTGATTTCCAATGGGGTGATTTGAGCGAAACCTACTTGGCTAAAGTGATGAGGCCCACGTTGTTCTCGGGGTTACTGCGGGTCTTCGAATGGCAGACGATGTTGACTGCATCTTGCTGGGCCTGGAGACGGGTCGGTAAGAAGTCCCCGTTCCTCATGTACTCGCTGTTGTCGACGCTGCACCAGGCAAGGGGAGATCAGAATGAGCAACAAATTGAAAATTTTAAAATAAAGTATCACTAGATCTTTTCTATCAAAAATTGCACGAAACGTTAGGACAACAAACACGAAACAAAAGCAGAAAGAGTTATATTGGGCATGAAATTAAGGGGCATGACTCACATAGACTGTCCCCTTGTTCAACACTCTTCTGCAGGCTCCACTCAATCCTACTTCACTCCCAGAGACTCCCATCAAGGGGATGTTTCCCCAACTTAGTGCCTTCCATTTAACTCTCCCCCCACAGATAATAAGGTAAAGGGACCCCTGACCATTAGGTCCAGTCGTAACCGACTCTGGGGTTGTGGCGCTCATCTCGCTTTACTGGCCAAGGGAGCCGGCGTACAGCTTCCGGGTCATGTGGCCAGCAGGACTAAGCCGCTTCTGGTGAGCCAGAGCAGCGCACGGAAATGGCGTTTACCTTCCCGCCAGAGCGGTACCTATTTATCTACTCGCACTGTGACGTGCTTTCGAACTGCTAGGTTGGCAGGAGCAGGGACCGAGCAACAGGAGCTCACCCTGTTGCGGGGATTTGAACCACCAACCTTCTGATCGGCAAGTCCTAGGCTCTGTGGTTTAACCTACAGCGCCACCTGTGTCTCTCCACAGATAATAAATAATAATAATAATAATTTATTATTTAGACCCCACCCATCTGGCTCGGCTTCCCCAGCCACTCTGGGCAGCTTTCAACAAAATATTAAAATACAATAGTCTGTCAAACATTAAAGGCATCCCTAAACAGGGCTGCCTTCAAATGTCTTCTAGAAGTCTGGTAGTTGTTTTTCTCTTTGACATCTGGTGGGAGGGCGTTCCACAGGGCGGGCGCCACCACCGAGAAGGCCCTCTGCCTGGTTCCTTGGCTTCTTGCAGCGAGGGAACTGCCAGAAGGCCCTCGGCGCTGGACCTCAGTGTCCGGGCAAAACAATGGGGGTGTCTGGGCAGAACAGAGACCCTCTTCCAACCCCCTCCCAATTTCCCCTCCCCCCCAATTCCCCTCAATTCAAATGCACCCCCCTTCAGTCGCCCCCCCCCCAATTCCCCACCCTCATAAATTTCTACCCCAAGCCACTAAGGGGATGCTGCCCCCATGTCAAATGCACCTCCCTTCTCAGGAGACACCCCTCATTTTCCACCCTCCAACTCACCCCAATTCTCCCCCTTCAAACGCACCTCCCACTCCCCTCCTGAGTCCCCCCCCCTTCCATTCTCTTCTCCCCATGGAATCCCAGAATTCCCCCCAAGCCATGAAGGGGATGCTCCCCCCCCAACACACCCATTCTCCCCATTGGCCTCCCCCCCCCGACCTCAAACGCACCCCCTCCTCCCCCTCCCCAGACCCCCTCCCCCAAAGCCCCTCAAGGAGACCCCCCTCGATTCTCCCTCCCATTTAATTCCCCCAACTAAAGACCCCCTTCCCTCCCCCCCAAAAAAATCCCCCCTATAATTCTCGCCCCACATAGGGTGTCCCCCCCCCGCCTCACGTCACTCCAACTGTCTCTCCCCCTCCCCCCCCCCACAAAAATTTACCTCAGGCCCCATCGTGACTCAGGGAAACCGGCCTCTGCCCCTCCCCCCCGCCAGCCCCTCCCCCCCGCCGCCTCCTCTTCCTCACCAGACCATCGTGCTTTCCAGCACCATCGCGGCCCCTTCCCAGTCCGGGCCCAGTAAGAGAAGGAGAAGGAGAAAGACAAGCGGCAGCCTCGGAGGCCTCTTCCTTCCCCTCTTTCTCTGCCTCACTCTGTCGGCCTCTCTCACCTCGCTTCCTATTGGCGGCCCGTGGGGAGGGCCAATCAGAGGCGCCCTCCTTGGCAGGTCTCCGCGCGGAGGCCGACGGGAAATGTAGTCCTGCTGGTGGAGAGCGAGGCAGGCGGCCCATGGCTCCGCCCCCGCCCTGCCTGGTCCTCGGAGGAGGAAGAGGCGCAGGCGCAGTTGCACCTCTGCCTGCCTGTTTAAATCAATGAAAATAAAACAGGGCGGCCTAGTGATTAGAGCAGTGGTGGATCTACGTTTGCAGGGGGTGGGCTGGGGCTTGATTTGTCATGGAGGCCTCTTTGCAACCAGCAAGGAGGTCTGGGTAAGCAGTGTTACCTTCATCAATGGGGTTGCTCACGAGTTTACGTTTTCGGTATCCAAATTGTTGTTGTTAATAATAATACCCCTCCCATTTGGCTGGATTGCCCCAGTCACTCTGGGCAAACAACAACATATTTACTGAATCTACTGAGTTTCTACTGAAATGAGGCTGCATTTTAATCTTCTTTTTAAGTTGTATTTCAATCGTTTTCATACCTGGTGTTAGCCGCCCTAAGCCCGGTCTTGGCTGGGGATGGTGGGGTAGATATAATTTTATCATCATCATGATCTATAAACATAATAAAAACATGAAGCATTCAAAGCTTCCCTATACAGGGCTGCCTTCAGAGCTGTCTTCTAAAATGTTAAGTTATTTATTTCCATGACATCTGAAGGGTGTTCCACAGGGCGGGTGCCACAACCAAGAAGGCCCTGTTCTGTCTGGTTCCCTGTAACTTCACTTCCCACAGGCTGAACACTTAAGTACTTATTTTTAATTCCTCTAGTGGCTGGGGAAACCCAGTCAGATGGGAGCAGTATAAATAAATTATCATCATCAAGGGTCTTGACCTCTGTTAAAAAAAAAAAGGGGGGGGGGTAAATCCATTAGCCACAGCGGAGCAGCCAATTTACTACAGCACTCCACCATTACAACATCTGTGCTACTGACTTAGTCTTTGGGATTGAAACATATACCACAAAAAATTAGTTATGCATCATGCGACTGAAACTGGGTCTACTAGCCTCAAAAACTGTAAGCAACGTGGACTAAACTTACTTCTGGAGCCCCTGTGAGATTAGGGGCCCCAAAGTTCAATTCGTTTCATAATAGATCCATCCCTAGGTTAGAGCATCAGGCTAGGACCCGGGGGAGACCCGGGTTCAAATCCTCCCACTCTTAAGCACTCACTGGGGGTGACGGGGGGGGCAGTGTTCACCGCCTCCCAGGCTAACCTACTTTGCAGGGTTGTTGCAGGGATTAAATGAGTAGGGGGAGGAACCGTGTGGGCCACTCTGAACTTGGATAAAAAAGGTGGGATACATGAACGCAATAAAATAATTTAATTTATACACTGCCCTTCCACCGATCACAGACAGGTTTACAGCATCAAAACACTATTTTTCCTTCTACACACAGGCTCTGAAAAAATAGTCCCAAGTTTTGTAACATGGGGGTGGGTACATATATGCATGTTTGCGTATTGTGCTTGTATAAATCCTTGGGTATGTAAACATTTATTTATGCCTCTGTGTGTTTGTGCATCTGTTCTGTGTAAATGTAATTATCAATGATCAGGGGTTGAGCAGCAGAAAATCCCAGGTCCAGTTCCTGGAATCTCCAGCTAAGAGGGACTCCTCTCTCTAGAAGCTCTGGTTATGCAGCTGCCAGTGTTGAAACCAAAATGATCTCACAGCCTTGCTGTCTTCATTTCAACAGTACAATTTTTTGGTTCAGGAAAAAATGCCTCTGCGACCCTTACAGGCGAAGGTTGGAAAATCTCTTTGGCTCTATGGTTCAGATCCATCTTCCTTATGGGCCAGATCTGGTGGCTGGGTCAGCAGGGCCACTGACCTGTCAATCACCTGACATCAACATGACTTAGCCAAAGTGGAGGTATGGGTACATCCCAGAGTCAAGGCAGGATTTAACGGCGCCCTCCTGCCCATCAAATGACATCATGAAGGACATCAGCTGATGGACTTGAGTTGGAAAAAACAGCCTCAGGGGCCATTGGGACCCAGCAACCCTCTGATGTAGTCTTAGAGCAGGGGTGGGGGATGCTTTCAGCTCGAGGGCCACATTGCCTTCTAAGTAATCTCCTAAGGGCCAGAGGCAAAAGTGGGCAGAGCCACTAATGCAAATTTTATAGTAGGCTAGTTTTGAACCGGGACGCGGGTGGTGCTGTGGTCTAAACCACAGAGCCTAAGACTTGCCGATCAGAAGGTCGGCGGTTCGAATCCCTGCAACGGGGTGAGCTCCCATTGCTCGGTCCCTGCTCCTGCCAACCTAGCCGTTCGAAAGCACGTCAAAGTGCAAGTAGATAAATAGGTACCGCTCCAGCGGGAAGGTAAACAGCGATTCCGTGCACTGCTCTGGTTCACCAGAAGCGGCTTAGTCATGCTGGCCACATGACCCGGAAGCTGTACGCCGGCTCCCTCGGCCAATAAAGCGAGATGAGTGCTGCAACCCCAGAGTCGGCCACGTCTGGACCGAATGGTCAGGGGTCCCTTTACCTTTACCTAGTTTTGAACCACGCATCAATCTATCCTCTACCTACAAGCAAGAGACATAAATAGAGTTCATGAAGGCTACTTAGGGGCTCAAAGCAGGACTCAAGAACAGTGTGGCTTGGGAAAAACTCTGGAGGGAATGTAAAGGACTAAATTCCTATTCCACTCTTCCTTCTCCCTCCATGGAGTTCAGAGCAGCAGGCACAGGTCTCCAATCCTCACCTCCTTTTACACTTTACAAGAACCTTGCAAGGTAGGTTGGCTTTCAGGCTCCAAGGCCACCTGTGTTTCTGCTGACAGAAACAGGTTCTGCTATGTGACAGAGACCTGGTTGGATGAAGCAGATGGGCCTGTCCTTGCCGCTGCTTGCCCACCAGGTTTCTCTTACGCACAGCAACCCAGGTCATGTGGGCGGGGAGGGGGGGTTGCAGTGATTTTTAGGAAGTCATTAGTCTGCACCAGGCATCCTATTGGGAAGACCCAGTTTTCTGAGTGCATGTTCTGGAAGTTGGGCAATAGGGGCAGTACAGGATTCCTACTGGTGTACCGACCTCCCCGCTGCACCAAGGATTCCCTGCCCGAGCTGCTTCAGGTCGTGGCGGATATGCTCCTGGATAAACCTAGCTTGGTTGTCCTGGGGGATTTTAACATCCATGCCGACACGACCTTACAAGGGGCCGTTCGGGACTTCGTGGAAAGCATGGCCTCCATGGGGCTGTCCTTGAATAAGTTTGGCCCAACTCATAGCCGTGGACATGCCTTAGACTTGGTGTTCACCTCTATGGATGTTGGTGATCTGACACTAACTAAAAGCGAAACAAAAGAAGTGCCATGGTCAGATCACTTCCTGGTGCAACTGGACTTCTCCGCAACCCTTCCCCTCTGCAGGGAGGTGGGACCGATTCGGATGGTCCGCCCCCGCCACTTAATGGATCCAATTGGCTTCCAGAGAGTGGTAGGGGATGCTTTATCCCAAGTTGATGGCCTTTCAGCTGATTCCCTGGTGGCACGCTGGAATGCGGAGTTAACCAGGGCTATTGACTGACTGGCTCCGAAGCGCCCTCTCCGATTGCATGGAGCCCGGACAGCCCCGTGATTTTCCCCGGAGCTGAGGGTGATGAAACAATCGTTGAGACGGCTAGAGCGCCGGTGGCGGAAAACTATTCTGAATCAGACCGGACACGGGCTAGAGCTCAACGTCGAGCCTACCAAGTGGCAATGGCAACGGCGAAGAGGGCCTTCTTCGCCGCCTCCATTGCATCTGCAGAAAACAGCAGCAGGAGACTTTTTCAGGTGGTTCGCAAACTATCGGAACCACCTGTACCACCGGGGCCTGGTAGGGACCCCAAGATCTCCTGCAATGCTTTTGCAAAGTTTTTTGCAGATAAAATCGCTCAGATTCAGAAGGAGGTAGACTCCACCGTGGGAGCAGGGCCAGGGCGGGAGAGTGCTAGAGTTCTGTCTGGTCCTGTTACATGGGATCAATTCCAATCTGTTACCTCCGAGGATGTGGACAGGCTGCTTGGACAAGTGAAACCGACCACCTGTCTCCTTGATCCTTGCCCATCCTGGCTGATAAAAGCGAGCCGGGAAGGGCTGGGCGATGGGCTCTGCGGGGTGGTGAATGCTTCCCTCTGTGAGGGAGCCTTCCCAGACCCGCTGAAAGAGGCGGTCATTAAACCGCTTCTTAAAAAAACATCTTTAGACCCGGCCAATTTGGCCAACTATCGCCCAGTCTCAAATCTGCCATTCTTGGGCAAGGTGATTGAGTGCGTGGTTGCTGAACAACTCCAAGCACGCCTGGAGGAAACGGACCATTTGGATCCCTTCCAATCGGGATTCAGGCCTCACCATGGGACTGAAACTGCCTTGGTCGCGCTGGTTGATTATCTCCGGCGGGCTAGGGACAAAGGTGAGAGCTGTTTCCTAGTTCTGCTGGATCTCTCAGCGGCCTTTGACACCATCGACCATAACATCCTTCTGGACCGTCTAGAGGGGCTGGGAGCTGGGGGCACTGTCATACAGTGGTTCCGCTCCTTCCTCCTGGGCCGTGTCCAGAAAGTGGTGGGGGGGATGAGTGTTCAGACCCCTGGGCTCTCACTTGTGGAGTGCCTCAGGGTTCTGTCCTCTCCCCATGCTTTTAATATCTATATGAAGCCGCTGGGAGAGATCATCAGGCGGTTTGGACTGGGTGTTCATCAGTATGCAGATGACACCCAGCTCTACCTCTCCTTTAAATCAGAACCAGTGAAGGCGGTGAAGGTCCTGTGTGAGTGCCTGGAGGCGGTTGGAGGATGGATGGCGGCTAACAGATTGAGGTTGAATCCTGACAAGACAGAAGTACTGTTTTTGGGGGACAGGGAGCGGGTTGGTGTGGGGGATTCCCTGGTCTTGAATGGGGTAACTGTGCCCCTGAAGGACCAGGTGCGCAGCCTGGGAGTCATTTTGGACTCACAGCTGTCCATGGAGGCGCAGGTTAACTCTGTGTCCAGGGCAGCTGTCTACCAGCTCCACCTGGTACGCAGGCTAAGACCCTACCTGCCTGCAAACTGTCTCGCCAGAGTGGTGCATGCTCTAGTTATCTCATGCTTGGACTACTGCAACGCGCTCTACGTGGGGCTACCTTTGAAGGTGACCCGGAAACTGCAATTAATCCAGAATGCGGCAGCTAGACTGGTGACTGGGAGTGGCCGCCGGGACCACATAACACCGGTTCTGAGAGATCTGCATTGGCTCCCAGTACGTTTCCGAGCACGATTCAAAGTGTTGGTGCTGACCTTTAAAGCCCTAAACGGCCTCGGTCCTGTATACCTGAAGGAGCGTCTCCACCCCCATCATTCAGCCTGGACACTGAGATCCAGTGCCGAGGGCCTTCTGGCGGTTCCCTCATTGCGAGAAGTGAGGCTACAGGGAACCAGACAGAGGGCCTTCTCGGTGGGATGGGATAAAGCATCTGATGGAACGGCCTCCCATCAGATGTCAAAGAGATAAATAATTACCTGACATTCAGAAGACATCTTAAGGCAGCCCTGTTCAGGGAAGTTTTTAATATGTAACACTGTACTGTTTTTAACACTGATTGGAAGCTGCCCAGAGTGGCTGGGGAAACTCAGCCAGATGGGCGGGGTATAAATAATAAATTATTATTATTATTATTATTATTATTATCCTGCAAGAAAACCTCCTGGGTCTCTGCCCCCTGGAGCAAGGGAAGAGATCCAATCCCGGGTGGGGTAAGAGCTCCATCAGTGCCTTTCAGCAGCGGGGACACCCTACCCGTGAGTAAGGAGATGACCTCAGGGAGCAGGCAAGCGTACTGTTAGCATAAAAGAAATCCAAATCACAGCAATGCACAAATGCGGTTGCACAGGCGGACGCTCTTAAAAGAAATAAAGACCGCTTTATTGAACCGAGTAGCACACGGCATGTTACGCCCCATCGTGTCCGACAGATGAAGCTGATAAAACAGGCGTGGGGTGTTGCTGTTTTCTGAGAGAGAAGGGAAGGGGGTTTCAACATCCATTTGAACAGGCAATGATATGCCTCAGAGTCACGAGGGGCGAAGTGACAAAAATCCACGGCACGGCACATCGAGATGGGCGGCTACAAGGATGTTTGGGCAGGTCCAGAACCCAACCGTGTGTTCATTCATTCTCTCTCTCTCTCTGGATGTGGCTGCGCTGAGCGGCTAGTCCTCAGTTGTCCCGCCTCCGGTGACGGGAGGTAATGGCAGTCAGTCCCGGCACTGAATGAGAAACCAGTCCACTCACTTCTTGAGGTTGACTTGGAGCTTTTCAAAACGGGTCCAAGACGAGGGTTGTCTTCCTGCCCCCCAATTTTTTAAAAAACGCCAGAACTTGTGCTTGCTGCTTCCTTAAAACCCAGTCAAAGCAAAGTCATTAAATCGTAACACTACAGAAAGAACCCCACTCCTCTCGCCTTCAGCTCGAAGAGCTGCTTTCCCCCCATGGAAATTGGGGGGGGGTGTTTGGTGGGGGTGGAAGAATACACTTAAATACAACTTCATAAATATTAACATCATGGGAAAAAAACCAAACAACAAAAAAAGCTTGTGTTCTTTTCCTCCTCGCGGGACAAAAATAGACGATTCTGGGGATGTTTCCGAAGAGTCAAAGGGTGTCTAATATAGACATTTACTTAAAATAGAACTCTTAAAGAGAATTGTGGAGAGGGCAGGGTAAGGCAAGGAAGTAATTCCTCCAAACACAGAGCTGTGTTGTCACCTGGAGTTCTGTATGGCTAGAAAAACTGCATGAATTTAACTACTTTTCTGCATTATGAATGTTTAAAAAATAGAATCAATCAATTATTCCCGACATGTCGTCATACTTCCTGATCTCTTCTCCGTATTTAAGAGATCAGGAGCGCTCTGTTCGTCCTTCCTCCCCTATTCAGGGTTAAACAAGGTACACTTGTCAAGCCTGGGCAGAGTATAATGGCTAACCCTGGTTGTTCCTAAGGTGCAGCCCACCTGTGAAAAGCAAACCATGGGTAGTCAAAATTTGGCTACACCCACAGCAGGCACTGAAAAGGGGGGGGGGTATGTGAACTTGTGGGGCACTCCCTGTTCCTTACAGAAAAAAAGAAAGCGTTTTGCTTCAAGTTTAGGTTCCGGTGGAACTTCCGCTATACATCAACATTTTAAACAGAATAAAACCGGCCTGTCTTCATAAGCCTCTAAGCTTCTTACTGTGATTACTGACAGCAAGGGGGATATAAAAAAATACATTTAGGAGAAATATAAATTCTCTTGGTGGAATTCTCTAGGGAGGAAAGGGCTGTCATGATTTCAACTTGACCGTAAATGTAGAATATTACTTTTTTATATATATATATAAAAACCAACCCAAAAGTTATTGGCATGACACAAGTTCCAAACTGCCGAAGGGGCTCCTGTTTGGAAAGTTTAGTGATTATTTCACTAAGGTTTTATGCTACCTTCTTCCCCGCTCTCTCTCTCTCCTTAGTTTAAAGACCTAGTTGCTTTCTTCAGAGTCAAAGGGCATCGCAACCAGGAACGTTGTAGGAAACTTTCACTACGTACAAAAGAGGAAGTTGGCTGTTTTTATAAAGCAAAAGGAGCTGGAAAGCATCGGTGCTAAGATCTGAGCACAGATATATATGTGTGTATATATATGTATAATTAAAAAGAAACAAACCAGAAACCAGGGCATTTCAAATTTTTCTTTTTCTTTTTTAAAAAAGGAGGTTTATAAGTCTGGAGTCCCTTAAAGGACTTAATACTGAGAAAGGGAGGTGTCTTCCTCCCTCACAAAGGCCAGGGGGGATTAAGTTTGGTCCGCTAGTAAAATGCTGAAGGCTTAAAAACCGTCCTTGCTTCTGAGCAGACGTGCTTACAGTAGAGTTTAAAGGGGGCGAGGTGCTATCGCTTATGCTAAAATAAAAATAAAGATTTTAAAATGAGCAAGACGTCCTTGGATGTGTGACACACACCCCCTTCGCCCCCACCAAAAGGATAGTTTCTCCCTGGGAGAAAAGGCTGTTCTTGGTGCGTCAGAAGTTTCTTGACCTAAAAACGACATACGTTAAAAAAACAACAACCTAAAGAACCAACACCCCAATACGGCAGTTTGAAAGGGGGGGGGGAGTTTTAAATACAAGTTAAAAATAAAACGTCAACGTTCATCCTTTTGCAAAGCGTTCCAAGACCAACAGACACCCTGATTCCCCCCGACCTTCTGCTCCCGGGGAGGATCGGGAGCACAGAGAGAAGCCCCTCACAGCATCGAGACGTTCTCTGCTCAGACATTTGGGACCACCTAGAAGGGTACCTGTCCCTTCTTGAGACACAGCCTGGAAAACGCCTGTGGCTCAGGGAACGCTCTTCCGCCTGCGCCAGAGGAAACTCGGGGTCCCCCATGAGAGACCCGGCAGGCTTCAGGAAAGTTGGCGGATAACACTATTTTGCCGCAGGTGTGTGTGTGAGGGGCTGAGCCCCCCGTTTTGTCTGTTCAGATCAGTTAAAAGTTCTAGATATCAGCAGCCTGGGAAGGGCTGGAGGTTCAGTGCTCCACAGACAACGCAGAGAGCGTGGAGGAAAGTCTTCCGCTCACGTCTAAAGAAGGAATCCACCCCATGATATTTCACTGCAAAAAAAGAAAGAAAGAAAAGGGAGTTAGGCAGGTTTCAGGAAGGTTGTGCCTGCAGCTTAGGAGGAGATTTCTGTGGTGGAGTGGTGCATTGCAGGAGAAAAGGATATGCCATTTTTGGAAGGAGGCAAACTGAAATATCCTTGGGAAGAAATGAGGATTTTTTAAAAAGTGGAAAGTAGTACCAGTTCTGGATGAGGGGGATCAGAGAGTGCAAACCCTGAATCCAGTTCGGTTCTGATCTTGTGGGGTTTTATTTAACTACTGTGGCTAAAACAGGAACTTCTCTCGTGTTACCCTGGAAGTGGGAGCTACCTTAACAGGTCAGCTGCAAGCAGCAGCGTAACTCTGGAACTCCCTGCCTATTGACATCAGCAACTTCTCTGTACTCCTTTTGGTTTAGACTACATTTTTGTTTAGACAAGCCTTCCTAGACATAGATGCAGAATGTGGATGTGTGTTTTAATGTTTTTTTAGCTGATGTTTATCTTTTGAACATTTTAATAGTTGTTTTTATGGATACGGTCGTATCTCTGAAGTCGAACAGAATCCATTCCAGAAGTCCATTCGACTTCCGAAACGTTCGGCATCCAAAGCATGGCTTCTGATTGGCTGCAGGAAGCTCCTGCAGCCAATCAGAAGCCGCGGAAGCCTCGTCAGACGTTCGGCTTCCAAAAGAACATTCAAAAACCAGAATACTCACTGCTGGTTTTTGATCGTTCAGGAGCCTGAACATTCAACTCCCAAGGCGTTCAGGAGCCGAGGTACGACTGCAATTCTATTGTTTTATTCTCCTTGTAAACTGCTTTGGGATTCTTCTTTTTACAATGAAGTGGTGTGTAAAATTTATTAAACAAATAAGCATAGGCAAAGTCGAGAAGCGGCAGCCGGAGGTTTGCCAGTGCTTTGCTAGGTCTAACAGCGAGTTCCAAGAGTCCAATGCAGTTGCCAGGCGGGCACCAAGCTGGTGACCCGTCCTTCCTGTAAAATAAGACAACTTACAAAGCTGATCTCCGTCTCTGGCAAGTCTTCAAATTGCTCCGTCAGCTCAGAGGGACGTCCTGGTGCGGAGGGTCCTGGAGAAATGCTGGGTGGGGGCAGAGGGGAGAGGGGGAAAAAATAAGATGCTTTAAAAAGGGGCACTATGATTATGACGTGTGGCCTCCCCAGGTTACACTGCAAAGGCTGCTCAAAAACAGGACTGGTGTTCGTTTATGGTACCAGCTTTCGTGGGCAGGTGTTTGCTACAAAGGAATCCCTTCCTCCCCATAAGTGGCCAGCTGGTCGGTAGTAAGGACCTCTCCCCCAAAGAACCCCACAGCTGTATCAGGCCAAAGGAGGTTCATCTTGTCTAGCTTCCTGTTCTCACAGAGGCCAAACAGATGCCCCCAAGGGAAGCTCTTTAGCAGCATGTGAGAGTCACAGAGGAGGGAACCATCAAGATACAAGGAGATTCCCGTTGGTTCCCAGAGGGGTCTCAGGGCTGCTGGGTCTTTCCTTCGCCTCCACTGCAGGAAGGGGAAATATCAGCTCCTTGCTGATTAGTTTAATCCACAACACGCAGAAAAAAATCTCAGCCAAACCAACTGGTAAAAACCAAAGCTTGAGAGAGTTAGACCTTCCCATTCATCATTTCCATGGTGGGTGGTGGGGAGGGGGTGTTTGAGAAGTCAAAAATGTTATTGCTGGCAACTGGTTAGTGCTCTTGAAGCACAAGGGGATGAAAGGTGGGTCTTATTTCTGTATAGCCGCTTGCTTAGCCCTTCCCAAGTTCCTGTTGCTCTTTCTCTGATCTCGCTTCTTTTGAATCCAGTTAGCTTCTCCAGACCAACTCTCTGCCCCAACCTGAACCAAGAGAGAGTTCAGCTGCAGACAAAAGCTGATCTCACTAGAGGGAGAAAGTCTGTGTCTTGGCTGCAATCGCTTCCAGCTGCAGGTGGCAGTTTGATGGGATCTGGGCCTCTTCTATAAAAAATAAGAATGGCTGCAAGCAGGAAACCTCCCCTTCTCCCTGATGAACTAGCTTTCTACAGGCAGAAGAATTAAAACTGTGCAAAAGTCTTGAGTGCAGAATTACTGGCCGAGCGGGAATTAGACCTTGCTTAATGTAGCTCAACACCCCGCAGAAGGGGCGGGGGGACTAAACCCATGGCAGTTTCCAACTTGCAATAAGCCCAACATGCAATTCCACGCTGGGGGGGCTGTGCCTTAAGGGATGGGGATGACCATCATCTGTGGCCCTGCAGAGATTGCTGGAACTCCCAACTCCCATCAACCAGCACGGCCAACATTCAGGGATGATGGGAGTTGTAGTCTGGAAACATCTGGAGGGTCAGAGGTTCTTCCCATTCCTGGGTATTATTGGGACACCACACATTGATGGCTTCCTTGTCTGACAGGGTGAGTTTTTCACCTACTTGGGAGAACGTTGAACTAGCTACCTCTGAAGATAAGCTGTTTTCCTGTGACCTATGTGGAGATCAAGAGACAGACCTTTCATCATTCCTGAGACGACTGAGACCAGTGACCCCCCCAACTCCTTCCCTTCCCCCAAGATCTTCCGGGTTAAGGAAACCTCTCTTTTAAAAATAAAAATAAAATGGCAGCCTCTCTAAAATGTGCTGCATTTCAATAGACTGTTTCAGCTGAGAAAACACGCTATGTGCTGCGACAGCCGAAAAGGCAGATGGCAGAATAGGGGGGTATTTGTGTAGCAAGGGACAAAGTGAAGTGAAGGCTTCTTAAGGAAGAAGACTGCCTTAAAACACAATTGTTTTGCCGGCTTTTTAAAGCCTACTCCTGGGTTTTTCAATCCACGCATGTGCAAAACACAAACTGGCCTTTTCACAAGGTGGCACAAATACCTAGCTCCGATTTCTCTCTCTCCCCACACCCAATCTTCACAGGGGCTGGGAGAAGCTCCTCAAAAATGGGGCAATGGGGATCGTCTAAAAGTGCATGAGAAAGAGGAGAAGGAAGAATGTGTTCTGGAAGAACCCTGAGGGGCCAGTGCAAGGCAGGGAGGCGGCCAGGCGAACTGCTCACAGCCAACGCTGTTTCCCTGCCTTTGAAGCTGCGGCACCCAAACTCCCGAACACAATCCCCAGGGAGGCTCCCCTTGATGCTGTTTTGAGGACAGGATAAGCTGCCTTGGTTTCCCCCAGGTGTTTTTGATCCTGCCTTTTCATTTCTGTGCAGTCTTCACACACCTCTCTCAAAACGTATCATTTGTATGTTTTGATTGTGGCTGTTGTTTTCTTAAGATGTCCTGGGGGTCTATTTGAAGGGCAGGGCGGAAATCCACCAAAATAAAAGAAGTTGGCTGACAGGAGCTTATCGTGTCTTATTTATTTCTTTAATCCCACAATCTGTTCCGAGCCCTACAGAGAAGGGGGTGCTAAAAACCGGATTCAGATGCACCTCCCTAAGGGCTTCCTGGTTTGCGTAAAGACAGGCAAAGCAAGGCAGTCTCCACCTCCCTTTATCTATAAGCAATTTTCTTTTCCTTTTGGAACAGTTTCCGAACTTGTGAATAAACAGAACAAAAATGCCCCACCGGCTGGTCTGCGTTATGTCTCATCTCACCTACGGCTACTGCTGAGGCTGAACCTGGTCTTGCTAGAACACATGTCTGCATAGCTCTGCCTGTAACCTAGGCAAAGATTAAAAGGGGAAGGGGGAAGGGTTAAGTGCATCATTCTATGTGGGCGAGACTGAAAACACAGCTGAACACCAAGCTGTGAGAAACCCAGGGAAGCAGCCAGGCCCAGCCTTTAGAGTCTGCTTTCTGGGGCAGCTAAAGGAGGGCTTCAAGTCTGTATGGCTGACTGAGTGGGCAGGGAGGCGGGAATAGCAGCTTCGCTGGATCAGACCAATGGCCAATCTCAAATCCAGTATCCTTCTTTCCCATAATAGTTAGCCAGATGCCTCTGGGAATCTTTTCAGTCCACATTGTGGGGTGTTCTCCATCCCAGGTGTGGGTAGGCTGGGCTGCAATCAACAGGAACCTTTGCAGGATGGTTACGGGTGATGGGGAGGGCAGGGAGCAGACAAGGCATGGATTCCTGCTCTGCCCCTGCCATGTACAGTCACAGCAAAGAGGCATTTCAGCACAACGTTAAGAATAATCCAAACACCATCCAATCAGGACAGCAGAAAAGCCTCAAGTTCAAAGGTGAAAAAGAGACAGCTACTAAACCACGGTTCAGGTCTTGGCCCCCCACCCCTCACCTAGGGAAGGAGGTCTCCGGAGTCGGATCCTTTGAGGTACCTGATTTGTGAACTTCCACTCCTATAGACCTAAACAGAGAAATAAAAAGAGAGAGAAAGAGATGGAGAGAATTCCTGACTCTCAGTGGCAATGAACTCAGTGGTGAGGATCTAAGAATCTGAGCTGCTCTGCACAGTACTTTTTTGAAAAGGAACAAAAACAAAAACCAAAAACAGCTGGCAAGGCTGAACCAAGAAAACAAAAGTTCATATATATTCTTCCTCTTTTTTTCTCCTTTATCCTGGAGAAGAATCCCACCCCTGCAATTCACAATCCAATTTCCAAGCTGCTGATTCAGCAAGAGATGCAAATAAAATTTTAATCATTAGTCCAGGAGGGACTTCCCCCCCTTAAAAAAAAAACCACCAGCAGGTGGAGCTGCTAACTAACCCCCAACCCAGAACCACCCCTTTTTTATTTCCTTAAATCTCCTCTTCTCACCTTCTTGTTACATACAGGAGAGGGAATTTAAAGAGGGGGTGGAAATGGGGGTGAGGCTGGGTTGGGGATTGGTGATAAAGCAACAGAGAAGGGAAGGAACATTACATGAAAAGGGTGGCGGGAGAGAAATCAAGCTAGCTTGGTATATTTGTGTCAAGAAAGCGCAATTGCATTTCATCCAGTAAGGTGCAAAAGGGGGGAGAAGCAAGACAAGACAGACTTTTTAACCACAACTGATGAGTGACTTCAATTAAGCGCCTTCACAAAACCTGACAGCTCCCCACCTGAAGCTGTGATTTCCCTCATCTCTGTCTCTTCATGCCATGCAAATTTATATTTTAAAAGGGGAGATTCCCAAATGCAGGGGCTGACTCAGGTCACAAGGCCCCTGAGCAAAACTGCTTTTGGCAAAGAGCCTGTTGCAATTAAAACAGGGTTGTTGGGTTTTTTTTAAAGCTAGTCGTAAATGGCAATACCGCAGGTCGTGCAGTTGAAGCCTAAGCTTAGCAGGGTGGGCTGGGCTAAACACAGGAGCAGTTTTGAAGTCACATGCCAAAATCCTCTTGCCCCGCAAAGGCAAATCTTGAGATAATGAAGATATTGCCAAAGATCTTTGTGACAAAACAGCCAATCTACATTGGTGTTCTGCCTGGAGACTGGGGCATCTAATGTGGCTTGCAGCCTGCTTGGGTTTTTCTTCCTAAGCAAGCAGAGGTTGCGAGGCAGAAGTGAAGTCCTGATCCTACAGCTTCTAGTAACACCCCCCGAAAAGCCCTTGGGGAGCTCTAAGAACAGACCAACTGAATCAGAGCAAAAGTCTGTCTGCTCTGGTTTCCTGTCCCAAGCAGATGCCTTCCCTGAAAAGCTCACAAACAGGATGTTTTTAACACTCAATTGGGAGCCACCCAGAGTGGGGAAACTGGGGAACTCAGCCAGATGGGTGGGATATAATAATAATAATAATAATAATAATAATAAATATTATTAGAGCCCCCTACACACCCACACCCCTGAAATTCCATAGCTTCCTGCCTCTGAACCTCGGCTGCAGCCTGGTGTCTGTGTCCCTCATCTCCCTGTTGAACTTCGACTTATAGTAGACTAAAGGTCAGCGAGAGCAGGCAGACCCCAAGTGCACTCCTTGAGGGATGCCAGCTGGCCCACCAGCTGCCAGCTTCAAAGACAAAAAGAAGGGGGGAGAAGAATGCAAACCACAGTCAAATAAATTTGCTCTATTACAGGAGAGGGGAGGGACCAAAGGATCGGTGCAGCACACCTCAGTCACTTTCCCAAGGCACCCACTTCCCATCGGGGAAAGCCAGCTGCAAATCTGGGCTGCCATGACCACTGCCTGTGGATCCTCAGCCCTAGATCGCAGGATGCGACAGTTAATTTTGTAATAAAATAAGCCCAGCCTCACTTCGAACAGTCTTATGGCAGACTGCTTTCTACACATAAACACACATGGAAAACCTGCGAGTCAACAAGAAGCCAGCAGCCGGGCCCAGCCTTACCTGTTGGCTGGTGAATCGTGGCTTCTGCTCCCCAAGGAGGAGGTGGATAAGGTTGTGGCAGCTGAGTCGCTGTTTATTTCCTCTGCAAGGGGAGTGTGGGGGAGAAGGTCAGGGCGGCCCAGCTGGGAACCTGAGGAAGAGGGGAAAAGGGGTGGTCAAGCTCTAAAGCTGTAATTTGAGGATACTGCCCTACCCCACTCCACCCCAGACTAGTCTGAACAGCATCATGCTCAGAGAGACAAACAGAGGCCCCACCTCTGGCTAAATCCACCAATGGGCCGAGCCATTACGCACGGAAGGGGCATGAAAGCATTTGAACAGAAGAGTCTGGTCCCCCAACTTGTCTTTCCCCTGTCTCTGCGGAGGGTTTTTATGCAGGGAGCATGAAACCTCCCCGCTTGAAGCATGGAATGCTGCAGCCGAGCAACTGATGAAGACAACTCTGGGTGTCGCCACGGCTTGTCAGGCTGGGACAGGCAGGAAGGCCTTGGTCCCGACATGCCTCCTCGTCCTCCCCATTCTCCCCCCCCCAACCTCTGGGGAGCCACCAACCTTGCTCGACTTCCGCCTCCATCGTGAACTGCGCTTTTGCCTCGCACAGCCCTTGCACCTGGGATGGGGCGCCACCCTGCCCTGGCCGCCGGGGAGGTCCTGCACCAGACCGGCTCTTTTTCGAAGGGGAAGATTTAACTTGGAAAGGGAAAGAGAAACCACAGACGTGTATAGCAGATGTAGCCTTATTGGCAGCCTTTGTCTTGCCTATTAAGCAAGGCACAAGGCCTAACACACACAAAATATATGGGGGGTGGGGGTGGAAGGATACTCAAATCACTTGAAATAGAAAGCTTTTGAAGTAGCTGCGACTCAACAATAACCAAGTTAGGACCACGGGGGGGGGGGCGGGGGGGCGGAAATGGAACTGAAATGCCCAACATACTGTGGTTTAGTGGTTTCCCAAGGTCTTGAAGGGATGCTTTCTTTGGGGGTTTGCTGAGCAAGACCCGTTTTTGTAGTGGGCAGAGTGCTGAACTAGGATACGGGGGAGACCCCGGTACAAATCCCCACTCAGGCCAGGAAGCTGCCTGCATGTGAGCTTGGAGCCAGTCACTGCCTCTCAGTCCTCTCAAAGGGCTGTTGTGGAGACTAAGCGAGGAAGGGGAGAACCACGAGTGCCACTTTGAGCTCCTTAAGAGAAAAAAAGGTGGCACAGAATGCAACAAATAAATGAAACAGATAAGGTGTTGGGGCCTGAACCTTCACTTCAAGGCACGGGGCCTGATCCATCAGCTCACTGGCTCTGAAGCCGGGGCTGCGGGAGCTGCCTTGTTCCAAAGTCAGCCCACTGGTTCATCGTCACCAGTGTCACGTGCTCAAACAGGCAGCAGCTTTCAGAGGTCTCCTCAAGCCTGGCAGCTTTAACCAGATAGGCTGGATAGTCAACCCAGGGGCCATCGACAGGCAAAGCCTGGCACTGTGACTGAGCTTCAGCCTCTCTCCCTAAACATCCCAACCAAAAAGCCAAACCGAGAGGTTTCAATGGCTTCTTGACCACCTGCGGACTTCTGGGCGCTGTTGGACTCCCATCAGCAGGCATGGCTATTGCTGGTCAAGGTTTTTTAGAAGCTCCAAGGGTTTCTTATTGTCTTAACTCTGCAATTCTTTTTATTTGTACTGCTCTAACTTTTTGATGTTTGTCTCCCTGGGCTCCTTTGGGAGGAAGGGCAGAAAGTAAATATAATAATAATAATAATGATGATGATGATGATGATAGGAATGATGACAGGAGTCCTGCAAACATCTGGACTGGGCTAAGAACTGCTTAGATCATGTACCATCATGTATGGCAGGGTTTATTTTGGGTCTGCTGGGAATCCTTCCAAGGCACCGATGCAGCAGAATTGTCACACTATTTTCAGAGGGGCCCCAGAAAAGCCTGCTAGAGCTCTACCCACCCAGAACAGGGTACGTTTATGACCAGTGAACCTAAGTAACTTACAAGGGATTTTCTTGAAGACAACGTTACACATGAACCGCTGGAACCTTTCCGCGTAAAAACTGGGCCGGTGAACTGAAACTGTGTCCTGCAAAACAGCAATGAAGAGCCAAACGGCAAAGAGTCACATCAAGTAAACAAGGATGAAAGCAGGTGTGAGGGACTTTAAAGAAAACAAAACAACAACCAAGGCAACAAAATTTAAATCGGAATAAAACCAGCAACAATTTGCCCACATACTACAAGAAAGCCACCTCAAAAGCTGACATCTACACAATACATGGCCAGAAAAAAATTGACCAGAAACTGATAATTCTTATCAAAATGGCCCATTGTACGCCAGAAAAGAAATCAAAAACTGGTGCCCAAAAAGATGTTTGGTGTCAGGTGGGCTTCTCTAGAGAAACCACCCCAAAAGCATTAAGGAGCGTTCACCCCAAAAGCTTCAATCTATTTACTGAAAACAACAACAAACTATTACACCATCTAGTTCCAGGAAGAAACTCAAGGCAGGTAACAAATAAAAAACACCACAAAATGACTGGATCTTTGCATCTGCAGGCTCTGGTCTCCCCCCACCCCCCAAAGAAATGACAGCCCAAAATGACATACAAAAGCGGGGGGAAGGGAATAGGGTTCTCTCTCTCTCCTTTACACCCTCCCTTTCCTCCCTCTTCAGAGCAAAAGCAAACAATCGTCACCACCCAGCACTTCCCAGACAAGACAGAACAACAAGAAGCAGTGGGTTTTGGCTGCTCACCCCATCATGAACAAGGGCTTTCCACGAGTGCTCCAACTTCTTAATGAACCTAGTAAGGAAGATTTTGAAAGGTGGGGACAAGTTAGCCTCGCAGATTTTAAAATCAGTGCATTTTTTGGAGGGAGGGGAGAAGAGGAGACAAAGCAACCTGCCACTCTTCCTAACCCCATGTTTTGTCCATCCATCTTGCCTGTAATCCAAGCCTCCCAAATTCAGCTTCCTTCCAGAGGGACGCTCTAGGCCTCGCCAGGAGGATTACCTTGTCTGCTCCTGGATCCCCTGGTTTTGCTATTCCCCCAATTCTTAATAAATAAAATGGCTGATTCTAAACATGTCTGGTTAGCCTCGAATCTCAAACACAAAGCAGGCAGATTTCTACTTTTGTGGTTTTTTTCCTGCAAACACATGCACACATCCCTCAACTCTGAAGTTTAACTGGCTGCAACTCACCACCGAGTGGTTTGTTGCCTTGACGCCACAGAAACACTTTGCTAACCGTGCAATACGCTGAGAAAATTCCTGGCCAGAGCAAGCCACCGCCTGCTCCCTTTCCTCTCGCCTGACTCCCAGCCCATGTTATCACTTCCTGTACACTTCCTTCGGCACAACAACTCAACCCGATCTGCAGCCTAATTTGCGAGGGCTTGCCCGCTCAGCCTGCTTCGTCAGTCTTAATTACTTCCAGCGAGCAGGAGATTCATCGTTTGCCTGTCGCCATTTCCTAGGCGGCGAAGGCAGCCCTGCACCTCTTTGGGTTCCCCTCTGACGGCTTTAACTGTTATGCTTTGGCCTGCTGAACTGATTGCCTCTGCATCTCCTCACAGCCACAGTAAGTTTTGTATCTAGGGGAATGCAAGGCAGCAGTTTTCCTTGGACTTGAGATAAAATCCCAAAGCAGAAAAGCTCAGCCCTTAGGGAAGGCCAAGTCCTGTCCCTTTCAGAGGGGTCCTCTAACTTCTAGATGGGAATTGGGACTCTAGCCACACCTGGAGAGCCAGAGGTTAGCCACATCAGAGGTGGGGAACTATTTGTCAACCCAAGGGCTGTTTTCTTCTGTGTGGCAAGACTTTGGGGGGTGAGGGCACACACGCCAGTGGTGGATGGGGCCAGAGGTCAGAGCAGGAGGGGCAATGGGCCGGTCTTTGTACATTCCAGCTATGCAGATGCTGGAAAGGCACCAGCATCACAAAGGCACCTCTCCCCATCCAGCCAAGCGAGAGGCACAATCACAGTTCTCAAGGGGAAGAGTTCCTTTGGTGGGCGAGTCCTAAGGGCTGGGCAGAGAAGCCCAGAGGGCTGCATCTGGCCTCTAGCTTTTGCCATCTGTGCTGGTCAGGGATGATGGGAGATGTAGTCCAGCAACCTCTGGAGGGCCCCAGGTTGGCAATGGCTGGACAAAGCGGTAGGAACATAAGAAGAGACCTGCTGGATCAGGCCAATGGCCCATCTAGTCCAGCATCCTGTTCTCACACTGGCCGACCAGATGCCTGTGGGAAACCCACAAGGAGTATTCGAGCACAACAATCACTTCCTGGGGTTTCCAGCAACTGGTATTCAGAAGCCTGCAACTGTGGAAGCCGAGCAAAGCCATCACGATACGAAGTTGGAGACTCCTCACCTGTAAGATTGCAGCACGTCGATGATCCCCACGTAGAGAAGCAGCCTCTCTCCCTTGGCGTTCCGGGCCGGGATCCCTCCCATTCTGTGCAAGAAAAAAAGAAAAAAGAGTCCAGTCTCAGAAGGTGCCCCAGCCCAGCCAAAAGGCATTTCCACCCACTGCTCCCCCCCCTGTGGTTCAGCCCCACGCAGAGCCCATTGGCAACAGTTAGGCCTGGCTTGCCCCTTGGCCAAATGCCCACACACAAAGCGGGGAAAGGACTGGCTCGCAGCATGAGAACAGCCAGGTCAACAGTTTGGGGGAGAGGCATTTGGAAAGCTCTTGAACAAAAGGCTTTGTGAGGGTTGACGCCAAGGGAACCGCTGCTCAGCTGTCACACGGTCTTCCCCAAACCTGCTGCTCCCTCCAGTCATTTGAGATGAACGAGTCCCGGAAACCCCCAAAGCAGCTGGAAATGCCCTGAGTTGGGCTGGTTTAACGGCTGATCTAAGGAGCCTCCGAGGGGAAGGAGCAGCTCACGGGATCCAGGGCCTGGACTTCACAAGACAACACAGAGGACAGAGGTTAGCACCTCTCCCCCGGGCATCTGCCTGCCCCCCCCCGGCTCCTATAGGTTAGAATTATCAGTCCAAGGATCTAAATCTTATGAGGATTGCATGCACCTCTCATGAATTCAGAGCAATTTAGCTTCAGAGACCTGCTTCTGAAACGTAACTGATCTGGCATAGGGCAGCTTCCTTGGAGATAACAGACGCAGGAGGAAAAGTGAGGACTCTGGCAGGTGAACTCTCTGGGGCCCCCATTTCAAAGGATAGTTGTTGAGGTGCTGCCAACCCCCACAAGCCCCCATGAAATTTAGAGCTCCAACCTGCTCTCTAGGACAGCTACAGCCCACTTTTCCCATCAGCATGAAATGTTGCACAAAGATAAATACACAGATGTCCTTCATCTGCATAATTCAGTGCAGGCAACAAAACCAGGGACTCAGATCTTGCTTCTCGCCTGGTTGGCTGGGCACCCCCGTTCCAAAGCGGCCAGAGACTTACTGGTCATCTGTTTCAATGGTGCCGCCTCGCCGGGCTTCCCCCTGGATGGCCTCCATCGCTGTGGAGTACAGGGCCTTCTGGGGGGCTGGCCGCCGAGTGTCCGCCACGGCCGCCCCATCCGCCACGGCGCGCTCCCGCTGAGCCAGGTCGAGGTTGTGGACTGCCACGAGCAAGCTGTAGTCCATGATTTTGAAGCTCTGCAAAACCTGAAGTATCAAAAGCACACAGGTAACAATGCCGCCGGTATGTTCTAAAAACCAGGATCTAACTAGATTGAGGTATGCGGAACTTGTGGCCCACCCCATGGGAGCTAGAATCCAGCTTGATTTAGCAAGCATCAAATTTCCTTCCCCTGAGCTAGCAAAGGGGAGTCTGTGCTATGTTGTTTGTTCCTAGCCATTTTTTTAGTACAGTTTTCGAACATAATCCATTTTGGAAGACAGTTCAACTTCTGAAACATTTGAAAACCGAGGATCAATGGGCGGCCAGCAAAATCCATTGAAAAAATGGAAAAACATGCAGCGGAAGCCATTCGACTTCCAAGGCATGTTCAAAAACGGAAGCAATTACTTCCGGGTTTTCGGCGTTCGGGTTCTGAATCGTTCAGCTCCCGAGATACTCAAAAACTGAGGTTCCACAGTACTCTCTTTACATTTGCAAGCTCCACACCTGCTCAGAGGCCCCAGCTGCCGCAACTCAGTGTGTGAGCAGAAGCTGCCTGGTGACCCCCGAGCCTTGGGTGGAAACAACTTTCCTCCTCCCACGTACCAAGCAGTCTCTCTGCAGGGTCTTGCACAAGGCGCTGTACATGTCAGCATCCAGGAAGAGGCCGTCGGCAATGTCCTGCATGAAATCCAGGTCCTTGTAGGTGGGGAAGACCTTTTCCCGCTCCTTCTGGGAAGCCCGGCGCTTGTAGGTGGAGCCTTTCAGGTCGTACTTCTGGTGCATGCGCACCGAGCGGGGCAGCAGGTTGTTCATCACCACAATCCGGATGTTCTTGCCGCCAGCCTGCACACAGTAGAGGCCGTAGAACTTGGGGAGGAGGGTCCGGGGGTTCTGGTTCAAGTTCTGCAATAGCGGGGTCAGGGAGGGGGGGAAAACCAAAGTTCTCATTGCAAAGTCAAAGGGAAATAAAGATAATAACAAGTTCAGAGCTGGGTAGCTCCAAAAAGTCACCCCTCCCAGAATGAAGAGTAGTTTAAGCATCATTATATTTAATAAAACCTCTCATTCAGCGTATGCGGCTTTAAAAACAAAAAACCAGGGAGACAACATCGGATTGTTCTGTCGCATCCCAAGTCGCCTGGCTCTCCCTCCCAGCTGACTCACCATGTAGTAACCCGGCAGCAGCTTCTGCAAGAACTCTGCCTCTTTGTGCTGAACTGTTTTGATGATGAACTCGTCGTCGCTGGAGACGTAGAAGATGGAGCCGCTGGCTCCGGAGTTGGAGAGCTCGATGAGGGGCTCACTGCAAAGGGAGCACTGCGGGGAGAGAAGGCAACAGAAGAAATGGAGGAGGACATTCTCACAGGCTTCTAGCCTTGCCTCTCTGGACACAATGCCAGAGTTTCAGACAAGGGGCATCCCCAGCTCCACCTGGAGATGGTAGGGGTTAAAACCTGAGAGTTTTTACATGCAAGGCTGAGTTACAGCCCCACAATAACGAAAAGCAACCGAAAGACATCCCAGTGGCGCTCTTTCTCCAAGCCAGCTCCCAACGCTCAGGGAGTTGCTTGTTCCTGCTCAGTGCCGCTCAAAGTGTAGAGACTGATCTGGATCATTCCACCAGAGGAACTTCTGTTCTGCCCATTTTAAGTGCAGCAGTCAGACTGAAATCTACCCACTCCACCCCGTCGCAACTCATCTCTGTCTGGAGAGAAGATGGGGAAGTCTTCTTAAAAAACTATCGGGCACCTGCCTCCACTCACCAGGTAGTCATCCGGCCGGATCCCAAACAGTTCACGGAAATAGCGGAAGGCGACAGGAGCGTAGGTTTTGAAGCGGAAATCGTTGTAGTGATGGGCCGGGGTGAGGTTGCTGCCTTCACTGGAGATTGAGAGGACAGAGGCAAATGAGCACCGCACTCTTTCTGAGTCGCCACCATCTGCTAAAAGCGTCTGGTTCTCAAACCTTCTACCTGCACGGTCACTTTCCGTATCAGTTGAGTCTGTATCTGTGGCTCTGCTATGAAACTGGTACACAGCGCAGAGGGTTCTGGGAAGGCCCTAAGAAGCATCGTTGGCCCACACTGGCCCGCTGAGCCATGCCTTCACCCCTGTGTGAGCTAAAGATGCCCCCAAGAATGTGCCGCAGGGACACCAGTCTGTCATTTATGTGGAACCGCTAGTAAGCTTTCCAGGGAAGCCATCAGGGTTCCTTGCAAGAGTTTTGCTGAAGACTGCTGAGCTCTGGAGAAACGGTGTCCCTTAGCCTCTGTGTCTATGTGCCACAAAGTATAAACAGTGGCGACCCTCCAAAAATGGGGCTCTTCTTCTTCCAGTGGGGTGGGAAACTTGCATCCCCCCCCCAGACACTCCTGGACTCCAATGCCCATCATCTTTGACTATAGGTCACACTGGGCCTGGGACCCCTTTTCTTTAACTCTGTTTATAACATTGGGAGTGCAAGTAGCTCTATTCTGTTGTATTTTTGAATCCCCCCCTTTTAAAAATGGTTTGTTTCTTATATTGTGTTCCAATGGATTTGTTAAAAGGCATTTGTTGCAAGCAGCCCAGAAAATGCTGTGAAATGGGGTGAGATTCAAATGCTGTAAATAAACTAATGAGAGGTGGAAGCCCAAAACATCTGGATGGCTGCAAGTTCCCTTGGAGGCTCAAGGCCCCTGTGCCTTAATGTTTTGTCCACAGCCTCAAATTCTGAGCTGCCTAGTCAGCTGGGGTCTTATACTGGGACAGACCATTGGCCCACTGTGTCCAATACTGCCTACCCTGACTAGCAACTTTCAGGTAAGCGGCATATTTTATGGAAAGGGCTGTGGCTGAGTGGTAGCGTACCTGCCTCAATCTCCATGGCATCTGCTGGGGTGGGGGGTGGGGGGAGAATCCCTCTGGGAAACCCTGGAGTGTTGCTGCCAGTCGGTGTAGACTACACTGAGTTAGATGGATCAATGGCCTGACTCAACCAGCTTCCTGTTTAAAACATTCCTTTATCCCAAACCATGAGGACTAGAATTACTTTATTTTTAGAGGAAAGTCAGTGGTAAGATCACTGGTGGCTCCCCAAGTTCAGTCCCTGGCATCTCCACGTACGGCTGGGGATGTCACCTGCCAGCTACTCAGGAGAGCTGCTACCAGTCAGTGTGGCCAATACTAAGCTAGTCCGGCCAGTGGTCTGACTCAGTATTAGGTAGCATCCTCTGTTTCCTGGGTCTCGAGCAGAGCAACATGTGTCCTGGAACCTGCTCCCTGAGATGGAAACGCCAGAGGTTGAAGCTGAGAGTTTCTGCGTGTGAAGCACAGACTCTTCCAGGGCTCACAGCTTGGTGCCTGTTTTATTTCTATTGGTTTTGCCATTTTAAAAAAGTGTCGCTGGACTCCCTTCTGCCATGCCCCGCCTGCTGCCTGCACTCAAGATGGGGACAACTGGAAAATGTAAAAACACTTACCCCGGGAAGAAGATGCTCTCCACTACGTAGAAGTCTTGCATGAGGACATCTCGCTCTGGCTTGGTGCTTAGGCTCCCCACCGTGTGGGTGATCCCAAGCTGGATGGCACCTTTGAGGGCCGACGAAGTTGTCTGGAGGGGGAAACAGAGAACTGGCATTAGTGTCTCCTATGTAGGATTCCGCAGGACACCCCCAAGCACGTTCTTTTGGACGCAAGCGAAGAACGTCAGCATTCCACCACGCTTTTGGAAACTCCAAATTTTACCCTAACCCTGCTGATTAAAGCATTTTATTTTTTTAAGGTTGAAAACTCCTCTGTAGGAGAATGGGAAAGGGATAATTGTGGACAATAGGGCTGTTGATAGTTAAAAAGAAGGTACCTTTTATCATATGTAGTGGTCACGTAAGGCAATAAAGGATTTCTGGGAAATGATATATAATGAACTGAAAATAAATGTTTAAAATAACTTTTGTAAAAAACCTAGAAGCCTTTTTATTAGGAATTATAGGTACCGATATCCGAAAGGAACAGAAAAGACTCTTTATGTACGTGACAACAGAAGTAGAGATGCCACTAGCCCAGAGATGGAAAGAAGAAAGAGTCCCTACCAGAGAGAAATGGCAAGCCAAGCTGTTAAGACTACGCAGAAATGGCAAAACTGACTGGAAAAGCTCAGGGACCAAGAGGACAAAAACTTCAAGAATGGGAAAAGTTTATAATTTATTTAGGAGAGCACTGCACGCAGATGAAAACATCAGTCGGATTTTAATCTCACTTGTAATGCAACAAACACTATGGACAATATGGGTAGATATAAAATATAGATTATGAAATAACATGCAGTTGAAAATGTTGACAACAGGACCCATGGAGGGGGTGGGGAGGAAGTCTTGAGATTCAGAGAAATCTCTTTATAAGGAAATGTATTTGGTACAGTGGTACCTCGGGTTAAGTACAGTACTTGTAAAATCAAATAAAAACGATTTTAAAAAACGATAGTTCAACTGTGGAAGTCGCTCCCACAGGAAGCAGGGATGGCCACCAACTTGGGATGGTTTTAAAAGAAGAATGGACAAATTTAGGGAGGACATGACTACCCATGGCTACTAGCCAGGATACCTCTGCTCGGCCTTCATGGTCAGAGGCACTAATGCTTCTGAATATCCACTGCTGGAAACTGCAGGAGAGAGAGTTGCTCTTGGGCTCAGGTCTTGCTTGAAGGTTTCCTAAAGGAATCTGATTGGCCACCGTGAGAACAGGATGCTGGACTAGATGGGCCGCTGGCCTGATTCAGCGGTCTTATTCCTATGAGAACTTCACACAACACTGAAGAACTAGAGTTGACCACAAGATGTGGCTGTGCCAGCTACAGTCCAAAACATCTGGAGGGCTCCAGCTTGGGAAAGGCTGCATTGGAGCTACCCTACCCTTACCAAGTATTGTGAAGGTGCATTTAGTGAATTATCACAAGCTGTGCTGCTTACATTTCAGGGCCAAGTGACCCACCAATTTGCCATCTCTCCTTCCCCATCTACACTGATGTTTAAGCTACCTACCAACTGAAGAAAACACCTGTGTCTGATAAGGTACAAACATAAAAGCCTGCTGGATCAGGCCAATGGCTCATCTAGTCCAGCATCCTGTTCTCTCAGTGGTCAACCAGACCTGTGGGAAACCCATGAGGAGCATTTGAGCACAAGAGCCCTCTCCCCTGCTGTGTTTTCCAGCAACTGGTATTCAGAAGCATTGCTGACTCCAACTGTGAATAATAATAATAATAATAATAATAATAATAATAATAATTTATTTATACCCAGCCACTCCGGGCAGCTTCCAACAAAATATTATAATACTATAGTCTGTCAAACATTAAAAGCTTCCTTAAACAGGGCTGCCTTCAGATGTCTTCTAAAAGTCTGGTAGTTGTTCTTCTCTTTGACATCTGATGGGAGGGCGTTCCACAGGACAGGTGCCACTACTGAGAAGGCCCTCTGCCTGGTTCCCTGTAACTTGGCTTCTCGCAGGGAGGGAACCGCCAGAAGGCCCTCGGCAATGGAACTCAGTGTCCGGGCTGAACGACGGGGGTGGAGACGCTCCTTCAGGTATACTGGGCCGAGGCCGTTTGGGGCTTAAAAGGTCGGCACCAACACTTTGAATTGTGCTCGGAAACGTACTGGGAGCCAATGTAGGTCTTTCAAGAGCATAGCCATCCCAGCTAGCAGCCTTCAATAGCCCTCTCCTCCTCCATGAATTTGTCTAATCCTCTTTTAAAGCATCTGCTGTAAGCGATCACTTCCTCCTGTGGGAGTGAATTTCATAGTTCAACTACAGCCTGCAGAAGCTTCTGCTGCGATAAATCCATCAGCCTTTCGAGAAAGGTTCCACAAGACTTTCTGTTGCATTTTTAAATAGGCAGTTTAGTCTGCAAAATAATGAAAGAAGCCCAGCCGGTGCAGAACATGGCAATGGGCTTTTGCTCAGCGGAGCTTCTTAGAATGCATGCAGAACACTGGTGCTGAAAAGAACTGCGCTGGCTGCCAGTTAGCTACTAAGCCAAGTTCAAGGTGCTCATTCTGGTATTTTAATTGAGATTTTATGGCTGCGTTTTGGCTTTCCTTAAAAGAAAAAGCAATATACACATCCTTTAGATATAAAATAAAATAAATCTGCCTTGGGAACTCTGCTGGAACCTCATGACGCAAACCGTCCCCGGCCCGTCCCCCCACAAAAAACATAAAAGCTGCTGCATTGAAGACAAAATCCAGGTAAATATATATCTGCTACTGCCAGGCCCAGATCAGATCACCGCTTATCTTCCAAATGGCTCCAGGCGTCTCCGTCTGCAAGAAGCGATTACGTACTATACTTTTATCTGGCTTTTTGGACAATTATCGCCTCCAACTGTGGCTCACAAATATTTAACAAGAGAAGAAGAGGGTGGTGGTGTCCTGGCATTAGGCTTACACACATAAAAACATATCAACAAGGAGGCAAGATGAAAAGGGGGCAGGGAGTGGAAGAAAAGGCCCTTGAGAAGGTAATCGACAGCTCTTGGCCAGGGCTACCAATTTGCTAGGAAAGATATAGGCAGCTGCCAAAGGAACAATAAGGTGACACCTCTTTATTTGGACAGACTAACAATTGTGAGCAAGCTTTCGAGCTGTCAAAATTCTTCTTCAGGCATAACGTTAAGCAAAAGGCGGGAGACGGGATAGAAAGAAAATGCTGAACAGTCCCAAAGCTTGTCGTTGATGAGAGATTTAAGACAGAATATGGGAGAGACTAAGCAGACTTCAGATTATCTTCCTTGGGGTGAAGTTTGTCTGAATCAAGGCTCATAGATAAACTCGCCCCTCACTGACTATGGACTGTAACCAAGAACAACCCTTAAGTCAGTGTGTTGCTTAACTGCAGCTCCCATCAGTCTAAGCGAGTAGGGTCAGTGGTGGGGGATCATGATGGGAGTTGTAGTTCAGCAACATCCGGGGGCCAAACGTTCCTCCCCATGCCTGACTTAAGTTAGAGGCATGCAGAATGTTCATGGGGACAGGAGAGGCAAATGGTGGAACACCACAAATCAACAGCCAGTTTTGAATGCTGTGAAACAGAGGAATTCACAAAAGGGAGAAACAAGATAAATCTGTGTATGTTGCAGGACCGAGGAGAAAAACGAAGCACCAGCTCTATTCAAAACGCATGCTTGTCTGGGGGAATGGGTGCGCCCAGGCAAGCCTGCTGCGCGGTGCCCAATATTATTCATTGTTTTCTATCAGGCCTGTCTGAGAATGTGATGGAAGGACGCACCCCGACAACGGCCTCACTGGATTCAAGTTCCGTCTCGTTCAGCAATTTCTAACACCAGCCAGGCTGTGCACCTCTGGGAAACACACAAGCCAGCCACAAAGGAGAAAAATCACCTCCCTTTTGCCCTTAGAATCCAGCCTTGGTAGACTTCCTTTGCACACGGAGGTTTCACTTAGCTATTGGGGGTGATGGCAAGAGTTTGCTATCCTTCACGAATGCGTAAGAACCCAAGAAGTTGAATCGGGCCAAAGGGAGCCCACCCGGTGCAGCAGCCGGTTATTGAAGTGGCCAACCAGATGCCCCGATGGAAAGTCAGTAAGCTGTTCCCGAGCGCAACAGCAGCTGTCTCCTCTTGTGGTTCCCAGCAACAGGCATTCAGAGGCATATTGCTGCCTCTGAGCAGAAGCAGAACATAGCCATGCCAGCTAGTAGCCACTCAGAACCTTCTAAACACCTTCTGAAGCCATCCAACTTGGCAGCCATACACGTGGGAGTGAATTCCCCTGTTTCGCTATGCCTTGCGTAGGGCTCAGAAGAGCCCTACTGGATCAGGGTGAAGGCTTGTCTAGTTCAGCCTCCTGATCTCACAGGAGCCAAGCAGATGCCCCCAAAGCAGCAAAAGAACTTGCATTCCCCCCACTTGCAATTCCCAGCAGCTGCCATTTAGAGGCCTCCTGCAACCTGACAGTGGAGGCAGAACATAATATCTGATTGTGCCTGCAGACATGCATTTTTGGACTCTGCAGCAGCTGAAGGAAGGCTGAAAAACCAAAACTGACTCTTTACAAGACAGAGGAACTGTGGGTAGTTCCTGGGTCTGGGAAAATAGGTTCATCCTGCTCTGGTGGGGGTTTCACTTCCCCAGACAGAGCAGCTACACAGAGAGTGGGGCCTATCAGGGCAGCTCAATTTGCCCCCCAAACGAAGTACTGGTCCATGATATCATCAGGCGTCGCTACAAGACAACACTCAAGGAAAAAGTGGTGCTGGTTGAGGTGGGGTTGGAAGGAGGCAAAACTTCTTGCCTTGGCTGGAAACCTTTTCAAACTCCTACTTTACCCAGGTTAGACATTTGTCACCTTAAAAGAAAATGAAAACGAGGGGGAGGTTTTCCAGGCTGGGTGCTTAGGGGAGATTCCTGCTCGCCACAGGAGACCAGGAAAGTGGGCCCATTGGCAAGGCTGGTGCCAAACGGTTCTTGAGAGTGTGAGTTTCCTTGCAGGGCTCCTAGCAACAGTACAAGCTGCTCGCGGGGAAATCCCCTGCTCCTTGTTCCTTTCCGCCTTCCCATCCCAATGCAAACTCCCTAAGAGCCAAGATCAGATTTCGAAGATCGCAGCCAAATTGGTGCTGGGGTTTTTCCGCCTGTCCCAACCCCAGGATGAAAGGAAACCCTGTGACCTGCCTTCGACAGCCATCGTTCGTCTCCAATGTCAGACAAAAAAGCTTCAGCTTCACTCTTTAATCTGCTGAGATAAAGATCCAAGGTGGAGGCAGCTCCACCTTGGAGACTCATCAACACAGGGATAATTGTAAGGTTAGGACTGCTTACCAGTCCTGTTCCTTGCTGGAGGATTTTTTGGGGGGGAGGCGGGCACGGTGGGAGAGGAGAAAAGATAACAAGAAGCTCAGTAGCCTTTGCTACTGAACCACACCAGAATAGAATCTAGCACTGTGTGCTGCAGAAACCCAAGTCTCGAGAACCTGAAGGCTTTTTAAAACAGCCACCACCACCCAGTTTCTAACTCTAACGCCAGAGAGGGAACTGCTTGCGTTTCTTATGGATCAGAGGAAGGGTGTCAAGCTGAGATTGTGCCTAACTGTGCAGAGTCAGAAGTCCTCTCCCAGCTAGTTCAAAAGTGTATGAAACTGCCTTTAGAAGTACCTGTGCGACGCTACCTTCAGTCCCCTCCTCAAAGCCCACCATTTCTGCAAAGCCTCTGCCGCAACCTCTTAACCCCCACAATCCACTTTAGCCAAATGCAAGCACATGCAGCTGGAATAATGGCATACCACTGGATTATGGACTGTTTATCTGTACAGTGTGGAAAAGTTCCATGCACGTAGATGGTGAGATATACATAAAAATAAAGAGGTTAAATAGGAACATAAGAAGCTGCCTTATACTGAGTAGGGCCCTTGGTCCATTTAGCTCAGTACTGTCTCCGCTGATAGGAAGCAACTCTCCAGGGTTGCAGGAAATGGAGTCTTCCGCAGCCCTGCCTGCAAATGCCACCGGGGACTGAACCTGGGACCTTCTGCAGATGCTCCACCTAAAAAGAAGATCCTAGTCCTCATGGTTCTGAACAAAGGACTACAATAGTTTTACAGTGGTACCTCGGGTTACATACGTTTCAGGTTACATACGTTTCAGGTTACAGACTCCGCTAACCCAGAAATAGTACCTCAGGTTAAGAACTTTGCTTCAGGATGAGAACAGAAATCGTGCTCCAGCGGTGCAGCGACAGCAGGAGGCCCCATTAGCTAAAGTGGTGCTTCAGGTTAAGAACAGTTTCAGGTTAAGAACGGACCTCCGGAACGAATTAAGTACTTAACCCGAGGTACCACTGTAGTAGGAATTTGCCTTATATCAAGTCCCTTGTCCATCTTGCTCAGTAATGTCAGCACTGACTAGCAGCAACTCTGGTTTCAGGCAGGGTGTCTTTCCCAGCCCTGCCTGGAGATGCTAAGCTAGGACCTTCTGCATGCAAAGCAGATGCTCCACCCACTGAGCTACAGCCCTTTCCACAGCCATGGACACCCTCAGCTAAAACCCTACTCTCTCCACTTCAGCCTCTCTAAATCTGAAACACAGGGAAAGCAAACTGGACCCACTCTAGAGGGTTGTCATCAAGGATCCCTGAGCCAATATATGTAAAGGCTTGGACGTGGGTAGCCAGCATGGGGCCCTCCAAATGAGGTTGGGACTCCCAGCTACCCTGAGCCCCAGCCAGCGTGATCAATGGTCAGGGATGATGGCAGTTGTGGTCTGAAACCACAGCATCCAGACAGCACCACGCTAGGTACCTTTGGGCTAAGAAACAGAACTAGCAGTGACTTGTGAGGTGCTGGAAGACTCTGAGCATAAAACCGCCCTGTACTATCAAGCACTTTGCAAAGCAGAACTGAGCAACAGGCACAGCCTGTGTCACAGAACTCTGATTGCCCATGCCTGTCCAATAAACAGACTGATACTAGGAGGCTGAGCTAGGGAGATGGGTCATATGTGGCAGGACGGAAGGGGAAAAAATCCACACCAAAGGCCGTCCGCTCTTGGTTACAAGTTTCAGTGCCTACCTTGATTTACAAACAGGCATGTGGGGTTGCAATATTTGCGTGCCACTGGAGAGCTAGAAGAGCAAACGCCACACAAGAAGAAGCCAACCCCCACCGCCTTGGGGGAAGGAGGGTGCCGGTAAACGCGCAAAACAACAGATCAAAAGGAAACAGGAAGTGGATCTCTCTCTCGAGCACAGCTGCCCTGGTGAGATTCCAGAGCACACAAATGAAAAAAGGAACATAAATATTTGCAGCCTGATCTTCAGTGCCAGAAGTCAAGAGCCTCCGAGTAAATGTCAGGAGGAAGTACTCTGAAATTATGAGGGAATTAAGAACGGCCTCTCCAGCTCATCCATGTTGGGAGCACTAGCGATGACTCTTCCCAAATGCCAGGAGTATCTCCTCTCTACTACAATTCACGAGTTCCTCCCTTCCCTGTCGCCACAGTCTTTTGCACATGTTTTGAATTCCAGAAGAGATCGGCAATCCCCACCCAGAAGGCCGCAACTTACAGAAAAAGACAGGCGTCGGAACGGACTGATCGTGTCAACCTCCATTTCATCCAGGTGCAGGGAATTGGCTCTGGGTCAGAGCGAGCTGGAGCATAGCTGTTCAACGTCAAACTACGTTGGGTCCCGAAGAGTCCCACGTTCAGCCCGCATGCCGGCAAGAGAGATACGCGTCCACCATAGTTTGGTTCAAAAAGGAGAAAGAAATCCCTGGCTGGCTGGCCAGTGCTGTCTCCCGACAGCAAGGAGGAATTGAGAAACTCCTGAAATGGGGGCAGGGGGGTGGGAGGGAAAGTCGGGGACCTTCTTTCCAAAGGCTTAAGAGAAATCTCTGTGCTGGGACAGTGACGCCGCAGTGGGACGGTTCGGCCTTTGAGCCCCTGGGATCTCCCGACATGTGACCATCAAGCGCTGCTTGCAAAGTTTTGACGTTTACCTGGATTGCTCCAGCCTTTTATGCTCAGCCGGGTGACTCAGGTGCTGGAGGCTGCTGGGCGGAATCTGCTGAGGGAGGAGGGGCGGAGGGGGAGGGAGGGACATGCACACGCAAACACACTCCAGGGAAGAGAGAGGGAGACGGAGACACAGAGAGGTGGGAAAGAGCACTTACCTTCTTGTACGTGGTTTCGCCGGTGGAGTCCACACCCCTGTGGCCTTTCTTGATTGTCTGTGAGGAGTGCCCAGAGGCACCTGGCAACTGGAATCGGAAGCAAAGAAGAAAAGAGAAGGGGGGAGGTGAAATACAGGCTTCAGTGAGATTTTAAGTATCATCCTGTATGTTTCAAGACTCACCATCCCTGGCTGACAACGGATGATAAAACTTCAGGGGGCTTGATTTGGCCCACAGGTTTGCTAGTTGCCGACCCATGGCATAAGCAGAGGAAAAGAGAGAAGGGACTTGGCACACGTGGGATAGCTCAGTTGGAGGAGCATGAGACTCTTAATCTCAGGGCTGTGGGTACGAGTCCCACATTGGGCAAGAGAGTCCTGCACTGCAGGGGGTTGGACTAGATGATCCTTGTGGTCCCTTCCAACTCTACAATTCTATGATTTGGGGAGGGGGCAGTTCTAGCATCTGTTCTAGAGGCATCCATACACGTTATAAAGCGATGGGGCTTTAGAACAGAAAGAGAGGACAGATCCCTGCCCCAGCTGGCTTACAATCCAGACACTGATTGTACCCTACAGATCCTTTATTGGCAGGAGTCCTTTTTCCTCTTATTCCCCTTCCAATTTATTAATGGTGGTACAGCCACTGGAGACTGCCTGGCTAGCACTGACCCATGACTGGGCTTCTCAGCGGTGGTTCCCCGCTTTCGAATGCCCGCCCTGATGAAGTGTCCCCGTCTCCCTCATTACTGACTTTTAGGAGGAATTGAAAATCATTCATGCTAATGTTTTTAACATTTGATGCTTGAAGAGATATTGTTGCCGACAACCCTGAGATCACTGTTTTTATAACTTTTTATAACTTTTATGATATTTTAAAACGTATAATAATGTGTTCACCACTCTCTACTTCGGGAGGGAGTGCAGAATATAAACTGTAATAACAACAGCAACAACAGATACAGAAGAGAAAAGAGAGGAAAATTAAGGTGGGGTAAACAAGAGAGGAATGTGCTTTTTTTTTCAGAACAGGAGCAGGTAGAATCTAAAAATTCCACACGGGGGAGGGATAAATGGAGTGAGATAGCAAAAACACAATTATACCTATTTAGTACTTGAGTTGCAAGAGGACATGGAGACTAGGGACTGTGCAAGAATTTCAAGAAAATGTGAGGTTTTTTTGGGGGGGAATACACAGCAGCACCCAAGTGTTCTGGGAGGCATTTCTAGGGGTAATGGGGCAGCATGATGAATAAACTGAGGGAGCAGGGGGCCTTCGGACAGCTGTGGGGGGTGGAGCTGAAACAGTGGAGGTCATAGGCAGGGATGTGTTTAGCTGCAAGAGCAAGGAGACACAGAGGGGAGAGGAGACAAGTCTGATGTGAAAGGTGTGCACTCAGCATCTGATGTTTTTCTGCTCTGGAGAGCTGTTATAAAGCAGGAGGGAGCCCCAACCTGTCAGGAAGAGGGCACGGATGGGTTGCATGCACACGAAAGCTCATACCAATAAAAAACTTAGTTGGTCTCTAAGGTGCTACTGGAAGGAATTTTTTTATTTTGTTTCGACTACGGCGGACCAAGACAGCTACCCACCTGGAACTCGGGCAACTGTATCTTTCCCCAGGAAAATGCACGCAAATATATCCCTAAGGGCAAAGACTGGGCTCCCACTCTGTATTTATATAGTGATACACGAATACATCAAATCAAGTCAATATTCGGAATCCTTGGCCTAAAATGCCTGCTTATTTGGGGCAAGATATTCTGTGCACCGAACATTCCTCTCCTGCACACGGCACCCATATAGAAAACTGATGGTTAGCAAACTGATTCCAAGAACGCGGAGCTTTCAGAACCCACACCTGCAATCCTTTGAACGCAGTTGTTTTGCTTCTTGCGTTGTCCTCCCCCACCCCACCCCAAATCGCAACTTACCTCAAGCGTTTTTTTAAGTGTTGCTGTCCCGGGTGTCCCTGGAAGAAAGAAAAGGAAGACGTGAGGAGCTCTGCTATGAAACAATTTTCCTAGCTGCTCAAGGAAAACCCTGCCCAGCCATAAACCTTGCCAGGTGGAGAACGCTGCAACTGGATCAGGCCACGGGGGGGGGGGGGATCTAGCCCAGCACCCTGTTCTGCTCTATGAGAAGTCCACAAGCAGGATCTAAGCTCAGCAGCACCTCTTCCCTGCTGGCCATTTTCAGAAACTGAAACTCAGGGGCACGCTGCTGAGGATCCCAGAGATGGCATACAGCCATCACAGCTAGTAGCCATTGATGGCCTAATGCGCCACAAATCTGTCAGCTAGCTTACTTATTCCGTGTATATCTCAACTTTTTCTCCATGCATCTTTGGTGGTTTACCTGCTTCTCCCCCTCCTCATCCGTCTCCACAACAACCCTGTGAGGTAGATTAGATCTGAGAATGAGTGAGCTGGGGATTCAATCCCTGGTGTCCCTGCTCCTAGTCCGACACTAACAATTACACCACACTGGCTCCCTCAGTTATTTCCCTCTTCCATCACAGGGATATTGCAACAATGGGGTCTTTTGGGAGGGGGGTGAGAAAGAAAATGGCACCCTGGGCTCCATGGAGAGCAGGCAGGATAGGAATGAAATATGGAAATAGAAATGCCCAGGGAGAACAGCACTGTAACTATAAACGTACAGAATTGTAGCGTTGGAAGGGACCCCAAGGGCCATCTAGTCCAACTCCCTGCAATGCAGGAATCACAGCTAAAGAATATATTTAGCCAATACGTAGTTGTGAGGTCAACAACTGGCTTATCACAATGTCACCCCAGTCTAACTCTGTTGCCCGAAGCATCAAGGAGCATCAATACCGGACTCAGGCTCAACCGGATTCTTCAAATTCCTCAAATCTTGTGTAAACTGAGGGACACGCACAACAGAGATATGACTCAGCCAGATGCCAACAGCTTAAGTGCTTTTCCACACACAGAACACACAACCCAGCTCACTGCGAATCCATCTGGCCCAGGCTCGGCAAGCTCAGTGACAGAAACTCAGATATATAAGCTAATCACCTAATGGCACCTTAAACATGGGTTGCGGTTGCCACAATGGACTGTCTAGGCACCATTCCCATCCCGGAAATAATAATAATAAATTATTTTATTTTTATTACTATTATGATGATGGTGGTTTCTATATTAATTTATATTTTAAAGAACAAATCTCAAAGTGCTTTACATATAAACCATCCCAGACCCTGCGCTGCTCACCCGAGGCCCTTCTTCGTGTGCCTCCTCGTGAGGACTGGAGAGCGGCAAAACGAGAAGGGGCCTTTTTTGTAGTGGCTCCCTGTCTGAGGAATGCCCTCCCCAGGGAGGTTCGCCTAGCACCTTGTTTATTTATTTTTAGGCCCCCGGCAAAAACGTCCCTCTTCAACCAGGGGCTTGGGGTGATTCAGATTCTACAGCCTTTTAAATGTGACTTTGGGAAGGGGGTGGGATTATGGTTTTGGTGTTTTGGTTTAATTATCTACTTGTGTTTTATCTTGTATTCCGTGAACTGCCCTGACATCTTTTGAGGAAGGGCGGTATATAAATTTAATAAACAAACAACACATGAAAACATCAATTCAGAATAAAACAAATTCACGCTTCAAGGAAATATTTCAGATCTTTCTCAGCCGACCAACAGGGAGGGACGGTGCTGGGAGCTGTACTACAATGAAATCTGGAGGACAGCTGGTTAGCCACCCCTGCTTTAGGGAATGGGTGAGGTGAGGAGGAGAGAGCAGTCTGCTTCATAAGGGCTTTGCAATTATGGAGCACACGTCCTCAGGCACAGAAAGATGTACGACACTATCCAGAAGAGAATGTAGCATTCCAGAGTCTCTGTTTTTTGCAACATGAAAACAACATTGATGGCAGCCCTACCAGAGGACAGGTATCATGGCTGCCAGTTAGCCACCCCTGACCTAAGGTAGTCCTGGGTGGAACACACCAGCGGTGGCCGGGGGCGGGGGGGGAGGGGGGAGAGAGCGCAGGTACCATCAAATATTAAACAGGCAGTCTCAGGCAGATCAGCCCGAATTTCTACCTGACTTGATACTGTATTTATTATATTCTCTGATTTGCATCGTAGGTCCTTTGATGACTAAAATGATCATTTGTTGCCCACAGGAGTAGGTTAATAGCTTTCCAACACATGCAAATAAATAATATAAAATGCCAGGGTACCCAATGCTGTAAGATGTTGACTTCCCTAGGAGTAGGACCCCTTTCTTCCTCAAGATGGATTTTGGGGGTAGGAAAGTGGAGAAAGGGCTTTCTCAGGGGTCAGGCTCAAAATCATAGTTTCTGCCCACCTTTCCCAGTGTTTTCACAATACACATGTGGAATGAGGCAGCTGTGTAGCATGCTCTGAAATCCCACACGAATGCAGAAAGCCTGTGGCATATAAGCACAGACTTCAGTTCCTAAGAAACTGTTGGGGCTTTTTAAAGCACGTTCCTAGACCTCATCGTTACAAAGATATGCTTCAACACATGCAGGAACACTGCCCGGCTGAAAATCAGCAATATAGGTGGCTGAGTAGGCTTTCTATAGCCCATGTTTAGAATTATTATTTTTTTCTTTTTGAATGATGCAACGTAGGAGATAAATATATGTATATCTCTCATGCGCAAACTTAGTTTGCATAAATTATGCAAGTCACAGAACGTAGCTTTTCTCTGTGCAGACAGCCAATGGGTTTTAGGGTGGAAAACACGCTGCACTTCTCACACACCTGCCTCACAGCTCCTAACTCGACTCAACGTGACTTCGCCAGGCCTTGCCCTGCATTCTCACAGCCACCACCCATAAGACCTGCATAACTTTTACCCTACCACTCAGTAGCCGCCAATTATACTGGTTGGGCCCGCCCACCGTGGTCATGGGCAGTCAATGAACGCAGCTGCATTCAGCTTGCTGCCAGCACTCTCTCCTTGGAAGGCGGCCTGAGACAGGTTCCGGTATATGCGCTCAGAGGTTCAATCACACTCTTGAACACTCTTCCCTCCCCGCACATCCTGTGCTCCCAAGAAAAAGGGTGAATCATCAGCCTGCTGGGTTGCCAAGCATGCTCCGTCATGCAGAGACGCGTGTCGGGATTTCGGCAAGCGGGAGGCTGGCATGAACGGCAAGGAGACAATCTGTCGAGGGTTCAGGAGAAGGGCGCTCCTAAGAGTCCAGCTTGCTCACTGCTGCCTGGAAGCAGCCCGGCAGCTTGAATGAGCCAAGTGGGTCCTCTTGGCTTCAAGGATGCGCAGGGGAAACTTCCCCAGGTGACCTCTCGGAGCTCGCCGTTCATCCCCGAGAATCAAACTCCAAATAGCTGCCTGCTTCTGGAATATGCACAGTTCTTTCGGCTCTAGGAGACATGGAGAGCATAAGGAGAGCTCTGCTGGATGAGACTGAAGGCCCATCTAGTCCTGTATCCCATGTCATAAGGCTTCAAAAAAGACCTCAAGAAGGGCACAGAGGGCAAAAGATCCCCTTTCACCTCCCCCAGGCTCCTGGTCTTTCAGTGGCCTGTGAACACAGATGGGCTAGTGGGAGTCATAATCTGAAACTGCTGGATGACATTAGTTTAGGGTGTACAGGGAGTTGAAAAAATATTAAGGAACTTTCAAGCAAAAAATAAAAAGGCACCCCCTAGTGGACAAGGAAAATGGCAGCAGCAATTTTTACAAAGCCTTAGAATCACAGAAACATAAGAGTAGGAAGGACTAAAATTTATTTACATGACAAATTATTAGTCATGTTGTCAACTTGGACTACTCCATTCTCATACAGTGCAGTAATATCCTCTTTGCTTAACAAGAATCATACAATAAACGGGTCCAGTAAAGAAGGATTTATGAGGAGAGAGTGATTATTCATGAAGGAGGGATCCTAAGAAAAAGACTTGGTTGCCCAAATGTTTCCAAAAAACCCAGCTACTCTGTGGGAGGCTACTCAGTTCATTTCAGGAGAACATAAACCATGAAAAATAACAATAAGAGGCCCAGGAATGTATACAAAAGGGAGTGGGGTGAAAAAGGCTTTTTTTAAAAAACCAATTATTTTCTATTTGGGCAAGCAACAGTCAGCACATCTCAGTTGCGTGACTAGTATTCACAAAGCAGAATGGAAGGGCAGCCCAATCAACCAACACTTTTACCTATGGCACCCTTGGGGTAACTAAGGATTGTTGGGGTTCGGAGAAGGGCCTTTATGGAGCCTTCTGCCCAAAGTTTGAAAAATGTCACTTTTACTGGGGGTTGGGAGGAGGAGAACAGACTTCTGTTTTCCATGAGGCATTTAAACTGATCTAGGTACTGTGGCTATACTTCTGTTGTGTGGGTTTTTTTAAATTAATGTTTGGTTTCACGATGCCCTCCCCTGGTCCAAACTTGTTGACTGTGTTGGTGCATTTGGAGGAGTGGCATACAATTGTTTAATGATAAATATAAAGGCAGTCATCTCACTAGAAGTGCTTAACAGCTCAGGGAACCTGCCCTGCTGGCCCTCCACATGGAAGAAGATAGAAGTGGAAGGCAGGCTCCCCCCCCCCATTCGAACCCAGAGCAGCAATGTAGCTCAGCCTTCCCTTCCCATTCACGTCTTCCCCAAAAAGGAAAGATCTTGTGCTTCTGGCCTCACCCACCATATGTAGGCAAGGCCTGGAGCACACAAATATTAACTGAAATAGTTTAAGTAGAATCTAACCGACTATGAAGATTACCAAACACTCAAAGGAGAGAAATAATAATCATGGGGGACTTCAACTTCCTCGATATCTGTTGGAACTCAAACTCTGCCAGATTGCAAGGTCTGACAAATTCCTCCAATTTCATTTCCCAGAAAGTGGAAGAACCAACAAGGGGACCATCTATCTTGGACCTGGTCCTCACCAATAGGGAGGAACTGACTGATGAAGTGGAAGTGCTGGGAAACCTGGAAGGAAGTGATCATGTTCTCCTGGGTTTCAGGATGCAGAGGCAAGGGAAAACCAAGTGTAGTCGGACATGCACTCTGGGCTTTAAGAAGGCCAATTTCAGAAAGCCGAAGAAGTTACTGGGTGTGATCCCGTGGTCAGAAATACTCAAAGAGAAGGGAGTCCAATTAGGATGGGTGTTTCTAAAACCAGTAATATTGAAGGTCAAAATGCAAACAATACCAACAGGAAAGAAAAATGGGAGGCGTCTAAGAAAACCGGTGTGGCTGCATAAGGAGCTCACAGATGAGCTGACAGTTAAGAAGGGCATGTATAAGAAACGGAAGAAACGGGAAATTGCAAAGGAGGAGTATACACAAGTAGCCAAAAGTTGCAGGGGGGAAAGTCAGGCTGGCTAAAGCTCAGAATGAGCTCAGGCTTGCAAGAGAGGTTAAAAAGAATAAAAAAAGGTTTCTTCGGCTATGTCCGAAGTAAGAGAAAGAACAAGCAAGTGGTAGGTCCTCTGCGTGGGGAACAGAGAGAAATACTATTGGGTGACAAAGAAAAGGCGGAACTACTCAACACCTAATCTGCCTCTGCCTTCACCCAAAAGGAAAGCGATGCCCAACCTGGTGATAACAGAACAAATTATGTAAGGAGGGAGCTGCAGCCCAAGATAGGAAAAGAGGTAGTAAGGGAACACCTAGCTACTTTAAATGAATTCAAATCTTCAGGGCCTGATAAGCTGCATCCAAGGGTACTAAAGGAGCTTGTGGATGTAATTTCAGAAACTTTGTCTATTATCTTTGAGAATTCTTGGAGAACAGGTGAGGTCCCGACAGACTGGAGGCAGGTAAATGTTGTCCCCATCTTCAAAAAGGGGGGGGGAGGAGGAAGACCCAGATAACTACCGACCAGTGAGCTTGACACTGATACCAGGGAAGGTCCTAGAACAGATAATTCAACAGTCTGTCTGCGAGCATTTAGAAAAGGATGCTGTGATTACTAAGACCCAGCATGGGTTTCTCAAAAATAAGTCATGCCAGACCAATCTGATTTCTTTTTTTGATGAAATTACAAACTTAGTGGAACGGGGAAATGCTGTGGGCATAGTTTCATGGGACAAAATCTCCCATGATATTCTCATGAGGAAGCTGATAAAATGTGGGTTGAACTAAGTACAGTCGTACCTTGGATGCTGAACGCCTTGGGACCCGTATGTTTCGGCTCCTGAAAGATCGAAAACCGGAAGCGAGTGTTCCGGTTTTTGGAAACCAAACGTCTGGTGTGACTTCCGACTGAGTGCAGGAAGCTCCTACAGCCAATCAGAAGCAGCACCTTGGTTCTTGAACGGTTTAAAATTTGAGATCCAAGGTACGATCCAAGGGGATTTGTAGCTGGTTGACTGACCGAGTACTCATTAATGGTTCCTTGTCATCTTGGAAAGAAGTGGCAAGTGGGGTGCTGCAGGGTTCTGTCTTGGGCCTGTTGTTGTTTAACATCTTTATAAATGACTTGGATGAAGGAATTGAGAGGGTGCTCATCAAACTTCCAGATGACACCAGACTGGGAGGGACAGCTAATGCCGCAGAAGACAGGATCAAAATTCAAAATGACCTTAACAGATTGGAGAACTGGACCCAAACAAACAAAATTAATTTCAACAGGGGCAAATGTTAAGGTTCTCCACTTAGGCAGGAAAAACCAGATGCACAAATATAGGATGGGGGACATCTGGTTGACTAGCAGCACATGTGAAAAAGATCTAGAGGTCTTGGTGGACCACAAGCTTAACATGAGTCAACAATGTGATGCAGCAGCAAAAAAGGCTAATGCTATTCTAGGCTGCATCAACAGAAGTATAGTGTCCAGATCAAGGGAAGTAATACAGTGGTGCCCCGCAAGACAAATGCCTCGCAAGACGGAAAAACCGCTAGACGAAAGGGTTTTCCGTTTTGAAGTTGCTTCGCAGGACGAATTCCCCTATGGGCTTGCTTCACAAGACGAAAATATCTTGCGAGTCTAGAGATTTTTTTTTCGCTTTCCCCCCCCTTTATCTAATCTGCTAAGCCTTTAATAGCCTTTAATAGCCTTTTAGCAGCTAATCCCCTAAGCCTTTAAGCCTTTAATAGCCGCTAAACCGCTAATAGCGCTAATAGCGCTAATCCGTCAATGGGCTTGCTTCGCAAGACGAAAAAACCGCTAGACGAAGACTCTCGCGGAACGGATTAATTTCGTCTTGCGAGGCACCACTGTAGTACCACACTATTCTGCCTTGGTCAGGCCACACCTGGAATACTGTGTCCAATTCTGAGCGCTACAATTTAAGGATGACATTTACAAACTGGAACTTGTGCAGAGGATGGCAATCAAGATGACCAAAAGTCTGGAAACCAAGCCTTATGAAGAACAGTTGAGGTAGTTGGGTATGTTTAGCCTGGAAAAGAGGAGACTGAGAGGAGATATGAGAGCCATCTTCAAATATCTTAAAGGCTGTCCCATGGAAGATGGAGCCAGCTTGTTTTCTCCTGCTCCGGAGGGTAGGATCAGAACCAATGGTGTCAAAGGAGATTCTGACTAAACATCAGGAAGAACCTTCTGACAGTAAGAGCTGTTCAGCAGTGGAACAGACTCCCACAAGAGGTGGTAGACTCTCCTGCCTTGGGAGGTTTTAGCTGTCATGGATGCTTTAGCTGAGATTCCTGCATTGCAAGGGGCTGGGACTAGATTCCCCTTCAAACTCCTGTGCTTCTTGCTCATGTCAGTTATTCAGCTTTCAAGCCACAGTGGCTCTCCTGCAGCCAAGGTTTCACACATTCCCCCTTTCCTTGGTAGTGAAAAAAGAAAACTGTGGTGACCAGAATGAAACGCCTTCCTCAAGGCAGGTGGGGAGTCTTGACCCCAACTTCATACTCCATCTCTGAAATTCAGTGCAAGGACAGCAACCTCTTTGCTCTTTTCTCTAGCACTAAAACTGGAGGCAAGAGGTGACTCTTGCCACAGCCTCATTCCAAGCACCTCTGGAAACACAGCACAACCGCAGGGTCGACGCACGGCCACCTTCTGGCTCCCAGGCTGAAAAGCGAGAGCTGCTTATGCTTGCCAGAGGCTGTGAGGACACTAGCCATGGCAAGGAGAGTTGTGTAATAATCCAGCAAGCTTGACAGAAATGAAAAGCATGGACATCAGCCGATACCAGCAGGCTTAGAGCTCTAGTGCTTAAAAGCATGGAGGAGTGTTGCTCAAGCAGAGGAGGAGGAGGGTGGCTGCTTCAAACAAACATGCAGCGAGGTTGCGAAAGCTATTTGGAGAAGATGTGTCACCGGCACTGGCATCCTTGATCTTGCACTTCACACCAAGTCTGTGCATCAAGGAGCTGCAGAATTGCCGCTTTGTTAAGAGGACGGAGGCAGAACAGAACAAACCACCTTCTCTTACTCACACATTAAAAATAAATAAAAATGAACTGTATTTTGAACAGGGGTGGGGGACCCCAGACCTAGGGGCCAAATGCAACCCACCAGGCCTCTCCTCAGGCCACACCTCCTCCCTAGCCACACCTCCTCTCTTCAGGCCACACCCTCTCACCAACCTTGCTCCCTACCTGGCTGGAACCTGCCCTTGACTTGACTGGATGGAAGGCAGAAAAGGGCCTGCCAGGGTGTGTAGGAATTTGCTCTGCCCACTCTTGCCTCTGGCCCTGCCCACGAGGGGCATTTGGCCCAAAGGCTGACAAATATGTCGCCCTCTCCTCCAAATATAGAATGAATGCCACAAATGTTCAGACATCAAAAGAGGACTCTTGAGGCAGACATTAAATACTGCATAGGTACGATGAGAGGGTGAAAACCATTGACCTAAATCAAAGACGGGGTCCCTGCGGCCGGCGGCCAGACAGGATCTGGAAGAGGTCATTGGCTCTGGGCTCTCTGTAAACCTTCCAGAATCTCTAAGAAACCCCAGGGAGCAGTGGAAGACTTATTTAAGAGACTTGAGAGAGCCTCTGCAAGCTATTGTTGGATCACAGATGGGGGAGAGCATGCGGTCCTCCAAAAACTGTGGGATTCCAACTCCCAGCAGCCAGCATGACCAGTAGTCAGAGAGGGTGATGGGGAGTTGTAGTCCAGCAACATCTGCAGAGCCCCACAAGTGCTCCCAATCCTTGGGAAAGATACAATAATGCAGACAAAGGTAAGACCTATGGCAGCTTCTAGGCGACCAATACCTGGAAGTCTCATGTAAAATGGACAGGTTAATATCAGAATGCCTTTCAGGGTTGGTGTAATAAACTTCTGTGCTCTGAGCACTTAAATATTATTGCCACAAAGAGTTCCAGTGCAGAGCTCTAGGACCACCTGCTCTAACCTAAAGATAAGGACTTTTAAAAACTGGGGAGTGGAAGGAGGTCAGTTCAATTAGAGAGCAGTTCTGACATAAGGCAATAACACCATCAATCCAGTAACCTTAGGCAAACGGGGGGAACTTTGGCCCTTCAGATGTCAGTGAACTACAATTCCCATTGCCCTTGATCACTCAGCTATGCCTGCAAGGGCTGATGGAGTCCAACAATGTCCAGCAGGCCAAAGGTTCACCACTCCTAAGTAAAGGCTCGGTTCCACACCACACATGCACACACGAAACTTAAGAAAGCCAAGTCTGTTTAGCGGCTAGTAATCAGAGAGGAGGGGGAGAAGCCCATGCTCGTGCCTCGGTTTACCCATACATCTTCGGGAAGGCATCAGTGAACAGCAAAGGAAGCTGAAAGCTATACAGAGAAAGAGGAGGAAAAGAGAGAGAAAGCAGTGAAATTATTTTTAGGAGAGGGGAAAAAACTGAAGCTCGAGTACGTCTGGGTCGATGTTTCAACATCGTGACAGGGGAAGAATAAATTAAGAGTACAAAAATATGTAAGAGCAAAAAATAAAAAGGAGGAGGGGACAGAGAAGAGAATCCATTACACCATTTAAACAGATTAATCTCACTGTTCAGCCTACATCCGGAAAGGAAGTTGCCACTCGGCATCCCGAATTTCTACTCCAACAGCTCTATCCAATCTCTAATAACTTGCATGAAACCGTTCCCACTGTCCCTCCCTCAAGCCTCAGCTCCACAGCTGAGTAGTTCAGCACCTTCACAATCGTGGACACACACACACACACACACACCCTCCAGTCTCTACACCTTCTAAGCACTCTCTGAAAAATCACTTTTATTTAGGATAAATATATTTACAATTCATTTTAATCTAGACGTGCTAGCAGGGGACTCTGTAGACCCTTAAAAAAAAGCTGATCTGTTTTGTGTTACTTTTGTTATCTCGAGGATTGTACTGTTTCATTGTTTTAAGCTGTTTTTGTTAAGCAGGCTTGCACAGCATGATCCTAAAGAGGAAGGATATAAAATAAATGATAAATAAATCTCCAGCCCCCTTATGACCTGAATCACAGCTGTCAAGAGAAAAACAAAATGCCTGGGGAAGCGCCATAGCTCAGTGGGAGCGCATCCATTGTGCATGTAGGTTCCAGGTTCAATCCTTAGGTATGGGTAAGAAAGGCACCCTGCCTGAATTTCCCGGAGAGCTGCTGCCAGTCAGTGTGGACAGTACTGAGCTAGGCAGACCAATGATCTGCCTCAGTATAAGGTAGCTTCCTATGTCTCTCTCAAAATCGGGGGGGGGGGTGCACGCGACAAAATCCTTCAGTCCAAAATTGGGGGAAATCTACGGCTCTCCAGTTGTTGTCAAACTCCCAACTCCCATCATCCTCCCAGACCACTAGCCATGCTGGCCACAGGGGCACACAGGAATCTGAGCACATCTGGAGGGCCCCAGATGTTCCCCACCTCTGCTTTCGCGTTTTTCACTATGTCAAGAGGAAGCATTTGGAGAGACAGCTTTCAAAAGCGATGAGGAAAGTCCACAACCCACCTGTACTTTCCCACTCTGGCTCTCTGGTTTGTTTCCCCACAGAAGACAAGTGCCTCCATTTAGGCAGATTTGTCTGAAGGACACTCAGGAAGCACCATTCCATTGTGTTGACTTGGTTTTTTTGGGGGGGGGGGGATCCTCCCCACCTGAATGACAAAACAGCACCAGCAAAACAAGGCCTTAAGATGCAAAGTGATGGGGGGGGGGGTGGAGCTGTGCTGCTGTTACAAACGGAGTCCGGAGTCCGAGTTTAGAGGCATGGGTTCAAAATCTGCCTTAGGCAAGGACAAAGTTTGGGGTGGGGGCTGTTTAGCATCTGACCAAGTCATCTATGAAATGGAAGCCGCAGTTAATGACCCTCACAGGATGGTTTCCAAGGAGATGCACAGGCTGATCAGAAGCATGATTATTCGCAACTTAAGCCCCGCAGAGTTCAAAGGGGCTGAAGTGTATAGCAGACTACAGCTTTAGTTTAGAGACTAAAAACATAGTTTGTGAGCCAGGAAGCTGGAGCTAAGAGCTCAGAGGACAAGGGGACAGAGTGAGGCTTGGGCAAGCCATATTTCTGAGCGGCACCCCTGGTGTGGGATTTTGTCAGATTTTCCCACCTCCCCCCCATCTATAAAAAGGTGGTATAACATCATCCCACTGCATATGGAAGGTGCAAATCTTAACATAACCAAGGCTGCAAAGAGCTTAGAAGCTGCCACCTTAAAAAAACCAAACTCACTAGGAAGTTTAAACCGCACCAGTCATACTTCCAAGTAAACATGTGGAGGGGTCAGTGGTCCAGAGTTGCAGAAAGCTTGAATTATATCATTTACTGAATTAAGAGTGCCGTCTACAGACAGACGCATTGCAATTGGTTATTTTTGGCACATGACCTATTTCAAAGCGAAAGGAAAGGGCTGTCCAGCCCTGGTGGGTGTTCTCTATCCTCATCCTCCCCCACCCAACATCTAGACACAGACAATCCCCAAAGAGTGGCTTTTACTGGTAGGTGGGCAGGATAGAGAGAGAAGGGCAGACCAGTCAAATTTTAACTTTTATCTATAAAGCCAGAGTTAGGCAAAGAAACAGCCCTTGGATTTTATGTGGGCAGGATACCAAAAGGACACCATGAGGGTTGTACCCAAGGGACCCAAAACTGAACAGCTGATTCATTTTTAGCATGTTCATCCCGCCTTTCTAAAAAAAATAATAAAAAATACTTGAGGCAGCAAACAGAGATTGAAAGCACATCTGGAGTAGACGGAGAAAGAGAGGATTCAAAAGTAAGGTGAAATTAAAAATATGAGACTTGCACAATAGCAGAAGAAAGTGCCTGATGAAAAAGGAAACCTATCAGACAGTGGCAAGTTTCAGCTGCCTGCAAAATGTGAGCTAGGAGAGTGTCTTTTGGCAGGATGTTCCACTGCCCTGGAGCCAGCACCAAAAAGGCTCTGCTTAGTATGCCATACCAAGGAGGGTTGGGCTCAGAAGATGACCCCAAGCACTGCTGAAAATCAACAGGTGTAGGGGCTGATCAGCCTGCTTGATAGAAGACCAGCAACAATAACTTTGTGGTACCAGTGTTACAAAAATAAGACGGCTGCACAACTTTCCCTGGCCTGTTTGACAAGTCTCACTTGCCAAAAATCTTACCCAACAAAGAAACACACCAGGAGCTGTGAGTGGTGTTGGAAGGCCTGATGTAGCCCTGAAGTGGTACATTTCAAAGGCCTACCACCATATTATCTGCTCATCCCTTGAGAACTTTGACTCCAGACTGGTTGTGAGAATGAGCTAGAGGGAAATTGTAACAAAATCAAGACTTTTCAAACCAGCTCTTCAGAGCAGCTCCCAGGAAATCAGCTGCTAAGGGGTGGGGGAAAGATGCATTTGAAAGGGGGTGGGGACAGAGAAAAAATGAGCTTCTTCTTTACTGTCTGAAAGTGTCCTGTTTGGAAGAAGCCCATAATACAGTGGTAACTCGGGTTAAGTACTTAATTCGTTCCGGAGGTCTGTTCTTAACCTGAAACTGTTCTTAACCTGAAGCACCACTTTAGCTAATGGGGCCTCCTGCTGCCGCCGCGCCGGCGGAGCACAATTTCTGTTCTCATCCTGAAGCAGTTCTTAACCCGAGGTACTATTTCTGGGTTAGTGGAGTCTGTAACCTGAAGCGTATGTAACCCAAGGTACCATTGTACTCCATTTCAAATTTTCACTACTGTGGTGACATCTATCTATCTATCTATCTATCTATCTATTGGCTTTCTGACCTACAGAGTTTTTACACTGAAGGTTTAAACTGCTGCCTTCTATATGTCATAGTGTTGTCTAAAAATAATTTTTTTTTATTCCTGCGAATATAAATGTTAATTAAATGAACACCCTATAATCACTCAGGGGGATTCAAGGTCTCATTCCTTCCTAAAGCATGGAATACAAAGAGGGAAACATACCATCCCCCGAAGTCCAATAAGGTGGTTGATGTTCAAAGGTTAAGAAATCTCCCTTTTCAGTTATCTCATCCATGTCCCTGCAAGATGTACACTTCAGCCCTGCAGCCTGGTGCTCTCTGATAGGAGAAGAAAGGTAAGAAGCTTCCCTCAGGACCGGTGGACTCCCACCCAGAGGAGTCCAGCAACCCAGCCTCTGAAGCCTGCCCACAACTCTGTGGCAACCAACTACACCACCCTTCTTCCGAAAAGACAGATCACACTCCCCCTTCATTTAATGACATCAAGGGAAAGGATGACTTATGCACATGCTCCCGTTGACCCTGGCACTGCAACAGCAAAAACCCCTCACCCTAATTCAGGAAGTGGGCTGGACCCCACAGAAGGAGCCCCGCCACTTCCCATTCTGCTTTTGTCCGCCTCCCACCACCCACAAAAGGGTCTCAACTCCTCCTGACCTGCAAATAATACTCCTCCAACTCCAGAAAAAAACACACACATGCATGAGCTCAGACCGCAAGCCAGTCAGCCAGCTCCTTCCTTTAGAGAGTGCCCAGTGTCCACACAAGCTCCCTTGGGGGAACAGACTGGAAGTCACTGCCCCAAGGACCTCCCTGTGTCCCCTGCTCGCATTAACCTTCCCCACCCTCAAACACTAGGAACCTAAGATGCTGCCTTAAGACAGTCAGAAGCTTGGGTCTGTCTAGTTCAGTACTGTCTACGCTAACTGGCAGATCTCCAGGCTTTCCAGCAGGGACTGATGGGATCAAACATGGGACCTTCTACATGCAGAGAAGGTGCCCTACCAATGAGTGACAGTGCCACCCCATAACGCTCTTGCTAAACTGAAAAGGAAAACAGAAAGTCATTCATACAAAGAAGGAACTTTGAGGACTCAACCCGCAACCTCAAACCACCAACCACTTGCTTCTCCACGAGGGCCGTTCCTTGGGATCTACTGCCCAGAGAACTGCATACAACACAAGTTATACCACAGTCTCCACATCCACCATAAGGAAGGTCCCACTCCTTTCCTCCAGGAAAGGGGGATGGGCCCTCCTGAACACCCCCACCAAAGCAGGAACTTGTTTCCTTAAGCGACCCCACATCCCACACAAAAATATGTTCATTCCCAGAATCCTCTCTCCTTATGCCAAGAGGTGCAACCACTCACTCACCATATGCTCAGTGTCAGGCTCCCACTGCGCCCGTTTGGGAGATCCCTCTCCAAAACCCAGCAATCACCCCCAGTTACTGGAAGATCAAGGACCACCATGACAGCCCCTTTCTCAGGCAATGAGCCCCACACTGAAGGAGGCACTTCATTCATCAATGCAACACGACCCCCAGGACGCCCCACCCCAAAGAGGGGGATTCGCTGCCTCCCCATTGCTCAGCAAAAAGGGTCTGGTTCATTATATCACCCTATACACACCCGCCGATCCTAGGGACTCTGCCATCTCTAATCTTCCGTCTTTATTTAATTTTTATTTTAATGGCAAGATTATACCCAAACCTCCTATTCTCTGAAATCTGCCATTTTAGTATACGGTTGCATTTTTAAACAAATTGTTGTTGAACTCTGCCTTCAGTGCTACTTACGAGCAGCAAGGTTTCTTTTCAATTAATGGAATCCGCACTGGGGTGGTGGAATACATCCCCCCACAACTCTCTGGAGCCTTCCCATACACCCCACATTCAAGGCCAACTACAGTACTCCCCCTGCTGAGAAATAAGAAAAAGGCCCTTCCACATCCCACACACTGATCGCTCCCCAAATAAAGGCTCCCCAAACCCATCACCCTTTTCACCCCTAACGTGAAGCCCCCTCCCCAAATAAAACCCACAACCACCTTCCTTCCCCCCTCTTTGGAGGGAGTCCCATAACCCACCCCATATATTCCCTCGCAAGCAACATAAGACCCGCCAGCTGTCTTGCCCCTTCTCCCCCCCCCATTTCCTCTAATTTGCCCCCCCCAGGAGGGGCAGAAGTCACTTTTCACACACCCCAAAACCCCTTCCCATAAGCAGCCCACAAAGTACCCCTCTTCCAAATCTTCCCCACTGAGTGCTGGGGGGGGGGGAGAGAAGAAAGCTGTAGATTTCCTATTGTGGGGCGGAGGATTCGGTCCCCCAAATCTACAAGGGGTGGGGAGAGACTGACACCCCACTGTGAGTGGGGGTCTCATTCACCTTCCCCCCTAAACTGCCCCCCACTCACAGGGGGAGCCGGTCTCTTTCTTCTCCTCCTCCTGCTGTAAATTGGGGGAGCTGAGACCCTTCAATAAAACAGCTTCCCCCCCCCCCCCCGCCCAGACACCTGTGTGGGGTTCATTTACCCCACATCAAGATGCAAAGCCCCCCCGCCCCAATCTTTCTATTCCCCCCCTCCATGCAGCCCCCTTACTCACACGGGGGTCTCAGAGGAACACATTTTAAGACCCCTCCCCAAATATCCACCCTGCCCCCCCCACAGAGAGGGAATTCCCCCCCCCCAACCAACGCTCCTCTCCGAGATTTAACACTCCCTCCTCGCCACAGAAAAGGGAGTCACAACCTCGCCCCTCACCTGAGGAAACGCCGCTGCTCCCCCCAGGCTCGGGCCCGGCCGACGCCATTTTACCGCTTCACCCTCCTTTCCGCCTCCTTTTCTTTAAAAAAAATTATTCCGTATTATTATCAATTTTTTTAAAAATAGTATTTTTTTCGCCGCCTCGCTTTGCCTCACGGCTGGAATCCTCTTTTTCTTGTTGCTTTCTCCACACCGCTCTTCATCATCATCATCCTCACACACCCCCGGCCTCTTCACTTGGTCTCGCCCGCCTCGCTTCGAGCCGCGACTGCGGGCCGCACCACCCGGGCGCTCCGAGGGGTTGCCACGCCTCCTCCCCCGACCCGTCTCCGATTTTTCACGTCCGCAACCCCCGCTTCCTCTCGTGGACCCGCCCAAACGGCGCCGGGGCAAACCAATGCACGCAAAGGGGAGGGTGGAGCGTCAGAGCGGCGGCTGGGCGAGATGGGGGGGGCGGGAAGCTCTGCCTTGTTTATAACGGACCGCGGGTAAGGGGACCGGTACTGCGCATGCGCCAAGAGGGAAGTGGGCGGCCGAGGCTCCGGAGAAGGCAGCCATGCGTCGCGTGGGAGTGGGCGGGGCTCCACGGCATCTCAACGAGCGCTGGCCTAGTTGACGTTGCCATAGCAACGCCAGGCTGCGCTACCCCGGGCCCCTGAGGGATGCTACCTGATGCAGTTACACCGTTGCCATGGCAACGCGGCCTTGTTCAATCTGTGCAGTGAGATGACCTCATCAGATGTGACACCACATATTATTATTATTATTATTATTATTCAATTATTATTAAAAATAGCATCAGAAACACTAATAAAGATAACAACCCCCTCCACTACTATTGTATCAAAATTAGCTTTTGCATCCTGGCAAAAGAGCTTTATGTAATCTCTGCCTCGTGAAGGCCTCATCAAATGTGACACACAAGTGGCATCACATCATAGCCAGTGTCAGGATGAGATAGAAATGCAATAAAATAAATAACATTAGCAATGTGAATAAAAAATAGCACTAGCATTACGGCCAATTAGCATTAGGCATTGGGTCTCCAGCATTGCTTAACACCATTTTAGTTAGTGGTGACAGAGGACGCTGGGGAATCCAGATCTTACTACTGTTCACTATGGAACGAGCATGCAATATCTCTTCACTGCCCCTCAGCTGCAGAATGCATTTGCTTTTATCTCGATTAGTAAGGATTATCGCCCTCTCCCCTTTTTTAAAAGCAGCACAGAGAGATTATCTGAAAGCCATTCCTTCTGTTGCTGTCCAGAGATCAGAGCAATGCTTTGGCAGATATTTTACAGTCCAAAATCACCTAATGAAATCAAACCACTCCGTTTTACAATTGGCCTTGTACCCCAAGCCTTTGCAAGAAAAAGCAATATCTCCATACCATTTCCTTCCACCCTGATGAGTTTTACCTGAAGTTGAACAAACAGGTTGAAAGAAGTATGTGGGTGTATATGTGGAAAGTTCTGACTTCTATGTGGCTGTATTGTAGCTTACTATATAAAAGTCTCATATCTTTAGCTCCACCTACTTTCCCCTCTGGCCCTGCCCACTATTGACAGGTGGCCCCCAGAAGGCTGCCTCTGACAGAATGTGGCCCTTGGCCTGCAAATGGTTCACACCACACCTGTATAAAATGGACCTAACTCTGCTGAGTTGTGCAATCTTTTCAAAATAATAATAATAATAATAATAATAATAATAATATTTTATTTATATCTGAAGCCGGGCTCAGAGCAGCTAACAACAGTAAAATAATACAACAAACCCTGTTTAAAGGTGGTGCTGTTCGGTGGAAGGCACAGATTCCTGTTTTGCTCCAGGCACAATTCTGAACAGGAACTGGAAGAGAGAGAAAACCCTTACCAGGAAGACTTGCATCACTTAGGCAAGCTTGGTTCCCTTTTCGATTTCAGACGGTGTTAAGAGGCTAACAATCCAAAGGCCAAACCAGCAGCTTAAACGACAAAGTGGAGGTCGCTGTGCTCAGTTTCATTAGGCAGCTGGCTCAGATCACATCAGATAAAATCTTGGCCAGCTTCCCAGAGGAGGAGGAAAGCTCAGCAGGCAAACTCCAGAGGCTTCCTACTCATCATCACATTTTTAGGCCCTGGAATCACATAGCCATATAAAAACCAATAAACTTGGGGGAGTGACATAAATGGACCCGAATGGCAGCTTAATTCAAACTCTCTGACCTTTGCTGCATAATTAGGCTCCATAGCCCCCTTACAACTCAACAGATCACCGGTAATCTTATACAGTGGTGCCTCGCAAGACGAATGCCTCGCAAGACGAAAAACGCGCAAGACGAAAGAGTTTTCCGTTTTTTGAGTCATTCCACAAGACGAATTTCCCTATGGGCTTGCTTCGCAAGACGAAACGTCTTGCAAGTTCTTGCGAGTTTGTTTCCTTTTTCTTAAAGAAGCTAAGCCGTTAATAGCCGCTAAGCTGTTAATAGCCGCTAAGCCGCTAATAGCCGTGCTTCGCAAGACGAAAAAAACCGCAAGACGAAGAGACTCGCGGAACGGATTAATTTCGTATTGCGAGGCACCACTGTACTCCCACCTGGGGGGAAGTTTCAGTGACCCCATCAAAGCACATTTTGAAGTTCTTACTTACCCCCAGTGGTAAGCTGCCATGCTACACATTTCATTATAAACCAAATCCTGAAACTTCTCAAGTAAAATAGTCTACCATAAATGGAAGTACATGCCACATTGATCATGACCTCACCAACAAAGTGGTGACAATGTTGAAAACGTGTGATAATTTGACTAATAATAATAATATTTACACCCTGCCCATCTGTCCGGGTTTCCCCAGTCACTCTGGGTGGCTTACAACATTTATTAAAACATCAGTCCTTAAACTTCCCTAAACAGGGCTGCCTTCAGATGCCTTCTAAAAGTCAGATAGTTGTTTATTTATTTGACATCTGAAGGGAGCTTGTTCCACAGGGCGGGCACCACTACCGAGAAAGCCCTCTGCCTGGTTCCCTGTAACTTCATTTCTCGCAGTGTGTGATACCATCTATGAAGTAACATCAGTGAAATTTCACAAACAGAACTGGAAACTGATTTTAATGGATGAGTGGCCCCTATTTTGTCACAGTCTTGAATCTGAATTATATTGCCTGTATCCAGTGCTACTTTTCTAGAAAAAAAGATGTTTTCTAGAAAAAAAGGTGTTCACCAAGAACACCTCCCTCATTCTCTTAGAATGGCAATGGCGCCCACCTGTGAGGTGCCAGAAATACGGTACGTTCCAGCAAGTTCCAATTGAAAAAAGCCTATTATCTGATTCCCAGACTTTCAACAGTGGTTCCACAGTACCATTAAGTTACATGCAGGGGGTTGGACTAGAATGATGATCATTGGACAAGATGATCCGGTTCTCCACTGTTATGATTCTATGTACCAATACATGAAAAGCTAAGATGGTTCTTCAGCCCTGAGAATGAAGTCACCAGTGGAATGGAACCTCCATTCAAAGAGGCAGTCAACCTCTGGATATCAGTTGTGGGTGGAGGAAGAGGGCAAATTGCAGGACTTGTGGGCTTCCTGGAGGAATCCATTTCACCAGTGTTGGTGGTGGGTTAGCCTTCATTCAGCAGAGCAGCGCTGGCACTCTTGGAAGAGATACTAGCCACAAGAGGCAGATGAAACTTTTAAATTTTTATTAAATTTGATGTTTACTTCGTTACAATTTTTGAAGAGCAATAAACATTAATTGGTAAAAAAGAGAGGTGGATGAAACTTCCAAATGCAGAGCTAGTGCGCTTCGGAGTGGTGCTGCTTCGCGGGCTACATGAACTGCTCTGACTGCTTTTGGAGATAGAATGCTGAATGGAAGTGGCCTTTAGTCAACCAAGCAAGTTTTATTCTTGCTACTCTCCTCACTATTATTTACACAGCACCATCTACAGTGGTACCTCAAGTTACACACGCTTCAGGTTACAGACTCCACTAACCCAGAAATAGTACCTCAGGTTAAGAACTTTGCTTCAGGGTGAGAACAGAAATCGTGCTCCAGCGGTGCGGCAGCAGCAGGAGGCCCCATTAGCTAAAGTGGTGCTTCAGGTTAAGAACAGTTTCAGGTTAAGAACGGACCTCCAGAACGAATTAAGTACTTAACCCGAGGTACCACTGTACATACTTAGGGACGCGGGTGGCGCTGTGGGTTAAACCACAGAGTCTAGGTCTTGCCGATCAGAAGCTCGGCGGTTCGAATCCCCATGATGGGGTGAGCTCTCGTTGCTCGGGCCCTGCTCCTGCTAGCCTAGCAGTTCGAAAGCACGTCAATGTGCAAGTAGATAAATAGGTACCGCTCTGGCGGGAAGGTAAACGGCGTTTCCATGCGCTGCTCTGGTTTGCCAGAAGTGGCTTAGTCATGCTGGTCACATGACCTGGAAGCTGTACGCTGGCTCCCTCGGCCAATAAAGCGAGATGAGTGCCACAACCCCAGAGTTGGCCACAACTGGACCTAATGGTCAGGGGTCCCTTTACCCTTTGTCTACATACTTACCACTTTGCAAAGGGCAGGGGATTAAGCAAATGCATGAAAAATAGGCCTATCGGAGCATGATTGCTAAATGAATTTCTAGTTTCTGCAAGGGCATTAATAAAAGGAGGGTGTCTTCTGAACACCCAGCTTTCAGATCCTCCCCGGAAGCGTCTTGTTGGAAAGATGCTGAATCCTCTTAGGTTTGTTTCTCACCCATCGACTTTCTCGGCGTTCGATTCCCCAATTCCCTTCCCAATCTCTGCGTCGACGCTCAACTAATCGTGTCTACCCACCATCGGCGTCCGTTAGCTCGGCGCTCGATGACTCATCCCTCCCGTCATTTAAGCGGAGGCGTTGCGAATAGCCCCGCAACGCAGGGCGCGTGGTCGCGAGCCGACGGCATCGATCGCCACTCCGCTCTCTCCCCGGGGAAAGACTAAAAATGGCGGCGGCGGCGTCCGCTTCGACGGGCCTGGCTGGAGGCCGAGCGCCGCGGCGGACGGCAGGGAACCGGCTCTCGGGGCTGCTCGAAGCGGAGGAAGAGGACGAGTTTTATAAGACGACGTACGGGGGCTTCACGGAGGTAGGGGGCGGGACTTGGGTTGATGGGCAGCGGCAGGGGGCGGGGTAGGTCCAGGAGGGGGCGGGACCCCGAGCTCATGGCCGAGGCGGCGCTTGCTTGTGATTGGCTGGAAAGAAGGCGGGATGGGCGGGGCCACAGAAGCATAGGTCCAGTTTAGTTTGTAGTGTGTGCAATACGCATAATATAAATATTAATTTCTGGAAAGTTTGAACCAAGAAGGTCCAGCACTTTCTTTCCAAAGGAGGCTGCACTTGGGGAGCCCATAAGCAATTCTACCTGCATCTTCTTTTCTGCAACAGGTCGCTTGGTGGTATTTCTCCTGGAAAGGGTGGTTTCTCTTAGTGATGGTGGCTGAATAAGTCATTTTGGTAGAGAGAGGGAAGTATCTCATTTATATCCTACCTTCCTTCTGCCAGGAGCTCAAGGCATAGCTGTCAACTTTTCCCTTTTCTTGCGAG